AAAGGTGTATCATCTGAAAGTAAGGTTGAGTCTTCTAAAAGTTTAGGAGTGCCTTCTAAAAGTAAGGGTGAGTCTTCTAAAAGTAAGGGTGATTCTTCTAAAAGTAAGGGTGAGTCTTCTAAAATTAAGGGTGAGTCTTTAACAGTAAGTGTGTCTTCTAAAAGTAAGGGTGAGTCATCTGAAAGTAAGGGTGAGTCATCTAAAAGTAAGGGTGAGTCTTCTAAAAGGGTGAGTCTTCTAAAGTAAGGGTGTGTCATCGAAAAGTAAGGATGAGGTTTCCAAAAGTAAGGGTGAGTCTTCTAACAGTAAGGGTGTGTCTTTTAAAGTAAGGGTGAGTCATCTAAAAGTAGCGGTGAGTCTCTAAATGTAACAGTCTGTCATCTAAAAGTAAAGGTGTGTCATCTGAAAGTAAGGTTGAGTCTTGTAAAAGTTAGGTGTGTCCTTTAAAAGTAAAGGTGAGTCTTCTAAACATAAGGGTGAGTCATCTAAAAGTAAGGGTGTGTCTCTAAAAGTAATAGCGTATCATCTAAAAGTAAAGGTGTGTGATCTGAAATAAGGTTGGTCTTCTAAAAGTTAGGTGTGCCTTATAAAAGTAATGGTGAGTCTTGTAAAAGTTAGGTGTGTCCTTTAAAGTAAAGGTGAGTCTCTAAACATAAAGGTGAGTCATCTAAAAGTAAGGGTGACTCTTCTAAAAGTTTGGGAGTGCCTCTAAAAGTAAGGGTGAGTCTCTAAAAGTTTGGGTGTGCCTTCTAAAAGTAAGGGTGAGTCATCTAAAAGTAAGGGTGTGTCATCTAAAAGTAAAGGAGGCTTCTAAAAGTAAGGGTGAGTCTCTAAGGGGAGTCATCTTAAAGTAAGAGTGACTCTTCTAAAATTAAGGGCATCTTGTAAAAGTAAAGGTGAGTGTTCTATAAGTAAGAGTGTTTCTTCTAAAGTAATCATGAGTGGTGTAAAAGTAAGGTTTGTGATGTAAGAGTAAGGGTATAGTCATCTAAAAGTAATGGTTTGTCATTTAAAAGTAAGGGTGAGTCATCCAAAAGTAAGAGTGAGTCGTTCTAAAATTAAGGCATCTTGTAAAGGTGAGGTAAAGTAAGAGTTTCTTCTAGTAAGCATGAGTGGTGTAAAAGTAAGGGTGAGTGGTGTAAGATAAGGGTATAGTCATCTAAAAGTAATAGTTTGTCATCCAAAGTAAGGGTGAGTCATCCAAAATTAAGAGTGAGTCCTTCTAAAATTAAGGTGCATCTTGTAAAAGTAAAGGTGGTGTTCTATAAGTAAGAGTGTTTCTTCTAAAAGTAAGCATGAGTGGTGTAAAAGTAAGGGTGAGTGGTGTAAGAGTAAGGGTATAGTCATCTAAAAGTAATAGTTTGTCATCTAAAAGTAAGGGTGAGTCATCTAAAATTAAGAGTGAGTCTTTCTAAAATTAAGGGTGCATCTTGTAAAAGTAAGGGTGAGTGTTCTAAAAGTAAGAGTGTTTCTTCTAAAAGTAAGCATGAGTGGTGTAAAAGTAAGGGTGGGTTGTGTAAGTAGGTATAGTCATCTAAAAGTATTGATTTGTCATCTGAAAGTAAGGGTGTGCCTTCTAAAAGTAAAGGTGGGGCATCTAAAAGTAAGTGTGAGTCATCTATAAGGAAGGGTGAGTGGTAAAAGTAAGGGAGTGGTGTAAAAGTAAGGGGGAGTGCTTTAAAAGTTAAGGTGAGTAGATGTAGATGAGTAAATGTATAGTTAAATACATACCCAAACAATATTACGTAACCACTGACATGATGTAACTGTAGCACCATGTTCCCCATTAAACTTTAATGTGAAAAGCCTGACTGTTCTTCTTTTCTAATTTCTTGAACTTTAGGATGGCTGTGATTTAAAATATATAGTTTTAATGGCTTGACATTCCTCATCCTCATCTTCTAATTGATATATAAACAACAATCAATCATTATTATGTTAAATATGAAAAGATAAAGCAGTAGTAATTAAAAAAATTTTAAAAAATGAAAATGAAGTTCTGTATTGTTGTTGCTTTTTTGGATTTTTCATTTTGAAACAACGATCAACCCACCAATTTTACGATAAACATGTTTCGACTTGTTTACAATGTCAAATTTATAATATAGGAGGATACATTGTACATGATACATATTAGTTAATAAAAGTTAAAGATGAATGACTTAATGTAAGTTTGCAAAAACATGTTTATGGTAAAAAGTTTACAACAAAACCAATCACCTTTTGGTATAAATATAACAAAATAACACCACACACCTGCTTTTTTCGGTCAGCTGGATGGAACAAACAAAGAACCTGAGTTGTTGAGTGTCCTCTCTCTTGACGTACCCGTTAGGAGTTCTCATTTTGACAAAGATCTCCTTTTACTTTGGGATATCGATTTGATTCTCTGTCGTGTGATAATGCAGGCTCATCATGTTTTCAAAATGTTTTCCTCCCAAAATGTTGGTAAGAAAGATTCCCATTGGATACACGTTAAGAGAAATGGAAAAAATTATATATATCTTGTTATGAAATATGTTCATTGAAACTTTCAAATTCAAAAATGATCATGTACTGCTCAGCCATTTAAACTCTTTGAGCAAGAAATCTTTTTGAAACATAATGGCGTTACCTTTTGTCATCTCCTCGTAGTCATTTTAAATCATAAAGTTCACTTCTGCTTATAAATCTATCTGCTGCACACTTTTTAATCATAACGTCAACGCAATTCAGCATCAAATTAAACCCACCGAGCCATTATCAAATGTTGTCACACAACAAGATGGCCGCCATCTATTCAGATGACTTCCAAGCCCCTTCCTTGCTTGCCGAACTGTACTGCCTTCGCCGCCCCCGACTTACTGCTTTCCCTGTAGTGTCTTCGGCCCCCCTTGACTTACTTAATACTGCAGATTATATTACAGGTCACGATCGATATTCATCAAACTATACAAATTATTTAGTAAATCATTTAATTATTCATACTACTTCAATTCTTATTCCGGTTTTTATGTACAGTCTATCAATTCATTATGATCATTACAGGAGTATTATAATTACTTTAAACTATTGACAAAAAGACAATGTACAATATTATTTTATTGTACATTAAAGCATTTAACTTAAACTTCATCTAAATAAAGTAGGAAGGAAGGGGAACTTCCAACTTTATTTACATTGCCAATTATACTTATAGTGGAGCCAAACTAGAATCTATTACCATAAGCAATATTACCATTAACGCAGCATTATTATCATCGTTTCCCTTCAATTTCACTTGTATCGCCATCTAAAAATAGAATGTGTTTCCAATAGATTTTTAAACACAAAAACACATATTAAACATATTTCATTTTGATGAAGTAAAAAAAAATGAAGATTTTTATGTTTAAATTGGGTTGTAACATTATACAACAAATTTCGAATGTTACTAAAAGAATGTATAATCTTTGAAGATGAGTCATCTCAAAAGCAATATCTGCGAATTATCATCAAAAACAAGCATCGTAAGGGAAAAAATGCGACGAAATTTTAGATGGAAAACATAAACATAACATACCATGTTTGTTGTCCATTATCTGCTGACACAACGTGCAATTTTCTCCCAATTACTCCATTTGCAGCCAGAGTCCATTGACTTTTACTTCTTTCTAACACACTTCTTTTGCATTTGTAGCGCACCAATGTTCATTACATTGAACTCCACTGCTCACAATCTTTGACGATGTGTCATCTCAAAAGCAATATCTGCAAATTAAAACCATTCGCAAAACGCTTCAATAAAACACTTAGGAAGAGAGACAATAACAAAACATACCAATTCTGTTTTTTATCTATAGTCCATTATCTTCCCCAATAACATCAACATTTCATTGAAATAGTCATTTACACTCATTAAACACAAAATAATTCCTTCTTCAAACAGTACATAAGCTGCTAATAATTTATACAAGAAAAAAAATATCACTCAAAAAAAATTTCTGGAAATTTTTCTTAATATTACAACAACCTAGGAAATCAGCAATACAACCTCCTAGAAAGTATATTACTCATGAATGTAAATAAACTCATATAAACAATTACAACACAACCAACCAGTTTTTGACGTTACAACTCCTTTCATTTATTGCAGCATGTTCTTCTTTCTTATAAGGGAGTCCCACACACAAACGAAATCCATCACCTTCTTCCTTTTGCATGAGCTTGAACAAAAAGTGCTTAAAGATACAAAATACAATTAGTAACATATCAAAACAGTCGTATTAATTGAAATACAGAAATAACAACTTCCCTTTTATTTTCTTTGTCAATGAAGAATTTCATTCTGAAGAAGTTGACATGCACTTTCACCATTGTTCAGAAAAATCACAATTGTTAATAAATCTTTTGTCATTTTGGTTCCTTCACGCATGCACAATCATTCTATACAACATACAATTAACGACAATTAATACACTGCAAACAAGCAAAAATAGGCGCTCTGGTCCTCCTAGATGACCTTCTCTCAAAGGGAAAAGGAGCAGGAAAAGAGAAAAAAACATTTTAATAATTACTCCCACGGTCGATAATAACAGGAATTAAAAGCGAAATAGCTGCTAGTATTAAATGATATGTTTCATTATTAACAATCAATTAATGACCAACAACAGTAACTGTTTTAAAGTGTGTGTATTTTGTTACATATTCATGAAAGCCGCGTTGGATGATGAAAACTACAACGATGCAGCAAGGCTGCTGCGTATTTGTCCATTGTTTCATATTTCAAATGGTTTTGAATACGACGAGATGACTTTCATCACAATACCTTTTTTAAACGTATTCCTGACGCTGGCAAACGTGAAAATCAAGTTGTTATAATGGCCTATTTAACTCCAAATATTGATAAGGATATGCCTTTCAATTTGATGTTCTGTCATGTAATAAAATGACATAAAGTGTTAAAACTTTTATAGATCAGTCTGTATCAAATTTTAAAATATCATTCAGTAACATAATTTATTCATATTACATTAATTTTATTTTGGCATTTGTCCAAAGTAGAATCTATTCATTTATTGTACAATTTACAATCATAATAAATGGCTTATCAATCATAAGTACATAATATGAAGATCAAAGAAGCAATTCAATGTTACTTGTGTCGGAATAATCAAAACTAATTACACATTCAATACAATACTTTCAAAGAAATAATATAATTAATAATATAATTAATAATATGATTGATAATATAATTAATAACACAAATAATGAATCAACTATAGACAATATCTACTAATATCCATATATTTTTATCATGATATGAGTGCAGTTTAAGTTGATATGAACTTGAAAGCAGATATATTATATACACAACTTCGAGGAAAGGAAAAGGGACTTCAATACCCCAGTTATATCATCACTTAAAGATGGCTTAGTGCAGAGTTGATCATCTTTGATTATCAGCTGACCACCGTTAGGTGGGCTCATACAACAATGGGGCCCATCATCATTATATGAACAAACAACTGACATCAAGAATGAATCAAAACTACACATAAACAATCTTGGCCATGAATCACCATGACACATTCGTAATGAAAACTAGTGAGAGTAATTGAAGCAAAGGACACAGGTGGCAAAGGGACTTTCACAACTCTACTACATCCATGTTGGTTGGATCTACAATACAAGAATACATGAAATAATGATATGCAAAGTAACAATGCATCTGCAAAATTAGTTCACTATATAACAACATATATATCACGAATAGGTCAATTGAGTTTAAAACTAAACAATCGAACAAGAACTTTCAAAGGATCAAAGGATTAAATTTGTAGTTAAAGCCTTTTACAGTAAAAGCTTTACTAATTACACTTCTTCTTCGATAAAAACACAATATTTACCTTTCTTTGTACAACATTAAAGTGACTCTTGCAATTGTTAACATTTCAATAATTGACATCACGACACCTTTCACAAAGACAATAAGTAAACCTTTAGCTAAGGAAAAAAGAAACTATATACAGCTCTCATTTATTGCAGGTCTACAGCACAATCTGAGAAAACTGTACCTCTATGCAATTACCTGAATAAATGTGCCATTCGATAAACAAACCAAAAATCAGTACCACCAATAAAAACCATTGAGATTTTCACAAGAACAACAGAAATAAATCAAGTAGCATATAACAAAACTTTTTCCATCTTCTTTTGTAGCTACTTTTTCCACTCATTTGTTTTCATGTTGAAAGAATATCGTAACATTTATATACACAACTTTGAGGAAAGGAAAAGGGACTTCAATACCCCAGTTATATCATCACTTAAAGATGGCTTAGTGCAGAGTTGATCATCTTTATCAGCTGACCACCGTTAGGTGGGCTCATACAACAATGGGGCCCATCATCATTATATGAACAAACAACTGACATCAAGAATGAATCAAAACTACACATAAACAATCTTGGCCATGAATCACCATGACACATTCGTAATGAAAAACTAGTGAGAGTAATTGAAGCAAAGGACACAGGTGGCAAAGGGACTTTCACAACTCTACTACATCCATGTTGGATCTACAATACAAGAAAACATGAAATAATGATATGCATTTCTTTCATATTATATTACATTGACTCCCAAAAACTGTTATAGTCTAAGCCCCTAAATCACAAATATTATAATGAATCCACCTAACTCACTAACACTATACTTCTACTATACTTCTTGCATTTAACTCATAAACACTATAAGTCACACAATTAGCTTGCATTTCACACATCTAAGTACCAATAATTAAATACAATACATTTATACGAGATGACGTTCATCACAATACCTTTTTTAAACGTATTCCTGACGCTAGCTTATATCTGCTACATTTGATTGAAGAAAAACATCGCTTTGAACTTCATCGATAATGGCTTCTTCACCAAACTTCAACGAACGAATTGATTCTCACATTCTATTTAAATTTACTTTTCATGTTCTTCAGCCAAAGCTGCGTGTTGCTCTTTCTTGTCTTCATCTCATCAGGCCAACATTAATAATAATTTTGAAAACAGCAACACTTTCAAAACGGATCGCTTTCTTCTATGCCAATTGCATGTTAAAAGTTCATTGCCAATGGCTGCTTCATCAAACTAAATGTAAAAAGTGTTATGTTCAAAGAAAGCAAAATGAGACATGATAATATAGACAAAAGAAACAGCCACCATGGGTTGCTGCATAAATGCAACGTCAATTTAAATTTATTGCAAAACAAATCAAATTGATTACACTAGTTTAAATTCATAAAAAAAAATTTTAAGTTTCAATCCGTGCCACGCCTTATAACAGCTTTCTCTTAATTCTCTACTAATCTTCCAAGTTTACTTTTGTAAAGCATTGATATGTGGTTAATCTCGCGTATTTTGTTGTATTAGACAGAATATTTCACAATAAAACCGTCTGTGAAAACTATACTTTTAAAATTGTAGTTGCGCTATTCACGACAGCTAGCTAATCTCTCGGTAAAAAATAAGTAATGATGAGCAAAGTACATACAACATGTGGCTTTGAGCTTCGTAAACATTGTTCTTCGTTTGTGGCGGTGACAAAACTACAACGAGAATTTCTTCTTTAAAAGTACATGTTATTACTCTATAAATCTATTCAAATAATCGCGATGATTCTACTGCCCTGAAGCAATTGAATGAACATTGATGAGAGACTTGCGGCTCCTTGCTGAAGAGTATTTGTCCTTGAACTGAACCAGCAGCTGGTGGAAATGTCGGAGAAAATCTTCCACTAATAATTAAATATAATAGATTTTTACGACATGACTTTCATCACAATATCTCTTTTTAGACGTATTCCTGTGATTGAAGAAAATAACCAGCCAAGAACCATTTAAAGATATAGAAACATAACATAACCTTACCACATCGCTTTCAACTTCATTGACAATGGCTTCTTCAGCAAACTTCAACAAACGAATTGTGACCTTGCCTATCTATATGTAAAAAGAGTAATGTTGCAAAAGAAGCAAAACGAGAAGTGTCCAACGTCAATATATCTCACATTCAAAATTTACCTTTCATGGTTTTCAGCCAAAGCTGCTTGTCGCTCTTTCTTGTCTTCATCTCTACAGGCCAACATTAATAATAATTTTGAAAACAGCAATTCTTGGTTTTTATGTGTGTCTTAAGGGAATAACAAACAAAGAAAGGGCATCCACAAATTAATATTTCCATAAATTAACCAATTCACAGTTTAGTTTGAAAACGGAGGTCATTATCTCACAGTCCAAATTCACTTTAATTTACATACATATGATGAGAACTGTAGAGACGTCAATTTAAATTTATTGCAAAACCAATCAAATCACCATTCATATTCATTACATTAGTTTAAATTCATAAAAAAATTTAAAATTTTTCATCCGTGCCACGCCTTAACAGCTTTTTCTAATCTTCCAAGGAAGCAATACGAGACGTGTCGGACGTCATTATCTCACAGTCCAATTACTTTACACGTTTAGTATTAGCATGATAATTAATGAATAGTTTGTATATGTTAAGTACCATTATTATAATAATCCATTTAATGTTAATTACTGTCAAGTATATAAGAGTTAAGTATTTGAGATATTAAAGCAGAAGTCTGCAAGCCTTGAAAGATACGCGAAACACATAGTTAGAATTTGAAAAGTCAAAACCAAATAAAAGGCTAGCTAACCTTATTGCAGTTTGACTCATTGAAATCGAAATTTGTTGCATCTTTGGTGGGCTCAAAGAAATGAGAGAACGGTCCATGGCCAATATCATGTTGTCAAAGTCTTGCTACTCTGATGCATTAGCATTCTTTATCAATGATTTGAAATTTTCCTTGATGAAGCCTTTTTAATCTATCGATAAGTCCACCACACAAATGAAATGTCCAAGACAAATGTTCGACCTGCTCGTTTCGCTTGGTAAGATGCTTCTGAGACTTTCATCTTTAATGAAGTTTTTACAAATCTGCAACGCCCCGTCTGCGTGGTCCAAACAAATAGAAAATACAAAGGAAATATAATCAGATTTTTCCATACACGAGCAACGGTTTCTTCGCGAGGTTTGTAAGGATGAAGATCTGAGTCTTTGTGTTTAAAGCCATGAAAAAAGTATTGCTTGGCTGTTGTTGCAATTGAAATGCTTCCATTTGCTCGTCGAGTACATACATTTCTTATTGATTCAAGGTTTCATTCACTCATTTGTTCTCCTCTAGCAAACTTAGTAAATCATTCATTTTCCGTTTCCACTTTCAGACTTGTTATGTAAGAGGTTTCTCACACTTTTATTTTGGCTATCTGTTAAAATCTCTTCCAAAGGGAAAATGTTATGGAAAGTTAATCTTCTCAAATGTTGTTAGATAAGATCGTTATTGTTTGTAGTTGTTGCTTATAACATTACGTTATACAATGATAGCATTCTTTTTGTTTAATAACATTCCAACTATTTAACCTTGTGATTATACTTATACATATCGGCAAGCGGGATGCTTGTAACAATCTATGTTTAACGTCGATATTATTAGATTCATTCTTTTCCAGTGGAAAGCGGGATGCTTTGTCCATATGAACTGTTCAACATGCTTCCAAACAAAAATGAGCAGGAATATTCAGTTGATTAATCTTTGATAAACCTTTCACCTTTTAACTCTGCTATACCGGTCACAAGCCCGGGACTTGTAGCGTATAAGGCTCTCTGCTTTTTAGTAGAATTGTCTCGTTTACAAGGAAGAGGAGTGGAAGGTTGATTTTCTCAAATGTTGTTAGATAAATGGTTTTATTTATCAATCTTATGTACAGCAACACAAGCACAATACACAAACATAAGCACGCTAACATAAGTACTTAACTATTTCATTGTCTTCTTGAACTACAGACTACTGCAAAATGAACAACCGGATGATCGCAATGTTAGAAGGAGCGCAATGTTAATACCACGAGTATGCTGATAAAATGATGCAAGACCAATTCATGGCTGATCTGGTGTCGGAACAATTGCGAGTAAAATTAAGCGGTAAAAGACATATAGACATCGAGAGGGGAATCAAACGAAAATGACCCTTCGAGAGGTGGTAGAAGTGCAAGATGAACACAGCGTTTAGTTCCAAAAGCTATCCAGAATAAGTGAATAGCTTATGACTGAACTGTTAGGCAAACATACGTATGAACGTTTTAGAGATGAATATTCTTTGTATTAAAAGACAGTGAAACTGTTCAAGGTCAGAAACTGTTCAAATAGACTAAACCTATCTATCAGCTTGATAAGCTTTTACTCCGTTATAGTGTAAACGCAGCCTAAGTGTGCCTTACATTGACAATTGTTCCTTTTAACAAACAAAACAGTTTTATTCTTTGCACAAGTGATGTTTCATTGTTAATATCCGCATAGGGTTGTTCGTGCATACAGTTCATTGTTAATCTTAGAAAGGTATGCAAACGAGTGCTGTCATACGTTTTGGGCGTTCTTGTCTTGGACAAAACAATCTTCCACTTAGATTTTAACGCAAGAATGTCGTTTCTCGAAGTACAAAATAGCCTTAAACATAGTAGGCTAAAACTTACTTTTGACAAGTGTAAAGAAAAATAAGCTATTCACCTCTTGCTTTCGTCTTTGTCAAACGCATACCCTCTTTGTCGGCTTCCGAATTCAGCTTTTCGGCTTGCTTTAAGGGAACAACTAAACAGAAACGTTTTGGTACGTTAAGTAGTAGAACCGTATTTAAAATGAAATGAGACACAAACGACATATATTTCAACCCTGAAATCGTCGTTTCTTTGCAGAGATGATGTGAAGAAGTTCCCATTTTAACTTGAACGACGCGGGAAAATTATCTCGTGTTTGAGAAAGAATTTGGACGTCACGACGATATTATAGAACTATTATAGAACTATTATCAACAAATCTTCAAAAATATTCATTATTAAAGAATTTAAGAGCTTCGCGTAGTTACATGATTGTTAGTGAAAGAGTGAAAGGTTGATGATAAAAAGTTGAAAAGTTCTTGATAGTTATCATCGCCATAAATCACCAATGGAAGAATTTACCACACGACAAAATCAATATTAAAGTAAATGGTATGAACCCGGGAGTATCGTTACATGTTTGTAAATGTAGATCGTTCAGGTTTGTATAGTAATATGAGGAGTTAAATGAGTGGGTGTTAATTGTGTATTGTTATTGTGAATTAGTATGAAGTATAATGTTTTTAGTTGATCGTTTGTTTGTATTGTGAATAAGTCTTTTAAGGTGCTGGTAATTGTAAGTAATGCACAATACACACTTGACACCCACACATTGACATCCACACATCCTACCTACCTAATACACACAATACAATGACGTAAGAACCAGATAGTAAATGTGGCTAACCTGATGTTTACTCCTCATATGAGTCTGAAGACGACTACTGCTAAGGTTGCCGAAACATCAGTCAACAACAAAAACAGTCCTTCTCAGGATTGTACCAACCTGGACGATCTACATTTAGAAACATGATATTGAAGTTGTTCATATAGGAACTTGTTGAAAACTTTGCTTCACTTTATGTGACAACAGAGGTACTTTAATTCGCAAATTTTGATGATTTACATCTTCTCATAGAGTTTGATGACACCGTTTTCAACTTACTAATGTTCATCAAAAGGTTTTTGCCGGTTGTTCTGTCCCTTTCACAAAAATTTTGCTAGAATCAAATGTTGATAGAACGAATAAAAATGCAAAAACTGTGATTTTGTATTACAAAAGTATAGTAAAGTGGGACTGATACCCCCCACGAAGGTCATAATCAGATTAGCCAACTTCTGGCTTCAATTATCTTACTATATTTTATACGTGGTGCTTTATCCAGTGTAATATACATATCAGTGAACTAAACTGACTCCATAATACGAAAGGAAATAGCCAAATTGATGATAGTTACACGACTCACTAGAAATTGTCATGTTGATGTAATGTCATAAATTGACATTCCTGATTTCTGAACCAATATTGCATATTTAATTTACCGCAAGCTTAACTTAATTCAAATTTAATTCACTTACACAATTGAAAGTTGTTTAATAAATATCAGAATATTACAAGTATATAAATTGCGAGTAAAATTGCTATCTATCTAACAAAGACCAGGCTTGAATAACCGATTTCGTCCATACATAAACTGACAGTGGCTTTGCCGAACAAAGAACCGTCTATCCACGCTTACAGATGGTGAAGTTAAAAGCTTGATTCTGAAATTGCCCAAAAGAAATGAAACCAAAGAAAAAGATATTCCATCAGAAAGATCTTCCAAAGATTAGGGATATTCAATTCTGATGAGACGAAATATGGATGTTTATTAGGGTTATTCAAGTTTATGGAGATGAAAATAGTAATGTAAAGTTTAGATATTGAATCTTAAGTGAGACTAAACACGGATGCTTAATTGGGAAGTTTGATTCTTATTAAGGTAAAATTTTCTAATTTAAAGCCAATAAATATTTTGTGAAAAACTAACAAAACCTCCCTTTTTTTTCTTCCTCTTTAGTCCATCATCTTTCATTCCTAAAAAAAAACAACATTTATTTAAATGAAAATAATCAAGTTTGAAGGGTTTAAGTGCTATTTTAAAAGCTTACATGAACATGGGTATTAGGGATTTTCGAGTCCTAGTAAGACAAAAGAGGGATGTTTAATAGAGATCTTACAGAGATGAAACAGGAATGCTTTAGTGGGAAGTCCGACGACGACTCTTATTGAGACAAAACTGTTCTAATTTAAAGCAAATAAACATACATGTTTTTCTTACTGTTTAATCTTCTTTCATTCCTAAAAAGAAACATTTATTTAAATGAAAACAATCAAGTTTGAACGTTTTAAGTGCTAGTTAAGAACTTATAATGACATATGATGTAATATTTCGTCTTTGTTCCAAAGACATCATCAGACTTATTCGACCTGATGATTTTCTACATGATTTTCTGCAACTGATCTTCAAATAAGACTGATGATTTTCTACAACATATAATTATCTATATATTCTGGCCAAGTTTCAAAAAATTCTACCGTGCAGTTTTTAAATCATAGGCTGCTAATTAAGAGAAATGGAAAGTACACTGTAATATAAATCTTAGTGTTTTCTTCAATTTCTTGACTTTTTATACATTTTTATACTATAAACCTGTGAAATATGTTCATTGAAACTTTCACTTGTTTTATTTAAACAAACACACACCGACGACTTTTTCTGACAGGTGTAAACAAAGCAAACAACTGAGAAAGAAACAATGTGAAACATGGCGGCGTTACCTTTTCTCCTCTCGTCGTAGTCATTTTAAATCATAGTTTCGCTTCTGCTTATAACTCTCAGATGCACACTTCACGACTGAAGTAATATTGCGAATTTTTCATAATATCAACGCAATTTAGCCTCAAATTACACCTACCGAGCCATTATCAAATGCAGTCACACATCAAGATGGCCGCCATCTATTTATTTGACATCCATTTCATCCACCCCCCCCCCGACTTACACGTTTATTAATGCTTCAAACCCATTGAGCTCTATAAGACCTGGAGGGGCAAAGGGGCCTGGGCCTCGTGGTCAAAAACATGGCGGTAATGGCGGATTTTGGTTGTCAAAACTTCCACTTTGAGAAAAATTTTTAACATTCGCTCCCTCCCGAATCCGGATGTCTATTACTGTGTGTATGACAACCAGCGAAAACAACCACGATATCGTTAAGCATCAAATATTGAAAATAATGCTTCAGGTTTTTGTGAAATAGACACACACATTTAAAAGAGGTAAATCTACTGTAAAATAGCGTATATGTTTTCAAGTAATGCTTTAGCTATATTAGAAATAAATATCAAACGGCATTCTTTACACTGTCAATGTGTCGTTAAGCTTTAATGCATAATCCCATGCGCAATACTTGTGTTTTTGACTATTTGTAAACAGCTTGGTGGAACTGTCTTTCTTGAATAGATGGGTAAATCTTAGTTAAAATGTCCAAAAGGAGTTAGAAAAGTTAGCTTACCCTACGACTTAAGTCGACTGGAAATATATTATAAGTAGGTATGTAATTTTTGAGTTTTTGGTAGGATTGATTCTGGGTGTCTTATAAAGTATTATGATATTCTGATAAATCTACTGAGAACTTATGAGGAAAATATCTTGAACTAGAAGAGCAAAAGAACGAAATTCAGAAATTCTATAATCATGTTGCTGGTTCTGTTTTGAGCCAAGATATTAGAAATTGGATTGTTATTGACAACCATGGATCTACTACTGAACAGAACTACATTAATTTCCCATTGAAAATACTATTTCTTAAATCAAAGTGCATTGTTTTCTCTGACATAACACTTTTCTTATTGCTGCATGAAGGCAAACCTGTTAAGATAATTATAATGTAGGTGAAGATATTTAGCAGGTTGTATAATTGTTATTATACAGACATTATTTATGATATTATGGCCTTGTGTAATGTATGTCAAGAACTTATTAATTCTCAAAAATGCTAACCTTCTTGCACTACTTTTCTTTTGTGTCCTTACAAATTACAGTTACTTATACTAATTTTTCTAGGTTCAAACAACTTGACAAATTTTGAATTTTACATTATGCCTTTGAATTTTTCTTTTTGTCTTTTGGTAAAAATATCAGTGAATGACTTAAAATCAAGTTTATCTAAAATAGTATTTTGTACAAAGTAACTATACATAATTGAAAAGTCTCATGTTGAAGGCAGATGTGGCTTCTTTTACTAGATTGCTACTCTTATTCTTTTAAATGATATCGTAATTCTTCAAAAGACATAAAAGTTCTTTGCCATCAATTTTTGCTTCTTCCACATTCAACTTCATTGCAACCAATGCATCTTATGTGAATTTTAATCACCTGGAATTGAAAACGTATGGATTTTGTCAGATGATGCAGTACTGTATTTAATGTTTCATGCATGTCATGATAAGCTTTTCTTGAGCAAATATTTCAAGGTAGGAACAAAATTTGGCACATTATTGAACAAAGTAGTTTTATCTTGATTTTGATGTACTAACCTGTTTACTACACTGTGTAACAAACAATTCATTTACAGAAACACCAGATGGCATTTATAAAACTTTTAGCATAAAGCAAACCTTTACACACCATCATCATGCTTGTCCAAATCTGTCAAATTGTCCAGGCTAGCTGTTTAATACAGGTAATTTTTATTGTACGACATGTACCAAAGAGCTCATTAATTAATCCTGCACTGCATTTGATTTCAATACAGCTCTGTCCTTAATATTTGCTTCATATTTTCAGAAAAATATGAAAAAATCCTCCATTTCAACTCAGTTGAAACAAGGAGTTTTAAGATATGCATATCTCGATAAGAACTGGTTGCTTTGCCTCGTCTAGCAAGCGATTAAGTAAAGAACAAATAAGACTGGATAAACATAACTTAAATTATAACTTAGGAGTAAAAACATTCACAAAATATATGCCATCACACTTCAAGTATTGACTTAAAACAAAACACTGAACACTTTAAATAGTAAACAATCTTACGTTGCTTACCGGTGTCATGAAATGTTTCCTTTTCTGGCATTACTTCAGCATCCGTATACCAAACAAGTTTGCAGCATGTTTTAAAGATAAAATTTCTAAAGTTTTGTGCTTGGCATTGATATTTTATATAATCGCAATTGTGGTTGTCAAATCCGGGTGGGCGAAAAATTTCATTTTATGAGCCGCGTCTTCCGCTGACTTTGACAACCAAAATCCGCCATGTTTTTGACCACGCGGCCGCGCGCTGATAATTTATAGTAATTTTGTTGACGTTTCCCCTCCAGGTCTTATAGAACTCAATGTTCAAACCCCTTCCTTGCTTGCCGCTTTCCCTGTACTGCCTTCGCCCCCCTGACTTACTGCTTTCCCTGTACTGTCTTGGGCCCCCCTTGACTTACTTTATACTGCAGATATTATAGGTCACCATATTCATCAAATTATTCATCAAATTATACAAATTATTCAGTAAATATTTAAATTATTCATATTACTTCAAACTTATTCGGGTTCATTATGATCATTACAGGAGTATTATAATTACTTTAAACTATTGACAAAAAGACAATTTACAATATTATTTTATCGCATTTATCTATCAAAATTGTGTGGGGCAATTTTGACAGACAAAGCATTTAACTTAACTTCATCTAAATAAAGTAGGAAGGAAGGAACTTCCAACTTTATTTAGATTGACAATTATACTTATAGTGGAGCCAAACTATAATCTTAACTATATTACCATAAGCAAATTCACTGAACATCAATTCTGGGCTGGTTTTCCTTGAACAATTACCATTAACAGCATTATTATCATCGTTTCACTTCAATTTCACTTGTATCGCCATCTGAAAATAGAATGTGTTTCCAATATATTTTAAACACAAAAACATATATTAAACATATTTCATTTTGATGAAGTAAAAAAAATGAAGATTTTTCATGTTTAAATTGGGTTGTAACATATACAACAAATTGCTCATCGTCGGTTTTCAAATTATGGCAAAAAAGAATGTTACTAAAAGAATGTATAATCTTTGAAGATGAGTCATCTCAAAAGCAATATCTGCAAATTACAACCATTTACAACACAACGCTTCAATAATTGACACAACAAAGTCAACTCATGGTTTGAAGAGTTCCGCAGAAGCCGCATTGTCATCAAAAAACAAGCATCGTAAGGCAAAAACTGCAACGAAATTTTAGATGGAAAACATAACGAAGCAGCAAAAATCGACGCAGAATTGATAAAACGACACAGAATTTTAAAATCATCTCAAACGAGTGTGCCGTTAAACGCATATCAATTAACAAAACATACCATGTTTGTTGTCCATTATCTGCTGACATAACGTGCAATTTTTTCCCAATTACTCCATTTGCAGCCAGAGTCCATTGATTTTACTTCTTTCTAACACACTTCTTTTGCATTTGTAGCGCACCAATGTTCATTACATTGAACTCCACTGCTTACAAATCTTTGACGATGAGTCATCTCAAAAGCAATATCTGCGAATTAAAACCATTCGCAACAACGCTTCAATAACCTGTGCGAGGGAAACTTAAACAGAAGTTCAATTCTTGGTTTAAAATCGCATAAAACACTTAGGAAGAAATTCTTCTTTTCTCAAAAAACAGGCATCAAAAACATAACCAAGAAGCGAAAAACGTCAATCATGGCAGCGACTGTCGTACTTAAAAAAAAAACATCTGAAGAGACAATAACAAAACATACCAATTCTGTTTTTCATCTATAGTCCATAATCTCTAAAGACTTAGCCCAGTTTCTTCCCCAATAACATCAACATTTCATTGAAATAGTAATTTAGTCCAACTGCTGAGATGTTCACAACATATTTTTCTTTAACTCCATTGCTTAGATGGTCGAAACGAATTCACTGTTTTTGAGTCTATTGGCTTCTTGTCATCAACGCGGGGTAAATTACTCCAGATTATCGTACTTTTGGTGAAAATCACCAAAAATTCAACAAACATTACAGTCATAAAACACATATTTTCGGACCAATTTATAAAAATTCCTGGGAATTTTTCAAAAGTTAGAAATGTTTTAAAAACATGTTGAAATGAAATAATTCTTTCTTCAAACAGTACATAAGCTGCTAATAATTTCTACACGAAAAAAATATCACTGAAATAAATTCTCTGGAAATTTTCCATAATATTACAACAAACTAAGAAATCTTTGTACGCTTTTGTCAGAGTAATTTACCCCTCATTGTCATTTAGCTCCACTATTGATTTGCATCACAGCTTTAGTTGCTTTCATATCTGAAATGATTAAGCACAGAAAAAGAAATATCATCTCAAGTATATTATTCATGAATGTAAATAAACTCATATAAACAATTACAACAACCAACCAGTTTTTGACGTTACAACTCCTTTCATTTATTGCAGCATGTTCTTCTTTCTTTTATGGGAGTCACACACAAACGAAATCCATCACCTTCTTCATTTTGCATGAGCTTAAACAAAAAGTGCTTAAAGAGACAAAATACAATTAGGAAGAAATCAAAACAGTCATATAATTGAAATACAGAAATAACAACTTCCCTTTTATTCTTCTCTATCTTCTCGGCCTGCACGACAAGGAGCCTATTCCGTAACCTAACTAAGATCGGGATCGAGAGAGAGGTATATCCATAGTCCGGCGTGTGACAGTACCACCTCCCCCGCTCGTCGTGGCCCCGCATGCGCCTTATGTTTTTTATGATATACTTTCGAAACATGTGTTAAAAAATGAAACATTTTGGAATTATATGGTCAGAAGTGAAACATTGTCGAAATATGTAATCAAAAAAATTTTAACATTAAATTTTTAACATTGTTGAGAATTTTTTTGTCAATGAAGAATTTCCTACCTAACCTTGAGTATTACAATTTGTTACTAATCACAAGCAAAACAAAATAATACATACAATGGCAAAATCAGAAATTGAAATTGTTAACTAAGCACTCCCCACAAATGCTTAGTTGCAATTTGACCGGCTTTTTAACTCCCCTTCTGTTAAAGAAGTTGACATGCACTTTCATCGTTGTTCAGAAAAATCACAATTGTTAATAAATCTTTTTGTCATTTTGGTACAAGTAGTAACAAGTTGTAATGCTCCTTACTTGGTTGGTACCAATACTCCTTCATGCATGCACAATCATTCTTTTTTTTTCAGTTTTCACATAATGAAAATTCAGGGAAGTCATTGGGTAGCTGGGTCAATGTGCGGTGACGCCACCCAGCCAGCAGAGCTGAAAAAAAACAACAACATACAATTAACGATGATTAATACAGAACTGCAAACAAGCAAACTTACCTCAGCAACGCAAGTTTCTTTCATTGTTGCTGAGATGGAAGTGGGCTTAATGGATTTGTTGACGTCTTGGCAAAGATACATGTCCCCGTATTGACCTTCAAGGCTAAACTCACCAGCTTAAACCTTACAATGACACCAACTACACACAATAACATAGACCCTTTTATCTTGCTCCCTCAGACAAACAAAGAAAATTTTCTTAACTTAACTGCTTGACTTAATTATCTAAGAATGTATCTTTATCAGAAAATTTCATTGCGGGAGCCTAATGGGGCGCTCTAGTCCGACATGACCACGTTACGTTAAAGCGAGCTCCGAAGAACACGCAACCCGTCCTTTGTCAGGGACCTTCTCTCAGCGCACCTAGCTAAAGGGAGGGAAAAGGAGCAGGCCTTGTACCACATGATGATCATCTAAAGCAAAAAAAAAAGGAATGAGAAAAAAAAACATTTTAATAAATATTCCCACCGTCGATAATCCTTGAACAGATACTCAAGCTTTTTCATCAGCTTGTCACCTGAAACAATAATCAAAATAACAGGAATTAAAAAGCGAAATAGTATTAAATGATATGTTTCATTATTAACAATCAACTAATGACCAACAACAGTAACTGTTTTAATATGTGTGTATTTTTATTACAAGACAACATATTCTTAAAAGCCTTCGTTTTGCTCTTTATAAGTTCAAACACAGAAAAAAATCTAAAATCATCATTTCATACAAACAATGTGTGCCGAAAACACCAGTTTTAATTAAAGTCATGAAAGCCGCGTTTGATGATGAAATCTTTGTGACTATCTATCTATAAACATCTTTACACTTTTCAAAAGATCACATTCACTTTCACTTTCAAAATACAAATTTCTTTCGTAAATATAAAGCATTGTGTAAGTTGCGCTATTTATAACGGTTTGGCTTTCTGCTAATAAAGGAGTAACAATGAGCAAACTACTTACAACATGTGGCTTTGCGCTTCGTAAACATTATACTTCGTGTATGGCGGTGTCAAAACTAAAACGAGAATTTCTTCTTTTAATGTATATTGCTCTATAAATCTATTTTTGAGGATGGAGCAAGGGCTGCTGAGTATTTGTCCATTGTTGCATATTTCAAATGGTTTTGAATAAACGTCGGAAATGTCGAAGAAAATCTTCCACCAATAATTAAATACAATACGATTTATACGAGGTGATTTTCATCAGAATACCTTCTTTGAAAGTATTCCTGACGCTGGCAAACGTGAAAATCAAGTTGTTAGCACATCGCTTTCAACTTTATAGATAATGGCTTCTTCTTCTAAAGGAAGCAAAACGAGAAATGTCAGTTCTCCTTAAAGTTGCTCTTCTTTGCCTTCATCTCATCAGACAAACAATCATAATTGTCACATGAAAACCAATACCAATACTTTGCAAAAATTATCAAATTCACAGTTTACTTTGAAATCATAGTCCAAACAAACTTACAGCCACCGTAAGGTTGCTGCAAAAGTGCAACGTCCAATTTGCACAAGTTTAGATTCATCATATAAAATTGAAAATATTCAATCCGTACCACGCCCCAACAACGGCTTTTCTTTAATCTTTCTTCCAAGTTGACTTTTTGTAAAGCATTGATAAGTGCTTAGTCTCTTTTACCGGAATTTTGTTGTAGATGGACAACATTTCGCATTAGACAGAATATTTCACAATAAAAACCGTGTGTGAAAACCGAAACTCGTAAAATTGTAATTGTTCATTCCTTTTATGCCAGAGAAACCGCAAGTTATTAGTTAGTAGCCTTACAGATCTTCTTTCTCAATCAGTAAATACATTTTTTTTTTACTGCTCAACAATCTTTTAAAGAAAAAGAATGTGTTTGAAACCAGTTTCTGATTATATTTTAAGCCATGAAAGCCGCATTCAATGATGACATCTTTGTGACTATCTATAAACATCTTTACACTTTTCTAAAGATCACATTCAGTTTCAGTTCAAAAATTTATATTTTTCTCGTTATTATAAAGCATCATGTAAGTAGCGTTATTCATAACAGCTTAGCTTTTCGCTAATAAATAAGTTGTAATGAACAAAGTACTTACGACATGTGGCTTTGAGCTTCGTAAACATTATTCTTCGTTTGTGGCTGTGACTAAACTACAACGAGAATTTCATCTTTTAATGTACATATTATTACTCTATAAATCAGTTTATTGACGCTTAAATAATCGCGATTATTCTTACTACCTTGAAGCAATTGAATGAATATTGATGCGAAACGCGCCGCACAGCATTTCTCCTTGTCGCATATTTCAAATGGTTTTAAATAAACGGAAATTTCAATGAACTGAACCAGCAGCTGGTGGAAATGTCGAAGAAAATGCTCCACCAATAATTAAATACAATAGATTTTTACGAGATGACTTTCATCACAATACCTTTTTAGACGTATTCCTGACGCTGGCAAACGTGAAAATCGAGTTGTTGTTGATTATATCCGCTAAATACGATTGATTAAAAATATCGAGCCAAGAATTATCTAAAGATATACAAACATGACATAAACTTACCACATCGCTTTAAAGATAATGGCTTCTTCACCAAACTTCAACGAACGAATTGTAACATTGCCTAAATATAGAGTTGTGTTTGCAAAACAAGCAAAACGAAAAATGTCCGACGTCAATATATATCACATTCCACATTTACTTTTCACGTTTTTCAGCCAAAGCTCTTTCTTGTCTTCATCTCATCAGGCAAACAATAATAATAATTTTGACAACAGCAATTCTTGGTTGTCATGTGTGTCTTAAGGGAATAACGAACAAAGGAAGGGCATCCATCATATCGCCTTATAGCAGAGAATCCAATGATATTGTTTTGTAAGCAGTCCATCAGCAAGGCGCATAAGAAAACCACCAATACTTTCCATCAATTAACGAATTCACAGTTTGAAAACGGATCTCTTTCTTCTCTGCCAATTGCTTGTTAGAAGTTCATCAAACTAAGTATAAAAAATGTTATGTTCAAAGGAAGCAAAATGAGACATGTGGGAAGCCATTATCTCACAGTCCAAGTTACTTTACACGTTTTGCTGCAAAAGCTGCTAGTCATTCTTTCCTGTCATACATACATAAAAAAACAAACATAAAAAAATTTTCTCAACGCTTTCCATAAAATTATAGATTCGTAGTTTTTACATGGACGGCAACATGCCAATGCGAGACTATTTTTCTTCAATCAAAATGTAAATTAAACAATCACTTTCTGTCATGTTTTGCGTCTCACATGATCATATGAAAAGCATCAAACCTACTTCTCGCCTGAATAAAATTGCGGTGAGTTTGCTTGCTTCTTTAATTTAATTATCACACAACGCCTACGACGACCGACCACATGCAGGGTACCGTTAACCAAGCCAAGCATTGCATATTCAATATAAATGATTGTCATCAGCTGTCAAACTTGTCATTTTGGTGGGTGTAACGTAGGCCTGTTTCAAACGTCGAATTTTGCATGTGTTGAACGAAATACAATAAGCAATTTTATTAGACCAAAATGGAAAATTTGACCGTGGATTTCAAACGTCAAATTTTTCTGGCGTTCAATGCAATTATTACCCTTCGCTTTATCTCGTTCCAGACTTTGTTGTGAGTGAAACGCGAGAGCCAAATTGTATTCGACACATGCAGAAATTGTATTCTTACGTTTAATGTGTAATTGTCAGGGTACAATTCTCGGTGAATAAAAATTACATTACTGCATGTAGTAGGTCAAGAAATTGAGACTCGAAATAATAAAACAAAAGTAAACCAATCTCAAAAAATTCCATAGTAAAAATTCAGTTAGTTGTGATAATTTTCTATTGTTCAACCGGAAACAGCAAACGTATATTATTACTCACTTTAAAAGATTTTTTTTGAAGACATTTACCATTATGTGTAATGCCCAATAACAAAATAGTACATAGTTCTCTGCGCTTGATAACATGAAAGTTGTTCTATCTACTGCACACTTTTGTAGTAAGAGTTCATTTTATATTTCTACAGAGATTCGGCTAATATTCATAATCAATCAATTTCAACAATCAATATCACAAGAGATCACTTTATCTCACATCAACTGATTTCCGTCATTCAGTCATTACTATCAATTATACATCGCAAGTCAACAACACGAAATTTCAAAATTTTCCGATTTGAATCGAAAATCGGGTTAAAAATTAGGTTTAACTTACTCCTTTCTAGATTGTCTAAATAAAAATATATCTAAACAATGAAGTGTAACTGAAAACATTTAAGAAAACGTAAAATTCCTGAGAAAACACAACAGACAAATCGACTAATTTGTCTTCACAAAAAATAATGGCCTTTTGCTATATAAATACAACAAACAAAACACACTTACTTCTCTTTCAGACTTCCGACCTACTTAACTCCAAATTTCTCTCTCAAAAACAAATCACCTTTTGCTACACGGTTGAAGTTTTAAGTTCTAAGAGTTTTAAGTTCTAAGAGTTTTAGTTCTTAGTTTCAAGTTCTAAGAGCTTAGATGAACATGGGTATAGGGATATTTGTCGAATCTTATAGAGACCAAACAGGGATGGGATATGGCAAGCCATTTCGGAAAAAAGGTGGTCGAGAAAAAAATCTCCGTTGAGAAAGCAAACCGATGTTGAGAAACACGTGTTTATCATTGAGAATTTGCAGATGGTAGTTCAGAAAAGCAAATATCCCGGTCGAGAAAAAAATCCCGGTCGAGAAAAAAATCCCGGTCGAGAAAAAAATCCCGGTCGAGAAAAAATCTCGGTCGAGAAAAATCTCGGTCGAGAAAAAATCCCGGTCGAGAAAAAATCGGTCGAGAACCAGTGCACGCACTACCTAAAGATTGGACATGAGGCAGACGAGGGCTGTCATGTAGCACTGCATATTTGGTACTAATATGAGTTTGGCACTACTTTCAAAAGCATAATCATCAGCACAATTCATCACCACATTCAACTGAAATTTATTGATAAAAACAATAAAGCAATAAAGTCCTGTTGAGGGACTTACTCCCCTTTCTCTGCCTGGTCTATTTTGAATGATAAATTTTAGTTGAATATGATGATGATTATTGTGATGACTGTTGTGTTGAATGTGGTGCCATATGTGGGTGCCCATCGTGGTGCCAAATTCACAGTAGCAATTGTAAGATGGATGCGAATGCGAGTAACGGGTCACCAAGAGCAGGTCAACTTATTAACAACATTTTAGCTCGAGTCGAAGAATTGTCAGAAGTTATTTCACCATGTCGTGAAAACTCTGAATTATCGTCTATAAACGAGGAAGTGGCACGATCTTTTAATCGCGGAGGCCGAGGATACGACATAAATTTACAACAATCAACAGCAATGTCGAGCACAGGTACCAGTTTTGCCACCGTTTCGTCCATAGAACCAAGGCAATATTTTCCTGCTATGAAGTATAACAAGCGAATTTTGAACAGCAGCAGCTCCTCAAGGAAAAAGCAATCAAAAATGAAGAAGGGGCCAAGTGGTCCTTTCATACGAGACATAGTCCTTTTGTCAGGGCCAAATGTAAACGCTGTCCCCCGCCAAAGCGCAAGAGTCAATCTAGTGGAAAATGGTCATATTATTTTAGGCTTCCAGCTGATGAAAGAATGGAAGGGATATGAAGTAGAGATGCATGTGAGAAATGCGTTTGGTGACAAACTAAAAGATCACAATATAGATATTGAAATCGTAATGTCGGTCCACAATACATTGCATCCACCCTGTCTTGCACCGAACCAAACCTTAAATGGCTTCATGGTGCACAAAGTGTTCAAAGATAAACCAATTTATGTCAGGCCATCAGTACAGATATTGGAACCATTAAGCAACAGAATCAACAAACCTGAACATTTGAATGATCAAGACGACCTGTGTATTGTGCAGGTATGCTTGTCTTGTCTGCCTTTTCATTTTTTTAAATACATTCTGCTAGAAATAAATTTACGAATAGTCATTAAACATCATTTTTTATTGTTTGTCCTTTCTTCAACATTTTTTCGTTGTAAAGGAAGAATCATAATAAGTTTTTATTTTCATATGTAATAGGATGACTCAAGTGATGATGAGTTTCTAAGATCTGCGTTTACTAATGAACCTCCTTGCATTTTCTTATCAACATCCTGGAGTTGAGGAACACAGTGAAATGGAAGTGACTAATAATCCACCTGCTGTCCAAGAAACCTCTTTGCTATCTGTTGGTACTATTTCAGACTGTTCTCACAACAATGGAAATGTTCAGAATGAAGTTCAACCAGAAGATCCAAACTCTGTTGATATGTCCAATATTTCTGGTATGTTTGTTAAAACATTTTGCATCAAAATGAAATCAAAGGTTTAAGCTGGATTGTTTGCCTTTTGTTATTTGTGATATTTACATCATAAAGTTCTACTACTGAAGATTTTGCTGTCACACATGTTTAATGAGTTATTGCTGAATTCATTTTGTTATTTGTAAATCAGTCTTTTTTTAACGATATTCTTTTTTTTTTAAAGCTGTTGAAACTCTATCAGAAGTGCTTTTGGAAAATGAAAATCTGTCAACTCTTTTGGAAAGTGAAAATCTTCCAACAAGTAACATTGTGATACACCGATCAAATCTTAAGCATAACATGATTGATGCATTTTGTGATGAAGAAATTTTAAATTCAATAGTTATAGTTAAAGTTAATGACAGAGGGCAAATGGAGAAAGGTGAAGGGCGTGGAGTATTTAGAGATATACTTACAGGGTTTTGGCAGGAATTCTTTGTATCTGCTACAGTCGGTGCCAATGAAAAAATCCCAGCTATCCGGCATGATTATCAGAGTGAGCAATGGAAAGCTATTGCAAGAGTGTTTGTGTATGGTTTTTCAAGAAAGGTATCTCCTATCCAGCTCTCACCTGCTTTTATATCTGTGTGCTTGTTTGGTGAATCTTGCATTACTAAAGCATTTCTTTGGAATCTTTTAAGGCATTTTGTCAGTCAGTGAGCAAGAAATAGTTAATGAAGTAGTTAGTGGGAATATGAGCCCCTTGATGATGATGTTATGGAATTTTAAGTAGCTATCAATGTTTTACCACTCCCAGTGAAAACAATATTGAAAATATTATTTGGCAGTTAGCTCATAAAGAAATCATCCAAAAGCCCCGTTATATTGCAAACTGCTGGACCCCAATCTTATCCTTGCTAAAAAGATACATGCCATTTCAGTCACTTGAAAATTTGGTCTCGCTATATAATGAGAAAAAACCTAATGCAAAGAAAGTTGTGAAGCTTCTTGATGCCCATCCTAATACAGATGCAGAAAGGGCATGCTTAGATCACCTGAAAAGATTTATAAGGTCCATTGAAGGAAATATTGGTACTTTTTTGCAGTTTACAACTGGAAGTAATGTACTGGTTTGCGACAAAATAAGCATTTCTTTCAATAAATTGGAAGGCTTAGGCAGACGTCCTGTTGCACATACATGCACTCCTACTCTTGAAATTCCCAGCACATATCAAAGCTATAATGAACTTTCAGAGGACTTCTCAAACTTGCTGAGTAATAAAAATGCTTGGGCTTTTGACATTGTTTAAAAATATTAAGCATTACATTAAATGTTATTGCTCCATAAACTTAAAACTTGTTCTATTTTGTTATGTTAAAATTTATTTTATAAAGACCAGAATTTTATTCAGGACTGTTACAGAGGAAGACATTTTAAAATATTGTTGTATCTTATATATAAATGAACTTTATCAAACAGGCTGGTTTTTCTTGTTCTTTTCATATGTTGTGTTTTCTAAGTTTCTGATCAACTTTTTTCTATCACCATCACAAAATGTCAGTAAGTGTTTGTAATGCTGCACAATAGAAATTGATGCCATAATTACCATCATTTGCCACTGGATTTGGAACAGTATTGTGGACAATGGACCACTGTTCAGGTGACAAAATAATTCTGCCCTCTGGGACAACAATGTTGTTATCTGTTTCAATGTCAGGAATATCTCCATCAAAGTCCACTCCGTAAAATGTAAAGTCTGTAACAAGCTCATCCACTTGGTTGGGAATATTGCCAGAGTACCACAGTGCCATTGGTGACCTATGACCCATTGTTCTAAGTCCATGGTAGTTCCACTGACTTTCAAATTCTCGGAGTGATGCATTTATTCTAGGCAAGAACACTATCTCAAGAGCCAACAAATGTGCTTCATTATCTACATCCAGTAAACCACTATTTTCCATTGTAATAAACAAGTCCTTGTATAAAGCTCCCAGTACTCTATTCACTTCTCGCCACAACCGTTCAATACGTTGGTTGTGAACACTGGTACCTGCAATAAAGCTTCCTCTTCCTGTGCCTCGAGTTGTAATCATGAACTTTGCAATCTCAACGTTTTCCACTCCGCGGTCTGCTCGAACACGTGAAGGAACACCAAATTTTTCATTACCTTCGATAAAGAACTGTACAGCAGTAGTTGCTAAGTTGTTAGTAGAACATTTTAAATAAATGATAGCTCGACTGTAGCCATCTATACAACCGTGAACTACAAACCTCCACTGTATAAGTTTGTGGTTGGTATCAACGTGCCATAACTCATTTGAAGCAGCCACATTGTACATTCTTCTTTGGATAGTAACACGCTTTCTTACAGCCCTTCCCACAGGATCAAGTAAACGAAGGCATTCTCTCACTCTGTTCCTTTGTACAAAATTTGACGAGCAACTAAGCCTCCTCGAATATAAGTTTCTCCAGCATATGGAGTTTGCTGTAGTATACTTTCTATAACTGATTTCAATTCGGCGTCAGTGATTTCAGAAAATGTTTGCGATATGTTTAGCTCTTGGCGGTAGTTATACAGTGTCCTTTCGTTTATGCCCAGCGTTTCTGCTATTGATTTCCAATTCATACCCGTTTCTCGTAATGTTTCTATTTGCTCTTTAGAAAGAACATATTTAGGCCTTCCACCAGTGAACTGTCGACTCAAAGTTAACCTATTATATGGAAGTTGTTCACGACATTGCGACTGCACTTCACTAACAAGGATGTGTAACTCTCTGACTAAATTCTCAAATAAACTCTTTAACTCTTCGTGGCCAAATTTGGATTCAATAACTGATTGAAGAGCAAAAACAACGTGAAAATGTCCCTCTAACTTTCTACATACATATTCTTTCGCGTTGGCATCTTCACTATCACGCGACGCAATAACTAAACAAGACTGTAGGGAAGTAAAAAACGCTATAATATCTTGAACATCCGCCATTACGCCATTCGTAGTATATCAGAGCGCTGCTTGAAGTTGCAAAGAACAGTGCTATGAACCATGGTATAACTATAAATTATGTTGTTACGACTGGCATTTTATTTCTCGACCGAGATTTTTTTTCGACCGGGATTTTTTTCTCGACCGGGATTTTTTTTCTCGACCGAGATTTTTTTCTCGACCGAGATTTTTTTCTCGACCGAGATTTTTTTTCTCGACCGGGATTTTTTTCTCGACCGGGATTTTTTTCTCGACCGGGATATTTGCTTTTCTGAACTACCATCTGCAAATTCTCAATGATAAACACGTGTTTCTCAACATCGGTTTGCTTTCTCAACGGAGATTTTTTTCTCGACCACCTTTTTTCCGAAATGGCTTGCCATAATGGGATGTAGTGTTGGGAAATTCGAGTCTTAGCGAGACAAAACAGGGTGCTTGAGAAGTTTGACTCTTACTAAGACAAAACTGTTCTAATTTAAAGCAAATATACGGGGGAAAAAAACTAAGAAAACCTCCCTTGTTTTTCTTCCTCTTTAATCTATCTTCCTTCATTCCAAAATAAGAAACATTTGGTTAAACGAAAATAATCAACTTTGACCTGTGATGAATAAATGTGTATTTCAAAATATTTAGTTTCCTTTCAAAACTTATCAAAATTTGTCACCTTGATCCTGATTAATGTTGCAACTTCCTCATGGCAATGTGCCAATTTTCATCATCAACTCTTAAGGCTGAAACACACTAGGCAGTCGCTTTAGTCGCCCGTCTAAAACTACCGCTTTGCGTGGTTACTAAGCTAGTAGCGTAGTCGCGTCAGCTAGTCGCTTTGAAAGTCGCATGAATAAAAATGGAGGAATATTTGTTAATTCCAGTTCCACAACACCCCCCAAAAATGCCTTGGCCAGATGAAATAACATTATCCAATATTATCATACATATCTTTTTAACATTAATGTTGGACAACTTTTGTCATTCGAAAATTGGAAGCTTTTGGACTACAAACCAGAAAAAGAAGAAACACTGCCCAGGAAAATAAAATGGTGGCTCGTTGATAAATAATAAAATTAATTGTTTCAAGCATTGAAATATCGTCACAACATCCTATCTAAAAAATTATTTTTGTGCATGGGCATACTGAGTCAAATTATTATTTCATATTATAACCATCACCTTCGCCAAAACTTCGACAACTTTCAAAATTACTGCTCTCAAACTTGAAGACTTTTCTTCTTTAAATATTTCAGAAGCTGCTATCAGCGTGTGGGTTCTCAAGTAGTTGTTGACATATAGTGCAATTTTTTTCCCTGTAAATTTTGTTGATATTTTATCTATTGAGTTCAGGATAAGGAAACGAGAAAGAAAACCCACCCATTTTGTGGAGAAGCTTTTCATCCTTGTCAAACTCAAAATGATATTTTAAAAGGTTACAATTTACAAGTATATACAAAATACGCTTAAAATATATGGGTAGGTACTCACGCAGAATGAAGGACCATAGAATAAAAAAGTTCAACCTTTTGCTCATAAATATATAAGGTAAACAGTAAGCACAAATTCTACTTTTCTTCTTCTTTACTACACATTGCCATTTTGAACGTTTTCAGAAACGTGGTGGTGAATTGAGTTTTGTGATATTGTATGACGTCACATGGACGTACAACTCCATAACGTGAAAAATATTAAGGGCCTGGTCATTCATCAAATAAGAATTTTTGCAGTATGATCAAATTGAACAAGAACAGAAGATGCAACAAGAGTCTAAATCTATTCTTGTTTCTTTAAGTGGATCGGGAATCCAACCTAATAACCATACAATCCCTACTGCAGGTCCCAGGCATGGCCACCCTTTTTTGTTGTTCTTTAGAGAGATTCTCTAAAGATGAGGGAAACCGGCGTAAAGCCGGAGGAAAACCCTCAGAAATCCAACAAGCTACGAAAGCCAGTCGGTGGATGCACATTATTATGTTTACAACATTTATTATACTGCCTTTATCTTTACAAGGTTGTTGACAGAGGTGTCCTGTTGGCAATATGCACCCTTCATCTTTGGAAAAAACCGAAACTGGCTCCATTTTTACGTCATTTGTAGGACGTACGCCATTTTTTGACCGCTTTTACCTGCGCTATTTTTCCTAAGCGCATTCTTAGCTAACTAACCCTGCTGATCAGTGGCATGAAATAACCGATTGGAATGTCTACTACCTACGAACTATTCTGCACAAAAATAAGTAAACCATACCTTTAAACGATGAGACACCTGTAAAGCAACGTTAGTACCCGAGCCGAAAGGGAACCTAACGAATAGGGAACCGCCTCCCTGGGCCCTTATACTTTACCAAACGGCGTGCCAACCAATCCTTCTTGTGTCCAACACTCGATCACCTAGGTACCAATTTGGCACCGTTTACGATTATTCCTACCTGGAACTACATTAAATGTATCGGATAAGTTTGTCTCACTGTCTATCAAATCATCTTCCATGCATAAAATAGATGAAGATGTTCGATTTGATTTCGAGACGATCTAATCCAATACATCATGAATAATTGAACTATATTCCTTCTTTGAATTATTTTCTTCAAGTTAAATAACAGTGAGTTAATTAACTTCGACATGCCACTGTCACAACATTGATTTTGACAGCTATTTAGCAAAAGCAATGCCAGGTTTCATGCACCTATTAATCTGTTTCGTTCTTTATTAAACCAACGTTGCATATTCGTCTTGATGATACAAGTCCCTTATTTTTTTCTAAAAATATTTTAAAAACTTTGACTTGTTTTTATTTATTTTCAAGCGTCTGGTGAACATTTCAAATTTTGCATGGTTCAAAATTCAAACAATTCGAACTAAACGTAAAAATGATTTATAAAGTATCATCAAGCAAGAATATTTCAGACGTTTATAACTTTATATTAATTTAATTTGCGCTATGCAGCTTGCATGCCGGATTACGCCATGTTTCGGTCCGAATTTCTTTTGTTAATTTAACGTGCAATCTGTGATTCGGATTTCGCCATTTTTTGGACCGCAATTTTCTAGTTTGATAACTAAATATACATATGATTCAGTTTTAAGAAGTATAATATACAAGATAATAAACAAAGAAACCCATGCTCATTTCCTTGAAATTAGATCGTGTATCCTGGTGATCAAAAGAAAGAAAAACTTCTAAAAACCGACATCAGACAAATATATTTTACCTTGTACAATGATAATCTTACATTATACGACAGTTTTATTTGAAAAACGTTTTGGACAATATAAGATATATCATCGTTTTTAGGCAAATGTTTCAACCGCCAAAAGCACTGCATCACATGCACAAAACTAAAAAAAAACAACACTAACAAGAATCAAAAGAACAACTAACTTTGTTATTCACTCAGCCAATGATCAATCATCTTCCTGTTAGTATAGATCACCAGGACTTTAACTAAAACACTATAAACCTGCTACCTTAAACGTCGTCTTTGGTCTTCATTCGTGGACTAAAAAACCGCAAATAAATTTATTGTAAAATGATAATAATTTTATTGTGAAAACGTATATATTCGGTGTAATGTTATAACAATTAGTGTAAAGATGTTTTTGCAAGACAAAACATTCCCAACAAATAACATTGCTTTTTGCTAGGCTACTAATTCCCATTTACAACATTATCTTCTGCTCTTAGCGTAGCCAAAAAGCAACTATAAAGATTGGTCAATAAGAAAAATACACATGAATTACCTATAAATTGATCGTCATGAGCACCAACTGCCTCTTTAAAACTTCCAGCAGTGTTGTGTAAGGTGGTTTTGTTCATAGGATGAAACATACTCTGACAATCAACACGTAGTGTTAGGATTTATTCTGTTGATAACTTTTGTGATTCCCTCATACAGCTTTACTCAAATCTTGATACATATCATAATTCAACAAACCACCATGAAATTATCGTGTGTTTTTTAACTCGTGTGGCACAATGTCAAATAGATTTTGAAGTGAAACAACAAAGTTTATGAACGGTAAGTTAACGTTTGATTATCACACCATTGCTCGTCGTCGTTCTTCATTCATAGATTAACGTAATCCTTAGCCCAATATTAGTTTGACAAAATCCACGACAACCACGATGTAATCCACGACAACCATGACGTAATCCACGACAGCCACGATGTAATCCACGACAACCACGATGAAATCCACGACAGCCACGATGTAATCCACGACAGCCACGATGTAATCCACGACAACCACGATGAAATCCACGACAGGTACGATGTAATCCACGACAGCCAGAATGTAATCGACAATAACCATGTTGCAATTAATCAATATAATACACCACCATTCTATCATTCCTTATCTACAAAACAATGAAGTTCAAAAAATAAAACATGAATGCATTTAAATTTGACAAAAGAATAACGTTATATAACAAATCAAAATGCTTTTAGCAATTCCTTCAATTTTTCGGCTGCGCTTGCTCAAAACTCTTGGTAATTTTATATGAATTAGTTGGATGACTTTATAAATTTAGTAATAAAACACAACCAAAAAGCATTATTCCAATTTTGAAAATTTATTAAAAATTAAATGCTGAATCATTTTTTATTATGACATCATACTGTAATCATAACTTTTTATTATGACATCATACTCAATGTAACCAGCTTTGCAGAAACTGTAAGTAATGATCAAACAAGTACAAAAGGTAATTACAAGAAAAGTTTAATACCTGTAGACTCATCGTCATAAGCAGCCAACTGCAACTCCTAAACGTTCAGCAGTGATAAAGGTGGTTTAAGAAAAAACAGTTTGAAGAAAAATTTCTGAAATGAAAAATCATTATACTATTATTAGTTATTACATCCATCCACCTGAAACGATCGCTTGTTTGATATCGAACAGATAAAAACACATCAACAACCACTTACCAAAATATATTTTAAGCTTTGTGGTATTAGGATGAATAATTTGTTTCCTGATATTGAGTTTATAGTTCACCATGTCAGTTTTAAAACTTCCACACAATGTCACCACCATGATTATTAACATTTCTATCATGCAGCATAACAAACCATAGATGGACAAAGCACCATAACTCATTAAATGAATGCTTTTTCCTAAAATTCAGGTGGCAAAATATTCAAATAAGATTTAATGTAAATGTAAATGTCTGTGCATCATCTAATGTTCATCTTACCTGACGTCCATCCTTCATATTGTGCCAACTGCAGCATCTCTAGAGATTTACTTGTGCACACTTGGTCGAAAATCACGTGAAAGTCAAAAACAACAGAACATAAAACTTCGACGATAGGTATTTACATCTTAGTCTGAATTACGTTGTTCAAGAGCTTATTGAGTTAAGGTAAGTTATACGAGACAATTAAGTCGTGTCCTTCATGTTAGACGATGAAACCCACAAACAGAAGCAACATGTTAAAAAAATTATATCTGCAACAAGAAGTCTTCAAAAGTCATGCATGGGCTAAAGTGCCAGGCATTGTATTTACAAGTATAGTTATAGAGTCGTGAAATCTTTGTCTTTCGTCACAAGATTGCTTTGTCATTTTTTTCTTGCACCGTTTCACTGTAATTTTTTTTCAAAACATAGCAGTGAACTTTGCCTTTAAATTTCTCGCTTTTCTTTCTTTGTTGATTTTTCTATCTGATCTAGTTTGATCTATCTGACGCCTCGGATCAAACTAGATCAGATAGAAAAACCCACTCCAATTGAAGAGTCTCTGAAGAAATAAAGTGCCTCAACAACAGAAAACGATGAAGTGCCTCAACAACGGAAAAGAATGAAGTGCCTCAACAACGGAAAACGATGAAGTGCCTCAACAACGGAAGACGCTGCGCGCTGGCAAGAACAACGGAAGACGCTGCGCGCTGGAAATTCGATGAAGCACCTCAACAACGGAAGACGCTGCGCGCGCTGGCAAAATTCGATGAAGCACCTCAACAACGGAAGACGCTGCGCGCGCTGGCAAAATTCGATGAAGTGCCTCAACAACGGAAGACGCTGCGCGCGCTGGCAAGATTCGATGAAGCACCTCAACAACGGAAGACGCTGTGCGAGCTGGCAAGATTCGATGAAGCACCTCAACAACGGAAAACTACATTCGCACGAGTCGATGAAGCACCTCAACAACCTAAGACATTGTTTGCTCAAGATGTGATAAACGTCCCAAACAACGAAATGGTCTGCGCCCTTCCAAAAATTGATAAGCTCCCCAAACAAACGTAGATGCTGTTTTGCTATCATAGGCTCATAAACGCACTACTGCTTTCTTATGTTTCCTTGTTCTTGTCTAATAGTGAACTTGTGGTTCCTGAAGTGACCTCTTCCAATGTGAGGCTTCCATTAATTCTTCTAATTATTCTCGACGTCTTGTACATATTTTACATAATTTGTGGAACGCTTTGTTCAAAGAGTACTTTTTACAACAATACTTTTGTTTACTTTTCTAATTAATAATTAAATGAATAGTGGACAAATGAAGACTTCAAGTTGCTGATGTAAGATTACGTATGATATTTTACTTTCATTTTATAAATAAATTTCTTCGAATTAATGTTTCTTTTCATATTTTATAAATTTCAAAAGAATGAAGTCGTAAAGAATTCTTCATTTTCACTTAAACGTCGATTTCAAATCGATCGTTCACAATGGCAGTTTTGACTTAATTATTGTCTGACAATCCTTACCCAAAACTCAACAGCATTTTGTTTAAAAATATTGACAACATTTACTTTTGATTCATGAGTAAATTTCATCCAGTGAATATGTCTTTTTATGTATACATTTTATAGGAAGGAAGTCGTATAGACTTCTTTATACGCCATTGAACGTCAATTTCACATATATAGGTCATTCACAACACTAGCTAGATTCGTCTTATTGTTTGCTAATCTTTGTACACCTTAAACTCAGGAGCATTTTGCTTAAAAAATGGAAGGAAGTCTTATAGACTTCTTTATATGTCATTGAGCGTCGATTTTTGAAATATTATTCACAATCACTAGATTTGACTTAAAAATTTAATCAAAATCGTTAGCACATGCACACAACATTTAGTTTTGTTTCACGAAGGAATGTTTGTTTTAATCCCTTACACATTTCAAATGGAGGAAGTCATATAGACTTCTTTGAATGCATCGTTTTCAGATAGATCGTTCACAACAATTGTTTTTTTTATCTATTGTCTAATCATTTTCTACCCTTACTAGTACTCGTCTACCAGCAGCAAAATACGACGAAGATAGTGATTGCACAACAAAAATGTTAAACAAACTTTTCGTGCAAAGTTTTAAGAAAAAAGGAAAAAAAAATTTTGTAAATCCATAAAAATACGCTCTGTCTGTTGCTTTCATTTGAATATCCTATCAATTCAAATCAAACGAAATGAGCTTCTGCGTTTTCACCCATTTGATACATATTATAAAAATTGCAATATTAAAATAAAAATATTAACAGAAAAGATTACTACAATAAAAGAATATTATAACAAAAATTTTCAAAAGCGTTTTCGTACAAAAAGAACCAGGCAGTCGATGAAAGTTTTAGAGTCGAAAAATTTTGAGTTTCCTACCTTACTCCTCCTTTGTTCTCTTCCAGTTGTTTTGACAGCGATCCGTTTTATCTTTGCTTCAAATTTCAACCAGGATACGACTTTGGTTGCATTCTTTATGATTGCTCATAGTAAATTCTCAAGAGAAAATTATCTTCTTTTCCTATAGAATAAAAACACATTTATTGGTAAAGTGTTCTTAAAATAGTTTTCAATAACAACTTTTCTAAATTGTACTCGAGTAGCGTACATCGTATTTCATTAAAAATCTTTCTCGCCCACTGAAATTGCTATCATTCGAACTTATTGAATTGAAGAACCTGTAGCCGTCAACACTCTTTAAATTTTTCCATGTATCCCACTCCATTCAAAGATTTTGTGGGTATTTTCGTAGTCAAGCTCATTGAGTTCAATAATAACTGGAGCGGCTATCTCAAGCGCGGCCTTAGATATCTGCTGACGCCAAAAAAATGGCGGATTTCGTCCGTTGCCGCTGAGATTTACCGAAATTGATCGCTTTTCCGAAAATTTCACAATTTCCCACTCCCTCCTGAGGAAAGAGAGAAGAAAATGTATGTGTGTATTTGGGATTCGTCAAGCAATTTTTTGATGAAAATCAAGGTAAAAACCTCAAATTCATAACAGCGAGTCAACTGTGGTTGTCAGTTATGTGCTACTACGAGGATGCATTTATAACTATCGACGAAAGAGCTATATGTCGGCTACACATGTATGAATGCAGATGTGCGTCGTTTTTTTACCAACGTCGAACTTGTTTGATCGATTAAACTCTTTAGTCTATACAAAAAAAGTATATCATAGTTCATCTCCACGGTTCACGAGAGAGAAGTTAGCTTATTTGTTATCATTGCTATTTTGCTTCTTTTCATGATGCAATGGGCAATGGCTTTTTACAATTGTTGGATTTTACTTGTTTCTTTAAAAAGTAAATATTAAATCTCTGGATATTTACGGATTTTCTGTAATTGAGTTTCATATTAAATTTCAAAAGACTCAAGTCTGCATAGGTTTGGTAAATCAAAACAAACAATATTGTATAGAAAGTACTTTAAGTAACCTTTTTGTGATGTTCTGAAGTGCAACTGCATCAAATACTTGTAAAGTTGTAGCACATTTTGATTTTGTTGTATTGATACATGAATTGGGCAAAATGCAAATAATCATCAAAACACTTGTGCTTCCAATGGTGTTTATAATTCATTTGTAGTTTTAATACTTCTACCCTTCTTTTTCACTTTGTTTTGTTTTTCCTATATTTGCAAATAAGTACACAATTTGAATGATTAACACAGTTTTCACCTAAATAATAAATTTCATAAGCAGTTGGTAGTGCATTTTGTTCTCTGAGTATCCACATCTGGTGTTTTGTTCATACAAGAATGATGAAGTGCAAGTAGATATGTCATAGCAAGGCAATATAACCAAATGAATCAAATACCTATAGCGTACTTTTATGCTAGAAGCTTAAAAGCTTTTTAGAAATTATAAAGTTATTGGATTATATTAACCATATATCATCAATCTCATGAAAAGAAATAAGAAGCAAAAAATTTGTAGGAAAGCTTTGAAAAGTGAAAAACTTTTCTTTAAAAAGTAGCAATAATGCATATGATAAATCTCCATTCTGTACTTTACTAGGTAAATAAGCTCAAACTGTTTCTTGAAACAAAACTGTAATAATGAAGAAATATACAGTACAGTAACTTTGAAAGTTTCATCACTGAATCTTTAATGCTTCAGTGTAGTGCATTAGATATTAGTAACATTTATACAACACTCAACTAAAATGTTTTGATAAAGATATGACTTGATTTAAACATAAGTTATATAAAACCCAATGGCTTATACAGTTTGATGCTTCACATCTGCATCAAGTCATCAATCTCAGTACAAATGTTTACATAGACTTTATGGCTTTCCCATTTTATATCTTTGTGAATTGACATTTCATTAAGCATCAAAACACACACAACCTTGCCATCTTTCTTTGGTTCATGAACTTTAACTTCAAAGCATTCAAGGCATCCTTAGTGAATCCATTGTCTCCATCCTAGAATTTGACCATGATCAAATTAAATAACTCTGGATAGGGCAGACGATAAATCAATTATCTTTACAGCATTATAATTTTTTAAGACTCTGCCTGGTCAATAACATCTTCCAGTCATCTTTACTCCTTGGTCTTCCCTGCATGTTGTCAGCAAATAGAACATAACAAGCTCTGCTCCAAATCATGGGTACTCTTGGGGCTGATCATTTCGTTTTGATACTTACTCACAGAGCAAAATGTGTGCAGGGTCTTTTTTGCTTTAGGGAAGCTTTAGAAAAGTATGCAGAATTTTATAAACAAAAACAGGAAAACATCAGTATATTTGGCGTTCAAGTCAGTCTTAAAAAATACGATCTTTAATATGTATTTTATGGCTTTTAAAGTGCATGTATAATTGCTTTTCAGTTTTCAATCGTTGACGGACTAAAAACTAAGCAACTATCTCACCTGTGAGAAGCGATATGTTCCTTTTGTGGAAACTACGACATCCAACAATTGAACGATTGAAGTGTTGGCATTATAAAGAAATGCCAAAAAGATATCGTCACAGAATATGGAACTAACGATATCGTGTTGGTTTTGAAAATTCTTTATAATTTACTATATACACCAGGGGAGTCGAGAATATTATTTTTCTGCAAAGCGATCATTTCAGCGGAAATACGTCCGTTGGCCGCCATTTTTTTGGCGACCTCGCCCCAGTAAAGATAGCCGCTCCAGTTATTATAGAACTCAATGGTCAAGCTAGTCAGTTTTGCATAATTCGTGCCCAGTGTTCTTCGTTTTCACGCGGAACAAAATTCGCGCCAATTTTATCGAAAGTCCAATGTCCACCATGCATCAACATTTTCATATTTTTTCACATATCTCAAAATTTTCGCTCAAGAGTCAAAAGAGCATTTTTTACCAACAAAAAATCAACCCATGGGATAAGAAATACCCTCCTTATCGCTACTTTTGCAATACTATTACTTTTCACCTAGAATTTTTACATATTTTTGTGTTGAAACGAGGAAGATGTCGGTCGCACAAATTTGTCGCTGAAAAATTATCGATTCAAAAATACACGCTAAAAGCAAAAATATTCGACAAAGTTTCACTTCGAAGTATTCAAAACACCAGCAGTCACCAAGCACACTGAAGTAAAATAAAAAGAAAGACTTTGAAACATACAAACTTGCCGTTTTTATACTGTCAAGTTTCTCTGGCCAAGCAAATAAACCGTCGAAGGCGCAGTTAAACGGCGAATTGCACAAAAACAACCGACGAAAAGATTTACAGTAAAACAATGCGTAACTATACATCAAACAAGGCTTTTGTCATTGAATTTATCAACATTTGAAGTGCGTTTAAAACAATAAATCAAAATTTCACTAACCTTCCTTTCACTTTCGAGTCTTGAGGGCATCTACCGTTGTGTAAAGTGATTGACGTTTATTAAGATCATTTGGTGGTCCGATCGATTTCATTGGTTGATTTCAATGAGCTCTACAAATGTTATTGGATAAATTTTGAGCTCTTACATCTCTGATTGGCTAAATTTCTACAATATGTTAAATATTAAAACTTATCCCAAATAAGTGAAAGGTAAATTAGGTAAGACACTTTTGATAACGCCTCTCTTTGAAATAAAATAACATTCAAAAAAAGTGTTTCTGCTTTCAAATATAATCATCCCAAGTTGAGAATATACAATTTTTTAATGGCTGATATAACTTGCTTCGATGTAACACGCCAAAATCAGCCATACGCAATGGTAACTCACGCCAGGAGCGAGGGCGATGATCGAACATCAAACTGCAGATATAAAAAATTCACGTTTGTTAGCATTTAATGTAGACCAAAATCTTTTGAAAATAGACATGTTTCGACATCTCATGATGCCATCTTCAGTTTAAATGAATAATTACATAGATAATAGTGGAAAGCAGAGAAACTTTGGATTGTCAGTACCTCGGCGTTTATCCAAAGTTTCTCTGCTTTCCACTATTAGCTATGTAATTATTCATTTAAAGATGATCATCTGAATCTCAAAAATTTTGGTCAACATTAAATGCTGAACCCCAAAAGGATCATATCTTGATTCTTCATCCATGATCAACTTTTGATCAGTTTTACGATAACCTCCACAAACCTCATTTGTAAGAAAACTTACCAATGTCCAGGACAGTTCATCGGCTTAAGAGCATAAACTTCCTTTTCTATTTCAAACTTGAATAAATTCTCAGAATAATGTTGCCAATGACCTGACGTCATCCACAGTTTGGTGCTGTAGATATTTGGTGTAACAACTTCTTGAAACTCACGCTTCCAATATTCCTCCTGCACAAGGAAACTTTTTTAACAAAATGATCAACGGGATGAAAGATATTAACGTTGTGGATGTTGGTATTACCGTTGTGACTGTTGGTATTAACGTTGTGACTGTTGGTATTAACGTTGTGACTGTTGGTATTAACGTTGCGACTGTTGGTATTAACGTTGTGACTGTTGGTATTAACGTTGTAGCTGTAGAAATTCCCGTTGTGCTTGAAGTTATTACCGTTAAAGCTGTACGTAATTTACGTTTTGGCTAAAAGTATTTACGTTGCGGTTGTGTTATAATATACACACAACTAGAGTTTTCAAAGAGCAAAGTGGCCTTAACTTCTAAAGATAAAATCATGTTCCAGAATGTCAAGGTGGAAATAAGCAGTACCTTGATAAAATTCACAAGAGTATTGTAAATGTGGGCTCCATTTGGAAGGAAAAAACAGCTCCCAGGACTTAGTTCATGAAAGAAAAATAGTTCTTGTTCCTAGAAAATGAACAAAAAAATGTTTATTGAAAGAATAAGCAATAAGAACTGTTAACACAAAAATTAATACTTAGAGTAGAAACATAATATAAAAAGCAAGTACCTGGCCAATCTTACGATGATCGCGTTTTGCTGCTTCTTCTTGGAATTTCTTCCATTCTTTCAGCTGACATAAATGGATTTAAACACATTTGATGAACAAAGCAAAAAAAAGATAAAAGTCAAATAACAAAATCCTGTAATAATCTTTCATTTTTGCATGCGAAGGACACAGGTGGCAAAGGGACTTTCACAACTACATCCATGTTGGAGCTACAATACAAGAAAACATGAAATAAAGATATGCAAACACAAACAAGCTTATAAAAACCGAGGAGACCTTTTGCAGAACTCGAGAGCAGCAGAAGGCCGAGACTGAAGGTCGAGCGTTTAGCGTTGCACCTGCTTGAGAATCTATGCAAACTTTAGTGGTACCTTCAAGTACGAGCGCTAATAGAACAATGAACATGAGACATGATGCCAAAATAATATATGATGAAAAGGTTTAGGATAGTAGAACATAAAATGCTACTGACAAGTACAAATAATAATCAAATCTTTGTTTTTCCTCTAGATAAACGCCTACAATCATACTCACTAATTGAGCTTCAAAATCACCTCAAAACTATCCAAAGACGGTATTTTAACTTCACTGATGGCTTCATTTGAAATATTTCGGCAAAAATCTTTCCATTGTTGGAGAAATGTGTTTACCATTGAATAGTGGCAACAAGATTTCTGTATCGCACTCAGCGAGTATAAGTGAGCTTTTAGAATACAGGCGAAAGTTTTTCAAAAATTTTTAAATCGTACACTACTTGTTCACAAGAAATACATAAAGATGTTACGTTAACAAATATTTATACATGTAAAGAGAGATGTATTCATGTTCAATTTGTAGTTTTATGATTCAAGATCTTCTTCGTACGAAACATGTGCCTCTTCCTGTGCCTTCGTAAATATATCTTTGTCATCATTCATATTTGATAATTTTTCTGACGCCAATTTCTTTGCATCTTTTGCTGCAAACTTTTCAAACATGTTCGCTGCAACAGTAATTTAAAAACATCAAATAATTAAGTAATACGTATTTTAAAAATTATTTGACATTACCATATTTGTAAAAAGATTGATAAGAGCAAAATCTACGAAAGTAAATGGTTTTTAACATGGGTTTGAGACCAGGCAAAAAGTCCAACAAATCAATCATATCATTATTTCATGTTGAAAATCTACAAACATACGTATAACGATACTCCCAGGTTCAAAGGAGATCATCAATTCATCATTTATCGTGACTTGGTAAAAGTAACCAAACCCAAGTGAAAATGAAATAAATCGCCATTCTTTTTTATAAATTAGTCTTGTTATGTGCAATATATACCTCAGTGTGAACAAACTCTCACTGTCTCTACATATCTAACGTTTTGATTGATGCTTTCATACAATCCAGTATAATTTATGATAACAATGAGATAAATGTTTCGTGAAAATTCTTTTATCTCCCGTTATCTGACGTTAAATAAACTTAAAAAAACCAAACAGAACAACATAAAAGTCATAAACATTACCATATATTGTCTTCTCCTTTACACGATTTTCAGCAATCATCTTTTTTGCAATATTTAATTGTATCTTGGCGTCTTTGTTGTTTGGTTCAAGTCGTAGAACTTTTTCAAACATTTCGCTTGCTTCATCGGGATAATTCATATCTAGTTTCGCCTAAACAGAATAAAAAACCAACTGCAGACGAAAAGACACAATTGAATGAATGAATTTAAAAATATACATTAACTGATTGCATTGACGTAAGGGGAGTAAGGGAGGACCCTACCTACTCCACGATTGTGGTGAGAATCCACAAGTTACGACGCATGCTTTAGTTGACTGATGATTTTCTACTAGTTTGTCACGAAGCAAGTTAACTACAACCAAAGTTATACGTGGAGATCCATCTCCATTAGTTGGTTGAGTAGACCGTGGGTAAATCCATTTCTATCTCACATGCACGTATAAATAAGATATCTCCAGACCTCCCCTAAATCTACACCTGAGCTTAAATTCAAACCTTTCCTTTCCTATAGATGGCTTTTATGTTATTTTTGTCACGACATAATGCCTAAAAAAGTAATAACACATGTAATATAACTTCTTAGAAATTTGACAAAAATTACCATATTTCAAGAAAAAGTGTAACGAGCCCCTGGTGGTTCTTGGTTAGCCCCCCCCTTAATTTTTCATTTACTTCTTTCTAAAATTTTCAACTAGTTTATAACTGTTTACAATTACCAGCTGTTACATTACTCAAAATCTTATGAAAGCAATGAAAAGTTCTTGCCATTTAATAAGATTTTAAAACACAACTTATGCAGTGACGAAGATAAAAGTTATTTGTCAAAAGAAATGTAATAAATACATATACCTTGTCACATGACTCAATACATTCTTTATATTTTGCTAACTTGAGATAACACAAGGCAACATTGAGATGACCAGCTAAAATCAATGATGAAACTTCCTTTAAATCTCTTTCTTCACCTAAGCTTTCCACCAAGGTTACCATGCGAGTGTACTTTCCCAATGCTTGAGAGAATTTTTTTTCCTACAACAATACAAGTGAACAGAGATTAACGTCAAAGCAATAATTTGAAATGTCAGTTTTTACTAATTCTTTTTCCTAGATTTCCTTCAAAATGCTTGTCATATGACTGGCCGTAATAATAACAAGTTAACTGTTCATTTCAAAAAGACAAAGATTATTTGTATTCAAAGCTTAGTTAATTTACCATCATGTTCTAAAACAAAGTTTGAATATTCTTTTCAGACAGTTTTTACCATAATGTTAAAATTCAATCTTTAAGCTCTAAGTTCGTCATGCACTACTAACCAATGTTTTATTTGAGAAAATTTAAGTGAACAGGAAGTGTCATTTTGTTTCAAAATAGTCAAATAATTATATGCTTCATAACCATTGCAGTTTTCAGCTCATTTAATAGACTATATCTTAATCCTAACCCTCAACCAAAATTTGTGTTACAGTGCACTAAACAAATTGAAACTTACTTTATAATACTCTGTTCCTTTCTTCTTTGCAAATATTGCTCCTTCAATTCTGTCCTGAACACTCAACTCCCATGGTTGCTTTAATTGTTCAAATGTCTTCAAATGTACTTCATATTTTACATTGCTACTTGGTTTAATACCCCACTCTTTTCTTCCTTCTTCACCAAATGCATAAGAACTGTCACAATTTGCAACAGATATTTCCCCTTTCTTCATTGTTTTTACTAAGGCATCAACACCAGAAATAACATCAACTAGGTCACCTGTAAGGCAGTCAGATAGATTCAAGTAATGAAACAAGATTGAAATTGAAAAATGTGTTTTAGTTTAAAAATATATCATGAAAATACTGACCTTCACCAACAGTAAATTGAACATCACGGTCATCAAATATTCGATTATCCACCTTGCCAACAAGGTGCACTAAAATAAGTCAAATAGGACTCAATTTTGAGTCAAAATTGCATGTCCTAATGATAGCAGGTTGTATAAAAGCAAATCTATAAAAGCATTATGGAAACTATACATACAACAACTAAACTCGTATAGCTTTTGGGATGATTTAAGCTGAAGCAAGCCTTCAATAATTTTTGTGGAAGGTGCAATGTTTTATTTTTGTTCTTGTTTGTAACAAAGCCAATCTGTTTTTTAGTACTATTACAATGCAAATATGTTTGTGTTCAATCACGGGAAAAATAATGAATGGAATTCATTTCCTTCAAAAATCAATAATAATTTGGCAGAAAATTTTGCATTTTTAGAGGTAAAAGTTCAAGCTGGTTTCACAACTGGTTGTAAGGACTCATATTTTTTACAGATTTTGTTAATATTTAAGATCATAAGTTCAATAATGGCATTTCACTTTACCTTCAACAATTCCTCCTTCACTTACACGTTCACTGCCATTCCTTTCTTGAGAATTTTCTTGGTCACTAACTCATCCATTGTAACCTTTTCATCCTCCCATCTGATCAACTCAATCTCAAATATGAGAGTAGCATTTTGAGGGATATCAGGTGGTTTTCCAACTTTACCATATGCATATTCTGGTTTGCAGGTTAAAACACAAATCTCCCCTTTCTTCATCGTTTCCAGGGCAAGTTCCCAGGCAGGAATTAAATGCCCTAAATACAATAAAACACATTTAGAATTGTTTACACTGGAATTACAGAGAATTGTAGTTTTCAAACCTCTTCCCAGTAGACAATCAAAAGGTCTTCCACGATTACGACTGCTATCAAATTGTGTTCCATCCTCTAAAGTTCCCAAATAGTGTACAAAAACAGTGGCTCCTTCACAAGGTGTATCCTCGCCATAACCTTCTTTTTTTATCACTTTAAGAACGCCACCATCTTGACGACCTGATATATCGACGCTTTCAACCATTTTCTAAAACTTTAAAATAACTGGAAAGAAAAAATTGAGAAAATGAGGTTCTAAATGAACGAATTTTCAAGAAACGATTAATTTCAATTGTGAAGACGCCAAGACGATGGAAACTTTCAATTCGTGAAAAAAAACACGCATAGCGTGTGACATCACGCTTAGAAATAACGATTTTATAAAATGAATAAAGAAAATGATAAATATGAAAAATGATTTTATAAAAACTTTTACTTTTTATAAAACCTCCGACATCACTTTTACTTAAATAATTTAAATAAAGCACAACCGAATTCTACCCTTTCCTAACCAGCGATTGTTTTTATGTTTCATAGCTCTTACATTTAAAAAGATTAGGCGACTTAATCGATCTCAATAAAGAAAATATGTCCATCACATTCGGCAAAATAATGACAAATTTTTGACAATGACACCGAGATTCGAACCCGTCCTTCTAGTCACCCTTGTCTCCCACTGAGAATTAAAATAAAAAAGCTGCATGACACAAGAACGAAGAAACTAGCCTTGTAATGAAACCATTGCCATCAAGACATTACAATAGTCCTCTTCCTTATTTTTGCACGTCTACTCCCAGTAGCATTCACTTTTTCAAACAAGCAATTAAAGAAATATTTTTAAGTTTATAGCTGACGAAAAGGGCAATGCCACAAAACGACAAGAAATTCATAAATGAAAATAAAATCTACAAAAATGATAAAAGACTACTGTCATAAGAAGATTCATGAAATGAGATTGTAGCTGGATTTAACATGTATTGATTGTAATATTTCATATAGACTTAAATTTATAATGCCAAAAATGTGCGTTAGCGCATATATTCCTAAATTAAACTAAATTTAAGGACCTATATATAATTTGTATACATTTTATTTCAGACAGATGAACTTATTAAAAAAAATTTTTATGCTTTTCCTAAGCATTTTAAAAAGAAATAGAAATTTCAGCAATTTGACATAAGACAGTTTTAAACAATCTATGGAATATTTACTGCTACAAGAATGAAAAGTGTCATGTAACTCCTGTTTATACTTTCTTTGCTAGCTGGAATCCTGAGATTAACAAGAGAAGACATATTTCCAATAAAGTAAATTCCGTTTACACGTTTTAGCAGTTTCAAACAAGTTAGGCCGTCCATTTATGTTTAGTCAACATGAAGAAGAATTCTTAGCAAGAGAAAAAACAGACCGAATAACATTGAAGTCAAACACAAGAAACAGTTCGTCCATCATGAAGAATGGCAAATATACCAATGATGAGAAGCACAAAATAACCAGGCGCCTTCTCTTATGTGTTTTCTACATGCTTACGTTCAGATGAATAATCTTTGTTAATTAAAAATACGAAGTGAAGACCGCATATCTGAAAATAAATAAACACAACAACTTCAGAAACTTTCAATACTAACAATATTATGTATCCAAAAAAGTTTAAATAATTCTAAAGGTAACAATTAAATTTTGCTAATAACTAAAACATCACACGTCAACTAACGACGTCATTCTATGATATCAACGAATCATAACTAACTACGTCATAAATACTTAAAACATTACGTCATCTATATAGGTCATATACAATATCAATTAACAAAGTCTTCTACATTAAAGACTAACAAAGTCATCTGCAACATAAACTAACAAAGTCATCTGTAATAAAGTAAATGGTTTGAACCCGGGAGTATCGTTACATGATTGTAGATGGAGATCGTCCAGCTTAGTAGAGTCCTGTAAAGGACTGTTGTTGTTGATGTTGACAGATGTTTTGACAACCTTAGCGATAGCAAAGTCCTGTGAAGGACTGTTGATGTTGACTGACGTTTCAACAACCTTAGCGGCAGTAGAGTCCTGTGAAGGACTGTTGATGTTGATGTTGACTGACGTTTCAACAACCTTAGCGGCAGTAGAGTCCTGTGAAGGACTGTTGATGTTGATGTTGACTGACGTTTCAACAACCTTAGCGGCAGTAGAGTCCTGTGAAGGACTGTAGATGTTGATGTTGACTGATGTTTCAACAACCTTAGCGATAGTAAAGTCCTGTGAAGGACTGTTGTTGTTGATGTTGACTGACGTTTCAACAACCTTAGCGATAGCAAAGTCCTGTGAAGGACTGTTGATGTTGATGTTGACTGACGTTTCAACAACTTTAGCGATAGTAAAGTCCTGTGAAGGACTGTAGATGTTGATGTTGACTGACGTTTCAACAACTTTAGCGATAGTAGAGTCCTGTGAAGGACTGTAGATGTTGATGTTGACTGATGTTTCAACAACTTTAGCGATAGTAGAGTCCTGTGAAGGACTGTAGATGTTGATGTTGACTGACGTTTCAACATCCTTAGCGATAGTAAAGTCCTGTGAAGGACTGTTGATATTGATGTTGACTGATGTTTCAACAACTTTAGCGATAGTAAAGTCCTGTGAAGGACTGTACATGTTGATGTTGACTGATGTTTTGACAACCTTAGCGGTAGTCATTTTTTGACATTAAAGATGACTACCGCTAAGGTTGTCGAAACGTCAGTCAACATCAAGTCATCAACATCAACAGTCCTTCTCAGGATCTACTAACCTGGACAATCTACACCCACAAACGTGTAAAAATATTCCTGGGTTCAAACCATTTACTTTATATACCAATAAAGTCACCTGTAACATACACTAACAAAGTCATTAGACAGTAACACACACTAGCAAAATCATCTGTAACATAAAGTAACAAAGTCATTAGACAGTAACACACACTAGCAAAATCATGTGTAACATAAAGTAACAAAGTCATTAGACAGTAACACACACTAGCAAAATCACCTGTAACATAAACTAACAAAGTCATTAGACAGTAACACACACTAGCAAAATCATCTGTAACATAAAGTAACAAAGTCATTAGACAGTAACACACACTAGCAAAATCATCTGTAACATAAAGTAACAAAGTCATTAGACAGTAACACACACTAGCAAAATCATGTGTAACATACACTAACAAAGTCATTAGACAGTAACACACACTAGCAAAATCATCTGTAACATAAAGTAACAAAGTCATTAGACAGTAACACACACTAGCAAAATCACCTGTAACATAAAGTAACATACACACACATACACTTACGGTACAACATCTTCTAACGACACTACAACATTATCAAACAATATAAAATCCACCTCAAATGTTGAATTGTGATGAAGCTTCGCCTTGATGTCTGTTAAAACAGGTTTACCATCAATGAAAATAGGACGTCTACCTTCGTTCATTATATAATATTCTCCATCTGTTTTCAAACGAATCACCGCCTGTCGTTAAAGAAATGTGTCAAGATTTGTTCAAGTCATACAACATATATAATGAAATAAAATTATAGCAGAGTGGGGACTGAGAAGAATGTGACATATAAATAGTTTGGATATAGAGTAAGAACTGATAACAAATATGGTTAAATTTACCATAATTGGAGATTTCAAAGACAAAACATTTTAAAACATCGGTACATTTTCTGTTGCAATATTCCAACGTTAAAACATCATAATATATAAACATATTCCTATTTTGTGAATAGTTTATCTTCATTTGCGCTAATCGTAGGTATAAATGACAAAAAAAACACCAAGAATATTCAAGCCTCTATCCTCTCTTTGAGTATTTGATCATCAAATTAAGTTAAGATTCAACCAGCTCATCATATGTAGGTAGATTGATACCAATGATTTAATAATTTAAAATGTACAACTGAATATTTTAATAACTTCTTTCCTTTTGTCGTAATGAAAATGTGGAATTCATTGGTCAGTGATATCAAGGAAAGTTTTTAATTCTTCAATTTTATACATCATTAAGATTTTATATCAGTTGTCATGTTCACTTGGGTCCATGCTTTGGTAACTGGTTGCTTCAACAATTACCAAAACATATTTAAGTTGTTTATACAAGGAACAAAACTATTAAATAAATCAATTAATTAATGAACAAATTTCTTAAGTTCAACACATCCTGGTTTATGCACATTTGCATATAAAAAAATACCTGTTTTCGAGAAACTTTTCCAGCAGGACCCTCCAATGATAAATCCACATCAACATTATGGTCTTTCGTAGATCTGCCAACAATAATCTAAAAAACCAAAGAAATATTGAAGAAAAACAAAAACAAAAGACTTTCTCAAAGTTCTTATGGCTCTCAATCTCTGTGAATCAAATACAAACAGAGAAATGCAAGTTTTACCTCTCTTGAACGCATTAAATATCGTACAAGCCTTCCTCTTAAGACCGCCAAAGTTTGTGAATCAAATTCAGTGGGAGCTGTTCCAGATTCATTTAAAGAGTCAACAATTGCCTGCCATCGTGGTATTTCTTCTTCCAGCTGACGAATTTCTCGTTTAGCCCGACGATCAGAAATATTTAATTCATGTTCCAAAACTTCATCATTCATTCTAAGCAATATCATTACCTTTTGAACTTTATTAGGTTAAAGTTAAAAGTGATTCAACTTCTGAATTTAACAAACTAGTTTTATGCAAACATTACAGCAAACTTACTTTTCTATAATGAACACAACATATGTTTAAAAACTAGATACTTTGGGTAGCCATGATACAACTTACGATAACTCAGAATCCTTCACTTGTTCTTCAAAATCAGAGAAGGTTGCCGTGGCACTGCCCAATGCCAGTACTTTAAAAAAAATCATTAACTTCATCAGTGTCTTATGTTTAATTACCGAGGCCTTTTTAGCTAACCTGTCTGATCATCAAGAAGTTGGTAATGTTTCATTTGAAGCCAATGTTGCATGACAGATTTTGCTGTTCTATACTGATGAAATGTTGCTGTATTGTCCTCAAGCAATTTTTGAAAATACTGCACATTAGCAGTTGTTGTCTATAAATGAATAAGAGTCTGATCAATGATAATGTTGTCAAGAAAGATTTAGTTGATAGATATGTTTTCTTGATGAAGAACTTCTACATACAGCAGATGTCTTAGCTAATAAATCTTCTTCTTCTTTGCTCCATAATGTATTACTTTGAATTTGTTGAACAATATCACATGGCAACTGTTTCATGCCATACGATGCCAACCTTTGAACAAAAAGTTTGATTAAAAAAAATTCCTTGCTAATAAAACAAAGCTGTGAAACAACCTTGATGCAACTGGATCATAAAGCAAAGCAAACCAACGATCTTCAACCTCATTTAGTGTAAATCGACAGGAAATTTACAGCCAATATGAACAGCATTCAAATCATTTGTCTGCAAATGAAAAGATTTTAACCGAGAATTTGTCAACAAAATTTTGTGAAATATATGAACATAGAAACTACCTGAAGGACTGCTGTTATAAGAGTCAGGTCATCGGATGGTCGCCATCTGCCAACATTCTTTAATGGTGCTGCATTACTCTACAAGAACAAGCAATTTTTTCAAAAAAAGGAAAGCCCAGTAACAATTTAAATACTAAGAGCAAACCTTATTTTTCTTTTGTTTTTTATGCACAGAAGGACCATGGTTTGAAATAGAAGAAGATTTATTTATTGGCTGAAAATACAAGATTTACATGTAAAACAATATCTTATCATGACACAAAAATTAATGATAAACCTTCTTCTCCTTTTCTTTGATTTCAATGGCTTCAGGTAAGCCTAACGCTTTTCCAGCATTTTTCAAACTGCTTTCCACAAGTTCATCATCAAATTTCTTTCGCTTTATAGACCTTGATGAGCTTCTTCGCGGCGTACTACGGCCTGACGACTTGCCAAAATTATGATTTTTCAAGTGACCACCTGATGCTGGTGATTTATTCCTTAAATCTAAAATATTAATTTTTTGCCAATTTCTGAGCATGTGTTTATATGCTTGAGGGATTCAATACTTCCTTCTTTTAATTCATCAAAACATGTAACTGGAGACAAAAACTCAAATTCATTACATATATTATAACGAAACACCCATGTACTACTGAAAATGAAATAGGTTAACATGAAACGTTAAAACTTTATTTATTTTAAATTTAATATAAGTACTGGTGGATTTGCAAACCATAGATGATAGAATGTTATTAAAAGAGTTTGATCATCATAGAGGTTAGTAATACCTTGTACATTCCAAATACCTCCTGTTAAACCAGATGAAAATGGTTCTTTGTGATGAGATTCTCTTTTATCCTTGACTAGTTCCTTTATCTGTTGGTTTTCTGGATTCATGACTAACGAACATTCGATAGACTCGAATATTTCTCCAACAAAGATTGGTCTCAAAATTAATATCCAAATAGTTCTTATCAATCTAAATATCAAGTATCAGCACTCTAAAGTAGTGTTTCCATAATTTCACTTTGGCAACCATCTTGAATCTGGCCGAGGGAGACTAGGGAGAACTGAAACGAGAATTATAAGTGTGCAACTTCTTAGGCCCAGGGGTCATCCGCATCGACAATACAGTCCCATGGAATTGTTTTTAAAGCTTATAAAAAACATTAAAATAAATGTGTTCATTGCAGATAAAATGCGAAATAAATATTCTTTCTAGTGTATGTTATTCATAAATGTAAATTATTCATTCATTCATTCATTCATTATAATTCGAAGGTATTGCTTGTTATTAAAATTTCGACAGCGAGCAGTGTGCAATCACCAAAATGGATAAATATAACAGCTAGTACTATTTTCACAAGTATTTCATCACAGATAACTTAGAAATAAAAGACCTTGGTAAAAGAAGCTAACTTTAGCAATAATATTTAAAACCGATGAACGATTTACAAAATATGAAACGCATAAAAGTGCGAACTGCTGACTAACGACGAGACGAACATTTAATGTAAGTAAAGATGTCATGTCAGACAGCCTATTTTTGAGTGTAAACTTCTGTTCATTGTTAAAAACAATTTGTTGAACCCTTTGTCATTTTCTCAATGTCATTCTTAACCGCGGTCTATAATTAAGTACATGATGACAATCGCGGCGGTTTATTTATACTTTGAGGCATGAAAATTTACAATTCGTTTCACACAATTATAAAGCTCTCTACTTTACAGTTCTCCTTACTGTTACGCACAATTATTTTCAATGTTTTCTCATAATGATATCTTCCACAAACTTTGATAATTCAGCTAATGTTTTGTGGGTATTTAAGATTTTTAATACAAATGTCTAAACATGGACAAACCAAACATTACGAAGCTATGAACTATGACAACCATTCATGGCAGACAAATCACTTTTTTTCCTTTCCAAATTTCATCTTGAACTTTATCACTTGATGTTGATCTCTCAGCGTATACAGAAAATATTGCACAGGCAAATATCATTAAAGTACCTCCTATAGCTGAATAAAAAGCCCAACCAAAGGTACAATCACCAAGCCTGAATGCATATGGTTTGTTTTCATCATCAGCTATCTTGTAGCAGTATTTCTTAAATAATTCATTTTCATTGCCCCAACCAGCTGGCCACAATACAACACCTACCATGAGGAACAAACCTAGAAAAAATATAACAATAGTTAACAAGAAGACAAGAGAACATTTCATCAATGGAAAATAAAATATACCAGCAAAAGCTTGAATTACACCAACTACAGAAATGAGAGATTTCTTGCCAATCTTTTGCACACAAAAGGCTGTAATTGCCATAATGACAGATATAGATGCGATAGTTGCTCCAATTACCATAAATACAAGGCTTGCTTTCCAGAAATCACTTGGTAAATCATCAAGACTTTGGATGTATCTTCGACATGACCAACGTGTGACATTTCTTGAAAGCGTTTGACGAGAGCATCGAGAATACAATCCTATCGTTGGATTTTTTCTGCCAATACTGTTGTTCACTTGCTTAGTATTATAACCATCATAAGCTATGTTCCAGTTAGGAGAAATGACAGCCGCTATTATAGCTAAAACGCCAGTCAACGATAGCAACATCCAAAGTAAATTACGAAACGTGATTATAAGATAACCCATGACAACGTTGACTTCTACGAAATAATAAAATCCCAGTGGTCAAAATTCATTTAAAGAATTCAGAAACTATACTAAGACTTATAAATGCATATCTTTTAAAGTAATTGATTACGAACATATAATAATAAGTAAGACAATGAACAATGAACAGTAAATTACGACTGAAGAAACTGAACATTAACGCAAGCATTGAGTGCCAATTTAATCAATTATTTTTATTATAAAGTTTAATCAATCTGTAACGAGATATTTTTATACACATGTGCATCACATCCGATAAATCATAAAAGGTTTCATATTGTAACTGACAATGTTTGTTTATGCAGTTTTTGATGGAGTTAGTAAAAATGTTATTTTAGTATATAATGCATTAAGGTTGCAATTCTTCCCCAGCGGAAACCACCATAAAAAGGTGTGTACTTTTTAAACAAACAATCGCGTCTTAAGAAGAATATTGTCGAACTACATATCCTGACAACAAGGAAACCAATTTTGCATTTTCATGACTTTAGCAATTCTAGGGGGGAGGCAGTCGGGCAGTTAATTTGAATTATTAATAGGCTTAAACAAAATGTATCAAATATAACAATATAAACGATATAGTCTTGGTAGCAGGTTCAATATATGCCAATATAGATGAACACAAAGTCAAACTAAACGTGTCTTTTCACTGCTAACGATAAATAGGCAATAGTTGGTTTGGATTTTAACGTTGACGGAAGCATTATCATGGAAATAAATACTGGTTTCGGCATTGCGCGTCTGTTATTAAAAACAAATTGTTCACCTACCTTTATATTTCTTCCGTACGTCTATGAATCGCACACAATTAGATTAAAAAGACTTTGCTGTGATTATTTTGGGCTCTTCTCGTGAGAACACTACGTTCACGAAAACACAACGTCTTCTGAATTCCAGCTTTGCACTTGGAACGAGTCCTTCAACACTAATCACACGCCGGAAATACGTCAGATTTTGTTTTCGGACGTGAATGTGCGTGATGTTCCATTATTCTGGCCCATTCGTCCACTCTCAGGCAATCAATCACCAGATGCCCAAGTATCGCCATTAGCATGTTATGCCAAGGTCTCAGTATAGAGAACATACAGTAGAGCCACTCCATTGCATTGTTTGTATTTTATTCCAAAGCCATCTTAAGAGAGATTATACATAATATAAATCCTAAGAATAATCTCTCTGATGATGGCTTGGAATAGAATTTTTCGTGCCACATATATCTCATTGCGCATGTGATTATCAATGGCAGCGAGTCAATTGCAATTTGACCAATAGGAATGATGAAATGGCTTACACCAGCCAGTTCTCTTATTAAATATGCAGCAGCCAATTGTACAGCAAAGTGGCCCTACTGTATATTCCCTATACTGTGCCTAGGTCAGCACTGGTTATTGGTTATGGGTTATGCCATGGTTTGGAGGCACAAGGCTTTCTCTCTAATTACCAAAGGCACAACCTTCCTACAATATCGTCTTAATGCTTTTGTTTTGAGCAAGCGCAATATAACACAAATACACAATATTTTTCTAGCACCTCTTGAACACTACAGATTGTTAGTAATGTAGGTGGATGGAGAGAATGGTGAAATAGCTGCAAAATGACAACTCGATGTACCTCAAAGGTTTCATAGGCGACAACCTTTACAAGTATTTTGATACCAATAGATCATTTTCACCCAGGGATATATATGACGATAAATGAAGCATTATTATTGATGTTCCACAAAAAAGAACTTTTCAAAATTGTTTTCATTTGTAGTATTGTGGTTTTCATTGATGTGATAAACCACACCAAACACAAGATTACAATTAACACACAAAAATTTCAACATCAAATGAAAACACTACAAAACAGCTGTCAGTCAGAGGAACATTGATTAATATTATCAAAATTGTCTCCATAACCATAGCTTAAAATTTCTTATTAAAATTTGGCAAAGCTGTTTTCAATTCTTTGAATGATGTGGGGATGTTGGGCAATGATGGAAGACTTATATTAGATAGGTTTGCAACACTAGGACTAAAGTTTTTCACAGCTGCAACAGCTCTTACTGGAGCTGCAGTTATACCAGCCTAGAAAAGATTATTTAAAACTGAGTCATAAAGTTACAAGAAATATGCAATAATATGAACAGTAAGTTACCTCTGACTTTTCAAGTTTGCTCTGAGCTTCAATGTGAGTTAAAATTTCTGACATGTTTGTTTCCAAAACCATCCCACCCATGACTATTTCAGACAAAATGTAATGAACCTAAAAAAATTACTCAAACATTTTTACAAAGCTTTTTAAAATTGAAGAAAGGCATTCTGTATTTTTGTTGACACTTATGTAAATGGTTCCACAAAATATCGTTAATGTCAATATTGAAAATAAAATATCATTTTTATGTTACATGAATACTTCTACTAACCTTGTCAACATGAAAAATTAAATCAAGTTCACAAACATTTTCAAATGTTTTATCCAATGTTTCAACAAAAACCTAAAAATCAAGGATAATTAAAAGATAGCTAAGATAAAATTAGCCATTGACAGAGCTATACCTGGATCAAATCAAGGATTCCAAGTTCACTTTCTGATGAATCAACACAAAACACAAAATATAAGGTTGCATAATGCCGATAGACAATTTTAACATCAGTACCATCAATCAAACTGCAACAAAAGCGGGAATCATTTACGTTTCTAAGTCTACAAACTGAACACAAACTGTAATATTTCTCACCTTCCAGTTTCCAAGAAATTGCAACAACTGTCATCTCTCTTTGCCAATAAATGAAAAGTTTCTCTGATAATTTGTTGCTGCACATCTTCAGACTACGTGCATCAAAATTATTGATTAAAACTAGACGATTTTTCAATACTCCTAGGATAATATTTGGTCACAAGACTTCGTCTAAGTTTATCTCAGATTAAAATGTTTTATATTATACAAATATTTTAAAATTTTCTTTAACCAAAACTTCAAAACTTACATAATGAGTAAAAAACTTGGATAATCTTGGTTTGCCGTGATTATTAAAAATCAAGATTGCTTTTATCATTTCTAATCTTTGGCCGTGTTGATAAAATAATAAAATTTCATTTTCTGAGTGAAGAGTGAAACAAACTAGTTCCAGTCTCTTACGTACGCGCGAAAAGGTTCGGTGAGCAATGTTTTGTCAGGGAGAAAGCAAAAGCAGTGGCTGGATAAAAAAACACACTGGGTCACGGGGGTCAGACTGGGCGACACCTGATAGGAAATGCCCTAATGTCAAGCCACTGACAAAGTAAATAAAAGTATTTACTCAAACTAATGGCTTTTTGTGACGATAGTTTTACTACAACTAGAGATCTAGTTTCATTCTTCTCCTGTGTTGTTTGTTTTTCTTCTGACCGTAATTCTAGGGTTAACTCTTTATAAAACGCATTTTTCATGGATTTTCATGAACTGGTTTTACAAATACCTATAACCCATCGTCAGCATTGACTCAGCAAGTTAGCACGCACAGGCAGTATTACGCATACAATGAGAAACATATATGGGAATTTTACAAGTAATTAATACATGGTATTTTCATTTTTGGTGGTCAAGGTTTGAGACAACCAATACTTAAACAACCGGTTTCTTCTTTTAAAACAACCAAATAAATTTGTGTTTTAAAATGATCATAGATGTCATTTCTTGTCAAGGGATATCTTTTAATTTATCTTGATTTCCAATGTCATTTTGATGTTGTGTAGATCCATCTTAATTACAACAACATCGAAAACTTCAATAAGAAATATTATTCATACCTGTCTTTATCTGGTGTCCCAGCTTTCATTTTTTATAAATAGAGAAAGAAAAATAATAGAAACGAAACTATTTCCAATACAAAAGTAACGAGACCATTATACGTTGCAAAAAATATTCAGACAGAAAAAATATCAGGAGGGAAGACTTTTATTGCATATACCACGATAAACTAAAATTTCGGTCAAGCAAGTTGATCAAGTGTAAAAGTTTCATTCATTTCTTCTGTAAATGTCGTCAAACCTAAAAAAAACCCAAAAATCTTTAACTAAAAACAAAGTAAAAACAGAATTATACAAAAAAAACTTCAAATGTAAAATTTTACTTACGTCAGTAAATCCAATATTCGTTTCATCAAGTTTTGCATTAAAACCATGACTATCAAAATGAACATTGTCTTTGCTGGTTTGAATTGAGTTTTTTGTTTGGTTAGAAGAAACAGGACGTTTTTGTCTAGGCTTAGCAACAGGTCTTTTCTTCACTTTTGTTTCCGTGTTAACATTCGTTGAATTTGTAGTATTTGAAACACTTCCTTTATTTTTTTCGATATTATTTAATGCTTCAACATCCGATGGTTTGTTAGACTCTTCCAAGGAATATGATGACTTCAATTCAAGAGAAGAAATCGTTCTTAAGCCCATACTATTTTCGTCTTCTTCTTTAATCAAACTATTTAATCGTGAAGAACTCCCACGAGATTCACGAGCATATAACTCCAGTATTTTATCAGTAGAAACTGTTTGCAGGTCAGTGAGTCCAGCAGATAAGGGCCGTGGTTTAGAATTCTTTTTCCTAGAAAGCAATTTTCTTGCACCCACGTTTTCCCAAATTTTGCCATCCGAGTCGTTTTTCGAAAGTTCCAAGTCGGAGGATGAATTTTTATCGACGTCTTCTGTAAATTTGGATTGTGTGCTAATTTCAGTGCAAGATATTGTTCGCTCCAGTGGACCAAATGATGTAACATTACGCGAAAAACCAACGTCACTCGCTGATCTCATAAACTTTAAATCTTTATCACACAACGACTTTGGACGATTGCTTTTATTTCTTAAAGTTGCCCGTCTCAAAACGACAGCGCTATCGTCAACAGATGACGTTGTTGATTTATGTTCTGCTATTACAGGATCAACAGCAGCTAAAACAACCGATTGAATCATTAAAGTTATATTAAAGCAACTACAAGTAAATTATTTTTACGTGGAAGTTTGGATCCAACCTTTAGCAGGGTTTACGTCTTCATTTTTCTTCTTTTTTACAAGTTGAAGATGACGAGTAGACAAGAGTTGGTGCGTCACCATGGCAATCTCTTTTCTAATAAAAAAACAAAATTGTAGAAACAACTATTTTCTTCAATACCTTTACATAAAATATTTCTAATATTTAATAAAACCAAATGAATGAATAATATTTACAATTCACATTTAAATAAACATCGTTGTTTAATTAGCTACTTACGCTTTAACTTTTTCGGAAGGATTTAATTCCGCAATACCATAGATGGACACAAATGGAATGGAATCACTGTTATTACCAGATTGACGTATCACTTTAAAATTCTTTTTATCACTAATCTCCCAATCTTTGCTGATTACATGACTACTTGGAATGAAATGTTGTGGCCGTCGTTTGCTAAAAAATCATAGATTGTATAAAAATTTCACGATAAGAAACAATAGCATGTTCATACATATGTTATTTACCACTTCTAAAACCGTGAATACTTACTCAGCTTCTGTGAAAGTATTCTTTGGACTCTCGCCGTCCGGAAATTTTCGTTCACGCAAATTAGACTTAATATGACTGAGTGAGCTTTCTTCAATTTGCTTTCCACTTTCATCCTGGTAAAATCATAATAAATGTAAATTATAAGATTTGACACAAGAAGTTCACTCAAGATAAACTAAACTTACAACATGTGCGCCCACGGTCTCTGGTCGATGAGGCAAATCCTTTGGGAAAGATTTTTTCCTTGACTTCATATTCTATAAAAATAATAGACATTGATAAAGTTGACCGTCATGGAGGACAAACCAACGTTATTCATTTCTTGAAATAATCCCTTCTACAAAGTTAATCATTTAGTTCTATTGTGCTGAGTCACGAATGATTAAAATTGGTATATCAATTGATAATTAAAGGTAGTATACTACACCTTATCCATGCCTATCCATACCTATCCATATGGATCATATCTATCAATTGAAAACGTACCTCAAGCGACTTTTTAAGTTCTTTGTTTTCCTTTTTGACAACATTAACCTCTCGAAATAAAGTTGCTACGCGAGAAGCAAGAATCCAGGTACATTCAGCCATTAATAAGTATCTAGAACATAGAGAATGTTTGTTGATGTAGGCAATGTTAGCCGATGTTAAACCTTCGTTATCTTTCGCAAGAACATCGGAGCCATGTTCAACAAGTGTTTGTACACAAGCCAAATGACCCATTTTTGATGCAGTGTGAAGTGGAGATTGTCCATATCCATCAATAATATCTGCAATTGAATAAACAAGAAGTATATCATGGACTGATAACAAATCAAACACGATGCATTCATTTTGTAATTACCAGTGGTAATTTTTCGTTTTTTCATAAACGTGAGAAGATAATTTAAGCATTGTTCCACCCCTTCAGCAGCAGAGTAATGCAACAAATGTGTTTCACCATCTTGAACAGCAAGTTCTACGTATGCCTTAGTTTCTTCAACTAACCATTTCAAACAATTAACGTGACCATTCTATAAAAAACAAATTAAACCAATTATGACAGAATGAAGGTCACATGAGAAAATAACTCGTGCACTAAAGAGTTAATACCATAAAAAACCATATAATCCAGTCACCTTTGCCGCGTGTGCTGCTGGCGTCAGTTGAATAACAATTATCATGTTTTGGTTAAAAGAAACATAAATAAACTTAGTTAACTGTATCCAGTTAAGCAGTACGAATTGACAACAAGAACGTTAGCTGTTTAATGAATGAATGAACACACAATTTAAGCCAACGGAAATAGCTAACAATGTTGAAACATTTGCATAAAATATAACTTGCCAGGTAATAAAAATATTTCTGGCAAATTAATGAATTAGGAAATTTAATAAACACAGCAGAGAATTTGAAAAACAATTGTATAATCATAAGCATTTCGTCATCTTTCATAATATAATACAATTGAATGTATAAAATATCAAGTAAGTTTGTGAAGGGGAGTTATTTTAATTGAAATGACGAGTATTAAATAAAAACTTTTGAAAATATTTGGTAAGTAATGTCAGTAGCTTCGACATAATGTCGTTATATAAGAAAAAATTTAAATAAAACGAAAGATATCAACAACGACTTGATAATAAAATGGCGAAACAAGAATATACATAATAAATAATTTAATGAATCAAATATGTTAATAAGATAAAAATGAAAGACAGCCGAGTAAAACTATGGTTAATTTTTATACCATTGATAGCAAACACACTTTGTTTTCTATATATTTATAGATGTATAGATATGTAGAGAAATTTCGACTACGGTCGAAACCTAAAATTTTAACTAACCGGTCAAACTTCGTTTCATGAAATCCCGAATAAAAAATATTTGTGACTGATTATATTGTTTGAAAATCGTTGATTAAAGATATTTGTAAGAAATAGTTTGTAAAATGAACGAAGATAAAGCACGCAGTTTGTCTTATGTAAGGATCTTATGATGTGAATACATAAAGCACTTAAAATAGCACGAGATATCAAAATGAGATATTTAGACGTTCTTTAAATGACAAACCTACAACGACTTCATCCTATATTTGTGATTGATCGTTGTCTTTAATAAAAAAGCGATGACACCTTGAACTTTTTTAAATTACCAACGATAATAAAATATTTTTACAATATGCATGCTGCTGCTTCGCAACAAAGGTAATAACATGAAATTCTCATGTTACATTAATGAAATTCAAGACCATCACATGTTTAATAATACATCACATTTGCTTTACTTGAAAAACTTGAAATGCCCAAATCATGTTTTAACATGTGACAATTATTGAAGACACATTGTAAGTGTTTTGAAGACTGCAACGGACAAAAATCTTTACGACGATTACGCCGAAACAAAATATTAATTCTGTGATTCTGTGGTTTCACTCTACCTCGTAAGCCTCCTCTCATACAGCATTTTAACAGCTGAACGAGCAAGTAACTGTAAATATATTTTCATATCCCACTACAGTCTTACTTTATACGCATATATTTCCATTGGATGAAGTTTAAGTGTTGCGTCAGTAGACAATACCTTCCCATCATGCATTAAAGTGAGCGACGTCTTTTGTACATGAGCAAGTTTCAAGCCTTTAAACATATTTGCAAATGATATCTGCAATAAAATAAAGATCAGAGGTTATATAAATATCATCAATCGATGAATATTTAACTTTGTTTATACCTTTCCCGCAGACGGTTTACACCAATTTGGAAAAGAGCAATCGTAACCATGGCGACGCAACATTAAAGCAGCTTCATTCGTGGGCTCGGGTTTCAGCCCATTTTGTATGGTTCTCAAGTTGAGTAAGAATATGTCACAGGGGAAAGGTTTAGTCAGGCCTGAGACAAAAGGTAGAAGAGTTTTTGACTGCGTATTAACGTGATGAAGAGTTGACAAAGGATGAGATAAATGTTGTGAAATAGTATGACTGGCTAAAGAATGATATACTATAGGAACGTCTTTCAATAAATTTACATCTCGTTCGCCTTGAAACTTCTCAATGAAAACTCGAAAATTTGCTGGCGTTCGCTTGTTATCCAAAACACCCTGTCCAAGGCCACGATTATCATCCTGCGATAATCTGCGATCGAGGATCACCTCTAGAGATCCTTGTTGAAGACTAGCAACTCCATTGGACTGGGCCGAGTGAAGTGTAAATCGATTTTTCTTGTCTTGAATGATAGCCGAGTTTGGCATGGGGTAAAAATTAGCTTGTAACGGAAGTTTTGTTAATGTTTTATGAAGCTGCATCTGAAATAAATGATATGAAAGACATAATTTAAAAATTATTCAACTTACTGCTGTTCAAACAAATAAATATAGCATTTACCTGAAAACCATTAAGATCTGTGTAAACATCGTTGTTGTTTTGAATATTTGTCGTAAATCGCATCGAAAGTTCCTAAAAAAAAACATTGAGCTATCATGCAAAAAAATTTCTCATGGATAGCAGCAAAAGAAAAGATACATTACTTTATTAAATTCCCCTCTAATGTCTGCAGTATTTTCAATCTCCACCATTAAACCTTCAGGACCTGAACACAAACAAATATTGTTATGTGCGACAACAGTTCACGTTGTCATCAAACAAAAACTTTTTAAAATAAACACATTCATACCAGGAATGTTATAGATTCTGACAGTATGCCGAACCAATGGTAAATTGGTTCTGAGTTCACTGAAGATTTTCCCTTTAAGAACTATAATCTTTGAGTCTGATTCAATATTTAATGGCTGAAAATAAATACTTTAATATCGTCTAGAAGTTCCATATGTTTTAAATACAGTTGTTGTTGTCATCAATATAGATGAATCATCTTCAGTCATAAATTACGTATCTTCATCAAGTACAATTACCTGTGCAGGTCCATCAGGTAAAAACAAGTAAGCTCCACTTTTATCTTGACCATGAGTAGTGCCGTACGTCATAAATGACAGTAAAATATCTAAACTTTTGCCATCTTGTACAGTCGCTAGTTTCTAAAGAAAACAGAATAAAAGCAAGTTCTATGCAACTTAAAAAAAAATGAAATTGATGCAGAGTCAAAGAAGTATATTTTATCACACGCACCGACATCATTCCATGATGGCTTTCAAACGTTATGTGCAGTTTATCGTTTTCTAAAACTATATCACCAAAATTCCAATCTTTCCGAACAACTTTGAATTTTTCACTAAAAAGAACAAATCATCGTTAAGTCATCCAGTCAACGGTTTTATAATGGAGTTTCAATGTACGTATACACGAAAGTACTCCTACTTGAGTGGGACATCACCATAAAAATGATAAAGATCTACGGAACTAAGATGACCAATGTTTGATGTTTCTTTAATGATGAATGTTGCCAAGCCTAGAGGTGGTACACTTACTACAAAATGTACCTAACATATAAGAAATAAATTTTCAGTTCCATGTTACTGACAAGATAATATAGAAAGGTAGCTAATACAACTATTACTTTATAATGATCTGGAACTGGATTAAAATCTTCATTAAAAACGGGACTGACTTGAAATGCAATTGGACTGCCAGACGAGTTGAAAACCTTAAATAAAGGAAGAAGTAGATTTGCTGTGAAAAGAATGAGGGATATTGCATTCTTGAATAGCAATAAATTTGTCGTAGCCAAATTAGTTTCCCTGTAACATTTCTTTGTTTTAAATACGATATACAACATTTCTTTGTTTGTTTAGTTAATTCTTCCGTTTTGTTTTGTTGCAACGCGTGAGAATTTGAAACGCGATGAAAGAGTGAGTACTGATAATGACGTAAAAGGAAAGCTCGTCTTATGTTTTGCATTAATTACCGTTAGTATAAATAGATGTAAACAATTAACTCTAACAGATAGCGTAGAAATACTCCAGTGATGTATTGTACTTGTAGCTTGTAAAATAAAAGGTTCAAAACAAAGAGTGTTAGTGAACCAGCTGAGGAGCGGATTCCTCGATAAAGAACATCATACATGAAAAAATACATGCATACACCTACCGTTATTGATGGAGTTGAAACATGAACACTGACAACTTCCACACGATAATCTTGTAAAGAATTGTAAAACGTAACATGCCTATGAAAGTAGTTTAAAAAATCTAAGTCGATGTTTCTTCACAATATTAAACTCAACTAAATGAAAAGATAATGACGTGAGTTACCTTGGTTTCGCACTCGTCATGCTAAGTATTTTCTTTCTAGGGAAAGCATCGTGTCCTTTTCTTTCTTCATCCTAAAAAAATATGAAAACTTAAAATTACAAAACAATACTCATAAATGTGATGTGAAGTAGTTTTGCCTTACATATTGAACCATAATCATTGATTTATCGTCTCGTTCATAATCTTTGCTTGATTTATGAAGTAAGAAATAAGAACATTCTTCTATGATATGGGCAGTGTCTTGTAAAGAACGATGTAACCTGTTGTGAAAAATAATAATTATTTTCAAAGACAAGAGCCATGATGTACAATGATGTACAATGATGTACAATGATGTACAATGATGTACAATGATGTACAATGATGTACAATGATGTACAATGATGAAGCTACTCACCTAAAGCCATAGTCCACAACAACATGATCCTTTGCAGTACCAGTAATTCCATCGTGATGTTGAAATAATCCTAAATTTCTCCTAGCCTGCATCAACAGGTGAAATAAATCATTTGATGGAAATAGCTTTGCATTTTTATTATGAGCATGACAATAAGCGAGATAAAATATAATTTCAGCAGCTCTGAGCCGGGACTCAAGGACACGATCTAAGTTCTTGTAAAATGGTCGACTGGTGTAATATCCACTCCAGTAATGATCATCTCTATAATGGATAAAAATGTTGATTAAACATCAAAACATTTTGTTGCTGACAAAAATCAACTCACCTGTCGGCATATGTAAAGAAGTCACCACCCAAAGTTGGATAATGAGGAGGCTGAGCTCCAGGATTCACCCCTGTTTTTTCCCATATTTTGTTAAAATAATCAGATAAAGTACCAAACTGTGCCTGCAAATGAAAAGTTTCATTATTAAAGACAATAAAATGAAGATTATTCTCACAACAACATATACTGTTACCAACCTTGACTTTTAACTCAGGATGGGAATTCATGTAATCAAACAATTTCTACATTTAAAGAAAACAAAACTCAAAAAAATCTATCACTAAATAAAAAAAAACATTGCTTTCTATAATCACCTGATAATTTTTAAACTGTTCAATGCTTTCAAATTTCACTTCATATCTGAAATCATCTCCCAACGGTATCAATACAACATTATTTCGATAAAGAGTAGCCTTCTTTCGATATTGATCCAGTAGCTTTAGAGCTCTACAATAAAGAAATGATGACAGTAAAATCAAAAAGATACAACAATAATTGGTATGTGGGTAGGTACCTTTCTTTAACATTACCATCATCTATTCTTGATGGTGAAATATGCCATGGACAATGGATACCTCCACCTGGTAGACGACGAAAATCAAACTGACAGCAAATCTATGAAAAAGCTAAAGTCAATCAATGTTATTAAGAGTTATAGTAAAATTATTTGGACTAACATACTGCAGGCTCAGGTCCACATGTATGAGGTATATCATAACTATAAAAAGGCATCATGTGACAAAACATGTCTGTTGATGAGGAATGGTCTATAATTTATCCAATGAAAAATAAAAAACGTAAATGTACAATCATGAACTTAACAATAAATCCTCATAATCCATAAATACCCCAATTCTGTTTCCACATAAATTCCAATTTCTTTCTCCTAGCAAGATATTTTTTCACAGCATAATGTGTCCTTTGAATCAACATTGACTGAAATCCTGATCTTTTGAGAACATAAGCCATTGTTGGTGTGTGGCCAAATGGATCAATTGCCCAGCCAGCACGTGGTCGTACACCTTACCATGGAGATTACGTAAATATTGGTTAAACCATACAACAACCATGATATATTATACAGGTGCATTATGAATATGTACCTATATTTGCCATTAACCATTGTTGTCCCTCAATCAACTGGTCAATCATAGCAAAGTAATGTGTATTTGCTTCATCATTCATTACCCAGCCACCAGTGACAATTTCAAGTTGACCATTTTTTACAAGACTATAAATAATATATTTTAGTTAAAAAAAAAGAAAATTTCTGAAACAATATTCTTCCATATTTACTAACTTTTTAAATAATTCCTTTCGTTTCTCATCAGCATCAGCCCACCACATTGACAAATACGACATCTCAGCCCAAATAAATTTCCTACGTTTATCCAAAGCCAAAGCATCAACAACATTGTTTAAAATTCTTTGTGTTTGATCGTGATAATACACATCCAATGTCTTGATCCAACCTAGAGGAAAGATAACCAGTAGGATGGCTGACAGCAATGATAGACTAAAGACAATTATTAAAGGGGGCATACTTGGATCACAATAGGACTGAGGGGGCATACCATGATCACAATAGCACCGAAGGGGCATACCTGGATCACAATAGGACTGAGGGGCATACCTGGATCACAATAGAACTGAAGGGGCATACCTGGATCACAATAGGACTGAGGGGCATACCTGGATCACAATAGGACTGAAGGGCATACCTGGATCACAACAGGACTGAAGGGGCATACCTGGATCACAATAGGTTGAGGGGGCATACCTGGATCACAATAGGACTGAGGGGGTAACAGGTTTTTCAGGACATGATACTGACAAGTTATGTGAGGTTTACCTGGATCATTGTGAGAATGGGGGACAACAAAAACATCTAGATGCTTCTCAACATTTTGACGTTGAACATTCCATCCTTGTTTCCAAGCACCACCATCAGGATTATCGAATGGCAAAAGATCATAGACATTTAGCATCTGATAAAGATAACACCATATTAAATCTCAAAACATTAAAGAACACTTTTTATATCACAAAACTTACTTTAACATCAGATGAAAGACCAGAAGGTGTCATAGAAAATTGACATCCATCATCTTTTAAAGGATCTAAAGTAATGTAAGGATCATCAACAGTTTCTTCAATTGTGTCTTCCAAACTTTCTCTTTCAATATGTGAGGTTGGTTTGTTTTCGTTAAGCTTTGATGTGTCATCTTTTAGTTGATTAACAACATTTTCAGAAATCTTTATTTTTTCTTCTAAATACACCATATCCTTTTCAATTTGTGATAATGGTACAACAACTTCTCTGTTTACCTGTATAAGATAACATGAATTTCAAGAGAAAGACATGTGATGCTATCATTAATATTTAATATTAAAGGTATTAAAGAAGTAGTGATAATGCAATAAGAAAACATTATGATGACAACAATACACCAATGAAACTTATCTTCTAACCCTCCAGTTTTATACCTGAGCTTCAATTATATTTTCATAACTGGGTATTTTTGACGATTGATCCACGACTAAATATATAGATAAAGACACTACAACAAACAAAGCACCTCCGAAGAAAGCAATGGACTTCCTCATTATAAAGCCTGTCACATTTGGCTAGTTTATACAACTACAATATGTTGGTGTTTATATCTTTTTTGGTTGTAATAACAAGTACAAACAGCTCCATTGCACTGAAATATTATCGGCTGACATTCGGACGATCTTCGGAAAGGCAACGTCATGCTAAATATTATAATTAGTACGAATTAATCAACGAATTTTGTAAATTGTAATGCACCCAGCTTGGTTGTAATTTGTATCGGTGTAACTTATGTTGTTGCTGTTGCTTAGGTTGTGAGTTGTTACTTAAGTTCATGATAAAAGATTTAATAAAGATCAAGCCGTTTATTGACGATTATCCTGTAACAATAATTTCATTCTATTTTCTTATATATGCGTACCAAAGTCGTGATATTCCTTATCTGCATCATTCTTTTCATTTTGTGAAAATATTCGAGAATCTCAAGTTTCATATTTGAATGACTTTCCAATACATACAAAAATCACAAGAACGACAAAAAACTTTTCATTGTCTACAGTTAAGTCTTCTTCAACTATAAGAAATCCCAAAAATGTTGATATCGTCAAATTCATCACCACCAGACAGTCAGGTTTCTGGTGCAGTTCAATAATTTTAAGTAACAAAGTTTTGTTGAGATTACGAGCATGATTTCTCTAGTTTCGAAAAAAATAAGATACCATTTGGTTTAACAATGACACCATCAACATCAAACGTTTCATCTACTAACAATTTCCTAGCTTTCAGTTTCTTCATCATATTTTCTGCTTTTTTGTTAAACTACATAAATATTATTCTTCAAGACTTCATCTTTTTTATCAGAAAACTCATGATATATAAACGTTACTATTAACGTGTTGTTAGTTTAAGGGCATTGTTAGTACCATTAGCAAACAATAATTCTTCTTACATTTTTAAAAAAGAAAAACTGAATCAAAACGTCGTAACAGCCTCGACTGAAACTCTTGTCTTGACAATAACATGCAAAAATTGATGATCACAATCAAACAATTCTCAATGCAAAATAATTACGGAGCGAAAGACAAATCTCTCGACATTTTTTATCATCAATAAACTTTAATATGTAATTGAAACAAAAAATATAAAATTTTACACAGATAATAAAAAATATTTCAAACCATCTATCAAACATAGCATTGTATGTGGGCCAAACACGGTGCCACATTCATACACGAATCTCAAAACATTTGGAAATCTCGCCTTTGACGGGAGGGAAATGTAAAACAGCTCCATTGTCACGAAACAGGACACACCTCCTCTCCTAACAATTTTTCCATAATATCTTCCTCTCATTCTATTTTAAATCTTGACATACTAGTTCGTGAAAGCTTACTTATTTCTAATCTCAAACCAGATCTTAACGAAAACATTTCTTTTCCTTTGTCACTCTCTAGCCCTCCTATGACTATTTAATCACTCTTTTTCTACTTAATTTGTAAATACTGTAATTTATATTCTCGATTTGTAACATTATACCATTAGTTTCACTCCTTTGTCACTCTTGCAGCCTCCCTATTATTGGTCAATCTCTCTATCTTTACTTAATTTATTCATAATTTGTAAATACTATCATTTGTATTTCTCATTTTGTAACTTTATATTATCATTCTGAAGAAGTCGCGCGTTGCGACGAAACGTCAATATAATACTTTCTTTAAATTTTTTTCAACAATTGCAATTCATATTCTTGCAATAAGCAGGGCTTTAATGTTCATTATAAGATTACGTTTCCGGCCTGGAAAATCAATCGCCACTGTCATATCTGTGCAGTTTAATATTTTTAACCAAAAAAATGAATTGCTGTAAAAAGTACTTTTCCATTTCAATTACAAATGATAAATCATTTTATCTTGAAAAATAGTGTCCTTAAATTCCGTCAAAAGGATGTTAGTTGTAACATCATATTATCGTTTTTAATTGGTTTCTTTCTTGGTCCTGTAAGTCCATTCTGCTCAACAGTAAAACATAAAATCAACAGTAATTTAATTTTCAACATACTTGTCAAGCTTCTCCACCAACAACGTACTGTCTAATCTACAGAATATTAAAGAAAAATTTTTAACAATTGACTTTGATAAAATATGATCAATCGAAGTCATTGATAGTAAACCTGGATTCATCAGTAAGACTATCATCGTTTGAGTCACTCGTATCTCTATAAGCTGTGACATCGCTATCTTCGTCTATAAAAAATAAACAATTCATTAAAACTTTAACATCAATCATCGTTTGCATCGTTGGGTAACACCGGAGAATTCTTTAAATACCACTATATATTCTTGAGTTGTCAGTTGATCCAAGAGCACTTTCAAAACCAGTAGTAGAATCAGAATCCTCTCTGGCGCTTAAATACAACGAAGAATCTCCTTCCTCGCTTTCACTATCTGTTTTGGTATCGACAGAAAAATTGGCAGCCATCACACGTTTAGAACCTACGACAAAAGATACAAACAATCATTGCTGGAACCCCAAAATAAAAGAATTATTTTTCATTTCATCATATAAAGACAACAGCTGTGTTATTAATAGATATATAATTCATAAGTATATCTGAGAGATCGTTTATTGCTAAATATAATGCATATTTCCATAACCTTCCCAACCTTTTGTAAGCGCATGTGAATTTCCAGGCAAGGAACTCTGTATGTGTTGATTAGTTCGGGATGATACGTCACTTTCCAAGTTCGACTGCATCAAAGGACGAAGATTTAAATTTTGACCATCAACTACATCATGAGAGTTCCGTTCCCCACTTTCAATGACATCCGTGGAATTATTCATTTTTTCAACTATGTTCGATTGTTTCACAGATTCAGATGTTGAAGCAACGTCATTCACTTTAAGCACTTGTGTGTCTTTATTAATATGTTTATTATATGGCAAAGATGACGTCATTCTTGATGATGTCGTGTTGGCGTTTTCATTATCATCTCCAGATTCCTCAAGAAAATCTTTGACTTCACTTGTTGTAATAATGTGTTGGTAGTCACTGTCTACAGGAAACTTGATGTCAACTTGTTTATAAAATGTCTGTTCCTGTGTATTCTTTTCATTAGTAAACAATGACATATCCTTACTTCTGTCAAGACTTTCACCATCATTATTTTTCTCACTATCATCTTCATCACCACCTTTAACAACAACACCTTCCTTACCATCACCAACATCAATACCATCAGTGGCAGATGCATTCAAAGATACCATCCCAAACAAAGACTCAAGTTGAGAAATATCAACGTTTGATTTAACTTTCTCTTTTTGATGAATATCATTGCTTTCCGACAACTTAAAATCTACATTTAGTGTTTCTGACGTCGTTTCTTTCTGTTCTGTGATCTGCTCTACTACAACATCTATTTTTGGCTCAGTGATCTGCTCGACCACAATAGAAGAAGTTGGTTCAACATGCTTTTCAACCACAATAGAAGAAGTTGGTTCAACATGTTTTTCAACCACAATAGAAGAAGTTGGTTCAACATGCTTCTCAACCACAATAGAAGAAGTTGGTTCAACATGCTTTTCAACCACAATAGAAGAAGTTGGTTCAACATGCTTTTCAACCACAATAGAAGAAGTTGGTTCAACATGCTTCTCAACCACAATAGAAGAAGTTGGTTCAACATGCTTTTCAACCACAATAGAAGAAGTTGGTTCAACATGCTTCTCAACCACAAAATCTGAAGTTGACTTGCGCGCTTGACACATCTAAAATTCAAACAACACATTTAAAAATACAACAGCAGGAAGGGTGGATAAGATAGAGGTAAGAAAAAAATGTACACCATTTTCACACTAAAAGTGACTGCAATGACAGCAACAACAAACATTTTCTGCCTGCGTATGTAGAATGTTAGGAGGATTTAATTATATAACATGCAAAAAATATGTTAATGAAAATTTTTTATGTAATTCCTGATCAAATCATACTTTTTACAAGAAAAAAGAAAATCTTTCTACCTTTTTATCATCATCATTTGAAAAGCCTTTATACACAGCAAAACCTCCTTCCACAAGTTTCTGTTCGATATTTACATCCTAAAATTAATTATTAAAAGAAACAGAAATACAAATTACAACATGATTATTTAATACCAATTGATAATATTAAAATTTCATTATTACTTGTTCAGTATTTGTGTCAATAATTTCAACGCAAGGTGTACTGTTATCATCATAGAATAAAACTTTTGCCATTAGTACTTTCCATTGCGCACAATAAGTTAATTTGACAAACTCATCACAAGCCTTTGTACTCCATTTATCACCTGAGAAACAGAACTTTTAAAAAAAATTAATGAAAAAATTAAACTAAAGTCAACTCTACTAACCAATTGGTTGAACATTGGCCAGTTTTACTTCGATTGCTTGAAATGGCAAGTCCGAGAATTCATGCCTACACAAACATATTTTTGGAAAAATGCATTAAAAGCAATTAAATTTAGATAGTAGGTACAATCAAATACAAACCTCATTATTTTAACACATGACAGTGGAAGAATGTCTTTGTCACCAAAATCAACGTAATGTAAATGTACTTCATCTTTGTTTATTTGTATTATCTTTGCTCTGTACCATGAACTATCATGTTTAAACATTGCACAACACAGATCACCTACTGCAGGTTGTGTCAATTGATAACCTTGACATTTTTCACCATAATAAGATGTCATTTCTTCAATAAGATGGTCTAACAGCTTTGCATCTTCTGTAACATTCTGAATCCAAAATTTCTCAGGTGATTCAATGGCTGAGACATAAACTTTAAAGTAATCATTAAGTATGGCAATACGAGCATGAGATGTCTTTAATCTTCCTGAAAAACAAAACCATTGAAGTTTAATTTCCAACTAAAATAAACATTTTGCATATTTAAGGACTTGTGTACCTAGATCAGGTTTTTTCTTTCTTGCTCTGAACTCTTTTTCCTCCATGATTTTCTCATTAATCAATTGTTTGGCACAATCTATTTCTGTCTGAGTTCCAGAAATAATGCATGTTCGTGTATCACTAGCTTTGTTCTCATTACCAATTTCTATTCTGGCTCCTTGTTTAGTTGGAAAAGATAGAAAAATGAAAACAAAATTCATCAATGATCAACCATTAAAAACCATCTATGAAGTGATTGGTTGATGATTACAACAAATTACCTGATGTGCGACATAACTGTCGAATAGTCTTTCCACCTTTGCCAATAATACGACCAATGAGATATTGTGGTACATCAACTCTTATCTTTTCTTTTACTGGTTGTTCAGCAATAATTTGCTTAATCAGAACTTCAGCATGTTTAATGCCTTCACGAGACCCACGTACAACAATTGTACGAAAAATTGGTCTCTCTTCTTCCATGAATTCATCTTCACATCCTTCTTCATTATCTTTCAGATTAATTCGTGTCCCACTGTCTTTCTGTATTTGTTTTATAACGTTGCCAGCATGTCCTCGATGGAAGTGATCATGTCAATGTTAACATTATAACATATTTATTGGTAGAAATGCACAAGAAAAACAGCTGTGTAAACACGAGGAAAAAATTTACCTATAACTGCTCCAACATGCTGTTGTTGAATCGTTAGTTCACTCGTCAAATCAGCAGAAGAAACAACTGTTTCCTCTGTGTAATTCTCGTCGTCTTCTTCATCGTTCTCTCTCGCCCATTTTAACACAAAATAGAAAAGTAATCCAACAATAGGGACACTCAAACCTATGGCAATTTTTTGTTTCGTAGTCAATGGAGGCATCTCAGAAAATTTAACAGTAGTAAAGCATTAATAGATTTCAATGGTCCATGGAGTCCACCATTATCATTTTACCGGTGATCAACGAGCATTTCCGACTTACCACCGAACAAACATTAGGAAAAAATAGATTGAGAACATTTGTAAACCAAAAATTATGACTAAAGGAAGTTTTATTTGGGTCAAGCTACAAAAACTAAGTATAAAACATGAGCCAAATAAAATCCATTACAGTCTCTTCGAATATAAAAACAAATTTTGGCCGACGTTGTGACCACGATCCATGACGTAACTGCATTTTCAGAATAAATTATTTTCGATTGTTAACTGGTTAAAATATGGTTAAAGATTAATGTTAATTGCCGTAAATCTGCCTATAATCTGGATCAACCCTGAAAGAAAAATGACAGGCAGTCATTCAATGGGATTTGGTTTTAAATGAGTGAAATACAGAACGTGCTTCACCACATTAAACTCTACTTACCTCTTGACTTCATCTGGGATAAAAATGTAATCAGTTTGGATTAAACTTGACAGTTCTTTTAAAGTATTCACAAATGTTAATTTTCTTACAAAATTTGAGCTGAAAATTTAGCAAAGGAATGGTTCAAAAACAAAATAAAATATAAAAAAAGAAGAACATAATAATGTACAAAAACCACCTTATAAAAGGTCGACACAGTCTAAAGACACTCTTCAACCAAAGGTTAGGATGAACAACATACACCTGTGACACACTCTTTCTTAATCTAAATAAATACACACTGGTAAATATAAAACAGTTATTTATAATTTGTAAAAAGCAGGTTAAATATGAACCTATGATCAATAAATTGATAGTATTTCTTTAACCATGAAAAGCTTGGAGACTGATTTCTGTTTGTTCCTCCATGAAAATAAACAAAAATATACTCGTCTGAAGTAACCAGTAGGTCCATAGTGCTGACAACAAAGCTAAAAAGAAATTAGACATACAAACTCACGTTAGTTTGAACTTCATTGGAGAGTTTTTCTTCAAAATTATTATGATCAAAACATGAAATTCTTGCTGTGAAAGCAACTTATAAAATAGATTTTTTCTTTCTCACTGTGTTTGCAAAAGAAAACTATCAATTCACTAGTTTGGTAATTTAAAGAATGGATAGCAAACATTTGGTGGTTCTCAGCTTGCTATCACAAAAAAACACTCACTAGAATAGTTGTTCCATTAAAATTGAATATCTCTTCAATTTCTTGTCAGGAAGATTGCATGCAGTCAAAACTACAATCACCATTTTCTTATCTCCTTCATGATGATAACCTGAGTCAAATAATTACTTGATTTAGACATGCAAAACTCACTATTTCTAACATAAAGCGTTTCTAAAACGAGCCATACATACCTCCATGAGTAAGAACTTTTAGAAATGGCTCCAATAATTTTAAATCAATCAATTTATGCTGACCATTGAAACTAACAGTATGCCAACGTAATGAATCAGTTTTAACATTCTCATTTATCAGTTCTTTATCATTTGTTTCTTCCTTTGAGATATCAAATTCTTTATCCTCTAATATTTCATGATGAAATTTATCAAAAGCAGTCATTAGCTCTTCACGTGTAGGAACTTTCTTATGTTCACCCTGATATGTTGTAACTTGCTCCAAAGACACAGCTCTTCTCCGCATCGGAACTTCTGTTGAAAATAAAAACTTGAAAATTTCATATATACCAAAAACTCTTCCCTGTGAGTACGTACCTGTATCATCCTCACTATCGTCGAGATCATTTCACAAAGATCATTTATACTCTGCGCTTTTCTTTGCAAAGTTTTCATGTTGTCATCGTTATAAATTTCATCATCTTGTACAGCAAGAAATACAGGACACAACAGCTCTGGTGCTTTGAGTCGATGGCTGCTTTCATCAAATGATAACTCATGCAATATAACCTTGTGTTTACCTGATCAAAAATACTGGATTATACTTACTGTTGACAATCAATTATTCTAGCAACTTCAACAATAAAGTATAAATACCTTGAACACCTGATTTTATTTCTTGCTCCATTCCCTTCATATCTACCTCCCATTCACTATCAAATTCTAATGTAACATTACCAAAGGTGCTTGATTGTCGAGATAATGTCCTGGGACTAGATGGTTCACCAAATGATGACTCTTCTTCTTCAATATAATCATCTAATGGCATTTCATAACTTTCCTTGCCTTGCTCTGTTATAGGTGTCCCTAAGTATCCCCATCCTTCCTCTGCTACAGATGTCCCTAAATGTTTCTGTCCTTCCTCTGTTACAGGGATTACTAGTTGCTCCCATCCTTCATCTACAGCTTCTACTTTCAGTTTTTCTTCAGATGTCAGAAATCTTTCAAACATATTGCTCACTGACTCATTTGCATTAACTGGTGTGCTTTGTTGAGGTAATTTTGATACAGAATCAATAGTATTTTCCATATATTTATCACCAGTGTTTTTCTCAAATGAAATTATTTTGTTTAATTCCCCAGTTGAGTTTGCGCCTTCAGTTGTCTTGCTTTGTGCACTAACAAATGTATCTTCATAACTTTCCTCAATTGTTTCAAATGCTGTGACATACAAAGAACCATTTTCAGTGCAAGTGTTGGGGCTTAAATACCTTGCATCAATAACAGATTTTTCACTTTGAAGAACAGAGTTTTGATCTTTCTCAGTACTGAGGCATAATGAATTTGATTCAAACTGGGACATTTTGTAATTTTCAATAACTTTGTTGTATGTTTCATCAATAATGGATTGTGACAACTTTTCAATATACTCTGCCAACTCAAAAGATATTGCAGCACGTTCCAAAGATTGCATCTTTTGTTGTGTAGTAGAAATATCACAGGAAGTACTCTGATTCAATACAATTTCATCATAGACTTTGCCTAATGTTTCATCAACAAATGTTGAACACATTTGTTTAGTTGATATATTGTTCATTTCTTTTGAGTGAGAAATTAAAGAATTGCCAGCTTCTACATTTGAAATTTTTGAAGCGCTAGAATCCAATGGTTGAAGGAGAAAGTTCTCGTCAATTTCCACTTCATTCAATACCAGCTCTGACACTTTCTCAATTGCAGATGTTATAATATTAGTTGTAATTTCCTGCAAAAACAGGTCAAGGCTTGAATCATTAGCCATCACATTTTCTCCCATCTCGCCTGAATATCTTGACAGCCTTGATAAATATAGCTTGAAATACTAAATATTGTTGACACCACGAGATATTTAAGTTAAATTATAAAAAAATTTATGACATAAAAGATAAATACGATGTTTTCTATTCTGTCGACAATACAGTAAACGGGAAAATCAATATATATATAGATAATACGTACATTGTTCAGACACATTTACATATGATAAGGTTTTGTCTTAAAATTGATATCGTTTAACAAAAAGTAAAAGCAAAATACAAGTGAAGCATGCCCAACTTTGGTAATATAAACAAAATATCGCAGTTGGACACTAACTTCAAACTTGGATTGAAGAAAAACAGTACCTTGAAAAAAAAGATTCAAGTGGCAGTTGTCCATTCGGGCGAATAAAATTAACATCACAACATTATTTTGGCGAGGTGCCCAGATAGATGGACCATGCTCTTTTGCATTTGATTCAGAATGTTTATTATTTTAACGTGAAACGGTCAATTAATTTCTCTCAATATACTCCCCCAGTATGTTCTTTCTATTTCTTCGGTACATCACCCCCCCGGGTATATTCTTTCTATGTGTTTTTGGCACAGCTACCCAAGTTGACAGGTTCTCTTTAATTCCTTGCAGATGGAGAGTCATGAGGAGAGCGTAGATAATTGTGCATGAAATTAAAATGATCAGAGGTTGTGAAACGCTAAATGAATTTAATTGTATGCTAATGCTTTACGACTGAGTTAAAAAAAGTGATCTATTTTAACTAGACCTTGTCGTCAAAAAGAGCGCGCTCACTTAATAAATCGTACTCAAGATAGAACATGTAAAAATAAGAAATGTTTTACTTATCCACGTCAATCATAGACACTATGGTGAAGTGAACATCGTCAAAGTAGAATTAATATTAAGAAAAAATATGGCTTTTCCTACAGGAGCAAGACTTCTTTTCATCATTGTTGGAGCGCTCCAGATTTTGCTATCTCTAATGTTTATAATTTGCTCGAAAGTTGTCTTGGAAAAATACAATTCAAGACTGCAATGGTACTCTCTCCTCTATATGTATGTAAGTACTAATATAAGTTTGTTTCAGAAAGGATCGCGTCAGTATTCTATATAAAACCTTGACGGTTAGGTGTATTAAAATATTGAACGACTGCGGTAAGAGAACATCTGCTGTATATTATCATAATGTAACTGTTCATAGATGAATTTAACTTCTTGGACTATTTTGAAGGTTAAGGATTTAAACCTTTGAGATTTTTCTTCCCAAATGTCAACAATAAACTTTATCTCAACACTGCTAAACACGCCGCATTCATTTTCTACTCAACGTAATTAAGTTGAGCGAAGACATGAATGAAGATGGGTTATTTGATTGTGCTGACGATATCTCAGTAGGATTTATCAAATCAATCTATTTTTTGATATTTGCCGTTTGCATATTTTGTCGTAGCAACTTCTTTTTTAAAATCCTTCGAGTTCATTCATTAACGCATTTCTTCTTCTTAAATAAATGATAATTCTAAAAAACAGATTTACGGAACAGATATTATATTTCATTTTTGCATAAATTCATAGGCAGCACCTGCTGTAGAAATACTTTTATATTTTAATAGTCACAAAATGCCGAGTAAAGACACTCAAGTTTTCAAATTTACTAATCGTTTGTTTGTAAACAGTTCTCTTTACTAGGATTAATGTGTATCATATCGGGAATTGCTAAAAAACGGCGTCACTTGGTGAGATAATATGATTGCACAAGAGCAACTTTAAAACGTTTATACATAAAGTACGGAAATGATGTGTTTGCTTATAGCCTGAATATTTTTTAGGTAAAATTATCAATCTGTCTGCATGTCATAGCAATTGTTATTGGGACGATAGGTGCCGCTGTTAGCTCAGTATTTTGGCAAATGTACAAAGAGTCCGGAGCTTGTGGTGAAACTGAACAAGGAGACTGTATTTGCTTCCATGAAAAATGTAATGTGTATAGTTTAGTGTACATGAAATAGAGATATGAATGAAATAACATGAAGTGTTTATTACTTAAAGATGACATCGACTGTGTTGATGGTGATTTATCGCGTCGTATTTTAGCCGCGCTGACAGCAGCCAATATAATTGTAATACTGACGTCGTTTTTGGGAACAATTCTTGGATTTACAGTAACATGTTGTGATCCATCCAATAATTTTAGGGTACGTATTTGCTTCTTACTAGTTGAATGAAATATTCTATTATAATATATCATTAATTGTTTATCTAGGAAGAACAATCCAGAATGGAGCATAGCGAACAAACAGCAGAGTCAAGTGTCTTCGTCACTCAAACAGCGGTGGAAACAATACGTTTAAGTGCGGTGTGAATGAAATCTTTAAATCAACATTTACAAACACATTTATATGTGTTTATCATTGTATCATGCGGAGAAATGAAAGTATGCCTTAATTTGATGGCTGACTTCGAGATAGCGAACATTTCAATTTTTCTTAATTACCCGGTGTGATGTGAGGGTTACAGATATCTTACATAGTTTTGTCGAAATCACTTGCAGTAAAAAAACTTACATTTACTGACGAAGATATATTATCAAGGAGAAAATGTCAGATTCATTGGAGATATCTGCACATCTGTCGATGGACGCTGCCAGCTCTCCGACAAAGTACAATTGACAGGTGTCGAAGTACACTCGGCCAACGATCGGAGTTCCGATATCTCACGAAGCATCGTCTTTCCATCTTCACGAGTCTGCAAACATATTTCAAATGTAATTATGGATGTTCTGGTGTTTTGAGAAATCAAGAGAAGAAAAAGAAATGGAAAAGAAAGGAAACACGTTGCTATAGTTACGTCAGAGTAATCACAAAACGTTGCTATAGTTACCTCAGAATAATCACAACATTTCTGTGCATATTTTGATGCTTCTGCATATTGTTTATTGTTGATAAAATGACGAGATAAGAACTTATAAGCACCAGATACATCTTCCGTAGAAAGTACCTACATGAGAATACATAATGAATATTACAGACTCTGTTGGTCCCAAGATAATATTCTTCGTCCATATATTTTGTACATACTTACTCCTATAATATCTGCTTTTTTTGTATAAGTCATATAGTATCTGCATGCGTCTTCATTCTCCTGGAGTCGTTCATAAAGTCTGTAAAAAACACAATTTTTTGCAACGTATGTTATTCCCTTTATCAATGTACTGAGAATTACAACTAACAACATTTTATTCACTTTACTAACTAGAAAATTGTAACATTGTTACTTGACTTATTATAACTTTTAATTATCTTACCTAGCAAATTGTAACATTGTTACTCGCCTTATTATAACTTTTAATTATCTTACCTAGCCAATTGTAACATTGTTACTCGCCTTATTATAACTTTTAATTATCTTACCTAGCCAATTGTAACATTGTTACTCGCCTTATTATAACTTTTAATTATCTTACCTAGCCAATTGTAACATTGTTACTCGCCTTATTATAACTTTTAATTATCTTACCTAGCCAATTGTAACACTGCAATACCGTCAACATCCCCGACGCCAATCGCTCGTCTATAACACTATCAACAAAACACTCGGATATAACACAATAAGCACGAACATTAGACAGCTAAACATGAAAAATGAAGAAACCTTCTTTGCTTCATCAACACGACTCAATTTCTGGTAACATTCTCCAAGTGCAATGATCATTCGAGCATCGTTTGGTCTGCAGAAATATTGAAATGTTTTATCAATAACAAAGAGAGCAATAAATAACTCAGTGAAGACTAAAGGTCTGCACTTACTTCAATCGTTGAGCTTCAGAAAAGTAATACAAACTATACAGAGGCATTTTCATGATTTCGTAAGTCTGTCCTAGTCCATACCAAGCACGATAGTCTCGCGGGCTCACCTCTTTAAGAAAAATGACTTAGTTCATGTTAATATAGGTGTAAAAAAGTGTCGATGACTAACCGATTGCTTGACGATATGACTCGATGGCGGCTGATGTATTTTTCATTTCCATATATTCATGTCCCATTAATGTCCACGCTGACAGATACCGTGGATTTAGACGTAATGCTCGTTGAAAATATAATATTGCTTTCTCGTGACATTGACGCAAGCTGTAGAAATTAGCTGAATAAATACATAAAGTTACTGCTCCCTGAGAATGAAGAAATTTCATCGAAAGATGACGTCATTATTTACCTACAACACAACAAGTTTCAACGCGATATTTGTCGATTTCAAAACAATGATGAGCTAAATGGCTTAGTTCAGGCTTCATTTCCTGTAAATACGTGTATATCAACGATGTACATTTGAACTTCGTTAAATTGAAAGAAACACTGAAGTTTAATTAGTGGTGAAAAAGGTTCATATGTACCTTAACATAGAGTATGTTAGAGTATGTATCCATATTCTCTAGGCAATATGGATGAATTTTGTTGATTTCTTCGTACGACGTTACAGCAACATCGAAATCTTAAAAAATGGCATTAAAATGTTCGATTTAAAATGGCAAATGAATGCAAATATAAATTGTGGAAAAAAACTTTACAGTCAATTGTACAAAATGGATGAAGTGAAGAAGTCTAACGGTTTTAACAAGTGACAATTTGATCATTTCTTTTACTATACCTCCCACCCCCACAGTAACTGCTGCTAATGCTTCATTCATCACCACCCCAGAGTATCTTCCACTAATGCTTCATTCATCCCCACCCCAGAGTATCTTCCAATAATGCTTCATTCATCCCCACCCCAAGATCTTAATGCTTCATTCACTCCAATCTTCCATTCTTCATTCACCCCCCCCCAGAGTATCTTCCAATATTCACTCCCAGCTTCATTTCATCCCCCACCCCAGAGTATCTTCCACTAATGCTTCATTCCCTCCCACCCCACAGTAACCCATTCACCCCCACCCCAGAGTATCTTCCACTAATGCTTCATTCACTCCTACCCCCACAGTAACTGATACAAATGCTTCATTCACCACCACCCCCAGAGTATCTTCCACTAATGCTTCATCCCTCCCACCCCACAGTAACTGCTACAAATGCTTCATTCACCCCCACCCCCAGAGTATCTTCCTGAAGCCTGAATGTTTTCTATACCTTTCAAATTATATTGAGCCAAGGCAAGTTGTGAGAGAATGTAAAAACTAGTTTGAAAGCAATGATCATGTAATTCAGAGTACATTTGTAGTGCTTCAAAATTTTGTTGTTGAGTCATCGCAACATGTGCATCAAACAGTGATTTCATCCAGTGGTTTGGAAGATTCTTGATGTATTTAGCCTAAAATGAGCAAGAGTAGACTAAGTCTGTCATCACTATCAAATTTAGTACTATTTCTAAAGAAGTATTGGAATTATTTATTGCTGAAAGTAGAGGAGAGGGGAGAGGATGCACAGGAAGAATGCCAATTTTCCTGTAAAATATTAATGTACCATAGAATTAAGCAAAAGCAATTGTGTTTTATCTTTGATAGAGCACAACTATCCCTCTCACTCTGGGAATAAGACCAAAGAACTTAACAAGACATTCATTTATCCTCAATTAATCACTGAGTTTACTTTATGTACGTACTTCTTTCAAAAATACTGGCCACAAACTACCCACTGGGTTATTTTCCCTATTATCCATAGGCCTTCAACACTACCATGTGCAACCATTGTGAAGTTGTCATGCCAACTATGATACTGGCAACAAGTTACGATTGTGAAATTTTTCTAACAACTAAATACCTCTGATTCTGGCAAAGAACTACATTTGTAAAATTCTCCCAAAATACTAGCCATAAATTACAATATATAATTTTGTTAGCAACTATAACTCTACATACCGCTGAAAATTAACTCATCAATTATCAACTTACAAGTTACCTCAGTAAATTTCTCCTCATATTTCTAACCATGAGATACAATTGTAAAATAGTCCGACAACCTATGATTCTTATCCTCTTTAAACTATACAAGACTTTAACACTTGTAGTGGGTTAAGATTTTAAATTAGTCCAACAAACTATGTTCCTTTTGAGTAACCATGGATAAACTTTCCTGGCAAATAGAACCATTTAATTTGGGCAATGAGTTAACCATAATCTCTTTACCTTATCTTTTGTGCTATATAGAAGAGCTATTTCTAGCCATGAAGACCAAAGCAAAGGTTCTTTTCCTACAGATTGCTCAAACATTTCCAATGCCTCTTGTTTTAAGTCTAATTCCTTCAAAACAACACCAAATCTAGAAAAAAATGAAAAAGTTGAAGGATCTGTGCATTTGATTAAAATCACCCACCCACTGGCAAAAAACTTACAAATAAAATGAAAAACCATCCAAAGACTTTTGATTCTTACTAAGTTCATTTTTAAGTTGCAAAAGATTTTTATTTTTTATTGTATTCTTTTCAAGAGGTCCTAAAAATTATAACAAAATCAAAAAACAGTGTGCATAGTTGTATCAATGCAGACTGGAATATTTATGATTTATCATACCAAGAATATCTGTTTTCTCATTATTTTTCTTTTTCTCACCAGCCTAAATTGAAGACTTCCTTTAAAAAGTCCCATCATCACAGGTGTAAAACAACAATTAAAGAGCAGTAACAAGAATAACAAAGCTTACCAAATACAATGAGTAGATTTTGAGAAAATAACATTCATCGCTAGTGCAGTTTTCAAGATAAAATGCTGCTCTCTCAAATTCTTTTGAGTCAAAACATGTTTTCCCCATTAAATAACTGTCATATTCTGTCAAGAACCTGGGATCTTCATTAATATGACGAATATCATTCGGTAAACTGATTTGTATACTTAATGAAAGATCTGCAGCCCTAGAAAGGAAGAATCAGAAATAGAATAGAGAAATATTTATGCTTTAGACACATATAGTTATTAAATACACTCACCATTTAGCAGTGTGTATCAAACCTCGAGCCATACATTTGTTAGCGCATAACTGTAAGTCCTTTTTTATTTCCCTCAAATTGCTAAAGTTTGTTAAATTTACTGCCATCTTGTTCGTTTTCATTAAGGGAAACATGAAGTATTTCTCATCTCATCACCATGGTACCAAAAAAATAAGACGGCTGTTGTAGAGATGTAGTTTTAGTTATAGTTATGGTAAAAAAAGGATTTGCGGAAAAACCATCTTCTACAAACATAACTCCAACATCAGATTCTAATAAAGAAAATCCACAGGATGAAAAGGATGGTTTGTTTTATTCAACACAAAATTATCATCAAACATAAAACACTTTACTTAATTTTTGAAAATTTCGATCATTTATTCTCTAGGTGTGTATGTTCTCACAAACAATTTCTCTCAGGATTTCCATGAACTTGCTAAACAAGCAGGATTTCCAGAACTGCGAGTACTACCAAGGCCTGTCTGGCCTATGTCAAAATCTGTAAATAGTGCAGGATTTGAGAACGTTCAAGGAACAGCTAAAGGTGAATTTTATACAATTTGCTGAATATTAAATGCTCTCCATTTATTGATATGGTTGAGATCAAGTTTGACAATTTCAGATAAAAAAGAAGAGTTAAAGGCGTACGATAGGACCTTGTCGCAATCCACCAACCAAAGCGATACGGAAGGAACAACACCATTGACGTTTTTATTAAAAGATAAATATAATTATTTTAAACCATGTGTACAAGCACAGTTTGAATCACACGAAGGAAAATCGATCGCAAAAGAGGTTTACATCAGAGGATGGAAAATTGATCATCGCATTATGCAAATATTGAGTTTGACTCTACCTACACAAGATAAACTCGTCATTATTGAGTAAGATAAATTTTTATTTTAAACAGAAGGTTGAAAATTACTTTCTTAGTAAAGTTGATCAGTAACAAGTCATTCACATTTTATTTTAGTTTCAACGATACAGGTTTAACGGATGATTTATTAGAGATTTTGGCTGTAACTGTAAAATCTCTACCGTTGCTGAGGTATTCAATGTGAAAATCAACTGATTTTTCTCTTTAACTTCGTTTTATGCATTTTTATTTTTTCACAGAAAACTTTGTCTTGATGGCAATCCTGTTCACTTTCAACGTTACAATGCCTTTTTAGCAGAAGATATCTTGTACGTCTTCAAATACATTTTCTTCTTTTCATTTTGTTCAAAACCTCCTCTTTGTATCGTTTACAATAATTCTAAAGCATCTATCACTGTCATAGGATTCAAAATCTCTCCCTACGAAACTGCCTTATCAATGATGAAGGAGCCAGTCATATTGCACAGTCTCTTCCGACAAACAAGCATCTTCAAACGTTAAATTTATGTATGAACAAAATCTCTTGCGAAGGAGTCGCTGCGATAGCTAAGGTAAATTAATATCAATTTAAAAAGAAAATTGTCATTGTATGTAATTAATCCATTTTTGTTTAGGGTCTCAGAACAAATAGAACGTTGCTGAGTCTTAATTTAGGGTGTAATTTGGTGAAAGACACAGGTGCTTCACTCATGGCAGAAGTATGATGGTTCACAGTAATCTTTATTATTTAAAATTTCTTTCAAATCCTTAGTAAAACTAAGTACATCGTTTTCATTAGGTAATTTCAAGGTTTGCTTTAAACCACGATGAAACTGTAGCAAGACGCGTTCTCTTGTCGAAAAAAGTCAACGAAGAGGTAGCTTGCAAAAAGACATTATTAAAAATATAAAGAAAGCAATATTTTCAACTGCAAAGTGTCCTTACTAACCTTTCGTCAACTACTATTCTAAATTAGCGGAAAAGTTTTAAAATTTTAATTTGTCTGTGATTCAGATGTTTTGTAGCTCATTAAAAATCAAGAAAGAATATACCTACGTCATAGTAGTAAAGTGTATACCTACGTCATAGTAGTAAAGTGTATACCTACGTCATAGTAGTAAAGTGTATACCTACTTCATAGTAGTAAAGTGTATACCTACGTCATAGTAGTAAAGTGTATACCTACTTCATAGTAGTAAAGTGTATACCTACGTCATAGTAGTAAAGTGTATACCTACGTCATAGTAGTAAAGTGTATACCCACGTCATAGTAGAAAAGTGTATACCTACGTCAGTAGTAAAGTGTATACCTACGTCATAGTAGAAAGTGTATACCTACGTCAGTAGTAAAGTGTATACCTACGTCATAGTAGAAAAGTGTATACCTACGTCAGTAGTAAAGTGTATACCTACGTCATAGTAGAAAAGTGTATACCTACGTCAGTAGTAAAGTGTATACCTACGTCATAGTAGAAAAGTGTATACCTACGTCAGTAGAAAAATGTAGTTTTTAACATCGTAGGTATTTTACACTTTTCATCAAAAGTGCTTCGGACATAACCAAACGATGTCAATGAAAGATTACTTATTTTATAAATTTGACAAGATTACTGTGTTGTGCTGTGTATGTTCGTTTTAGCCGTCGTCATCGACAAGATCATCATATCATTTTAAAAATGAAAGACCCCCTAGTGTTCGTAGTGGGTAAGTCATTGAAAGAAACATCTTGTCTTCATTCGCAGTTAAATATCATGTGAGAATTTTCTTCCTTATTTTACCTGAAGAAGTACGATGTTGAAGGAACAGAGGAAAGATAAGGGAAAATCAGGAACAAAGAAGGTGAATGAAAATTGTCACCTCATCACGTACATTTGATAAGAATTCATCTGCTTCTAGGACAAGAGGACAATTCCTTTGATAGAGGATAAAATCCAAAAGAAAGGTAGATGAAATACATACTAATATCTTTGTCAGTTTTATCAATAATCACGTGATATTTTGCGTTGTTTCCCAAAGCTTCGTCAACGGACACGTCTAAAGACGCCAAAAGGAAAGAAATCTTCGATGGCTAAAGTGGATAGGAAGGGATTGAGTGGGATTGTAGATCAAGATGTAAGATGTGATTGTTAGGGATTCACGAGTAGCAGATGCAGTCATGTAATAGCTCAGTAACGTCTTACATCTTATTGCAGATTAATGATCCCGTAGAATATCCCAATCCATTGCTTGAACCTGTTGAAGAAATTCATGGAAAACTTTACATTCAAGGAAACAGAGCTCTTATTAACCTTAACCTTTCTGGTAAGATTTCTTCCGCTGGATTTCGAGAAAAATTGATTTAATATATGATAAATTTACGTATAGGAAACAAGATCAGTGAAGTTGGCGTAAAAAGTCTTCTTGAAGCCATACAACATCAGAGTCAATTATTTTCTAGTCATACATCAAAAACAGTCGGTGTTGGATTACTACGACTTTCATTAAAGGTATAAAAATTGGACAACCACGAGAAACAGGATCTAAACATAACACATTTTTACATTTTCTACAGAGAAATGATTTTTCTATGGACAGCAACATATTTCTGAGTCTACAAGATTTAATGTTAACACGAGATCCGTTGTATAAAGGTGATCTTGTTTCTCATGATGGTTCATTGAAGGTATAAAATGATCCTAAAATTAATTCAGCGTACTAAGAGCAATTGTAATTTTTATTCTATATTGTTCTAGGAGATTGATTAATTTCCCTTTGAAAGTTTGAAGCAACAGTCATCAAGATGCTAAAGAATATTTTATCTTTCTCAATGTTACGTAAAAAGTGTAGTTATGACAATGCAAGAAAGTTGTACATAATATTTTGTCTTAACGTTTTTATCTTAAATACCACACTACATAACGTTTTGACAATACAGCAACGCCTTCCAAAAGCAAAAAAATATCGATCGCACATCTCAAATGAGTAGCAACTCACAGACGACTATGTTTTAATAAATCATTGTGGATTTTGAACTATCCTTGTTTCAACTTTGTTGGAAATACAATGATAACTCAACCTAGAAGAATAAACCTTTCACAGCACCTTTAAGACGACTTTCTTTAAGAAGACAATGGTACTTTCCACCAGCGCAGTGAAGGCATTCAATCTGGTATTTGTACCTCGCCAAGAGCAGATTTTAGTTGACAAATTATTTCTTCGTATAAAGAAGGATTCTCAAATAATTTTAACAGTTCTTCGACAAACTCTTCAATAGTATCTTCATTGGGAGAACAACTAGCTTGAGGTAGACATATACTGGATAAACTTTGACTCAGTATTTGCTGAATATCAATTAGGTTATTTTGCAGTTTCTTTTTTTCTTCTTCTGATTTTCTCACTTCATCTTCTAGTTTATCAATAGCTGTCCTCATGTTATCTATGTGTTTGCTTAACATGGCATTTTGTTCTTCATAATCACTGTTTGCCTTTCTTAAATCACCCAGTTTACGCAGCTCTGCCTCACAACCTATGAATAGTGAAGATAAATAAAATGAAGAAACAAATCAGATAATCTAGAAGTCACTCTTACATTATTAGTACTTTCAAATCACTCTTACTTCTGTTGTAGTTAAGGAACTCTTCTGTAAAGATTGGTATGTCAAATGTGCTTTCTTCAAGTTCAACAGAAAAGGATTTTCTCTCCTTTAGATTTTTTTCAGTCTTAACACTGTTATGCTCAGGTTCAACATGTTTGTCTTTATCATTTGTGTGGGATTTGTTCCCAGTGCTAGCAGAGTTTTGGTTATTTGAATTTTCTTGTTCACGTTCTGTCAATGTAAAAACAGCATTTACTGCAAGCCAAAAACTCAAACTTTCATTTTAAAATACTTTATGTTTTTTAAACAAACCTTTCTCTTGTTTTGCAACAAATGATTTATAAGCATCAGTTTGTTGATATTCTACCAATTCTTTACTATATCTTTCTTTGTCTTTTTCTGCTTCATTCAAATAACACTATGATGAACAATTTATAATCAGATAATTTTTTGGAAGACACACTTCATCAACATAAAATCTTGTCTGCACCTGTTTCTGTTCTTGTGGTAGTTGACTCCACATGGTTCCCAAAATTTTTGTTATCTCATAGAAAGGCAAGTCAGGCCTTCCCTGTCGTACTTTTTCACGATGTTCATTTAGAAAACGGACATAGCCAGTTAAAGGTGCCTTGGGAGCATTGCTATCTTTCAGAGCTTTTTTACGTTTTTTTCCTCTAGCTGACCTGCTTGTTGACTCCTAATAAAACACTTGTTTTACCTCATGTTTGTGGAGAATGAAATCATAATTTACAATTAAAACCAGGGAAGTAATTGACCATTACATGTCAAAGAAGACCTCTTTGTTGAATGTTACTGGTAGTTGATAATGTCATGGCATATATTTTTTTATAAAAATCTTCATTTTACAAAAACAAAAGTAGAAGTGTACCTTCACAAGTCTTTCTTGTTTATCTGAGCATGGACTGTTGTTGCTATTGGGAGATATTTTATCTGGCAAGGTTAACTCAATTGTTTCTACTCCATCGTTGCTGGAAATGGATCTGAAAGTAAATGATAAATTTTATAAGTCACCACATTCGTGTTTGTACAATAAAAATTACTGTCGCCTTAGTTGGGTAGTGCCCCTAAATTATAATCAACTGTAGCAGCTGGTTATACAATAAATCAATAGTAAATTCAAGTATATTTTGCCTAACATAAAAAACGCTGTACTTCTTTGTACTAGAGCCATGATTACATTCATATATAACACACTGGCTTACTGGGGAGTTGCAGATCTCTCGTCATCCATCTCGCTTTCAAAAACACGCACAATGAAGTCGATACTCTTTTACACAAATTGCATAGAAAAAAATTCCAACATGAAAACAATTATTGTTTTTCTTTATGTTTTTCACACGTGGGAAGTAGATACTTTATATCGCTTGATCGCAGGTTGATAACTGGGGAAGGGGGGGGAGGGGAGACAATTGAGGACGTATTTTGTAGGTAGGTAGTGCCAGTCCTTTGTAACCGTATTTTTTAAAAAATGTGTTTTTCTATCGCTTTAATAATCGCAAGCAATTTCACCTTTTCATGTTATTTAGAAGTACACGAACACAAACAGAAGTACACGAACACAAATAGTAGTACACGAACACAAATAGAAGTACACGAACACAAATAGAAGTACACGAACACAAATAGTAGTACACGAACACAAATGGAAGTACACGAACACAAAAAGTAGTACGCGAACACAAACAGTAGTACGCAAGGACAAAAAGTAGTACACGAAAACAAATAAAAGTACACGAACACAAAAAGTAGTACGCGAACACAAATAAAAGTACACGAACACAAATAGAAGTACACGAACACAAATAAAAGTACACGAACACAAAAAGTAGTACGCGAACACAAACAGTAGTACGCAAGGACAAAAAGTAGTACACGAAAACAAATAAAAGTACACGAACACAAAAAGTAGTACGCGAACACAAATGGTAGTACGCAAGGACAAAAAGTAGTACACGAACACAAATAAAAGTACACGAACACAAATAAAAGTACACGAACACAAATAAAAGTACACGAACACAAAAAGTATTTCGCGAACACAAATAGTAGTACGCAAGGACAAAAAGTAGTACACGAACACAAATAAAAGTACACGAAAACAAATAAAAGTACACGAACACAAATAAAAGTACACGAACACAAATAAAAGTACACGAACACAAATAAAAGTACACGAACACAAAAAGTAGTACGCGAACACAAATAAAAGTACACGAACATACTCCCAGCTTACATTCTCAAAGAGCGAAGAAGTAATACGATATAACTCTAGTAAGAATTATCAAAATAAATCTACAAGTAGTCTTATACGTAACAGTAGTTACAACTGTTAAGGAAGGGATAAAAAAATCTTACATGGTTCATGCCAAAAAAAAAACGCAGAAAGTATTTATAGTTTTCACATAGTACTAATCTACATCTACAAACATGAAACGATACTCCCGGGCTCAAACCATTTACTTTATAATACAATTCATCAATCAGCTGTTAAAATAATTGTTTCAACAGTATATTATGGATTTCACCACTAACAGCAAATACAATATTTGGATGTCATATAATATTTGGATGGGAAGATATGACTCTAACGTCCCCACTAGACAATATCGAACATCCATGAACTTTTCTCGCAAAGAATGGAAGAAAACTCTTGGACAAATTCATTGTAGCGCTGATAGGTGCTGAAGCTTCCAGTAAAAGACCACAAGTATGCACAACAGGTCGACGGGCTAAATGTTTTAAGTCAGTGAATGTGATCTTCAACTTCATTTCTAGTAATTTCTAGTTGTAGCAGGACCACACTGGCTCCAGTGGAAATTTTCTACCTGTGAATGAACGTGAACTAATCCTTCTACAATCTCACGGAGAAGCCTTTACATTCTGTGTTGGTCTTTGTACTATCCCTCGTCAATAACATTCCTTAGAGTACTCTTTTCACAATAATCAAATTTGTATTCTGTATGTACAAAATTTGCAGAGTAAATTTTGAATCTTCTTGTAAATCTCTTGTGGTGATTGCTTCCTCTTCACTTTCGAAATCAGATTTCTCGTCCTAAAGGAAAGACGCTGGTGTTGTCATTACAACTCTTGTTTTTTTCTCTTAATTTAATGAAACATACTACGTTGTTTAATTTTTGAATAAACAACGAAAAATCATTCTATAAGAATGACTAATAAATCTTGGTGACTTTTTCATAATTATTTTTTGGCGTTCTTTTGTAAAATAAGACCACAGAGCAGGACCCTTTATGTTAACCCTAACATGACGTTTTGGTGCGCACAAATTTCAACCTTATTTTTAGTTGCTTTTGATGGCATATTTTCTTTAAATTTGTTGATAAATTAATGGAAATGTGAGTAGTGTCAGTTGATAATATGAAAAGTAATTGTTTCATACTCAAAAAATGTAAATTTAATTAGCTCTGATGCTGGAGGAGGACCGAAAACGAGTGATACCTGTACATCACTTGATGCCAGTCAAAAAACACATGAATCTACCATGGCAAGCAAGGCTAACGTTAAACAACCCACAAGTATGGATGAAAAATCCACAAGTGAGAGCCCAGGAGGAGCAACTGATACATCGTTCTCTTCAAAATCATCCCTTTCTATTAAACACAATGCTTCAAACTCTTCTAAAGTGACTTATTCCAAACGTAAAAAAGGAAATCCATTAAGGGATGTAAATGCTCCAAAGCCGCCGCTCAGTGCATACTTGATGTTTCTAAGGAATACCAGAGAAACGGTGAAAAATCAAAATCCTGGTTTAAGTGTAAATGATTTAACTAGAATTCTTGGTACAATGTGGACAGAACTTCCTCTGGATAAAAAACAAGTATGATTTTAATTTCTACTGTTAAACTGTATCAATTTTCCTGTGTTGGTATGTACATGTTTTTGATCAAGGTATTTATTGATGAAGCTGAAGAAGCAAAGAGGAAATACAATATTTCATTAGAAGAATATCATAAATCAGAAAGCTACAAAAAGTTTATTGTGGAAAGAACAAAAGCAATTGAAGGTTTAATATTCTCCCATAATATTATATTTAAATAATTAATCAGGTAAAGTTGATAATATCTTGCATTTCATTCAATTTATAGAAGCAAAGAATCAAGAGTCAGCTGTTGTAAGTTTTTTCATCATTGTTTACATCTAATGTCAAAACGCTTGTTTTATAAATAATTCACGATGTCAAAATAACATATTATTTTGTTTATAGAAAGGAAGTAACCTTGTGTGTTTGCCTTGTTATCAATGGTTTGAAAACCCTCACAACTTTAAAGAACATGTAAAAAGTCGGAAACATAAACGAAATGTAATTCACTCGCAAATGGGTAAAAAAGCAAAGAAATCTGAGATGCATAATAAAACATCGTCTACATCAGGTTATACAAACTTTTGGAAGAGTTTGTTTTACAACCTATTACATATATGTATGTTTTTCTTCAGGTAAAAGTTCAACCACTGCAGTTCCTGTAAAAAGTTTTCCAGACATGTCTGATGTCGCCGAATCCCAGTTGGAAATTCCTATATTTTCTGATGTTTTCTTGAATTATAATAAAAGTGAGTTCTAAGCCAATGTTACTTGATTACTAAAAGAAAGTAACTGATATTTTTGCTGTTGTTTTAGATCGTGAATCTCAACTACGGAATCTACGGCAGATCATATCAGAATATGATGAGCAAAATGCAATTCTGACAAAACATATTGATCATTTAAATGTTGCTGTTGAAAAATTAGAGCATGAAAATACAGAACATGTACAGACTATCAAAAAATTGACACCATTTTTAAAGAAGTTTATTATCAGTTTCACAGAAATTGCTTCAAAAGCAGATATACATGTGGACATTAATTTGTCAAATGTGGAAGAGTTCATAAAAGAATATTCTTCCATGGAAAAGTCGAAATATCTTAAAGAATTTGTGACAAATCTAGATTATCCTTCGTAAGTGAAGTGAATTGGATTCGCGTCATAATAGATATCATACATCTAATGTTTGCTTGATTTTTTTTAGATGTCTTGATGAAAACTATGATGACAGTAGTCGTTAATATCTAAAATGAGTGCCCAAAATTCATATTGTCAGCTACTTTTGATGGATGTGAAATAAATTAAAATATTTCAGTAAACAAACGCAGTAAAACGCCTTCGTATTGTACAATTGTACACAAACTTTAAAATATGGGAGGTCATCATTCGCAATTTAGTGAGGAAGAGCTCAGAGATTATCAGGTTTAAACTTATGAATTTACTGTAACGATTGGATTTTTAATTAAATGATTTAAACATAGAAATTTTGCTGTTTACTTATGTAAACATATTTTATTTCCTTGTCAACTGCTGCAATATCATTTATCGAGACGTTTTTATTTTTAAAGGAGCTCACTTTTTTTACCCAAAAAGAAATTCTGCAGTAAGTTTGAAAAAAGGTTGCTAATCTATATCGCAACCGTACTAAAACACAAAGAGATAACGCGAACAGCATAAATATGTTACCTTTATTTCAGTGTTCACAAGCGATTTACACAACTGGGACCTGATGCAGTTAAGCAGAACAAAAATGCAAAGCTCCCAATGAGATTGATATTACAACTACCGGAGCTCCAAGTATATCATCTCTGTATTTTTATATCTTATTCTCTTTGCTGCAACGAAACAATAAATTTAATTGCAATTTTCTTCATTTAAGGTGAATCCTTTTAGGGATCGTATATGTAAAGTGTTTTCATCCTCGGGTGATGGAGCCTTGACGTTTGAGGATTTTTTAGATATGATGTCTGTTTTTAGTGAAGCGGTATGTAATTCAAGTCAAGCACAAATTAAATACAGCTCTATTGTACATGCATATTTGTTTGTTATTCTGTTCTTTCATATAGGCACCTAAAAATGTCAAAGTGGAGTATGCTTTCCGAATTTATGGTTAATATAAAAAATTAAGTTATGATTTTAATAGTGAGTAATCCAAATCTTTAATGATATCAAAATTTATGTAGATTTCAATGAAGATGACTACATCTGCAAAAATGATTTAATGAAAATGATCACAAAACTTTGTGGTGAACAGCGTTTACCCGAAGAGACTATTGAAAATGTTATTGACAAAGTATGTAATCTTGCTAATGCTTAGTAGTGTCTTACCAATTTTCCCATTAGTACAATATTTTAATTTAGATACTTGACGAAGCAGACCTGGACGAAGACAACCAACTTTCATTTGCTGAGTTTGAACATGTTATTTCAAAAGCTCCAGATTTTGTTGAGTAAGATTGTCAATGAATACTTACTTTGATGTTGAATTTACATGAAATTAACTTTTGGTGGAACTATTCTTGATAAATGATCTTTCTTGATTTAGTGCATTTCGTATCCGGCTGTAGTTTCTCACTCAAGTCTACAAATGAATATTTTTCTTAACAGTCATCTACCTTATGTAAAAATTGCCACTAATTTAGCATATGATTCACCATTCATGTACATAGATGTATTATATATTTTTTTATCACATGTTTTTGGACTTAAATACTTTGCCAAAACAAAGTTGTATTTACCTTCAACTTCATTTGTAAGTACTTCCATTTTGCAACTGTTGTAATGTCTGTTTTGAAGTTTTAATTCACACATCTTGTTTAATAATACAATGACTTACATAGCATTTGACAACTTGTGTTCTTGTTTATGCACAACTTGTATTTATTACTTGTGTTTTGGCATACATGCCCTAGGTAAGTGACAGCCATGTCTGCAAACTATTTATACATGATGTAATTTTTCTTATAAAAACGATTCAGTTTGCATGTGAAATTTCAGCGTGTGTCAATTCATAAACTATTTTGTCATTGTAAGAAATTGTGCCAAAAGAAACACACTTAAAACACAAAGATATACAAATACACCATAGCCGCGCACTAACATATAAAGACAAAAAATTTCATTAATACAATAACATGGTGAAATCAAATCTATAGAGGTTATCAAAAATTGGTCATCATATGCAAAATCTTTTTGGTTAAATATTCAACTTTCCTATTTTTTCATCATTATAACAATTCACGAAGACCTCATTCACGAAGATTGATTGAAAAAAGGAAGCTATGGAATTTCAATGGAATTACATGAAGATGTCTTTTAGTAAGCATTTACACATTGCAACAGTTATTTTTTTTCTTGTCAGAATCAGTTGTTGGTGCCACGTGGATAGTTTGTACATTATTGCTTAAATGACCACTGGGTGATGGAGTATCACTGATTTGTTTCTGTGATACAATGTGGTAAATTTCTATAGAATGATTAAAGAAAGTGTCAATATATGTCAGTGGTATTAGAACTCATCAGAAGTTGCATCAAAATGGTTTCATAAAGAATACCTGTTAAAATATTTTGAAATGCCTGTTCAACATTAGTTGAATCTAATGCAGAAGTCTCGATGAAAGAAAGACTATTTTTCTCTAAAAAATAAAGAATAAGATCATGATGCCAATAACTACAAAAAAATCTTTGCAGTTAAAAATATTCAAACGTTCATCACCTGCAAATGCTTTAGCCTCTTCAGTGGGTACAGCCCTCAAATGTCGTAAATCACTCTTATTGCCAACAAGCATTATGACAATATTGCTATCAGCATGATCTCGTAGTTCTTTCAACCAGCGTTCCACATTTTCATAAGTCATATGCTTGGCAATGTCATAAACTAACAAAGCACCAACAGCACCACGATAATACCTAAAGCATTCATCAAATGTTGGGTGAAACATACCAGAGATGTTTTTAGTGAAAATAACTATTTATCTACATCTGTAATTTTACCCTTGAAAATCTATTGGCATAATTACCACTTTGTAATTGAGGACAATAAATGTTAAGAGGTCTATTTGAACTTGTAAAAGCAAAACCATGAACCATAGTATCTGGTATTTAAAATATGCCTAATGCATGAATTCACTGTTACAGCAGGTGTCCGCATTTGGAAAATAACATGAGAAGTCACTCCTGTCCTCAATTACAATAAATGAGTACAGAAGATACTCATAACCAAATGCCATGTTAAAAATAATAAAGTTCAAAGGGATATCAAGAGATTATAAAAAAGATATATAAAAACAAATTGAAATTCATAAATGCACGTACGCGCTAGTGATCGCTCTGTATCTTTCTTGTCCAGCTGAAAACAAAATTTAAAGCACGGAAGTTAATATTGGTCTTTAAAAGAAAGGTCGTTTGAACATGAATCGACGACAATTTTAAAGATCTTTATGAATTATAACCCAAATCGAATCAATAAACCGTTGAATATTTCACAATAGTAAAATATATGTGAAACAAATTGAGCACCTGAATACGGAAGTTTGTATATTGAATCTTCGTATTGTTCAACAACGAAAATTTTAGACTTAAAATGTATCTTTACCTGTATCCCAAATTTGTGCTTTTATCGTTTTACTATCGACTTGAATACTTCGTGTGGCGAACTCGACACCAATCGTCGATTTGGACTCCAAATTGAATTCGTTTCTGGTAAATCGTGATAGTAAGTTGGATTTTCCAACGCCAGAATCTCCGATCAAAACAACTAAACGTACAAACAAGAATATACTTTAGACATAAATCTTTCATTTTGAGGACATTCAACTTGCAAATACTGCATATCATGTAAAACAATACCTTTGAACAAGTAATCGTACTCATCATCTTTCGTTCCCATACTGCGTCGAAGTCCTTGGGAATAAATACGAATACACTAAAAAACACTCCTAATAAACAAGGAAGAATGCTATTCGCCTGAGCTTTTTATTTGGATGTACAATTTCTTTCCAGATACAAAATTTCAACGAGAAGAAAAACAGAAAGTAGACGAAGAGCAATTACTCAGAGGTTTCGAAATCTACAAGCGGATATAGAAAATGGCCGCCTTACTAACCGAGCCCAAACACAGGTCACGTGAGACAGGCAATACGTCATAACAACAACAATACATACATTTTTCCTGTTCAATGAGATTCAAGTGCCCAGAGGTACATATACTATTATCATTATTTTCAAATCATTTCTATACAGGACAAAGATAGGGAGACGTTTAGTCGAAAATTATATTATTACATTCGTCCCATGTATTAAAATACCGTAAAACACTTGGTGTCCATTGGGCAAGTGTACGGTTAGACCATATTTGCCACAAATTCAATGGTAAAGTTACCACCGATGTTTCCACTTAAAGTTTCTATAATTCAGATTGTTGTGACGTAGCCAGCAACGTTAGATACCTGCTCTTTCCGATTAAGATAACGGCTGGATGACGACAACGATTCGGAAGAACTTCGTCGAGAGCCATTCGTTGAATCAGAGGAGTGCGATATTCTTCGTTTTTCACAATGACCACATATTTTTTCCCTTTTTATCCAAACATCTAACTCATCAGGACATTGACAACGGTGTTGAGATAATGGCTCTTTTTTCTTCTCTGTGACGACTTCACGATCTATATTTTATCAAAGAACATTCAAAACATCTAACTTAAAAATAACAAAAATATATCTTAATATCATATACATCTACAATACATACATACCAGTTTCCTCCGAGTAATGTCTGCTGCTTCTGCCATTTGACATCGGAGACTTTCGACAGTTTTCGTCAACAGATCTTATTTGTTCATGATCTTCTACACGACCACCTGATGTACCTTTGCGTACATCTTTACTCCGTGTCAACTTTGTCGATTGCTTAGCAGGTACTTCGGTCGTATGAACGTCAACTGACGTCAGTCGTCGATTGCTTCCGGAGTTTTGCCGACTGGATGAAGAACGAGTAAAGTGTAGATCGGCAAAGTTTTCATCAATATCATCGCCACCAGAATAATATTTTTTATTCTTAATGTTTGATTTCTTCTTCGTACGTGAGGATGAATTATCACCTTCCATTTTCTTACACCGAGATTTATCTCCAATATCAATATGGTTGATACTGTCAGCAAGATCTTTCACCAAACCATTTCTTGTTTCTTGTTCTTTGACATTTTGTTCTTCAGGTGAACTATCACTGCGCTTTCTATCACCAATTGATTTCCGTGAAGGACGTTTTTCATCAGACCAACGAACACCTTTCGTTTTAAAACCATCTGCTTCAACATTCTAAGCATAAAACAGTTCATGATGAAATATCATTGAAAACGTACTGCTGGGTTTGGAAAAAAGCCTCAATGCTCCATTGTACAATCAAATTATATCTTCAAAGTTCTCTAAACTAAAAATGCTTTTTATATAAATTGTAAAGTGACAATAGGTGAAATGTTAATTAATGAATTATTCAAATTGAACAATAATGAAAGCATACCTCTTTCGAACGCTGTTTTCCAGTCTCTCTCGACATATCATCAGCACTTCCGGTAAAACTGTTCAATGAATGAGCATCACGTGACTTTCCTTTATGTCGTGACGTCAACGGTGAACTACTATCCTGACGAAGTATTCCGTTCTGTTTCCGAGGCTCGGGAGGTGAGAATCGACCAGGTTGAGAGTTTTTATAATTTTGTAAGTTCTTAATCGCAGCGCTAGCTCCTTTTGAAATGGATTTATTTTTCGATGCTACGAGAGGCTTTAGCAAGCTGAGAGCATTCATCTTGAGAAGAAGTAGCTGATCTGCTTCACAACGAGCAGATAAATTCCACAATATTCCACAAGCATTGGCAACAACACGTAAACTAGGAGAACGCAAGTTGGCCAACAAAAATTTATAACAATCGTGTCCACGCATGACATCACGATATTCTGTTTTAACAGCAATCTGAGAGGACAAGTTCCGCAAAATCCCGCCAGAACTTTCGATAACACTCAAAGTGTTACTTGGACTTTTATAAACCAACATTCCCACGAGGAAACCGAGATTCTTAGCATTTTCACATAATTCAACTTTATTCTCCGTACTGTGGGCAGATAAATTCCATACTGCATAAAGTATTGTACGCAAAGTTGACTCACTGCTGACCTTTTGTGCCGCAGTCATGAGCTCTGAGACTGCATTGCATTCTTGCAAGACAGCTTTGCTTCTTTCGTCGGACTTGCACGACAAATTCCGAAGTACGCTGGCAGAAACTTGAATGAGGTCTTCATCATCGAAAACAGCAAGATTCTTCAGTAAGGCTCGAACAATGCCAGATGAGTTGCCAAGCAACGCCTTACTGCGGGTCTTTTCAAACGTCATATTTGTGAGCGTCATTGAAGCGTACTTGCGAAGATTATTGCCTAAATATAAACATGTAACTTACATGAATGATATAAATACTTAAAATCAAAGTATAGTGCATTTTGACTCGTCGTTTGAATCAATCATAAAATGTTTCATATATTTACTTCATTTCACTGTTAACCAATCAACTATTACTTAATTTTAATTCATGTATTATGAGGTTAACATCCATTGACTTCATGGCAGAAAAAAACATTAACCAATCAAAAGCTATAGTCTACATTACCACTTGTTGTCTTGCAACACCCCCCGTAAAGTTTACAATATTTTTCATCCCTTGCACTATTACCCCAACTGACAATACTGTAGGAAACTTCGCAGTAAAAAATTAAACCAGTGACACTGTAACAACGTAAACAAATATTTGTAAACCCAACTTACTTAACAAAAGATCTTGTGTCACATGACTTAATTCCAAAAATTCTCCAATAGCTTCAACTCCACCCAGGTCACTAATGGCGGTACGATGATCTTCTTCGAACGAAAGCTTCATAATGGCAGCCAAAGCATTGCTCAATGAACTTATTCTTGAGGAGTTTGGAGCTTGACGAATAAATCTAACTTCGATACAATAATTACGCACTATCTCCAGAAGTTGTAACACGCGAATTTCTCGCTTTCCACGTTTATCGTCCATTCCAGCCGATACAATATTCCTTATCGCTTGCAAGGACCTCACGCGAACTTCGTGTGCTACACGCGGATCTCTCGTTTTACACTTGTGTTGAAGCTGTATTAAAAGATGTAAGCATCCAGATAATCTCATTGCTTGACAGTTTTCCTTCGAATTGGAAACACTAAGAAGTGTGTGTACCGTCTCCTTTGCGTCACGTGTGTCAATTACAGCCAAAAGATTTCGTACTTGATCTATTTTTGAGTCAAGATCTTGATGCGTGGAAGCACCGCTTGTGAAACTCATCACACTTGATGTTTCCAAGCCATCATGATGAGGAGTTGTACAGTAAACTGCTAGACTAGATTGACTACCAGAACGGGTGGACATCACCGGACTGACGTCACTATCGGATACTGTTGTGATATTATCGAGAACATCCGTATAGCGAGTATGGATGTCAGGTAGAGGAAGTTGATGTGTCGGTATCTTTCGTTGATTTTTCGTGTCGGCAACGTCACGATGATATTCCGAAACATCACGATGTATGTTTTTATTGTTTTGTAAAAGATCAGATTTATTTCTATAGATTTGCAGGACACTATCTCTTGGCGGTATATTTCGATGCATGTTATCCATTGGTGGCCTCACACGTTCCGATATATCACTTTGTGCCCCATAGTCTATAACTTCATCAGTAGCAAAATCATCACAGTTTATTTTAGGTGTGACCTTAGATGGAACCTGTGTTCTTCCTTGATATTGTTGCCAATTGCCTGGTTGTGATCCATAATATGATACCTGACTCATGTTTAACACCTGCCGTGGATCGTGCACATTTGTGTAGTAGCCCGCATTGACAGGTGGAATATTTGGAAATGATTTGCATGTTGGATTAAATGATGTATCATTATGGATAGGCTGGGGTTGTGGTAGGTATTGTTGATTGATAAATGGTGTCATTCTGCTAAAACCATTGATATTTGGTTGTTGCATATACTCTGAAGCAGTAGCTGGAGCAGGAAAACGAATTTCACCTTGGGGGTAATGAGGTACATTTGGGTACGGTAAGGTAGTAAAGTAAGGATCTTTCCCAGAATAAGATTGACGAGGTGGAGGATATCGATTTGGAAAAACATCACCACTAAGTTGTCTGACTTGTGCAGCTTCGTGTGAAAGAATAGGATTCATTGTAGGATGTCTTTTAACAGGAATAGATTCTAAGGTACTACCAACAGAATGACTGACAGCATTTGATGATTTACCCAAAATTCTTGCAGCTTCGTGAGATGGTCTTGCCTTAGGATCATTTAATGTTGAACTGCCGACCATATGAGTTTTATCCATGTTTACACTAGTCACATGGGTGGTAGCAGGGATTGCATCATGGGTAGGATTGCTTGTGGTAGTTGCATCACCAGACAAGAGTTCAGAATCATCAATTACCTGTTCATTTGCATCCTATTTTAAAAGAAATAGTTTGTTGACAATATTTTTTAAAAATGAAAGAGACATCTTGAGAAGATAGAAGATGATTCCACCTGATCATAAAAGAATGATGAGTTACTACGTACCTTACAAGACGATTCTTTATCTGTATCAAGCCATGGTGGAGTAAGTGAAATATCCTCGGAGGAAGGTCGACTTGAGTTCTCAAGAGATCCTTCTTTGGCATAGTCCTACAGAAAAAACAATATAGTAAGTACAACTTTAACACAATGTATCATAAAAGTTCATCAACTTACCCTAGTAATATCCATGTCTACCACTCCATGCCACGTATTTGTCCCAATCCTGGCATCCACCTTTATTTTTGTGGCATCAATAACATCATCAGATATAAATGTATTTGTTTGAGATTTTCCTCTCTTTTCATCTATTAAACCATCGCTCACTTCATAACCTTGAGGTAAGAGAGGGGAAAGGCAAAGTTTTTCATTGGAAGGGATCCGACTGACATCTTGTGTTGTGTCACCATAATTCTAAAGAAACAGAGCATCATTAAATATATGTCTTAAATTGGTATGTTTATATCATATTACCTTGACAGAATCAGTGTCATCATATGGACCAGGCTGATGAATATGATTTTGAGATGCCCTATTAAATATTGCTTCATTTGTTCTTTCCATATACTTTTTTTCTTGTTCTCGAAATGCTGTAGTATAATCCTGAGAAAGATGATGGATTATTAAATTGATGATTGTAGAAAGTCTCAATAAAAAGATAACCAACCTTTACTGAGTCTTCATAACCATCCCACACACTACCTTTGGAAACGTGAATCTTTGAATTGCCAACCTATAAATGACATCAGATTGCAAGAATCCTTAAAGTTTAACAATAACGACTCAAAAGACTGGTTTAACCTGTTTAACTGGCTTAGGATGCTCATGTTGGCAATCAAGTGATTTTGTCTGTGCTTTGATCTCTTCTTGTTCATCCTCAGACATCTCCCATCTTTGGAAGATATACATTAATAAAAATAATTTGGTGTTTTAAAAAATTACTCATGAAAGGTAGATATAATGTTGTATGTATGTACCTTGGTGTTTGTCGTTCATCTATTTCATTGATGTGATTCTCAAATATATCTAAAAATTTAAAAGCTTTTCAAATTAAGCATGCCAAAAGAAGCTTGTATATAAATCAGTGAATATCCAGAAAGTGAGAAGTACACAATCAACACAAAACAATACATTTCTCAGTTCAAAGAATCTATTAAAATTTGTCAATAGCTGTAACTAAACACAATACAGTAATAGACATTATACTGCTAAAGTGATTGTTTTATAATGAAAGAAAATTCCGACCGTACACATACCAGCTATATCATCTTTCCCGTTCGCCATCGTTTTATTACAAAGAAGCAGACAGCAAAATTATCGATTTATAAAGCATCCATCCTGTCAGTACACATCAAATATTTGACCGTACTAAACCTGATATCGAGTCTTTACTTGAAGCTTTTATTGAACCCATTTATCGGACAAATTCATCGTTATATTTCAACGTTACAGGTTTATCGTAAAAGTACTCAGAAATTTAAAAAAAATAATATTCTTTACGATGTCCCGCTAAGTAAAATGAATAATGGGAATAATGAAAATATGACTGACTGTCGGAGTATTACGGAGAGCGATCGGCCAATGCCGGATACGAGAATATTATTGAAGACAATGGAGAAGACGAATGTCAAATTACAGCATTTTAATAAATTTAGTGCTGAGAATTTCGATGTAAAAGATTTTGCTAAATCTTTCACAGTCACTTGTAGTTGATAATGCTATACACATTTGACGAAACAATATCAATCATCATACATACATAGATAAAATGTAATTGATGAGATACTATAAAGATTCATTGTCTATCCAGAGTAAAATATTTCTACTCTCTATGTATTAAGACAAAAAGACCAAGAGCAGCTAGAACAAAATACTGTGAAAAAAAAAAATAAAATAAAATATAGTTAGACTTCACAAATAATTTCAGTGTAATGTTGAAGATCATTTGATAAGAACCTTGACTTGTGGGTAGTCATTCATAATTATTGTAACCATTCCAACATATGGTAAAAATCTGAAATATAAAACATGATGTGAGGTTATTTTCACTTTAATGTAACAGTATTTTAGACTGGTACCCTTTGGCTCGACCAACAACATCTTTCTTTTCCAACCACAGCTGTCCTTGTGCATAAAGACCACGATCATCAACAGAATTATTGTCACCTTTTGTCAAAAAGATAACGCTTTTGTCTTCCCTAGAGGTAACAATTTTAAAGCACTTAGTACAAACTTTGTAGCATTTTTCAATTGAAAAATTTTACCTCTCGTGAATTTTAATAACTCTGTGAACTATTGGTATCTCTCTTCCTTTTATTTTAAATACAACTATTTCTCCAACCCGAATGGGTTCATCTTTGATGTTTGTCAAAAATAATAAATCACCACGAAAAAATGCTGGCTCCATACTTCCACTGCAAGATAGTTCACACATAATTAGTGTTCTTGACAAATACATATAGAGATAGATATTTACCTTAAGACAACAACAATCGGACTTTCACTTCCTGTAAGTACCATCAGACCTTTCCATATCATTAAGGCAGATGAGACAATCATACCAAAGTTTAACACTTGGTAATAAAGCTGCAATTGTATATTTAAAAAAATTTAGCCACAAACAATACTTTGTACATGATTAATTATAGCAGTAAGCAGATATAAATAAAACACAGCAAATTGAGTTGTGTGAGGTTACCGTGTAAAGCCTGTCCCTTATACTCCACCCAACCTATGCAAATAGTGTACTTCAAATTTATCATAAAGGAAGACTTTGTATCTAACCTGTCGTTTGTTCATCCGCCTGACATCGTCAAACCAAGCCGCAATGTCCATTAAGGCGTTGGAAACTAAATTTTATCGATAATAAACAAAATCTTTCAAATATGTTTTATTTTAACCATGCTTCCCTGTGATGCTGCCTGACGTGTTATACGCATAATAACTCGGGATAATCCGCTGACAAAAGTACATTACAACCGCGTGTACATTCGAGGAACCCATACGTCATGTTGTAACACTTTGTGACGTTTCTTTGTTTCAAAGACATCGAAAACAATATGTGAAGACAAAGATATTTTCATGATAAAAAGGACTCTTTTGTGAAGCAGAAACGCCGCCGAAGGGGCGAACTTTACGAAGTTCTTACATAAATTGAACTTGTTTGCTCTCTGAAAGCCATTTCCTGTAAATTTGGATAAGAATACAATTGCAAGAACAAACAGTGAACATTCAAATTTTTCCAGCCAGAAACACAAGTATAGACACAAAGTTATAATTAAACATTATATACATCAGTAAAAGTCCATGGTCTTGAAGTTTCTTGCCAATTACGATGAAACATTTAACAAATCTGTCATATGTAAGATATGAAGTTGGCAGAAAAACCAAAACCTTTTCAAATATTTGCATGAAGATGTCTTTCCATGAACGCATTGCAAGTTTTGCAGCAGCTACATTTTTGTCACAACCTGCTGTAAATTTCTATAGAATGATTAAAGAAAGTGTTAATATATGTCAGTGGTATAAGAACTTATCAGAAGTTGCATCAAAATGTTTTCATAAAGAATACCTGTTAAAATATTTTGAAATGCCTGTTCAACATTAGTTGAATCTAATGCAGAAGTCTCGATAAAAGAAAGACTATTTTTCTCTAAAAAATAAAGAATAAGATCATGATGCCAATAGCTACAAAAAAGTCTTTACAGTTAAAAATATTCAAACGTTCATCACCTGCAAATGCTTTAGCCTCTTCAGTGGGTACAGCCCTCAAATGTCGTAAATCACTCTTATTGCCAACAAGCATTATGACAATATTGCTATCAGCATGATCTCGTATTTGTTTCAACCAGCGTTCCACATTTTCATAAGTCATATGCTTGGCAATGTCATAAACTATCAAAGCACCAACAGCACCACGATAATACCTAAAGCATTCATCAAATGTTGGGTGAAACATACCAGAGATGTTTTTAGTGAAAATAACTATTTATCTACATCTGCAATTTTACCCTTGAAAATCTATTGGCATAATTACCACTTTGCAAATGAGCACAATGAGTCAAGTGGTCTAATTGATCTTACCAAATTATGAACTAAATTATATGTATGCATATCTCTCGCAGCAGGTGTCCGCATTGGGCAAAATAACATCAGAAGTCATTCCCGTCCTCAACTACTGTAAATGAGTACAGAAAATACTCATAACGAAATAAAAGGTGAAGAAACCAAAACGGTACATGAAGAGAGGATAAGTAAAAAAATGAAAAAACAAACAGAAAATGTTATAAATCCCGCTTACGCTCTATTAAACCCTCGGAATCTTTCTCGTTCAGCTGAAACAAAATGCAAAGCACGGAAGTTAATATTGCTCTTCAAAACTAATATTATGACGACAATTTTAAAGATCTTTATGAATTATAACCCAAATCGAATCAATAAGCCGTTGAATGTTTCACAATGGTAAAATATATGTGAAACAAATTGAGCACCTGAATACGGAAGTTTGTATATTGAATCTTCGTATTGTTCAACAACGAAAATTTTAGACTTAAAATGTATCTTTACCTGTATCCCAAATTTGGGTTTTTATCGTTTTATTATCGACTTGAATACTTCGTGTGGCGAACTCGACACCAATCGTCGATTCAGACTCCAAATTGAATTCTTTTCTGGTAAATCTTGATAGTAAATTGGATTTTCCAACGCCAGAATCTCCGATCAAAACAACTTAACGTACAAACAAGAATATACTTTAGACATAAACCTTTCATTTTGAGGACATTCAACTTGCAAATACTGCATATCATGTAAAACAATACCTTTGAACAAGTAATCGTACTCATCATCTTTCGTTCCCATATTGCGTCGAAGTGGGCTTGTTGCTATTTCTTTGTAAACATCCGAGTTCACTTTAAAACCTGTTTTTGTCACGAACTCAAGAAATGGAACCAACTGAAGAATCTCTCTCTATGCACTGCCCGCGCGAGGAGTGCTTAGAGTAAAAAAATAACAAAATTTTTCGACCATTTGCAATCATTGGATATTTCTACTGTTCGGTCTGATCAACTGTCATATATAGAAAAGTATCTCAACAAATAGGTACGCAGTGCGAACAATATGCAAATTTAATTTCAATATCAAATGTCATATTTAATAATTTCTCTATTCAGTTATCGTAAGTACCTGATAGTGTTTGTATATTTACGTATGTTCACAGTTAACTCTAGACTTTCATTCTAGCGCAAAGAGCCAAAATCTTTTCCTGGTTTTAGTTTATAAACAATAATCAAACAAAGTTAATCATTGCAATCTAACTATAATCAATTAATTCATTTATTTCAAACCAAATAAACATTATATGTTTTTATTTCAAATTACGAGAACAGTTAACATTACTCTAAACTGAAATTACTTGTAGTCATTTCCATTTTCTCAGTTATTGCTTGTATTGAAAAATTGATAAATGAACTCAGTCAATATTCTCAACGTAAAATTATTTTCTCTAGATCCATGAAACCATCTATTTCTTCATATCAATTTGTTTGCGCCAAGGAAGAAGGGAAAAGTCCAAGTTTTACATAATCTTGCAAAACCTTTAAAGCGTAAAAGTTACGACATTGAAAAAATACTAATTAAATAACAGAGAAAAAATTATACGCAACATTTTTCACCTCCTTCAAGTTGTCTGTTGTCAGTTTACCATGCTCACACTTGAACCCAGTCTGCTCAAGTTTGCTCCCGTCCAATGAAAGATGTTTCTCGTACAAAAGTTCCTATGCATCAACACAAGTTATTGAAATATATTTCCCATTTCTTAAAGAAAGACTTAGAAAAAAGAAAACACGTAATAAGACTTTACCTGATCTAAGTAGGGACTTAGCGGTGTATTTTCAATATTGTCGCGTTGACAGGCTTCAGACCATGGTTCCAAATGTTTTTCGTTTGATTCATCAACAATATCACTCATGTTTAACTGAAGAAATAAAATCAATGAACTAACTACGAGTAAAAAGTACAAATGACATATTTATGTACAACATTATGTTAGACTAACCCTGGCAAAATTCGATATAATTGTACCATGATAATCATGTTTTATCCCCAGAAGTTCACATACAAGTTCAGAGATGATACCTTGTGCTAAACAAAAGTTAAACGCTTCAGATAATAATATTATCTATGGTTGATTACAGGACAATACAAAGTCAAATTCAACTTACTTCTATCCTACCTTGCATCTATCTTTCCTTGTATCTATCCTACCTTGTATCTATCTTTCCTTGTATCTATCTTTCCTTGTATCTATCCTACCTTGTATCTATCTTTCCTTGTATCTATCCCTTCCCTTCTTTCCTTATCTATCCACCTTCCTTCCTTGCTATCTATCTTTCCTTGTATCTATCCTTGTATCTATCCCTTGTATCTATCTTTCCTTATCTATCCCACCTCTATCTTTCCTTCTATCTTTCCTTGTATCTATCCACCATCTATCTTTCCTTGTATCTTTCCTTCCATCTATCCTTGTATCTATCCCTTGCATCTATCTTTCCTTGTATCTATCCTACCTTGTATCTATCTTTCCTTGTATCTATCCTACCTTGTATCTATCTTTCTTTGTACCTATCCTACCTTGTATCTATCTTTGGTTGTATCTATCCTTCGCTGTATCTATCCTTCGCTGTATCTAAGCTTCGTTGTATCTATCCTTCGTTGTATCTATCCTTCGTTGTATCTATCCTTCGTTGTATCTATCCTTCGTTGTATCTACGCTTCGTTGTATCTATCCTTCGTTGTATCTATCCTTGGCTGTATCTATCCTTCGTTGTATCTATCCTTCGTTGTATCTATCCTTCGTTGTATCTATCCTTCGTTGTATCTATCCTTCGTTGTATCTATCCTTGGCTGTATCTATCCTTCGTTGTATCTATCCTTCGTTGTATCTAGTCTTACTTGTTTCGCCATCATCAACAAGATTGTAAATTTCTCCATTGTTTCCATTGGTGGTCAAATGCCACAATGCACGAGATACATCGTCAACATGAATGGTATTCATACGCAGATCTTTAGTCCACAGTAACTAAACATAATTACAATGCCAAACGATTTAATGGTTACATTATGCTGTAATTTATCCTACATCGAGTCTTACCTTCATCTCTTCACCTAACTGTTTATATACTGCTCCAATAATAAGTCTTGGTGCTAGAAATATGAAAAAAGAAATATTAGAACTTGCATGAACAGTCATGGACATAAGAACATTCATGGAGGTATAGGTACATGTATGGACATATAGGTACATTCATGGACATATAGGGTCATTCATGGACACATAGGGTCATTCATGGGAAGGGATTGATATCAAACTTACTCAATCCTTGCTTGTCTCCCAAACCATAGACAATAGCTGGTCTAACTATTACAAAATTTAACCTAAATTAAAAAATTTATGAGATATATTCATGTTCTGAAGGAATTCCAAATACTAAAATGAATGTTTCGAATTTCAGAAATTTGGCATAAAATTTACCCCTCAATAGCAGCCAACTGCTCTTCCACTTTGAGCTTATATTTTGCTTGTAATGTCCATGGCAATGTCTTAGAAGCTTCCTTACTTCTTTTCTGTATTATAATATTGAGAAACATAATTAATAATCACCATTATTAATCATCATTATTATTGGTGTTGAGTGTATCGAGAATTGGGTAAGGCGCCAGCGTTTGAGGTGGTTTGGGCATGTGGAAAGGAGGGAAGAAAGTGCTGAAATTCGTAGAACGTTGCATATGAATGTTGATGGAGTCCATAAGCAGGTAGACCGAGAAGGAGATGGATGAATGCTGTGAACAGTGATATGAAGGCGATGGGTATAACGAGATATGGCGAGATAGAGACGTTTGTAAAATTCATGGACGGTCAACTTTAATACTGGCCGGTATACAAATGTTGTTTGTTTTTTTGTTTTGTATAATTAATAATCACCCCAATATTTCTGCCTTCACTGTTAATTTTTGAAATTTGTCCCATGATCCTCTACTTGCAGCAAACTTCAGTAGCATCGATGGGCAATGGCTCCCCCAATAAAATATGCTTTGCAGTCTTGTTTAAGACATTGTTTTAAATCAAATCATCATTGTTAACGTATGTGTAAATGCACTGAATAAAAACAATTCCACGATCAACAATAATGTTAAAAATCATTTTGATGATGAGTACCCAAGTAATGGCAAAAAAAACACAACAAACACAAATAAATCAACGAACTAACTTTGTCTCCAGCATAAATCTGGCCAGTAGATACTTCTATAAACCTCTTTACTCCATGTTTTGCAGCTTCATTTGCACAGTGTAGTGAAAGTTTTAAAACACCTTCTTCATACACCTTGTAAATATACGTGACATTGTTTACATTGTTATAAACAGTAGATAAATTTCTCATAGGAACAAACCTCTTCAGTTTGTCCATATTTTGTCTCCGCTGCTAAATTGATGCAGAAATCGAATGCACCGTCTTGAAATGCTTTTTCAGCAGATGCTGTAAAAAGTTGAAATATTTTATTAGCTACACAGTGCGTTATACTTCATAAATCATCACATCCATCCATACATGTGTGAACAAGATTGGCACTTTTAAACTCCACCGATGAATTTTCAAAAGCTTGCTAAAATGGGCATAGAAATATTTTTCAAAAAAACAATTTGATGGAGGATAAGCAAGATATTTGATAAAGGTTGCATGATGTGTGAAAAAATAAAAACTTGACCTTGTGTCTCTCATTAAGCCATGCAGTTTGAGGTGGAACTTTATCAACAGCTCGTATCTACAACGTATGTAGCAAAAAATTATAATTTAATATTGAGACTGACTGAATCTTAGACAGATACAGACACTAGTATCTTACCTTAGAACATAAATCATTCTCAACAAGATAGGTCACTAGATTACGACCAATAAAGCCAAGACCTATGACATAGTTCTTGTAATCAGTTTCATTTGATAAAGAAACAATTGTGGTGGAAAGTATAAAGAAGAAGAGGTTGTATTATGTAAGTCCTGATGATGTATTACAGCTGCTTGTTATTATTTTCATCGACATTGTTTAAAGTCAATAATCATTGCTTTAATATCAAAATCAGTTTCATGTAATGCGTTAACATAACACGCAACTTAAACAAATATTAAATTACACAATAAAATTAACCATTAACAGAGCAAACTTGTCTAAGTGATGCTGCCAAGTATTGCTGAAAGAATTGTCTCTTTAAATATAAGAAGCCAAACAAACAATAAGAATCTTACTTATATTGAGTCCTAACCTCACGACAGAATTTAGAAATGCATACCATAACGGTCATTTAATGCATTTAAATGTGGCATCACTTTGCCTGAGTACACGAATTAAGCTAAAGACAGTTATATTAGGCGCACTTTAAGGTCTGTTTTTATCCTTTTAAAGCCATAAAAATAATGAGCGAGCAATATTTAATATATTTAAGCAGGTGACATTAATAAAATATTCGTTGTTCGAGGGAAAGGTTTATACCTGCTGTGTTCACGCATATGTCTGTCAACTCAAACTAAATTGTAAAACATTTCAAAATACTCAATAAAATAGTTGAAAAACCTACCTCCCATGATAATAACACTTGGTTTTTCAGACATCTTTAATCCTTGTTTGTTTAAATCGATACAAGATAGAGGAAAGAAGAGTAGTATTGGTCAAATTAGACCACGGGTGTGGACTTTTAACTACCTTTAACTTTATGAAGCAACACCTTCGATGCAAATTCCACAATAAAACTGCTTATTTTAGTTGAAATGTTGTAGACTCAACAGAAGTTAGATAATGTATGGCTAGTCTAAGACAAAGCGGGCGAGAAATTTCGCATATGAAAACCGGTTGTCTGCATCGTCGACTGTACAGGAAACAATTTAATATTTACAATGGTAATGAGTAGTTTCTGTTTTATCGATCCTCCATTTCTATTTAAACAAAGATTACCCCTGCCTCCCTTCCCTGACATATTCCTGATGAATCATTCTAATGAAGATCGCTCAAATGGGAAGATTTGAAATGCTCACATACTTGTTGATCTAAAAGACTTTAATGTTTATATAAAAAGTCAACTGCTGAGAAGACACACCATTTATAATTTTACATTTCTTTTATTTATTATCAGTTGACTTGTCTTATGAAAGAATGTTTGACTTGTCTTATCTTATTTGCCTTTTATCTGTTTTTCCTCTAGGTGATTTTATAATTTTCTTGCCATTGCGTGAATTGATAGGAGCCAATTTGCGAATCATATTTTCATATGTATAGAGAGAAAGTGAAGAGAATATTCACTTTCTCTTTATCTTCTCTTGAACGAGTTGTTAGAGTCGAACAACTTTTCTTTTTTTCGAAGTCCCATGTTCAATTTTGATCATGAAAATCTTCTTTAGGATTTCATACAATGCTCCATCTCTGATCCTAAAAGAGGCTAAGCAAATAATTATCATATCAAAATCACTCATTGTAGAGCATTTGAAAGCTTACCTTGTTTTGAAATGAAAAAAGCTATTGTTTCTTGATGACATTGATGATCATAATCTTGGTGCTATCCATGAACATCTTGTCCAGTTTGAAGCGTCAACTGCTTTGTATCATATCGATACATAACTAACATTCTCACCGCAAAAAAGTATATATATACACAGAAAAATAGTTGAAGGCTCTTCTAGAAAGGTCTTGTATATGTAATTTTAATCATTCTTAAACAATTTAACGTTGTTTTTATTTTCATTCAAAATGATGATAATCAAATTTCACGACTAAAAATGCTACATAATTATAATTGTGTAATCACTCGAACGTAAACTGAAGAAAAAACACATTTTATGTGAATCAAGTAGAAAGAAACCAGGTTTTTTCCGTTCTAACAATAGAAATTGGAGTGACCGTGGTTAAATATTCACAGTATAAATAATCTTCCATAGAAAATAATCTTGATTTGTCTTGAATAACCCTCGCTCTAGCTTCATTTAAGGCTAACTTAGCCACAAATTCAGCTCTTTCTCTATCCAACCACTGTTTTACGTGAGATTCGTTTATCGTCTCAATATCTTCTCTCAATTTGGAAGGTCCCCACAACAACGTCTGTAGGAAAGCTATCATCTCTTTGACATCTCCACATCCATCACGAAGTGTTTCCGACGCTTTACGAAGATGTAACGACAATGTGGTGTGTTTCAAGGAATTGGTACTATTACCATTGTGATCTTGATGCAACATTAGCAAGATTAATTCAGATAAAGCTACTAAATCTTTTCCACAGTTGGTTTCTATAAATGAGTCATCATTAGGAACGTTGCTTTTTTGACGCTCATTGCCTACAGCTTTTCCAAAGTTGTTGATCAATAATTGATAATCACCATCGTGTTGAATGAGCAGTAACTTCGATAGAGACAAATCATTATGTGAGTAGCCCATGCTGTGTAAATGCTCGATACCTTTCAAACATTGTAGAATCAACAAACACGCTTTTCTCTCGTAGTCACCAACAAATTCACAATCCACCGTCTTTAACTGGTTCACAAATTCCGCGCAAGTTTGAATAGGGGACTGGTCACTAAGAGCAATTGTCGTGTGAATTAGAGAAGTGTCGTCATCATTAGTTCCCAGGAATGATGCGGGTATCTCACCACGAAAGTAGGCAAGAACACGAGAGATATTTTCATGATATTGAATGCTTGTAGATACACTGTAATCATAATCAAATGGAGAGGGTGTTGAAGCACTTTTGCATTTGATCTAAATGAAGAAGATCAATCGTTTAACAAAACAAATTACTCTAATTCAATTGAAGAAGACAGATTTTACCTTAGCAAGGTATAGTTCCTTTGATTTATCACACTCCAAATGTTTTACTTCCTGTCGTAATTTCACCCGTAATGACAGGATTCCTTCATCCACGCTGAATACTGCATCGTCATCAACAATTTCGAAATCTTCCCAGCAAGCACCTATAAGATTGATCGTGGGCTCAAGTAGCTTCTTTTTCCAACATTGTAAGATATCCTTCAATACAGTCAGGTGAATATCTGTGAAGCTATCATCAACAAGATTGCAGGAAGTGGTGTTTTCAGCAGGTGTGCTAAAACGCCGTGGTTTCTCGGGAGCTGTCGGTACTTTCCGAGATCTAGGTATCGTAGAGGAACCTGTCACCGTATTTCGCGGAGTTGCAGTTGGTTTCTCATATGTCTAGGAAAAATATGTTATGATAAAGGAACTGTTGTAAAAATCAGCAAAAGTCGACAAACTGAACAATCAACATGAATAAAGAAAAATTCACATCAGTCATTACTCAAAAATATTTCTATTTCAAATAATTCAAAGTTACAGGAGCAACGTAAATATGACATCATAAGGCTTTGACAAGACAAGTTATTGTCATAATTTCAAATACGAGAGAAGCTAGAAAACCAAGGAGACACAATCCACGATGTATGAAGGTTTCTCTGTTCTCTTGTTTAGAACGAATCATCTCCATCAAGAAACACAAAAACAGTTTCAAATGAGCAAATAAACTGCATATTGAAAACAACACAGAAGACCAACCGAGAAAATGAACATGAGACGAAGAAAAAAAAATCCAGAACAATAATCCAGTTTGAATATCGTCCTTTATCGTTAACTCAGCAACAGATAAAATAAGCTCTACACGAGTGTATTTAGGATGGAATAGTTCATGTAGACCATTTTCAATAAACACAAGTGGATCCTGTTCGTCGTTATTTTTATGTTGAATACTTCCATAGAATAGTAAGTCGTATTTCTTCATACATATCATATATATACATAAATATTGATGTTTGATGTGGCGTACATAGACATATGATGTAGCAAAAGTAAGAACTGTACAAGAAACACAACTGATACCAAAAATGATTTTAACCATTAAAGATTTACTGGGCAAACCAGATATTGTTTCTTTCGTAACCAGAATATAGAAAACGAACCAATCATTAAAAAGATCAATTACATTATAAACCAGATGAACTACATAAAAAAGTAGTTTAAACAAAGCGCAATGAGAAAAGATCTTCGTATTCGAGACACACATTTCAGTTTGCGAAACATACTTTTAAGTTTAGTGTTTATTTTTATCTGGGCTGTCTAGGCATGTAAATTCAAAACGGAAATTGAACAAAATACCGCAAAAGGCCTGGGGACGACAAGCTACACAAATATTAAACATGATTTTGAGTGACAACATTAAAAATTTATGGAGAGTTACCTTAAGAGAGCGAGCAGGAATTTTGGGTTTCGGCTTCAACATTGGTTTCTGAGGAACGTCCGGTTTTGATTTTTTACTTGATTCCCCTTCACCGTCGACTTCAGGGACATCAAGGACATGTTTGTCACAAGGGACAGTCATATGATGATCAGTGACGATATAAGTGGGTATTTCCTCGTATCCATCAGTTGTTTTCGTATCTTCAGGTGGAGTGGGTAATGGACCGAGTTTGGGAGTAATGCTCTCACTGATCTCTTGTTCTCTTTCGATAGTGGATTGTGACATTGAAGGTTGAAGGTATCCACTGCGAGGAGGTTTTTTCGGTGTTAAGATTTTTCTTCCTCTGTCAATTTCTTCCACTGGTACATTGTAATATAATGTATCATCAACATTATTTATAGTAAACTCGTCAAATTCTGGATGAAAACTTTTCTGCTCCAACACTTCATCGTAATCGTCTTCAATCGCTTTGTCCACACAATCAACATCATTTATCAAAGGTTCTGATATTGTTGTCAAATCATCATTTCGGTGATTGTGTACAAAAGTTTGATATTCTGATGTTATATTCGAAGAAAAATTTTCCGGTTGAAGATTGTTTGACAAGTTTAGATCTTTTTTGGAAGTTTTCCATGTCACTGGTCTTTTTAAATTACTTAAAGCTTTCTTGAAAAAAGCACCAGTTTTCGATGTTCTATCTTCCTTCCCCTTTCCATCTATTTCTTGGATATCTTCGTCACTATTCGCGTTTTCCTGAATTGAAGAACTCATCTGAAGACGTGCTAAGGAAGACTGGACACCAGTGACAGTCATTGAACGCTTCAGTGGAACTGAAGGAGAGAGATCAGTGCCAGGAGATGTTGAGAAAGAATAGGAAACAGGTCGGGTGGAGACTGGAATACAGAGAAAAATTGTTTAGTAAAATTTCCACTTAACCCATACGTCTCAACAAAACCAACCTTTTTCATTGGGAGACTGGGTCCAAGGATGAAGCGGGGCTGATCTTGGTGGACGCTGTATAAGAGAAGATATCGATTCACTGCGTGCTTTGGTCGAAACACCATTCAATGGTGAGGATTTACGACGTGGAAAGTGACGAGCTAACAATGAAGAAAAAAATTATCAGAACGAACACGTTATAATCGCTACTTTAAACGTTAGACAAAAGCTGCATCCTGCCGGAAGTAATGATGCAGAAAGCTTTTTATCACAAACAAAAATTTTGACAAATTTTATCGCATTAAATGTACAACGTTATCAATTATGCTTCAATTATGGTGTTATTTTTAATTTGTTTAGTGACGTCTTTAAGCAATACTCCTCATCTTTGATCCAAAGATAATACAAAATGTATCAATTGTCTTATTTTGCTATTGTTTTAGAACTAATGAACACACTGTGTTGGTATGGATATAAGTATAAAAAAATCGATAATTTTGGCCAAATTTCAGAACATATTAAAATATTTCGTAAAAAAGACATGAAACAATGATAAGATGATGAAATGAAAATACACAAAGTAATCATGGTATGAGAAAAAAAAACATTAAAACACTTTATTATTGACACAAGATACGGTGAGTTTCAGGTATTCAATATCGTTTCCCACCGAGGGAATTTGATTCATATCATAAATTTGTACTTTCTATAGCAAATGTTTTTTTACTCGTACATTGCCAGGGTTATGGTCCAATATCTAGACTAACAATATTGTTCTTTGTTTCATTACATACATATCACACAAACAATATAAAATGCTTTGTAAATATGATTTACAAATGAATACAAGTCATTAGCAACGCTTAACTACGCTCATGTGGATTAAATAATGTGAAGCGACAAAAGCCATAAATGATAGAACATGGTGAATCATTGCCATATATTAAAAACCACAGCCAACTGTAATTTTAGAGAAATATACATATATATTTATTAGAAATTTGTAGATTGGACAACTTAGATTCTTTCACTAAAAAATTCATAAAGTTCAATAATGTCGAGAAAGATATGCACAATACAAGTTCGCTGCTTCAATGTTCATAATCATAAACCATTTTCAATGAATATATTTTCATGTAGACGAAAAACTGAAATGCTTCTTCAAGAAAATTAAACTTACATCGTAACAAAACAATAAGAATAACGTCTAAAAAATCTTGATCAAAAAGCATTAAGATTAATGAAGGTCAACAACGCCATTTAAGTGATAAAATATTCAAAATAGACAATCCTTGACAAACACAAAACAGAAGCTAGACTAAAGACAATACAAGCCGTCACAAACAATAAAAATGTACTCACACACATCCAGTTCAACTTTCGAATCATTTTGCTCATTTTCATTTTGAATTTGTCCAAAATCATTGAGCTTTGAACTTTTTCTAGGCAATGGTGTCGGCTTAACGACTTCGTAATCTTTAGAAACTGTAAAATACGAGTCTGATCGACTATGATATAAAGTTCTTTTCTTTGGTGGTAGTGCGGGCCGGATATCGTCTTCAATAAAGTCGATAATTTCATCGCTTTCTTTTCTTACATTGGGGTTAAAAGCTATTTGTTCCGACGCATCATGTATATAATGTGGCTCAATATCTTTCAAACTGCGCTGTAATTCATCTAGATCCACAACTTTATAAGGCACAATCATCTCAGGTTGTTGTACAGTGACTTTTGGCTTTAAACGCTCATTCCGTCTGCTTGGCAAAGGAGGAGGAATATCATTATCTCCGTCAGCGATCACTTCCATATGATTTCCCGGCACATCGAGCTTCGAGTGGCCCGTCATTAAATGTTCTGGAGAGAAAGATCTTGTGTTCTCATAAAGAGGCTGTCTCAAAGATGAACATGATGTAATATCGCTGAGATCAACACTTTCTCGTAATTTCCCCCATGAATGTCGACCTGAATCTTGTGATGATATGCTACTTGACTGGCTGCTTCTCTTGCTACATAAACTCAAACGACCGATGTTCAGCCGACCAGCAAACGAGCCCAAAGGCAACGTGACATGGGAAATTTTATCATTAAGAGAATCAGTTGGACTTTCACGGCTACTGCTGAAGGAAAATCTGCCTGGTATTGACATACATTCGTAATCACTCTCGCAATTTTGTGACTTCATTTGAAATTTTTCTCTTTCCCTTGATTCAAATGACGAGTTCCGACGAATTACGACATTTGAACGATCTTCTTCTGGTGTGAAATTAGGCTCGTTGCCATTGACAGAGAGATAGTTCATATTTTCAATTATTGTTTTGTTTGTTGAAGACGCGCTCATCATCTTTATACTCGGCTGTTCACTCTCAGACTATCTTGAGAATGTACATCTATCATTGTACAATGACTTATTAATTTCCATAATTCACAACTGTTGGTTGGTTAAAGCTACTGGATGAATTCCCATCTTTGTGTTGTGATGGAGAATGTATGTTCGCCATAGAATTGAATAAAGTACCGTTTTTTAACTAGCATTCTTTAGCTCAAGCTTCAAAGGATTGTTCCTAAAAATATATAAAATCTAAGATGAATTGAAATACCGCCAGTATCAAATTCACCATTAATCTCTTATTCTTTTGTGGTTATCCAGCTGTGTTTCCGTTGACATGTTGCTAACTAAACATCACAGAAATAATTAAAATTTTTTGTTTCCAATATATGTTATTTCATCAAATACAAAAGAAAGAAAAATTTTGATTCTTAGGTTATTTTCTCACAATCTCTAGGATTTAATCACGCCACTTAAATGAAAATTCTGTCATTGTTGTAACCAGACACCTACATTCCCCGACATGTTTTGACGTAGAAACCAAACCTTTTTTAGCCAATATTGTCTCGATATTAAACTTCTTATCGTCCCTTTTCACCAAACTGAAATTGTGCGCAAATGTTAATCATGATAACACAGGTTAAAATAATAAAAATTTGTAGATTATATCATTTTATTTTTTTACCTATAAATGGTTATCAATAATCTACACATGGAAATAGAAGTAGCTCATCTTTCAACACAAACTACCTTAAATTGTACGCGGTAAAATATTTTACCTTGTACGAAGAGAAAACCATAGTGACAGCAGATGTATAAATTTATATGTACTTTGATAAAGATTATTTTGACATCTCATTTGTTTGATTATCATATTTTTAACAAATTTAATGTTGCGTTTTTGATTAATTATCTTCATCGAATCAAGTGTTTTCTGAAGAAAATTATCAATCAGATTTGATAAAATCAAGATATGTTCTAAGTAATTTTAAAGTCGATTGAAAATAAACAGATCTAACGTTAACTACAGCACCAGACTATTTTAGTTCCAGTTTTTTCTTCATAAAACAATGTTAAACAGGTGTTTTATAAGTTTAATGACAAAGACCATGACAACAGGTGTAGAGTTTGAACTTCAAAGTACGGGTTTAGAAATATTTTTTGTTCATTTTATATTTGCTTGAATCCACAAAGAGACCACGAAATAACATCGAGTCAGAACGATATTTTGTCGAAAACAATGATTTAGAATCATCTCCAGGAATCGTTTTTGCGTAAGGAAAGGTAAAACTTTAGACGCACAGAAACTTGAATAATGTAACAGTGTAACATAGAGTGTTCATAAATAATTATTCAATAAAAAATATCACTAAAAATATGAACTTTAATATTTGGAAACATTTTAAAACTTTCAAGGTTCAGTCAGTGTCACTGAATAAGATGAAATAGTTTAAAAACAAAACAAAAAAATTGAAGAACTATGTAATGATGTGTCAATGTGACAAGGAATAAAACTCAATAGTTCGGCAAAACATCAAAATTTCTTTGAAAATTTTTATGAAAATTTAATTCTAGCTTGCATTCAATTGAAACAAACGTCAGCTTAAAGCAAAATAAATTTATAATAGAAATAAATAAATGTTTTTACCTTTTGCATATTTAATAAAACAGGATTGGACAGATACTTGACGAATAAGATGTCAATATAGTGACAGAGTTGCCTAAAAAAATCTTGTTATGGCTTCGCTTTGGCCATCTCCTTCTGGAAAATGGACGAAGATTAGTTTCTCTGATGACATCAGTTCCCGAACATATACCGAAGATGTCCCGAAGTGTGTGATACAAAACGACAGTGACGTAGATAGTGAAGATGACGCATGGATGTCTCAGTTGGAAAAAGATTATGACAATTCACAAAGACGTCGAAGACGACGAACATGGACAAGTTATGAACGAAGAGTCACAACTGTTCTTGCTGTGTTTGCAATAACCACTGTTTCTTTGATATTCATGATTGTTTATAAAGGACATTTAAGGTGTGAATGATTTGCTACCATTGGGTTTTTATGTACAACTTTCATTTTACTTAAAATTTACAACATTTTTTAAGGTTCCCCTTCATGTGTAAAGACGAGCAGATGTGTCTTACAAAAGCCTGCGTTCAGGCGGCAAATCAACTTTCTACATTCATCAATGAAGAAGTAAATCCTTGTGACGACTTTTATGAATATGCATGTGGCCGTTTGGAAAAAGACAATTCAATCAAACGTGGATCTTCAAACTTTTCTTCCTTTGATCGCATTGAACAAAACAATGAAATGATTTTGAAGTACATCCTAGATGGAGATGATTTGCAGAATCATCAAAGTTCTGCTGTCAGAAATATGGCTCATTACTATGCTTCATGTCTTGATCAAAAGATGATTGAATCACTAGGAGCAAAACCACTGCAAGATCTCATTAAGTTCGTGGGCTCATGGACCGTTACTAATACAGCATGGAATCCAGAAGGTTGGAATTTTGGTCAAGCACTTACACAAATTCACAAATTCAAAAGCATGCCGCTGTTTTACATGTTCGTGGCTCCAGATGACAAAGATTCATACCGTAATATTATACAGGTATATAACTTACTGGACGCATTCACTTCAGTATTATTTCATAAATTACGTCTACTGTTATCCACAGTAAACTTCATTTGAACGTGTTTCATTATGTAGATAAAACAAGCCGGAATAACTTTACGAGATGAAGAATATTATCATCGTAAAGACGATGACAAGGTAAAACAACACACAATCACATGAAGCACAATTTTCATTTATGTCCAAACACCATCTATGTGCGATTTTAGTTAATCTTAGCCTATAAAGACCTAATGGAAAAGACAGCAATGGAGCTTGGAGCTCAGGACAAGAAAGATGTCGTGAAACAAATGAATGAAATTCTGATTTTTGAAAGAAACTTAGCAAAACTTTATGAAGACAAGGAAAAACAAAGATACACTGAAAATATTTACAATAAAATGACAATCGCAGATTTGCAGCAGTTGGCGCCATCGGTTAGTTAAAGATTGAACTTAAATAAAAACTATAGCTACTAATGAATCATTTGGATAATGTTTGATATCGTTGAACAACGTTTAAAACGGCAAGAAACTAAAGAAAAACTAACATCGTCAACATATTTTTAGATCCCTGGATGGATTACATGAACAATATCTTTAAAAGTCCTGTCACTTTCTCGGAACCTGTAATCGTTTTTACACCCAAATATCTGAGAAATATGTCAGAACTTGTTACTAAAACTGAAAGAAGGTAAATGAATGAAAAACAAAACAACATTTTTGCTGAAAATACATCCAACTATGAAAAAGATGACGATCATCACCCTGGTCCAGTTAGGAGACATAAGTTGGGAAATAATAAGCGTATAGTTTAGAAGTGTAACCAAACGAGCCAATAGGTATTATAGCGAGAGAATTAACTGCTAGTAACATGATAGGGTTTTGTATAACGAACTAACTCATCAACCGATACAATATTTAGAGTGCTAGCCAATTACATGGTGTGGCATTTGATCAAACCATTACTTCGTTTACTGTCCCAACCTTTTCGCAACATCTACGCAGCTTTTGAAGCGGTAGAGAGTGGTTCCGTACCAGAAATATCAGCAAGTTCAAAGTGTGTAACGAGAACTGAGTCCTTGTTTGGTTTCGTAACTGGAATGTTGTATGTAAAGGAGAGAAATGGTGTAAACGTGAAATATGAGGTAAAAAATAAATGATGATGAAGTTAAATCATTATCTTACACTGTCACTACATTGGTCTCCAGGCCTCCCAGATGATTGCAAATATCAAAAAGACATTTGAACAAAATATTCAAAAGATTAACTGGATGGATGAGTTTGCAAAAGAAAAAGCATCGGAGAAAGTGAGTTTAAATAAACAGAAAATGAAGTAAAAGTAGATTTATCGTAAAAAGTTTTTCAATTTTTAGCTAAATGCAATGATTGAATTGATCGGATATCCTTCATGGATAGAAGAAATCACACAATTAGATAATTATTACTTAAACGTGAGTATGATTTTGAAAGTTTTTAACTTTATAAAAGAAACTCTAAAAGAACACGTTCTTCTAGCTGACAATGAAACACGACGCTCATTTTGAGAACTATTTAAACGTAAGAAGATTTTTCCACGATAAAATGATGAGAAAACGTTCAAAACTTGTGGAGAGAAACGAGTAAGTGAAATGTTTCTTAAGAATAACACAACGTAAAAGGACTCAACTTTTAATTTATAATTTAAAATCTAGATGGCATCTAACACCTTCTCAAGTGAATGCATATTACAGTCCGACAAATAACTACATTGGTAAGGACTGAGTTTTTTCAACGAGAGCAATTTCAAGGTGTTTATACGTAATAACCATTAAACATTCATATCTATGAATTTAGTGTTTCCACTTGGTGTTCTGCAGAGACCACTTTTCGACGTTTCATGGCCAAAGTAAGAGAACACAAACAATTCTTAACGTTCACGTGATCATTGCTATATTATTTTCATCGATTTCTTTTCAGATATTTAAATTATGGAGCAATTGGAGCGATCATGGGTCAAAAGATCACTCAAGGATTTGATAGCTATGGTATGTTTTAAAGGGATAGTAAGGTATCATGAAGGGTATTAAATGATTATTTTATAGGAATGAAGTTTGATAAATATGGAAACATGAATAAATGGCGGGAAAATGAAATGCTCAGTTATTTTCAAAACAAGTCATCGTGCTTGGTAAAACAATACAGAAACTATACGTCCAAAGATTTTCAGGTATATGATCCTGTAATGTCCTTTCTTGTTACATTAAAAAGCTTCAAATATATAAAAAAAAACCAAGGACTTTTAAAAACAAAATACAAATATATGTGTAGATTAATGATCAAAAAAGTTTGTCTGAAAATATTGCTGACAACGAAGGAATCAAATTCGCCTTTCAGGTGAGCAAATTTTAAATCTTTTTCCTAATAATAGTAAGCATTATGTTAATAAAATACATACCGTACCACAGGCTTACCAAGAATGGTTAAGACACAACCCTATAGAGCATAAGTTACCGTCGTTATCTTTGACAGCACAACAGTTATTCTTTCTGTCATACTCTCAGGTTGGTCAATAAATACAGTTTTGTTAAGTTGGTAAAAATGACAGTTATTAGTTTAAAAAAATACAGAAACATGTATAATTTCACAAAGGTTTGGTGTGTGTCCAATATAAGAAAACAATCTTCGTTGACGAACATGCACAGTCCAGAAAAAGCTAGGTAAGAGCTATAAATAACAATGTAAATATAATTAACTTTCCAGACTCAACATTTACTCTAGTCGTGCTTAATAAGCAACAGTAAATTCGCTGCTTTTGATTTAAAGATATTCATTATTAAATTATTCTATTATAAAGGGTAATGATTGCTTTAAAAAATTCACAAGAATTTACCAGTGCCTTCAACTGTCCTCGCGGAAGTAAAATGAATCCTGTACAGAAATGTCAAGTCTGGTGATTAAAACTCGAAACGCTAGTTTCAGTATATTCTAAAGCTATAAATTCTATATTTTATCTATATTTCAATCCTTAATTTCTAAACTGGAAATAGACATGTTTGATCGTCATACACACCATAAATATTACCATCATGACTGACGGACCTTCAACCATTAAAACGAAGTTGTATTTCCAGTATCGTAAATGGGATTTTGTTCATAAGCGGCTGCTGGATTTTTCATGTAACGCGTTTCGCGAACATATAATGGTTCGTCTGTCGTCGTCCAGAGTTGTTGAGATTGATTTGCACTAACATTTTGTGTTCCCTGGTTTGGAAGTGGTCCTGGTAATCCAACTGACGAATATGTACCGTCTCCAAAGTCAAAACCTTGCCCTGTATAGCTTATGACATCTTTGGGTTGACCGTCTTTTGAAGATTCCTTTTCATCAGTAAAGTTCTAGATTAACAAACATAGTCATATTCACAACAATAATTTTATGATATATATATCTATCGCTCACGTTTATACAGTAGTTTTATCACTAACATTTATACAGTAATAGTTCTAAATACTTCAAAAATTACTCTTTAAATATACACGTCACACTAAAAATCATCGTTAAAACAATAAGAGCAGACACGAACCTGGGTTCTAATGATAACAGCATAAATACCAACAAGCAAAGCAAAGAGCGAAAAAAGAAAAAGAACAGCATACAAAATAATTACTGCCAGAGTAACATCTTTAACAGTTTCCAAATCAGAACAAGAATTGGAATCTTAACAAAGGAAAACAAAAGATATAAAATATAAAAATGTAAGGTTATTTTCTTATTGTCATCGATTGAACAAATATGTAAGTAATAAAAATGAGCTCTTACAGGTTCTATGATCAGAATCGTCATAAACAGCTTTACATTTGCATTTCTCTGCTTCTGACTCACAGGAATCAAGGGAGACCCAAACACCAGAAGCATATGCGATCGCTGCTATAGACAAGAAGATTCCTACGGTATTTAACCCAACACCAGCAGACATCTAAATAAATAAAGAAGATCAGTATTTGATATTATAAATCGCCATGTAATAAAAATGTCAGAAAAACACGTAAATTTCAGAGTTTCGCTTCATTTTCATTTGAATGACAACTTTCTATCAAATGCGAGTTTACAAATATGAAATGGCTCAGTAGTCAACATCGCCAATCTGCCATCAGTACCTTAGGAAAATTTTTTAAATTAAAAGCGCTCCACATCAATCACTGCTTACACAAACTTTTACTACGGGTGGTGTTAGAGAACGAAAACTTTCACCTACAAACAAGGGGAGATACATTAGCAAATAAAAAATAGAAAAACTTACCAACAAATTAAATCGGCCAAAACCAGCAATGACGAGAACAATACCAGAGCAAAGGAACTAGGTCAAAAAACAATTATTCTGAATTCAACAATCGATAGCAAAAACAAAACAAAAACGGGAAATTAAATTTTAGATAAACTTAACACTGGAATGATTGAAATCAATGATATGGTCACATGATTAGCAAATATAAGGTGCTTTTGTCGCTATTTTTATAAAAGCATATCAAAAATTTGACACAGAATGTTTATACAGCTGTTTACAAAGTAACTTTCTAATGGAGAAATTGTAAATCTTACGAAGCCTAATATCTAGAAAAGTTTCAAAGAGTTTAAGGAAGTTTAATCGCAAAACTTACAACATCAATATTAAATATTATGAAAGGAAATAATTAAAGTGACTTGGCGATATGAAAGGAAAAACACACTCCAAAAAACATCATCTTGTAAACTCAACATTCGAGTTATAACATCAAGAGACAAGATTTAAAGCAATATTTCCACTTTACTTCCAAGTCGAATAAAGTCAAAACATTGCTTTAAATTTTTTCTCTTGCTATTATGACTCGAATGGCGAGTTTACAAAATGATGTTTTTTAGAGTGTGTTCTATCATTTATATTTTGAAATTGTCGGCTGTAAAAGGATTTTGCCGATATTAAAACCTACATATATTAAAACTTACATATATTGCCCAAAGACCAACACTTGAAACATCATCAGACACTTCAGTCATTGCAACAATTCCGCCAACAATACATCCAATAGCCAAGACGATAATAAAGCAACCAAAAATCCCGGTAGAGAAGGTAATTCTTTTCGAAACATTCATATTTTTTACATAGATATACTGTCCCTTGCAACTTTCAATCTACGTTTATCGTTACACAAGAAATAACATTTAAAACTAAGTTATTGACATTCCTAACAGCGTGAAGGAATTTATCATGCATATATGATGATTGTATACATTCATTTAAAATAATAAAGAATCTGGGTGTCCAAGCAACCAGGTAAACTTTCCCCAATTAAAAAAAAAAGATTCTTTAACAATTACTAACACAGAGCTGCGTCGGTGTGTGATAGCAGACGGTCATTTTAATAACTACGTATTATCATTCTTAGGTAGGATAAGAAAAAGATCAAATATTAACCGAAAACGTCAAGAAATTCCCATGAAATGCAATTATTTACTGACAATGATTATTTTTAAATCAGTTTATCATGCAATTCTTCAACTACACCTTCTATTCATTTTACTTATACATTATCATAATCTAAAACATACACCATTTTTAAGAGTAATTTATCAAAAATAGTTCAAGTTATTTAGTAAGACCTTAAACAAAAAACTCACACAAACCAGCTTTATACATAATGACTTCGGTTGAATCGATTTTTTATGTCACCATCAAACTTTCATAAAATGTACCTTTCCTCTGCTCTCATTAACTACCTGGATGGAACAAATGTATTTTTTCGGGATTCCAGTACAATCGAGCAGATTTGTAAACCAAAGACCAAACATATGGAATGAAAAATTCCTCTGGTTGTTCCTCTTCAACATACTTAAACTTCAACTCAGGAAATTTCTAAATAACAAAAATTTTGCAGTGGAAATCATCTTCGACAAGTGATAAATGGCTCAAGTTATTTTTCTTTAAAATTCAATTACTTTGAGTTTATCTTTAGGCCATTGTAATGTTCCTTGCTTGATGACATCAAGTACAACTTGAACTGACAATATTTGATCAGGATGTTGCTCAAGACGAGTGCTGAAAAACGTCAACACCTAAAGAAAGAAATATTCTTCACCCAAATACAATTTAATAACGAACAAAATAAAACATAACACAAAAAATAAATGTTACAAAATGCAATTGAAAGTAAAACAATTAATTAAGTTTTATTTAAAAAGAACTATGATTTTCTTCTGGTTATCTTTCATTTCATACTTTAAGAAATAATATATAAAGTCATCAAAACTCGACATCACGAAGAAAGTTCGGTATCGTCGACTAAAGCAAAATGTGATGAAAAATCTTCCATATGAAATCAACCCCACTCTAGTGAAAACATAGTCCACAACAAAATAACTCAATGAGAATTACCGTATCAATGTTTTGTATAATATCTTGAAAGGTTGGATGTGTTCTAAACTGTGCGAACAATTCCCTTCTATGAAGCAATGTATACACAAGATTTGGATTGTGATGAAGTGTATTGGTTAGACAGGAGTTGATTATTTCCAGAACCATACGTATGACCTCTTCAAGAATGGAGAGATCAGAAGCCTACAAAAAAAATTTTATTATTTTACACAACACTGAAAGAACGTTCAGTTTTTTGATGACAGCCTTCAATAAATATCTTACAAAATCTTGTGTAAAATCATCGTCGATAGACTGATGAGGATTTGCTGCACTTTGTTTGATTTGTTCCTGTACACGACCATGTTTCTTAGCTAAGACCGCGTATAAACTAAAAGATATTTCAACTGTAAAATACTAACATTAAATCTTCATTTTTCATTCACATTTGATAGTCGTACCTGACGAGCCTTTGAGTTACATATGGATGAAGAGCATGAAATTGCGCAGACATATTTGCAAGTGCAGCAAGACAATTCGTATGAAGATATTTATCCTAGAAAAAAACACCAGTATTTATACAACAGTATGTAGCATTGAAAAATGACCATAAAGTATAACGTTAAAATGAAGAACTTACCCTCATTCTTGTCATATTATATTGAATGGTTCGAATAACAACAAGAACAAGCAAGCCTCCTAACGTTATGTTGTTGATAACACGGTCAGTGAACCACGGTACATCATTTAAAACCTCAACAAGAAATTAAACGTCTTTCATTCGCTACAATTAATAAAACCACGACAAGTAAAGTATCTATAGGTAGCCTCTTATACATAGTAAACCACGACATATAAAGTATATATAGGTAGCCTCTTATACATAGTAAACCACGACATATAAAGTATATATAGGTAGCCTTTTATACATAGTAAACCACGACAAGTAAAGTATCTATACGTAGTCTCTTATACATAGTAAACCACGACATATAAAGTATGTATAGGTAGTCTCTTATACATAGTAAACCACGACATATAAAGTATATATAGGTAGCCTCTTATACATAGTAAACCACGACATATAAAGTATATATAGGTAGCCTCTTATACATAGTAAACCACGACATATAAAGTATCTATAGGTAGTCTCTTATACATGGTAAACCACGACATATAAAGTATATATAGGTAGCCTCTTATACATAGTAAACCACGACATATAAAGTATATATAGGTAGCCTCTTATACATAGTAAACCACGACATATAAAGTATATATAGGTAGCCTCTTATACATAGTAAACCACGACATATAAAGTATATATAGGTAGCCTCTTATACATAGTAAACCACGACATATAAAGTATATATAGGTAGCCTTTTATACATAGTAAACCACGACATATAAAGTATATATAGGTAGCCTCTTATACATAGTAAACCACGACATATAAAGTATATATAGGTAGCCTTTTATACATAGTAAACCACGACATATAAAGTATCTATAGGTAGCCTCTTATACATAGTAAACCACGACATATAAAGTATGTATAGGTAGTCTTTTATACATAGTAAACCACGACATATAAAGTATATATAGGTAGCCTCTTATACATAGTAAACCACGACATATAAAGTATGTATAGGTAGCCTCTTATATATAGTAAACCACGACATATAAAGTATATATAGGTAGCCTTTTATACATAGTAAACCACGACATATAAAGTATCTATAGGTAGCCTCTTATACATAGTAAACCACGACATATAAAGTATGTATAGGTAGTCTTTTATACATAGTAAACCACGACATATAAAGTATATATAGGTAGCCTCTTATACATAGTAAACCACGACATATAAAGTATGTATAGGTAGTCTTTTATACATAGTAAACCACGACATATAAAGTATATATAGGTAGCCTCTTATACATAGTAAACCACGACATATAAAGTATGTATAGGTAGCCTCTTATATATAGTAAACCACGACATATAAAGTATCTATAGGTAGCCTCTTATACATAGTAAACCACGACATATAAAGTATCTATAGGTAGCCTCTTATACATAGTAAACCACGACATATAAAGTATCTATAGGTAGCCTCTTATACATAGTAAACCACGACATATAAAGTATGTATAGGTCGTCTCTTATACATAGTAAACCACGACATATAAAGTATCTATAGGTAGCCTCTTATACATAGTAAACCACGACATATAAAGTATGTATAGGTAGTCTCTTATACATAGTAAACCACGACATATAAAGTATCTATAGGTAGCCTCTTATACATAGTAAACCACGACATATAAAGTATGTATAGGTAGTCTCTTATACATAGTAAACCACGACATATAAAGTATCTATAGGTAGCCTCTTATACATAGTAAACCACGACATATAAAGTATATATAGGTAGCCTCTTATACATAGTAAGCCATGACATATAAAGTATATATAGGTAGCCTCTTATACATAGTAAACCACGACATATAAAGTATGTATAGGTAGCCTCTTATATATAGTAAACCACGACATATAAAGTATCTATAGGTAGCCTTTTATACATAGTAAACCACGACATATAAAGTATCTATAGGTAGCCTCTTATACATAGTAAACCACAACATATAAAGTATGTATAGGTCGTCTCTTATACATAGTAAACCACGACATATAAAGTATGTATAGGTAGTCTCTTATACATAGTAAACCACGACATATAAAGTATGTATAGGTAGTCTCTTATACATAGTAAACCACGACATATAAAGTATCTATAGGTAGCCTCTTATACATAGTAAACCACGACATATAAAGTATGTATAGGTAGTCTCTTATACATAGTAAACCATGACATATAAAGTATCTATAGGTAGCCTCTTATACATAGTAAACCACGACATATAAAGTATATATAGGTAGCCTCTTATACATAGTAAACCATGACATATAAAGTATGTATAGGTCGTCTCTTATACACAGTAAACCACGACATATAAAGTATATATAGGTAGCCTCTTATACATAGTAAACTAGACATATAAAGTATATATAGGTAGCCTCTTATACATAAGTAGAGCACGACGTATATAAAGTATATATAGGTAGCCTCTTATACATAGTAAACCAGACATATAAAGTACCTATAGGTAGCCTCTTATACATAAGTAGAGCACGACGTATATAAAGTATCTATAGGTAGCCTCTTATACATAGTAAACCAGACATATAAAGTACCTATAGGTAGCCTCTTATACATAAGTAGAGCACGACGTATATAAAGTATGTATAGGTAGTCTTTTATACATAGTAAACCACGACATATAAAGTATATATAGGTAGCCTCTTATACATAGTAAACCACAACATATAAAGTATCTATAGGTAGCCTCTTATACATAGTAAACTAGACATATAAAGTATATATAGGTAGCCTCTTATACATAGTAAACCAGACATATAAAGTACCTATAGGTAGCCTCTTATACATAAGTAGAGCACGACGTATATAAAGTACTTATAATTATTCTGATTATTACTATACTTTATTAAGATAATGCCATACCACTTCATGAATAGATTTGTTGAAGTTTTCATCTTGACTGAGAATCAATAAAACAATAAGAGCCATGTAAATATGATGGGAGTTTTGCTCTTCCGCGCTGTACAACAATTTCAGTATTGGTAAGATCTACATTTAAAAAATGATATTTAGTCATGACAGAAGAGGAGAAGATCGTCAGAAAAACAATCACTCTACTCACAAGGCGCTCAATGTCAGTCCTTGAGAGCATATAAGATGCTATTATTGGGTTACGGTGCAACAAGAGATACAGTAGTAAAGTTGTTTCATCTGTATAGAGTTGACTACAAGATAATGAAGATTTTTATCTTTGTGTTAAATCATCATAGTTAATCAAAATAAATTATTTTTTACTTAAATAAACTTCATCTCCAATAAAAATTCCTTCTCTTAGTAAAATTTATTGTGCTTATCGTTATATAGTGGATCGTGACATAAGGCAAATACCAAAATCATAAATGATAGAAAGACATATACAGGGATACAGTAAGGTACAATGACGTATACAGTGATAAGGTAAGGTACAATGATGTATACAGTGATAAGGTAAGGTACAATGATGTATACAGTGATAAGGTAAGGTACAATGACGTATACAGTGATAAGGTAAGGTACAATGATGTATACAGTGATAAGGTAAGGTACAATGACGTATACAGTGATAAGGTAAGGTACAATGATGTATACAGGGATACAGTAACATACAATGACGTATACAGGGATACAGTAATGTACAATGACGTATACCAGGTACAGTAGGATACAATGATGTACCCCGGGTACAGTAAGATACAATGATGTACCCTGGGAAGAAAACTAACATGACGTAAATACCTGGATATAGTGATATACAATGATCCAGCGTTCATATAAAATGATGCTTCTTCCAGTTCAATATTTTGAGATGCACCACCTTTAGAAACATAATGAGACCATTTAAAACTACATTGAATGTGCAATAATAGACGATGTCGAAAAACAGACCTTTATGTTTAGAGTTTGTGAACGTAAAAAGAGCTTGACGATAAAGGTTCAATTTTTTGCTTTGAGTACAATGATTCACCAATATGAGCAGAAGTAAAACACTTTGATTTGAAAGCAAAGCATTTTCTTTATCAGTAGAATCATCATCACTACCAAACCATGATATCAAAGTTCCTTTGAAGTAAAACAACAAGATATATACAATGATAAATTGAAGTTAATATGAATGTATTTCGTTGTCACTTGATAAACTTACATGAAAAACTTCCACATACATACCTAAAAGTCCCTTCGTTCCACCACTTCTTAATTCATTAGGTAAGGGATCCTGTTTTATGTAGTATCGTAATAATCTCATAACCAATTTGTTGCAGCGTTTGGAACTGGACATTATGTAAAGAAAACATGTAAAATAAAGTTTACCTAGAGATATATCACACCTCCAAAGATAGTACTGTATGTAAAATAAAGTTTACATAAAGATATCACATCCCTATAATATAACAAATACTTTTATCATTTAGTATGTATTATGACATAAGAATTTATGTAAGAACAGGAGGAATTTTAATGGGGGTCAATGTTTGCCTTGCTCATCAATAAGCAAAGATTAACTCATTAAGTAATGAAATTGTTTTTGATAAAAAATGTGATGGTGATATTGTAAATGAATGCCAAAACAAAACTGCCTTCTACAATAAGTCTAACCATTTGCCATGCATGACGATTTGATATATAACACTGTTTGTTGAAGCATCTGGATCAAACATTTGCACTGACAACAACACAATCATTGAATTAATGGCCTCCAAAAGCACAGTATAGGTTTGATCACTAAAAGATAAAAAATATAGAAAATCTCAGATGTAAGTTGGGAGAGTGCAAAATTATCATTTAGTTGCCTGTATGGGATTTCTGTGAGGATTTCAACCAAAGTCTCAAAAAAATCATCCAAAAGACCACACTCTAAACATACAAAAAAACACACTTGAGATCTTTTAGGAAACCACACAAGATTGAAAAGACGTTTTTGACAACAGGCCTATCCACTACCTTGGAATTTGCTGTCCTCTGCGTATCTTTGAATACCTTGTGATACTTGACCAGCCATTTTACCTAAAAAGAAATATCCACAAAATGATAAATATGTCTGATTGCCACTCACGTTTATATAACTACCTCGTTGAAGTTTTGTTGCCTGAGCCAAAGTGAAACCACCAAAATGGATGAACAAATCCTCCTCTTTGGCATGTTCAATGAAATATTTTATGAAACTTCGTACAAGAAGCAGTGAATTGCACACTTCATAAGATAACGATGAGCTGGTATAAAAGTACAATATAAAAGTGCCAATATTATTGATAAGAATCCATAGACTTCTTACACCAATCTCACAGCCATTAATAATACACCTATTTATTTATTTATTTTGATGGCTTACATATTTTAATTAAAATTTATCAACCATACTTAATTTTTCCATCACATTTTCGTAGTTCTTCAACTTTCCTCTGACACAATTCAACTAATTTGATAAAATTTCCACTTTTCAAATTATTTCGAGCTGCAGTTGAAAAGAATTATTTCAGAATAGAAATTTTCATAAAGACAGCCATGATATAAATACAAAAATCTATGAACAATAAAGTTAAAGACTGACTATATCCGCATTCAGCACAGCCCTGAGCTCAAAAATCATTAAATAATTTTTAAATACCCAGATTATAACAAAGAGACTCAGTTGCTTCTTCCAACAATTTTGCATCAGATCTGAAACAGCAACGTTTTAAAAATATACCAAAAAAATGTATCGTAATTCCGTCGGGTTCTACAAATACTACAACACGACAATGTCATCATTCATCAACATATTTACGTAACTGAAATTGAGTAAATAAATCTTTTGAGTACGTCGACAAAGAATAATGCAATTAAGTGTAATTTCCACTATCATATAAAAATCATTAAATGCTTTAAACAAACTTCTTCACTCACATCCTGTATATATTTACAAAACTAAACGCTAGTAATTCCTCCCAAAATTGATCGCCCTCAGGAATTGATTCCGATCCAACTAGACGATTCAATAATACATTTTCTTTAAGTTCGTTGATAGAAGAAGGCTTTGCACCCATTTCAACGTTAACTTCTTAACTTCCACATCAACAAACACAATGTTTTTTAAAACTTTTTCTCGCCATTTTTTTATTGTTTTGCTTTTACGTTTTTATGTTTACCGTTGATCTCATTGAAGTAGATATATCTGGAGCGCTAACTTCCGTGATTGGTTGAATGTTGGAGACAGGTTGAGTAAAAAAAAATTACACTCCCCCCTAACATACAAGGTCGGATGGCTTAGCCCACAAAAACATTCTGCATACAACAAAAATATTTTCTCCTTTTTTGGAGTCTTTTCTATTATTTATTCATTACTATGAGCTGTGAATAATTATCTGCGTGTAAGAAAAGGAGCAGAATAGACAAGTGACCACGAGCAATGAATGCTGCTATGTCAATAGATATAGTTTGACACTTTCCACTTTTTGAATAAACAGAAAACCGTAAGGACATTTTTCTCTGTATCTTCCATTGTTCAGCTACTTTTTCATTCTTGCAAACGTTGCATCTTCAGTTGTTGAGGCTCTTCGTCCATTCTTGCTAGCGTAGCGTCTTCATTTCTTGAGGCACCTCATCGGTCGATTCTTGTACGTGCTGCAAATTCTATTGTTGACGTACTTCATCGATTTTTGCAAACGAAGCGTCTTCAGTTTTTGAGGCATTTCATGGATTCTTTCAAGTGCAGCGTCTTCCGTTGTTTTCTGGCAGATCCACACTGAATCCAGTAGCGAACAGAAGAAATGCATTGAAGTTACTCCCAAAAGATGTAATGAATTTGCTTATTAAGTGCTCACGTCACGTGCTCGTTGTTATTTAGCGGAGATGCATCAAGCATTTTAATGACTTTCTTTGGTGTAGGCTTTTTTTCATCATACACAAGAAAATGTTTGAGATATTGTGGAATTTTGCCGTTTCGATCTTCAACGATTGAAGTATTGGATTCCAGCAGCAGCAATTACTTGGTAGTATTGGATTCTAGGGTTAGAAAACTACTTGGTCATATAAGTAAAGAGCATTTTCAAATCTTGAGAAAGTTTGACGCAAATAATATTAAAGATGTAATTTTATTCTAACTATGTAGATTAAATCTACTTCTTTCAGTAGCTGTATTCTTGCAGGCTACCAACATGTACGCATAGCGTTCCTACTTTTTAATGTTTGCCGTTTTATCTAAAACGCAGTGTTTTGGGAGATATACCCAAAGGCCAAGAAATGAAAAAAAACGTGAATATTCATGATAACTACGATAAATAATGTTATGACAAATGTCTTCGCTTGGCCCCAAACGTGGACACTGTTTTTTTTTCCAAACCAAAACGAAATGGGAGGGAAAACCGGTGGATCCGGAAAAAACCCTCCAATTAAAGAAAAGATCGAAAATTTAGAAAAATTTCCTGAAATTTTTGTAGTTTTGAGATGTTTCACATTTTTGTTGTTTTCAATGATAATGATCTACCCTAACATGCAGCGTAGTCAGATCGTACGTCGGTCGTATAAAAAACTTAAATTTACAAAGCGACAAAAAATGGGCTGACTACCCTATTGACACAGCAAATATTTTGTGTTGGAACAAAAGAAACGCAAACTTTGGTAGAGAACAAAAAAATGAAAGGGTGCAGGGTGCTAACAGAAATTTTAATAAATAGACGAGAAACGAAAACTAAAAGCAGCCCAAATATAAATCATATGAAAAAAACGTTCAATACGTAGGGACCTGACCATTCACCTGCCAATAACAACGAAAAAGGAAATGACCAAAGTGACGTCATGACTTGCATAAAAATCACTTTTTGATGTCTACTAGACTTTGTTCTATTCAAAAATTTTATGTTGCTTCATTAAGACTTTCATTAATAGCTGGCTTTCACTCGTGTGTTTTGTTTGAACAATTGTGAAAACTTAGTTTTACGGAAATTACTAATAGTTGAATTTGAAAATGCGTTATAATGATAAACATTATTTGTAACAAAAGTCGTAAATGTGAATCTTTCAATAAGGACGCTTGTTTCTTGGTGCTTCTGTTGGTCGTTCATTCATTGTCCAGTTCGTAGGCCCACAGACATAGCTACTCTATAAAAACACGTTATAAATGTCAGAATAATTAATGAACAAAAACAGAAATTAAACATATTGAAAAGAACAAAACTTTAATACCTGATTTCCAAGCGTTGTCATGGTCAGTCTGATCCAGGTGATTTAATGGGTCTCTACCCTTTTTTTCACAGCGCAGTTTTTACGTATGTATCATAGCAATTTATTGTAACATTTTTTATCTTAGAAATTCAATGAGCCCTACTTGTAGCATTGCAATTTTCTTTATAAGCTTTAAATAAAATAAGTAAAAGTAGCGAGGGAAAGCCAGCTATTTTCTTACAGCAAGTGACATCTTTTATTGACATTTTTTCTAAATGTCAATAAAATGTAAACAAATTATAAAAATAGACCACCAGGATACTTTTTAACTATCTCATGCAGTTACTCATACAACACTTATCTACTCAACTTACAAACCACAAGACATGGATTGTGTTCTTCCACTCGCTTGTTTTCCATCTTCGTAAAATATATTCTGTGAATTTTCTTACGTAGATATGCCCTTATGCGATGTCCATTCAATATGTTTATAGCATTCCATACACGAAGTTACCAGCATCATTAACCAATAAAGCAGCTACTGATATCATGCATTGCCATTTCAATTGATTACAATTTATAATGCACTCTTGTGGTAACTTTAAGCGAAGGAATGGGGATCACTCCAACACCCCAGTTATATCATCACACAAAGAATGCTTAGTGCAGAGTTGACCTTTTGTGAGTATCAGCTGACCACCTTTAGGTGGGCTCATATAACAATGGGGCCCATCATCATTATATGAACAAACAACTGACATCAACAAAGAATCCAAACTACAAATGAACATTCTTGGCCATGAATCACCATGACACATGAGTAATGACAAACTAGTAAGAGTAATTGAAGTGAATGACACAGGTGGTAAAGGGACTTTCACAACTCCTTCCATGTGGGATCTACAATATAAGAAAATACTAAACACATTTTTCGAGATTTCATGATGAATAACTCTGCATATGACATTAGTTTGCGTTTTTAAATTCTTAATCAGATATATTAAGAATGAGCAACTTACAATATGTTTTCTGTTTGACTATCCAATTTGTAGAACATTCGCCAAAATTGCACGATTAGCATTAGTCAGTTGAGTTTGAACGATGCAACGAGAACTTTCAAATAATCAAAGGCTTAACATCGTGATCAAAGCATTTTACAGTGAAAGCTTTCATATTACGAGGCCTACCCTAAGACTAGTTGATTATTCCATGTAACTCGTACTTCTGTACTTCGTCAGTAAAAAGATAGAATTTGACTTTCTTTCTACAACGTTAAAGTGACTAATTTTCCTTGGAAGTGAAAACACACGAATTTAAATATGTTAACATTTCTTTACTTGACGTCATAACTATAAATTTGTATTTTGATTGGTTCCTTAGGAGTATGTCACCTTTCACAAAGACAATAAGTAATCCTTCAATGCAATTAAATAAAAAAAGAATTCATAAGAATCTTCAGATTTTTTGCGTTTTAATGTCGTTATGCAAAGTAACGATGCATGATGTTGCCATGAGACGATAATGAATTTAGAAGCTAGATTTTAGGTCTTTTCAAATATTCATCGATCTTTCAGTCATATCTTGCTAGGCTGAGGTTAGGAGAGGGTTTAAGGGCGTTCTGGCTGACGTCACCATCATCTTAATGGCCAAAATAATGAATTTGCGTTATTTGATCGTGTTTCTTTTTAAAAATTAGATTTGATAAATATCCGGTAATTTGTTCAATTCGAAGAAACTTTTGAAAACATGGAAAAATAAAGTTGGTTATAGCCGATAGTTCGACCATAATCCGATCAACAGCAAAAGGAAACAGCTGTCAACGAAACCTGCATGCGAACTTTGATACTTATCAACGGAGAGCTGCAACGACGTCAATCACAAAAAGCGTTTTTCAATGGACATACCCGGCGCACATATTTGAACATTTGAAAACCACGATGTACTGATATATACTATCAGTATCACATCCAAAATGTTGATAACAGCTGCGAAAAGAAATTTGAGCGAGCAAAACCCTTATGAAATGTGTTATAACAGGTACTTGCTTCGATATCATAGTTATCATGAATATTCACGTTTCTTTTCATTTCTTGGCCTTTGGGTATATCTCCCAAAACACTGCCTTTATTAAATACAAAGGCAAACATTTAAAAAAATACGTGCGCAATGCGTACATCATGGTAGCCTGCAAGTATTATATGACCAAGTATTTTTAAAGAAATATTTTATTAGCTCTTGCTCATCACGAGAGAGTTATGTAAAAGGTAAAAAGTAAAAAACGTATAAAAATGCTTAGAGTTGGTTTAAGTTATAAGTCAAAAAAACAAATAATTTAAGGGAACCATACAATTCTTGTTTGCCATGAAGCCCATGGATGGTTTGCTCGTAACACATGAGAAACAGTAGATGAGGGAGTTAAACAAGAAAGATATCAGCCACTAAAAATTATATAAAACATGTTTAAATTATAAGTGTCAGAAAAAGGCACAGCATTGGAAAAAGTTCATTGAAACATTGCTTGGATTATTTTATGAGAACAAAAAGATAAAATTCAAAAGCAAAAAACCCCGTTTTCGGTCCATGCTTCCCGATACCTTCTTAAGCGTAAGGCACTAGAACGCCGCATGTTAACGTTTCAGTAGGAGATTTCGGCCCCTCTACGCTATCCTACTTGGGAGATGCAATAGCAAGCTTCCGCCCATCAGACCCCGAGATCACTTGCGATAGGCTTTGCTCGGGGTACGCAGGGAGAGTGCGGTCGCCACCGAAGTGTGGGCCCCTAAGCCACTGCATACTATATCGCACTCAGCTTCCACTGCTAGTTGACATCTGCTATACGATATTTTAGATTTATATAAATATACGTAAATTCAAAGGGCTTACGACAGTTGTGGTATGATTGACATTGTTACTGCGCATGGTCTTGCGCATGCGCAGATGATTTTTCCCTATTAAATTGGTATTAACCATGCTATTTACTTCAAAATCGGTGCCAGTAGATGGAGTTGGTCGTTGCCATCACCATGAACTTGTGCAGCTGGTCAAGTCGACTGAACATGCTCAAGCGTAATGCGCATGCGCAGATAATTTATCTAAAAACTTTGACTGATTGTGCTAATTACTCCATAGTTGGTACTTGTACATACAGTTGGTCTTAGCCTAGTTGGATCTTATAGCCTTTTGGTGAAAATATGAAAAAATGTGGAAATAACGTTTTTTCTGTGAAAATGTGTAAAATTTGTAAGCATGAGTTATTAAAGCTGTTGAAGAAGTCACCCTTCCTGTAAAAACAATTGGCTGCACCATAAAATAAAAGAAATTGATCCATCTATATAACATGCATGGACATATGATCAATCCAATGGATATGATCAATCCAATTTAATTTATACAAAATATTCAAGTAATTTATAGAAAAATTCTTAAAAATTTTAGAATAACTATTGCCAATATTTAATGCAGAAATGTAAATTGGCCGACTGTTAATTATGCTAAAATTAGACATAAGCATGAAAAGCCAAAACAATATATGATTCAATTATTGTTGGCAAGTATTACAGTTCACATTATCAAAATGTTATGTCATTTCAGATAACTGCCCTGGGTTAAAGTAAGCTATGTCTCTAACATGTATACTGCATAAAATATTCTCGGATAGATAAAAACTAGTTGTTCATGGTTAAAGAAGTTGACAGCAGGAGAGAGAAGAAGCAGATTTCTCTTCATCCATCACATACAATTTACCATTATTTACTTTGGAATCTACAACATCAATATTTGCAATTCCAATGGAGTCGAATCGTGGATCAGGAACTGTCGGAACCTGCACACAATATGAGAAAGTACAAATTTAAAACAAAAACAACTTGATGTACATAATAGCATTTTCAATTTTCATACAAAGTAAGGGTTGTTTGCATCCTTCATGTCATTGGATAGGGCTTGAAAAACCTAAAATACAACATCAAAGTACGTTGACTTCAATATTACAAATACTGATCATAAAAAAATGATCATGTGACCTCTTTAATATTCAAGTTATCTTTAGCACTAGTCTCGAAGAATTTGTGACCAAACTCATATGCAAGCTACAAAAAAAACAAAGCAACATCACTAAACTAGTGAATAAAATTTCATGAATAACAGAAAAAAAACAAGGAGAGAGTCGTGTGCTTAACCTTTTCACCTCTTTCTTTTGAAACTTGTCTTTCGTTTTTTAAATCACTTTTATTTCCAACAATTATTAACTGCTCATTCTCCAAACCATGCTAAATAAAATTAAAATTTAAAAATGCAAGAATGGCTTTAGATGTATTTGAAATATGTAGTGCTTAGCTGACCTGTTTAATATCTTGAAGCCAATTACTCAGTTTTTCAAATGTGTCCAAATTAGTGAGATCATACATTAAAATGAGACCCTTTAAATAATGAAAGTGTATCAATTACACATGCACAAAGCGCTACCATGTCCTTCCCATAGAATGTGAACTTTTGCCATATATACTCAACCTTTGTTCCTCTAAAATGCATTTTTGTAAATGTCCTAAATCGTTCTTGTCCAGCAGTGTCCCTGAGCAATAATTTAATAAATATGTTTATGATGATACTTGATATGATGAGATGATAAATGTAAATATCATAAGTACTTGCCATATTTGAAGCCGAACACGAACATTGTCAACCATTATAGGAACATTCACAAAATCAATACCTCAATAAAGGAAAACTTAAGTATTACAATAACTGAATATCATATTTTTAAAGAGTAAAACACAAAAATATACAGTAAAATACACACCAACAGTTGTCATGTACGACATAACCACAAGGTCATTTGGTGTAGAGTAACGACGAATCAAAGACGTTTTACCGACAGTCATTTCACCCACAACTAAAACCTTGTATGTTATGTCATAATCTTTGTTCGTTGTCATTTTTCTTTATTCATTTGGCTGACGGTAGGGAACTAATAATTTTTGTAAACGTATCTGACAAATATATGATTTATCATGAAAAACGATATAGTTCGTAATATTTGCTGGCAACATTAACAACACTGCTTGCATCTATGTGAGCAAAGTGCGTTTTACGATTGTAAATTTCATAGGCGACTTGCGAGGCATCTTCTGATCTAAATAATTTGTTTTTTCCGATACTTTTCTTTTTTTTTGAAATTAAGCAATCAAGATTTAACTTGTGCTTTTACTGAATATATGAACTATTGGTATGAATTCAAATCTTACCTTCAGAAATTAACACAAAACTTTCCTAAATTGACACTACAAGATATGTGTAAAAACCTTATGACTTTCCTCTCAGGAAGTAAAACCGGAAGTTCAACGACTCGCCACAAAACAAGGAAGTGAAAAATTCGAATAATGCGCGCCTCATTTACGTCTGCGTTTAATGCTTATAAAAGTGACATATATGATACTGAAAAAATAATCATGACTCTCCAAAACTCCAGAGATTAATGCCCAATGTACATTTAATAATGCACGATTTTCATAGATTATCTACATGAAATATAATTTCATCACTAATTTACAATATAATGAATGATGTTTAGTTGGCAAATGTGGAAATTACAACCAACCAACCAAAATTCAATAATAAATATCAAAAATGAATCTTTATATAGTTAGGGAAATTTAATGAAACTGAAATTTAGATTTTGAAAAATGTTTTGATTTAAAACCATTAACCACGAAATGCAATGGAGTTTCGCGATTCTTCGTTTAAATTACATTTAGATTACGTAATTTAAACTACATTTAGATTACGTGATTTAAAGTACATTTAGATTACGTAATTTAAAGTACATTTAGATTACGTAATTTAAACTACATTCAGATTACGTAATCTCAACCAAACTAAAACCATTGACAGTCTAGGAGTGCTTGAAAACTTATGAATAAAGATAAGCACACCTGGGTTGCCTGTGGTAAAATGACGTTCATATCACGTGATTTATACCACGTGATGATCACGAAAATATAAACTACGTATAGGAATTTCCTCAAACGAAATTAAATATTTATCAATAAAATTAATCCTTTGAATTACCAATGAATCCTTTACAGGGGGGGTGTCCAAGTTACAATACCCTTGATTTATGCCGTTTTAACCAATCCACTACCTCGTTTTCATGTTCATTAATCCATCTGATGTTTGACCGGATGGTTTCATACGACTGCTTAAGACTTCTCGCTGCAGATCCAACATCTGAGTTTACTTTGAAAAAGGATTGCACCTTCAACAGAATGCAAAATAATTTCAAAAGATGCCACGATTTCTCAAATCACCAGTTGTATTTAAAAAAAATGTGTTTCTAAACGTGGCACTTTTAGGTATTTTTTACCTCGTTGTAGTAAAACTCAGTTTGAAAATGTGAAGTAACAGCTTTGAGAAGACGACCAAAGGAGAACGCTTCAGATCCGTAACTGAAATAAATAAAAAAAAGTACGCAATGGGATGACAGAATCAAGAAATTTAAAAAGAAAAGTCAAGAGAGGAAGAAGCACTTTAGTGCGAAGTGATTAGGAGTTCTCTGACTACAAGTTGACCATCAACTATTTAATTTATACCGTTTTCTTAACGTTGACCAGTGACTTCGGAGGAAATCCCATGCCAATAATCTACCATTTGGATTTGAAGCAACAGAAATGATGACAGAATCACCGTCTTGAGATTTGATTAAACTTGTATTCAAAGCGTACTCAAGACATCTGCAAACGAAAGTTAAAATGTTTTCAAAAGATATAAAAAAATCAATTATTAATGATACCACAACAAAAATGGCATCATTCAAAGATGTCATTAAAGTATTGATATTATAATTAAAAAATTGATCATGATGTCACAAAAACATAATGCAATGACCTCACAACAACTTCAACTATGACATCACAACAACATAAACCTATGACGTCCTTACAACATTTCCAATGACGTCACTACAACATCAATCAATGACATTAGTTATCATGACGTTATCAAAAGAGCAGAAACCTTTGTAAAAGCCAAGCTTCTCGTGTTGAGGATAGAGATGACAGCAGTTTGCGTTTCTCTTCTGCTTCTATCTCATTTTTGTATTTTCTCCACATAAATTCCCATTCTTTCCTAGTGCCAAGCCTCACACCAGCTTCATAAACAATGATTCGGAAATTAGGAGGTACGCTGTGTAGAAAATAGACGATGTTTTAATAATTAGTAAGGAAACATTTGAATTGAGTTTACATTTATCGTGTAATGTTTGTTTCATTCATCCGTAAAATTTACCTTTCATTTTTCGACATGAAACTTTCAAACATTTCCATAGCTTTCTTTACAGCTGGTTTATGATCATAGTACGCTGCAGTACTAAATAACGTGTCCCGTAAATACCTAAGAACAACATTGAAACAATTCTTTAAATCTAAACTTCCTTCTCATTGGAACATGTAAAAGCTTCAGATGTACCTCTGTAAGGCAGAGCCAGTATCATTGTAATTTAGTTCATCAAGAACGGGATTTACTTTAGATAAAATATAATTCTAAAACATTACACAAAAAGAAATGTTACATGTTTGTCCTAAATCCTGCCATACTGACGTCATGTTACGTTATTTCAACATTGTACACTGACCTGATACAATCCATAATATGAAGTCATAGATAACCTAGCTCCAATATAAGACAAGGAAAGCATCGCCGCTCTCCAAGGAACATAATCTTTCTCTCGATGAAGGTATAAACTCATATCTAATGCCGTTGTGTAATTTACTTTGCCAGCTCTGTACGATAGAAAAAAGATCAGTATTAAAATGAAAAAGACAAAATTGTCAACTTATAAATATCTCCAAGATATTTAACCTTGCTAAAGCAAAAACATCATCAAGTAAGCCGGCTCTGTCGGACGATGAAATTTTCTAAAATGAAAAAAGCACTAAGCTCAAGGCTTTATGTAAACGAGAACTTTTTCTTTTAGAATATAAGTCAATAAGTTAATATCGTTGCGATCGATGAACCAGGCGGAAATCGTATCGATGTATAAATATTAAAGCCTAGAATATGATGCGTAAAACAGCTATAAAGTCACTTCGCACATTTGCTTTGAGAATGTCTTATGATAAAGACGAAACGTTAGCTTATAACAATTTGTAATAAACATTTTTATGGCTGTTTTACGCATTACATGCTGGGCTTTAGTGATTATTATTTGATCAGTAAGTTAAATATTACCTGGTGATTGTGTATCAATGTTTTCGCTAAATTTTTCCAGTTGTCAAGTGGATAATTGACACGATAATAACCAGTTTGATTTATGTTGAATTTTAACCATCCATTTTTCCTCATGTCGATATTCAGTGAAACTAAATATAATTTAGTCAACATTTACAATTTACTTTATGAAAAATCCAATCCAAGAAAAGAAGCAAAATAGACTCTTCTTGAAATGTTGAAATAGTTTGAAGTTAAAGATAGGAACTGTTTATCTCAAATATAATAAATATGTTTCCTTAAAACATAATAACGTTTGAGATTATTTTTTATCGACCATTACATGCTCGTATAAAGTTGAAATGAAATCGAAACTTACTTTGGTTTTCTTTCATCCAAACTGGATTTGATGTAGAGAAACCATTGTCAATGTAATAAGTTAAGGGAATTTGCCATTTATAACTACACATGAAAACATTTAAAGACAAAAATAAATGAAAAGATGTGTCACTACCTACTTATACGAACTTTGATTGAAAAGAGAGGGATAAAACGTAAAAACAGTATTTTTAGGGAATACAGGAGGACTAAACATGACAATGTAGAAAAATTTTCAAAGTTGTAAAAGAAATCAGAAAAATAATATTTAAGGATTTTAAATGGATGACAAAGTGAATTTGAGGGTTATAGATGGATTCAAAAGATAAGCATGGATATTAGTGACATACTTGTAAGGAGATTTCAAGGATGGTTTTGCTCCGGGATCTATAAGGAAATGTTCTTGAGTTGCAATATATTTTCCATCATCTTGTTTTGTAATTGTAACCAGGGGAAATCCCATCTGAAGTGTCCATGTGTCCATCATGCTCTTAACATCAATTGTCGCATTCTGAAAAAAAAATTAATTACATGGAAAAATGTGTTGCACAAGCTTTTTTCATGGAGACATGAAAGGATATACATAGTCAAATCACCTCACTAAGTGAGTGCCAAAGATCGTCTGTTGCCGCATTGCTGTATTGAAATTTTTTGAGATAAGACGTGATGCCAGCCAAGAAATTCTTTTCCTTCATAACATTGCTTAACATATTGATCAAAGAGGATCCCTTAAAGAAAGAGTTACAAAAAAGTTATATTTTGATAACATCTCTATAGACAACATCTGTACAGACAACATCTCTATAGACAATGTCTGTACAGACAACATCTCTATAGACAACATCTCAATAGACAGCATCTCTATAGACAATATCTCTATGGACAACATCTCTATAGAAAAAATCTCTATAGACAACATCTCTATAGACAACATCTCTATGGACAACATCTCCATAGACAACATCTCTATAGACAACATCTCTATAGACAATGTCTGTACAGACAACATCTCTATAGACAACATTTCTATGGACATGATCTCTAAAAGCAACATCGTAAATCCAATCTTGTTAGAATAATTATAACAATTTAATTTTCTTACATACAACAGTTAGTGAAACAAACAAACATACCTTATGATAAGAAATATCATCAAAGAGACTAGAAATCTCACTGGGATTTTGCACAACAACTGATATAGGATGAGAATTTGCCAGTTGATCAAGATGCATAGACCTTTGAATATTTGACACAACAAATTGATCCATCATCTTTAAGTCAGGATCAGCTACATTAACTCCTATATTTTCAACATATGAAGCAAAGCCTTCATTCAACCACAGATCGTCCCACCATTTCATTGTCACAAGATTACCAAACCACTACAGAAATTAAAAATTATTAAATTAATTTATAGCTATACAAAAATATGGTCATCATACATTAATTTAATAACCTGATGAGCAAGTTCATGAGCTACTACTGTTTCAACCCATTGCTTATTACTAGTTGATGATTGTGAAGGGTTACTCAGTAATGAGGTGAGACGATATGTAATTAAGCCCCAGTTCTCCATCGCTCCGGCAGAAAAATCGGGAATTGCAATAAGATCTAAAATATAATTTACAAACTTTGTGTAAAAATTGGTTTGTTGAAAAATGCATGATGTTAATTCATCTCACCTTGTTTTGGTAATGGATATTTAACATTAAAAAATTCCTCGTAATAGTTTAAAACAACTTTGGCACTTCTTAATGCCAAACCTGTGCTATTGATTAGTTCTGATGGTGCCCAGATACGGATCTAAACAATAAAGCAACAAAGATTTGTTACTAAGGCATGAATTAAGTTGATCAGAGCTTAGATAAAAATAAGTGACCTTTACGCCTCTTTTGGTAACACCTTCCACAAATTTAAAGTCACACACAACAAAAGCAACAAGATAGGTGCTCATTTTTACGCTTTCCATAAACTGTGTTTCAAGAAGATTGTTGCCAAGATTCCTCTAGAACAATAAATAAAGAAATTGTTAATCCATTTCACAATGACCAAAAATATCACTTTGTGTTTACCGTTTTTTCTGCAGGCATATTAGATAATGGCACAAAACCTTTTACATAAACCAAAATAATTGTGAAATTAGCTTTCATGGCTGGTTCATCAAAACATGGAAAGGCCTGACGTGCTGCTGTTGCTTCAAAGTGTGTTGTGGCCAAATATCTTAAAGAAACAAAGCAAAATACCAAAGGCGACTTTATTATCACCAAGACAGTAAGTAAGCCATATCAATTAAATAAGGTCAATATAAATAATTGTCAAATATTATTCAATAAAATATTTCAACCAATCATATTATGCCCAGTTAACCTTTATGGCATGACTTCTAGGGAGAAATTATTGAAAAATGATACAATATCATTTTATCCAAGATTCAATTTTACAAAATTTATCATGAACAAATCTTTATTTAAAACAAGAATATTTGTAAATGCTAAGCGTACAAGGTGCAAAAACATACACACTGTCATAGTTCAATACCCGTCGCACATCATTACGCTCAATGTACAAAATTAAAATAAATTCCCTTCTCACCTTATTTCTCCTGATGAAGTTTTGTAAGAACTTTTGTAAAATCCTTCCAAATTTTCATTAAGATTGCCATTAAAAATTGATATTCTTATTGTATACGCATGATTTTTCCGTAAGAAACGAGCCGTTTTGATCAAAACTTGTTCATTTTTCAAATCCAAACGCATATCACGAACTGCAATTTTTTCGTCGTCTTCAACTCCTTTTATAATTATTTCATCTTTGCTAAAATTTAAACCTTTTTGATGAAACACGATTCTGTTCGTGTGGGCCAGAGCTAAAATTTTAATCACAACACTGCCATTGAACTTGAACGTCTTTAGATCTGGATGTAATCTAACTTTGTAAGTCATCGGTTTGATATCCTTTGGCAAACGGATCTGTCCAGTGAAAAAACACTTGTCACTGTCCGTGTAGTCATAACATCCATATTTTGAAGAATTTGACTTGGTCGCCACTAGACCAACTATCACAGCCAAGGCAAGTACGCCTGCAAAAGCAAACACAAGTATCCAAATCTTTCTTTTTAGAAAGGAGAGACAATCAAACTTTCTCCTGCGTGGTTCATCAGTCTGAAAGAGTAACGGTTTGTTTCCCTGTTCATCGTCGCTCGTCTCCATTTTCAGGAATAAGGTTAAATTTTAACACATTTATTCACTTGATCTCTTTCGTCGACGTCTTGTTGTTTTAACACTCCAGTCAAGTCATCATCCAGCAGGATATGACGTCAGGTGTGTGTATGTGTGTAAACGCAAAATATGCAAATTTTCCGTAAAAGTCATACTTTTACAAAATAGACAAATGTCAAAACAATACAAGTAAAAAAACAAAATACTTCATATTTAAGAATTTAATATTGGTTCTAGATACATAATCTTCTTCAATATTTGAAATTTAATTTTTTTTCTTTCGTCGATAAACCTCCAGTTCGTGTATCGCAATCGATGTTCTGTAATCAACATACAAGAACACAAACCTTCCACGGATACCGGGCTCAGGACAATTAACGAGGTTTGGGCCACCACGCGCATCGCGTTGATAAGCACAGTGGGTGTTGTACTTTGGATGCGTAGAATTATTTCCAACCATAATCTTGAAGCCATCAATTCTTTTGATACAACAATCTACTCTGTTGAAAACAATCACAGTCGAAACAGTTTCCTATAAATTTCAATTAATGAAGGAAAAATATAAAAAACTGCGATATAAATAGAACATAATACTGCTACTTAATAGGAATTGTTTGTGGGGAAGAGGTGGGTGGTTGTGAGGTGTGGTGGTTGTGAGAGGTGGTGGTTGTGAGGGGGTGGTTGTGAGAGGTGGTGGTTGTGAGGGGTGGTGGTTGTGAGAGGTGGTGGTTGTGAGGGGTAGGTGGTTGTGAGGGATAGGTGGTTGTGAGGGGTGGTGGTTGTGACCATATAGAGTGATAAACAGATATTACCTCTCCCTAAATCAACACGAACCCACGGTCCATTTTCCTCATTTGTGTGAATATAGCCCCCATTTTTCTTACCATCAACTAAGAAGTGAGGAGGATTACTATATTTTTTCGATTGACTAGACAAAAACACGGTTTTCCAAAGAGCGATATTCACGTTGGGAACTAAAAATATAAATTTAAATCTTCACACAAACTACAAATAAAAATAATGCATTATAGTAATCAACCATAGACTTATTGCGTTCTTTGACTTACGACTACATGTTGGAGCAGAGCCTTCCCATAATCCACCGGTGTTACAAACTCTTTTTCTTGAACCCGACATAGTTGATAGTGATGATTTACATGTGTAGGTAGCTATTGATTTGCAGTGATGTGAGATGTAAGATACAGTAGCATATTGCGTATCATTGAGGCGTGAACATGTCTTAACTAAAATAATGAAAGATAAGTGTTAATTTTATTTATCATCAATAAACAAAAATAATCGTTGTTGAAAACAGACATACGTTCACATGACGGTTCAGATTTACTCCAAGTTTTATTCGCTAAACAAGTTATTTTTCCATCTCCCACCATTGTGTAACAAGCGTCACAGGTGAACGTCACGGACTCGCCGATAAAATATGACAGCCCATTTTTGTGACCATTTTTAGGAGTACGCGGTGCCGGGCAACTTTGTGCTGAAAATATTTTTTATGTAGCAGAAGACATTTTACTATAATCTTGGTGACTGACTCCTGGTAATTCTTACCTAAACATTTCACATTCTTCAACGTCCACCATCGCCCATCATGACCGCAAATCATTTTACCAGGATTTAACATCGCAAAATTTGATTTGCAAACGATAAAAATAGTTCTCAACCCTGAAACCAACACCACTCTTGCGTTTAATGGAATAGAAGGAGCACCACAAGTTGAGTCTAGAAAATAGAGCAGAAAACAAACAAGGACTACATAAGACTTTATGAACAAATGACTTCAAAATTAAACTACACAGTCTAGTGTGGATGCTTTAAACAAATTCTTGTATAATCTGAGGAGTCTCTATGACGAGCCAAATACATCCGCCGTGTACGGACTTATCCACAACGTACTTACTTATCCCCCCGTGTAGAGACCTATCCATAGTGTACTTACTCAAGAAAATATTGGAGAGGGATGGTGTCAAAATGTCAGCTGTTCTTGTGGGAATTTGATTTTACGATTGACAACTGTTTTTGATGGAAGCGTTGTCAATGGAAGAGGATTTTTGTTAGCTAAAGAAATAATAAGTCTTCTTTGATAATATCAGAAAAAAATTATAAAAATGAATGAGGAAAAAGAATCAGAATATATCATGTAGGTAGTGTACTTACTCAAGAAAATATTGGAGAGGGATGGTGTCAAAATGTCAGCTGTTCTTGTGGGAACTTGGATTTTACGATTGACAACTGTTTTTGATGGAAGCGTTGTCAATGGAAGAGGATTTTTGTTAGCTAAAGAAATAATAAGTCTTCTTTGATAATATCAGAAAAAAATTATAAAAATGAATGAGGAAAAAGAATCAGAATATATCATGTAGGTATTTTTGAACAAGTTTCGAAGCTCCATAAAATGTGCATATTGTAACCATTAACTGATTCAACTTTTAAAAACAACGCACTAATCTGCTATGAATTCTTACATCGACATACGGGTTCTTGTCCTGTCCACGTTCCATCACTCTGACAAAGTCGTTTTGCAGAACCAATCACGTGATAACCATGATCACAACGATACTGGACAACGTCACCACATTGTTGTGAATTTGAGACAAGGTAGCCATGGGAAGGATGTGTCAGAAGAGGACACGTCACAGCTAAAGAATTATGGGTAAACAACACGTGACAAGTAAAAACACTTGAATATCCATTTCAAAGTAAAAAATTTGAGTTGCACACAAAGAAACTAGAAGTTAGAAATAATGTTACTGTAAAACGTGATTGTCATTCACTTCAATGGTAAATTAAGGCTTGTTCTTGATAAAAGATGTACAATTTCACTTACGATCACAAGTTGGCAATCTATCGCTCCATTTTTGATTTGCTTGACAAATTCTGTAAGATGGACCATTGAGTTTATAGCAAAAATGACATGAATACTTTACTTGTTCTGAAAATTGATATTTTCCCTTCACATTTCCATTTCTTGGCCTGCCAGGATGAGGACAACTTTTAGCTAACAAATATATACTTTGAATAATGAACGAGTGCGCGTTTAACGAACTTAAACACTTCTCACACTTACGAAAGCATTTATAATCACTTGGTTCCAGTCTCCATCCTACACCATCGCAAACTAAAAATCCCCGTTTCGTCGAAACGTAACCAAAATCACATAAAAGATTTAACTGTGTTCCGTAGACTCGCTTTCTCTGCCAGTTTCTTGGAATAATGACTTTTGTGTTAGCAGGTAGCACGGCCCTTGGGCATTTAGGTGCTAGAAAAATAAGAATTGAAGAAAACTTTCGGTCTGCAGGTTATGTTGAAGCTGTCGATCACGTCATATCACATATGATTAAAAATATTGACTAATACAGAGTTACTGCGACATGATTTACAAAAAGATAACGTAAGACAAAGATATTTTCTTACCAATACATCGTGGTAAAGATTGAGACCAATTACCATTACTTCGACAAACAAGTTCCTTCGCTCCTCTCAAAGTAAACCATGGAGGACAGTAAAAACGAAGTCTTGTTCTTAATTTATACTTTTTCTTTGGTTGAAATTGACGAAGCAATAATCCGTTTGTTCCTGGATCTTGACACCAAACTTGAGGTCTTTCTTAAATGAAATGTACATCAGTTGTTACTAAATTTACTCACGTGTGTGGAAGTTGAGGTGTAGACGGGGGGGTTGAGGCCAGTTTGTATGTGACAAGCTTGGAGTTTAGGTTCCAAAGTGACCCCAATCATTGAGAGCCTGACCAGGCCTATCTACGTACACCTTATCACAACGAATCAAGTTCGGTGGAAAAGAAAAATAAAGAAATTTGTTCTGTACACCAGCGCAACCTGTCAATAACGATCGCCTAATGCTATGTCCTTGCATACAGCATGCGATGTGATACTCGTTCCCAGTCTGCGCATGCCATTCCTATGATATTGTTAATCTTAGTTACTGCCTAACCTCACCAGACAACCAAGTCATCTTCTTTTTATGTCAAACTGGGATATGTGTTTTTTTCTCGATTCTTAATACTATCAACAGGGAATGACCTGATGTATGGTAAAACACGATGTTCGCCATGTTAAAGATATATGTAAATAAACATACATTAAAATGATAACTCAACAGAACACTTACTGCATCGTGCAGGTCTTCCGTCCCAGTAACCGTTTCCACGACAAATTCTAACAGAGGAGCCATATAATTTATAGCCTTTGTTACAAACCACTCTCTGAGTTCCGTTGAATTTAAAAGAATTATAAATAATTCGACCATTTCTCACTCTGTTTGGTTTAGTGCAACGCTGTCCTTAATAATTATAATTTATTCATGGTAAGAATGACGTCATAGAATCAAAACCTCACTGGCAGTGGTAAGGGATGTAAGTGTACTTACTGGGATAAACGCAACTGAATCCACAATCTCCATCGCACAAACACTTCTTTCTTTTGTGATAACAACCAATTTGGGGAGTACATTCAATGGTACAGTCACGTGACGGCAAACGGTTTGTGCGCGCGCATTGGTTTGATCCTGAAATATTTGTCAACATATAATTTGACCGAAACGTCAGTCAACAACAACAAAAACAGTTCTTCTCAGGACTATATTGACCTGGACGATCTACATATACAAACATGTAACATATAATTTGATGAATTTTAATGATTCAACGCTTCAAAATGAGAAAACGTCGAATGCTTGAATTTGGCAAGAAATTATTCATTCTAATTAATGGACAATGATAGTCATATATAAAGTAAATGGTTTGAACCCGGGAGTATCGTTAACAAATACGGCTAACCTGACGTTTACTCCTCATTTGACTCTGAAGATGACTACCGCTAAGGTTGACCGAAACGTCAGTCAACAACAACAAAAACAGTCCTTCTCAGGACTTTATTAACCTGGACGATCATCATTTACAAACATCTAATGATAGTCATATATGACACAAAACACTCATTTTTTCATTGTTTTTAAGGACAATCTAGTTGCGTCAAATCTCTACGTCATTTTAGATGATGCACTGTGAATACTGCAGTATTTATGATAAAACTTTAAATTATAATTGCTTTATAGAAAGTTGTCGTCTCTTTAATTCTCCATTCTCATCTATTGGTCGAAATAAAACTTTAAAATAGCGCGCTTCATTATATACACCAATATTATCATAACTTGAATGTGTCCTTAAAACTTACCTTGAATTGAATGAACAAGAAATACGAGAGATAAAATGCTCAACAACATGATTTCGAAGCGAAGACACGTCTCAAATAAATCGAGAAAATGAGGAAGTTTGAAGAGGATATCGTCTGAAACAGGATGACGCAAAATATGTAAATAATACCTCTCTGAGTGATATGTATTGTCTTTCATAGCAACATGACATTTTTATCTAATTCCAAAACACTAAAGAAATAGAAAAAATGAATTTTACGTACAAAAATAGTTTTAAAAATGTATTTCATGCAAAAGATTTAAACCTATCCAAACATTAATGGAAAATAATAGAATTTAAATTCTCAAAACTATCTAGAAATCATACTGAAATCTCCTAATCTCCACTTAAACACATCCGCGACATTTACCCATTGAGTCAATATACATTCTTCATGACGTCATTCGTGCCAGTCCACCCGACGAGACAACTACAATGTTTTGTTGACATAATAAGTGGCGAAGTCGAAATAAATGTTTACGAAATGTTAATGTTAAAAATTGTTCAAATCTTGTTCAGTCGATAAAGATTAAAGTACTTAAATCATTTGATACTTTTAAAGATCTCTTCAACTAATTCAGGCTGTAGACATAAAGGATTCGAAAATGCCAAGTGTGAATACGAAGGAACTCCATCTTGCCACAAGCATCGGGGAATTGAATAAAATTGCACAGATTGAGGACAGAATTTCTAAAAATGAAAATCCAAAACCGTAAGTTAACTATATATCACACACATTTCACAGTATATTAATGTAATGTAGATTATAGGACAGTAGGATATACGCCAATGTTGTATAATTAAATGATTTGTTGTTGTTGTCGGGAGAAAGATTTTTATATACGTCAAATTTTACATTATATTACTGTTACGTTTTAATGGTAATGTTTCATTTATAACAGATGGATAAACTCGGCTGACAAGGTTTATAAAAAGGCTATGGAACATGAGAAAATGGGTGATGAAGAGAACTCTTTTGTATTGTACATGAGATTCTTTAACATCATACAAGAAGTTCGTAAGACAAAAAAATATCAACAAGATAAGGTATGACTAAATATCTAGAAACATTTTTGGTATTTTTTTTTATCATTCCAACTACTTTTTTCAAGGGTTTCTACAATAGTATAATTGGTAGGGCAACATTTGAAATAGCTCTTGAGAAAGCAGAAAAATTGTCCAATAGCCTTGAAAAAAGGTAATTCATAATTCTGATTTGAACCTTTTTATAACATCTTTGATATCGTAACGGCTGCTTCCAGGTACATGGAACTTGAGAAAGCAAATAAAAATGTTGTAATGGAAAAGGATAAAAAAAATTTTGAAGGTGATTGCTAGCTTTCATTTGATGGTTTCTGAGTTTAGTTTGTACGTTTTTTTACAATTTAATGTTACTTTTACAGAAGCAAAAGATAAAGAAAGGTGGGATTGTAAAAAAATTATGTTATGTTTTCTGAACATTAAGCACTTGCATAATGTTTAGTTTTTATTTTAGTGATGTACTTAAAGATATTGATGACTTATTATATGGAAAAAATGTTTCATCTCATACATCTGCAGATGTTGACAAGAAATCTAATGCAAGTTATGGATTAATGCAATGCCTTTAATTATATCGATATATTGATATTAATATGCACACATCAATATATATTATAGTATATTTAACAATATATTTTAGGTGAACCATTCATTAAATTTGCCTCCTAATGGAAATACATCATATGATAATGGTTTGAAATTATTAAAATCTATTCATTTATATCTCTTTAAGAATAACCATTTGTTTTCTCTGAATTATAAGGGCACATTACAACAATTGGTCCTATCGCATTGAAGAAACTTTTAAACAGTAACCAAAATAATATTCTTATTTTGGATACAAGAACTCAGATGGAGTTTCAATCATCTCGAATTAATTTTCCTTGTTGTATAAACATCCCAGAAGACTTGCTAAAATTAAGGTAAATGTACTTCAGCAACTTAAACTGCAAGTATTAAATTATTTCATGCATGTAAATATGATTCATAATTTGTTTCAATCTCCAGTGTCAATGTGGGTAGCATTGAACGTAAACTACCAAAGTCAACATGGAACCAATGGATAGAACGGGGTAAAAAGGAGCACATAGTGATCCTTGACCAAAAATCAAGTTATGCCGTTTTAAAACCTGAGAGTAAAGTCCAATGTCTAAAGAATGCTCTTTACCATTCTGATACTTCATGTAAACTTCAATCAGAACCAGTTATACTTGATGGAGGGTTTGAGGCATGGTTATGGCATTATCCATCATTAGTGACCAATCCTACCTTACCCCAGGTACAAATCATTATCCATCATTAGTGACCAATCCTACCCTACCCTATCCCATGTAATCCTTCATATCATGTTAGGGATGTCAAAATATTTTATTTCTAAAATAATTTTTGCAGGTAGTCTCAGCAGAAAAAGAATATAATTTTAACTTAGATGAAATAAGTTATCCTGAACTGCCGAAGATTCCTTCAACCACCTTGCCTCAACTTCACATGAATGGAGAAAGCAAGACAACTGCAACTTCCTCAAAATATAACAAAAACACGTCTAACTCCTACACGTATATCTACTCCGACTTAAGTAACAGAACAGGTCAAACCCCTACGTCAAGGACAACTGTGCTTTCCACTCCTCTTGAAATCCGTGATGTTCCATCTGATATAGCAAAAACATCCCCTCATGTATTGACCAATGACAAAAGCAATCAAAATCAAGCATTATCAAACCACACAAGTCAACCATCTCTTCTAACGAATTCTACATTACATCAACCAAAAACTAACGTTAGTGTTCCACAAACTGAGCGGGAAGTTGCTTCATCTAATTCCTCCTCACGCTCTACTGGACCCTCATTCAACAATCCTCAAAACGATAGAAGCACTTCAGTGCAATTTATTTCAAGTTCATCTCAACATCCTTCCATTCAATCTTCTCCTTCATCTTCAGAAAAAGTTCGTGATATCTCTCAGTTTCATGTCAATACTCCCTCTTTACCTACTCCACATGTAGTTTCACAACTTACTTCGAAGACTGTACCTCAAACTTCACCACAATCTCATTCCCAGGCTCCAACTCACAACTTAACACCTGTTTCATCTATCTCTGTACCAGATACCATTGCCCAAACTTCAAGTATTAAACCAAGGAGCGAAAACGTGAATATCAGCAAGCAAACAAACCAACCAATAGCCAATCAAGTTTCAGAACAAATTAACAAAACACATTCCTCTGAAGCAGTTGTAATTTCAAAACCTTTCATTCCATCTACGATTCAACCAACAAACCCAAACTTGTCTCATGGTCAACACCATAAAGTCCCTGCTAATCCCAAAGAAATTTCCAAAACACATCCAACTTCACAGTTAAACACCTCTCACTCAACACACGAACCTAATAGAACGCATGAAATGTCCAAAATACAACCAGGCTCTCATCCAAATACCTCAGCCACTTCACCTCGCGGACAAACACGATCCACGGCAATTCCTTCAAACACCAGTCATATCCCAGCAAATCAGTCAATGCCTCAAACATTCACAGGAAGTAGGACTGGAATGACACATGGTTTACCCCCCGGATGGGAACGTGTTTTAGATAGACAGACGGGACGATATTACTTTAGAGATCACAACTCCAAGACAACTCACTGGAACCCTCCTGAAAGTCTAACTCACAAAATGAACCAAAGCATCATGGGACATAACATGCAGACTGAAAACAAAGATGAACCCAAGAAATCATCCCTTAAAAGATCGCTGTCTTCACCAAATCTTGCTAAGGTTGACGAAAACGAGACGAAAGGAGTTTCAGGAAATGAGACAGAAAGGCAACAACCAATTGTGAACCGTCGCACCAAGCCACTAAGCGAGATTCAGCTGACAAATCTCTCCCCAAGCTACGGGGGTAAAGGTCGAGCGTTGACAGGACTGAGAAATCTCGGCAACTCATGCTATATGAACTCTGTGCTACAATGTATTTTTGCCACAGCTCCACTGGCTAAGTATATCCTTAGATCCTTCTATGTAGATGATATCAATAAAACCAATCCACTTGGGACTGGGGGTCGCATTGCAGAAGAACTTGCAGTACTCACAAGAGTAACTCATTCGGGAAACTATCGGTATGTTTCGCCGTACGAATTTAAAAGAACAATAGGAAAGTTTGCGGGCGAGTTTTCTGGTACGAAGCAACAAGATTCACAAGAATTTCTTTTGGTTTTACTGGATCAATTTCATGAAGACACGAACAGGGTTCGTAGATGTAGAATAGAGTAAATTAGAGTGTACACAGTTCACTTATAATAGCTTATTTTTACCAAAAGGTTTTGAAGAAAGCTTACATTGAAGAGAAAAGTAATGATGGATTACCTGATTCGATGGCAGCAAGGTTGGCTTGGGAAAATCACAAGAAACGAAACCAATCACTCATCGTTGAATTATTTCAGGTTTGTTGAAACTACGTTGTTACCAGAAGATGACCGGTATTGTTTTGATGATGACATATTCCGAAGGATAGAATCCAGCTGACATTATTAATGGCACAACTAACAAAATGAATTTTTTTTACAGGGTCAGTTTAAATCAACACTCACCTGTTCCGTTTGCAACACGCAAAGTGTGACATTTGATGCTTTTATGTCATTAACTTTACCAATACCAACGAACAATTCCTGTCAAATTGAAGTATGTAAGAATACATTAAATGATCCTCTTTGTTCATTATCATTCCTATACTACTATGTCAAAAACCACATGTTAACTACAAACCACCCTAACTTACCCTTCAATTTAATACATTTCAACTTAAGGACTGCATTCGCCTTTTCACGACGCGAGAAAAAGTCAGCAAAGACAACAAATGGTTTTGTCCAAGATGTAAACAACATCGAGAGGCCTGGAAGACGATGGGAATTTGGAAATTACCACCTGTACTAATTGTGCACTTTAACAGATTCAAGCGGTAATAAGATGAGATACAAATGCAATTAGATTGTAATTACATGAGATGTAATTAGATGGTAATTAAAGCGGAAATGAAATGATATGTAATTCAGAGTTGACCAATGTTCACGGTACACAAATATTACGTACATTTCAGAGATTATGATGGCTCTTGGCTTGAAAAGCGTCAAACAAATGTTCATTTTCCCATTTCCTGCATGGATCTGTCTAAATTTGTTCTGGGACCAAGTAAATCTTCCCAATATCAACTGTATGGTGTCTCAAACCATTATGGATCAATGCAAAGTGGTCACTACACAGCATACTGTAGGAACATGTATGATCACAAGTGGTATAAATATGACGATAGCGATGTGACGTCAATAACAGAATCTAGTGTGAAGGTATAAAAGGACTGGGGACGATATTTCTCCTCTTCTACTTAATTCTGAGCACCAACCTCATGTTATCATATTTTGTTTTAGTCCTCCGCTGCTTACATCTTGTTTTACTCTTCGATGAACCTCCCAATGAAAATGACAAAGGACTAAATAAAACATTGTTTATCGCGTCAAGAGGTTTTGTTAATTAAAGCTTAATTTCATTTATATCAATTAACCAATAAGTAATTAGATAAACACAAGAAAATGTATGAATATAATATTCACAGTTATCAAGTATGTAATGCTAATCGTATTTCTTTATAACGTTATGGTATTCTTAATGTCAGAGACTGTCCGTATATTCGTCAATAATGTTACAGACATTGTCTGATTTATCTACAGGTGAATACATAATGAATTTATGTTTATGCTGTAAACTATTATCACTTTTCATTTACTTGTAAATATATCATGTACAAGAATCGGTTAAAATAAGAATGTTTGTAGCGTGTTATTATAATTTAATGACACAATACAACAACAGAGTTGGTTGAAAATATTTTTGAAGTATTTTTTAAATGCAAAAACATTTAAGATAATTTTTCCTACTTTACCTGAATCCTGTACAGACAGTGTGTGTACTTTCCAATAGTATTATTTTTAAAGTAACAGTCGTGTTGTAATGCTAATCGTTTTATTATTAAATGATGGTTTCCTTTATCACTAGAAACTTGGCTGCCGGGTATTTTCAAAAACGAAGGTTTTTTCTCCATTTTTAGAAAAGTAATTGGTCAGCAAAACACAAATGTACAACGATTACTGCTCTTTTCGTACGAGCGCGCCGCGCGACAAATTTTCTAATGAGTAGGTGTCAAAGACTACATTTGAGTTCAAGCGTTGACAGCGAAAAAATTCTCATGATATTTCCGTGTCTGAAACATTACGTTTTCTTGTCGTTTACTGCGTGTTTTATGCGTGAAACGCGCACCTTTTAAAGAAAACTTTGTCGACGTTTGATAAGCGTACTAAACATCTTTCAATGTTTGCGTAACACGTTTATCTTTTACAATTACATCCTTTGAGACAACATGTCCGTCTTCAACGAGAAATGGAGAGATTTTTGGAGAAGAACACTTCGAAGTTTCACTGAGCTGACTGGAATGGTGATTTAGATTTTACGATTCAAAGAAATCAAGTAGACGTTTTTCATCATCGTTATCAGGAAAAGAAACGGATTCTTCATGGTGACAAAAGTCTTAACATCATCTTCGCATGTGAACTCTGTCCATAAATCCACCAACTGTCTTAAAGATCATTTGTTTAAATTGAAATAAATTTAAGTAAGTAAAATTATCTTTTTCGATCAAACGAACCTTGCATAGTGAAAAGATTTCTCCATAAAAAATTTTGCAAACGGCTGGACATGTTATCAAAGTAAAAGATAAACGTGTTACGCAAACGTGAAGAGATGTTACTTGTTTAATACGCTTATGTCACCATATAGCTACGGCTGAAGTCAAAGTAAATACACTTAAAAAGCATATTCCCTTTTTTAAGAAAAACGCACGGAACATGTCAGTAAAGCAGAGAAAGAGACTGAGGAATTTTGCCGTATATTGAAACATGAAGGAGTAAATGCTCGTAGACCTAACTTATGGGATTTTTCAATGGTAATAGACAGTTTTTTAAAACGCTTTATACAATGTGTATGCAAAGTAAATATACACAAAAAAAACATGCTAATCATTCTAGAGTACAAAGTTGAAACTTCCAAGTTGAAAATTTACCTTAACGAATGCTTGATACATGTTCTTTCATTAACTTCTCTTTAATACTGTCCTTCGCCTGAGCACGAGAAGGTCAATTAAAAATAATTTTTTACAGCTACAAAAAACAAACAAAATATAACAGGTACATCTTTAGTGAATGCTACAATAGGCCTGGTATCAAATACTGAAGGTATTGCAAACATGTATCATAGGCAGGATAGTTGGGGACATTTATTTCCTAAAAACCGCACAGTTCATACCTTATCCTTTGAAGAACCCAGTCCCTCAAATATTGACGCAACATTCAATATTATTGGACCTGGTTTAGTCCTTTCTAACCCTGACCGTCCCTGTCGTCAAATAAATTTATTTCATAAAGCTGGATGGCGAGTGATTGAACCACCAACACCATTGATTTCTGATGATCATCCTTTATGGATGTCTTCAAAATGGTTGTCAATGAATGTTTTAATGTTGGATCCCAAGAGAGTTGTTGTTTCAAAACATGAATATACAACACAGAAAATACGTATTCAATATTGTTGTAAATGTAGAAATAAAATTTAATTTCATTTATTTAAAATATCAGATATTTGAAGATGTAGTTATTGAATGCTTCCAGTTGATATGACTCATGCAATGTCTGAGGGATATTGCATTGCAATAAAATTGTCGTATTTCCTTTAACATTTCTTTGTTTTAACTACGTTTTGTAAGTTTTTGTTTGTTTAGTTAATTCTTCCGTTTTGTTATGTTGCAACGCATGAGAACTTGAACGTGATGAAAGAGTGAGTACTGCTAAAGACGTGAAAGGAAAGCTCCACTTGTGTTTTGTAGAAATACCGTTAGTATAAATAGATGTAAATAATTAACTCTAACAGATAATGTAGAAATACTACAGAATTTAAGCAAGATTTTGTCATGATCGTGCAAGATTTGATTCATGCAAGATTTTGAAAGAACTTAGGCAAGATTTTGTCATGATCGTGCAAGATTTCATTCATGCAAGATTTTGAAAGAACCAGTGGCGTGCGGTCATGCAAGCGTAGGCAAGCGCCGCTTTACCGAACAAAAATTTTTGGATCAATCTCTGAGCAAAATCAGTTTAAATTTTTCTGTTCTAAACAATGTCAATGTAATCTTTTATCTAAATTGTCTTTACAGTTGAAATGCTTGCTATTTATACGCGATTTACTGTCGTGGTTTTCGGTTTGACTTTGCTACACTTGTAAGATGAGTCAAGTGGATTAAATACACCTTAAAAATTTCTTATTTATTAACCAAGGCAAGCGCGCTTGCCTTCGGAGCTCAATTTCAACATTTGCGCATGCGTTAATCTAGATTTGGAGGCTTCTTATTCGAGGAATATCGAGAAAAGGCAAGCGGCGCTTCTAAGGGCGCCGCTTGATAGCGATTGGTCAACAGTCTTGTACGCTCGCAATTTTAAACACATATCAGCGCGCGAATAATATTCGTATATTCAACACATTGGACATCCGAATTATTCACGCCGTTAATGTTATCGTTTATTAAAAGATGACTGAGAGCGAAAGGTAATGTTCTGATTTCTAATTCAAAGTAGTAGTAGATTTCTAATTTATGTATGTAGAAGATATTATCTGTAGCATGTTATACTTTAGCGTTATATAAGTCTTGCGTATGAGCTCTGAACGTGATTTCAATGTACTAGAACGCTATTAAATTTTGTGATTATTTTATTCACTAGCAAAGAAGTTATTTACAACAGTCGTGAGTATTCTTTATGTTAAAATTTATTTACAGGCTTTTTATATATTTTGATAAACAAGGTGCAGTTATTACACAGCGGATAATGTACTTGAAGTTTGAGTAGTTTTACGTAATTATAAAGTTAAGTGCGTAAGTTTAAGTACCGCGTTTGAGTAAGTGTAGGATTGGCTATTTCCTCTATTGCTAATACATGAATCTAGATGAGTAATGTACGCACGTTATGTACGTCACTACAAGATATCATGTAACTGATGTTAGGTATAAATAAGATTGATGTTCCTATAAAATATATAGCATAGGAATTTTCATCCTTTATGTTCTACTTCTACATTCGGTATTTTCACGACACCTGTACAACATGACTGAATGCATCGTGGAATCACTGTTATCCCGCTCATTTGGTCTTACGGATGTTTTGTATAATATCATTCAGAGTAAGCAGTTCGATATTGTCTTCTGTGTCACGAAAGTTCGCGAGACGAAAGATAAGATTCAAGAACAACGAACAAAATTCGTAGATTATTGGAATTTTACGTCAAGTATCGTCAAAGTGGCACTGAAAGGCGGGCAAAGTGAAGAGGATGTAAAGGCGTCCTTCCGTCAAATGTTTTTCTGTGTAGTCGATACCATTGTCGTGCAGATTGACTCTAGATTCGAAAGTCTTAACAGCAGAGCATTCGTTTCTTTGTTGGATCATTCAAAGCACGAATTGTACAGCCGGAATTTTCCCGAACGAGAGCTGCAATCGTTGCAAGATTCATATGGAACATTCTTTAATCTTCAAGCACTAAAAGTGAACTAATCGTTGTATACGCATCTGCCGAGCTCAAATCGAAACCTGTTTTGATATGATATCAAAATAATCGAACTTGACTTGAAAGCCTGTTTTCCAGAGGTGTACCGATTGTGTCAGCTCATTCTTACTATGCCAAGTACGTCCTCCTCTGCAGAAAGATCATTTTCGGCTCTCAAGCGTATCAAAACGTATCTTCGCAGTACACAAGGGCAAGAGCGACTTTCTGCATTGGCTACAATTTCAATCGAGAAGGAGATGTTGGTAAGTTTGCAGGGGAAGCCACGATTCTATGAGGACGTTATAAAGGAGTTTTGCGCAAAGGAAAGACGGATGGAATTTACATTTAAGTAAATCTGTTGTAGGATTTTGGACTATTTCGTTCTGTTACTTCTTCACTACAATAGAAATGCACGCGTAGCCATTTACTTAAAACGACTTTATATCACAATACCACATGTAATACTTTTAAACCGTAATTGTGATATATACTCTATAAAAGTTTTTGAATTTTTTAGATTTTTTCAATACTGTTTCAGTCATGACAGATACATTTTTTTCGACAAAGTACTCCCAGAAATCGCGGGAAATGCGCTCCAGTAGCCTTCAAAATCCAAAAATTTTCTTGGGGAGCATGCCCCCAGACCCCCTAGATAGGTTCGCGCAAGCCGCGAACCTCACCCCCAGCGCTTGCCTATTAAATTCGGTCACCGCACGCCACTGGAAAGAACTTAGGCAAGATTTTGTCATGATCGTGCTAGATTTCATTCATGCAAGATTTTGAAAGAACTTAGGCAAGATTTTGTCATGATCGTGCTAGATTTGATTCATGCAAGATTTTGCAAGAATTTAGGCAAGATTTTGTCATGATCGTGCAAGATTTGTTACAGACAAAATTTTGAATTCAGTATTTAATACGTCATCAACGGTTTCCGTTATTTAATTATCTTTATTTTCTAGCTAGGCTTTTTCTGTAGCAAAAACATTTTTTCTGCTTTTTTTCTTGGACATTATAGAAAAATAAAAGTAAAAAACGATGTTATTTGCTCGAATATTTCGTGGAGGATGCAGAGGAAGAGAGCCAGCCATCATTAGAGAGGTAAAATTCTCATATAGTATACTATCACTTGCTTTGCCTGAGGCTTTCAGCAACCCATTAACAAGACTAACTACATCAAGACAAATCTTGAACCTCTTTAATAATTAATTATATAATACAAAATCTCTACAACTATTTCTATTTTGACCAAACTGAACATTTCAGTCAAGTCGAACAATATATTTGTCTCTACGCATGGCTGCAGCAAAAATTTTTCATATAGTCGAGCAACATATTGTTTAACTCTACACTTGTCATCCAAACAATATAAAATTTTGCTCCTTCGTGTCTACGCAGGATTTCGATTGAGGAACAGCATACCACAGAGTCATAGCAAGACATTGTGTTTTTCTCCATTGTGTTTAGTGACTGATTTAAACTTTCATAATCTTACGGAAAATTGATCTTATAGAAACATCTGTTGACAAAACAAACCAAACGTAATATATCAAATATACAAACTAAAGTTGAAGTCAAGGCGAAGCCAAGATTGAGGTATAAGTTTAAGCGGTATAATGAATTTTATGGTCATGAACATTTGATTATTTCCATTGTCAATTGCATTCATCAGCAGTCCAGTATGTTCACATAACGAGTGGGATCATTTAGAAGAAATAATCGTAGGACGTCCTGAGAATGCCAGCGTTCCTAAACTAACAATTGAAGTTAAGGCAAACACTCATCAGAAATATTGGCCATTTTACGAAAGATATGCTGGCAAATCTTTCCCTTCTGATCATGTGAAAAAAGCCGTTAAACAAATTGATGAATTTTGCAAAATACTTGAATATGAAGGTGTTACAGTGAGAAGACCAAAAATATTGGACTACAGTAAAGTAATATATTGAGTTTTCATAAGATGTGAATATAGGAGAGAGACCACAATTTAAAAAACAAATCGTTATTATGATTTAGGAATACAAAACACCAGATTTCAGTTCCAGTGGTCTCTACGCAGCAATGCCAAGAGATATTTTACTGGTTGTTGGTGAGGAAATTATTGAAGCTCCAATGTGCTGGCGTTCAAGATTTTTTGAATACAGAGCATACAGGGATCTTATAAAGGAATATTTTCACGCTGGTGCAACATGGACTTCTGCTCCTAAACCATTAATGGATGATGCTTTATATGACAAGGTTTAACACATGATTTCAATGAGATATTTTTACAAATCCTATGTACAAATATATCGTCTTTTTTCTTAGGATTATCCAATAACATCTGTGGAAGATCGTCATCAATTAGCAGCACAAGGAAAGTTTGTGACAACTGAACATGACATCTGTTTTGATGCAGCTGATTTCATGAGATGTGGAAGGGATTTATTTGTCCAAAGGAGCCAGGTATACATGGGATATTAATGGTAAATGTAGGATATTAATGGTAAAGATGGGATATTTATGGTGAACGCCAAATCTACTTTGATGGCGAGATTAATGTTAATGATCGAAGTACAAATATTCCTTTAAAATTACCCAAATGTAAACTCTAATCCATTGTAAAAATTACAACATAAATATCAACTTTATAGGTAACAAACTATTTTGGAATAGAATGGATGCAACGACATCTCGGTCCAAAAGGATATAGAATACACACTTTATCCTTCAAAGATCCCAATCCCATGCATATTGACGCCACATTCAATATTATTGGACCTGGTTTAGTCCTATCTAACCCTGACCGTCCCTGTCGTCAAATAAATATATTTCATAAAGCTGGATGGCGAGTGATTGAACCACCAACACCATTGATTTCTGATGATCATCCTTTATGGATGTCTTCAAAATGGCTGTCAATGAATGTTTTAATGTTGGATCCGAAGAGAGTTGTTGTTTCAAAACATGAATATACAACACAGAAAGTACGTATTCAATATTATTATAACTGTAGAAATAAACTTTAATTTCATTTATTTAAAATATTTATATCAGATGTTTGAAGATCTTGGCATTGAATGCATTCCAGTTGATATAACTCATGCAATGTCACTTGGTGGTGGATTTCATTGTTGGACAACAGATATTAGAAGACGAGGAACATTGCAGAGTTATTTTCATATTTGACTGCTCTTTGGAGACTTTTTCATCGATGTTCGCCATGTTTTCTTTTGAAGCAATTTATATTGTAGCTTCGTAAAAATAATAATTAGTAGTTTTTTCAATTTCAAAATAAATGGATTTTCTGTCACTCGTTGTTATCCTTTTCATTATTTCACACCTATTTCTACAATTTACTATAAAGAAAAACTGACACTTTAACTAGCTCGTTTTATAGTTTTAGTGTACAGACATTCAAAATCACGACAAAAGCAAAGCAATAAGTTCTTTATTTTATCCTCAACAAAAAATAACGTAAGTTTTCTACTTATCAATACAAAAATTTTTGGTGGGCATTCATTTTAAGATGCGAGGAACGATCATTTTACTGTGGCTATAATATCGACATTCATCTGGAGGCAAAATCGTGATTACATCCCAAGAAATTCTTTCTTCTTTGAAACCAACTTTAACTAATTCAGGGATTTGACTTACAGCAAACATTTCTTCAATATTATTGAACTTTGACCTCAGCATTTCACCCCAAGACGTGAGATTGCAATAAGTGAAAATTCCACCTTAAAATAAAATGGATCAGTTTTTGAACAGCCAAATTCCAGTTACAACAGTAGAGTTTTCACAGGTAGATTGAACCTGGTTTTAAGAGTCGAAACGCTTCTTCAAAAAATGGAAATTGATGTGTATGCCAGGTTTTTTCTGACAAAGGATAGGTGTCATATAAAATTCCATCAAAACTTCCATTCTCAAATTGTGAAATGACATTTTCCCAAAGACCTAAAAAAAATCAGAGCCAGTTTTGACGAATCAGCAAGTTCGCACAGTTGACTTGAAGAAGTGAAAATTTTACATTGAAAGATTTTTTCTTACATAAAACCAGTGAAAATCATACGACTATAAAAGATAAAACAGAGAAGCGTTTTGTGCGAATCGCGTGTCGCAAATTGACTTGTGTTTAACTTTCGTTGAAGGCGAATTCTTAAACAATTAATTTTCACTTTTTTTACAACAGTAACTTCATCAACTTGTTGCGTTTGATTAAAATAACACTTGCAAGAAAATAAGAAAAGGACAATATGTTAATTTAAATCTCTCACCAAATAAATACGTTAACCAGTCCAAGATGTAGATATGAACTCCTACTTTATCCGTAATGTTTTTGTCGTAAATGTGTGCAAGATTAGAAAAACAAAACCCTAGCCTTTAAAATGGTAGTAAAAGATCAACTCTCAAAAATGAAGACCGAAACCAAATGTTAAATCTCTTAATTCAATGTCCTCAAATCTACAAAACGGCTTTTTAGAAATAGAACAAGAAATAAAAATACAAATGTATTTGTCGATGTGGCGATGCCACGCTGTCTTATAAAAATTTTTAATGATATTTCTAAAGATTTACATCACCTTTTATCGGATGAACTTTAGGGACAGCATTTTCAGCAAACCTTTCCAACGTTTTAAACACTTCGTCGTTGCATTCAATGACGACATGCTCATCAATTGCAGAATTTTGTATAGCTTTTGCTGCAATAGCCATTCCAAAGCCAACTTCTAGTACTCGACCACCATTTGAGCAAGCCACTTCAGCTAGTTTATGCATATATGGAGTTTCCCAGCGTTCCATGACAGGTTTACCAAGAATTTCAAGATGTGTGTCCGTGTGATTAGTTTCAGCTCCATGCCAAACATCCTTAAAGTCTTCTCCTTTTTCATAAAAAACTCTACTTTCCGTCGCCATTTTTATGCAAAAATGAAAATTGTGACGTCACAATAAAAAATTTCATTCAACTTCGGCTTGACTGTCTGATGTAAACTTTAAATGTCACCAAATAAAAGATATTTTAAACTACTCAAATAATACTACTTTAAATGAATCATATGTCTTTAGGGAGAAATTCACGCTTCTTTAATGAGACATACATAAGTAAAATAAAGACATAAATATTACACATTAAATAAAATAAATTTAGAGGACAAGGCGTGCATGTACTTAACTATTAAATACAATCATACTAAAACATTTGCTGTATTCCTTTCACTCACTGTCCTTGACTTTATCAAGTCCAGGGCTTTTGACCGCTATAGCAAGTTTAACTAGTTAACATTAATATAGAATATGTATGAATATGAGTGTATTTAGTATTTGAGATTTGACTCATTTTGTCGCGTGATTGTATTGAGAAAGATGGAAATTTAAAAACTTGAATCCTATCAGCGTGTTTACAGATATGATGCATTAAATTTCGCAACTAACATTCTTTTTGATTTTCTCTCACTTTCTAAACTGGCTAGAGCGGTCACAAGCCCAAAGTCAAGGATTGTGAGATGAAAGAAATAAAGGCAGTGGTTTGGAGTTGTACACGCCTGGTTTTGACTCAAATAAAGCCCTTCTCCCTTCGTATGTTTACATTTGAAACAACTGAATGTACTTTAGGAACAGAGAAACATGGACAAACATCAGCATATTTAGGAAGAGAGCTGGCATTGTCGTTATCAGTTTTATAACAGCTTGTAATTGCTTTACGAATGAAATTTTTGTACTCCTTGCGAAATGCCGGGCTGTAAATGCCATAAAGAAATGGGTTGACGCACGAGTTTAAAAATGTTATCATGACGCAGGTTATGTTAATTTTACCATTCGCATCAAGATGACCAAATTTGGTCAACATAAACGTTATTCTTCCAGGAAACCAACCAAGAATGAGAGCTGAACAAGCGAGAACTGCAACGATTGTTATTCTTTTTAATTGAACATCCTTATTGGTGACGAGACGTCGTCCATGCTTGATCAAAAAATATATATGAGAATATAGCACGATTATGACACTGAACGGTAAGAGAGACTGGAGTGTGAAGTCCATCAAAGCAAGTACATCATTGGCTACAGAAATTTTGGTCCATCTGCAAGATGAGTTGGCAAATTCGGCGCGAAACAGTGTAGTGACATTGACAGCAGGACCAAAGAACCATACTAACAACACAGAATACAGAGTATGTTTCATTTTAACACTTTTATATGCAATTGGTTTAACAACAGCCAACCAACGTTCAACAGTCAAAGCAAGACAGGTGTATATTGAAATATACCCAAGGTTAAATGGAACCCAAGCCGACCAGATCGTACGACAGTAGATTTGTGCAGCTGCCAAAGAATAGGTCGGAGTTGGAGGTAGGTAAAGAAAACGACTTCAAAATATGAGAAAAAAAGTGAAATAAATCAATGTTATATGTTAAATTAAGAAAGTAAGATGAGCAATTACCTGAAAATAAGAAAAACTCCTGTTATGCAATCAACAATGGCAAGATTTAAGATGAATATAGTGTAAGGTTTACGAAGAAATTTTCTTTGTCTAACAAGAAGAACATAAATGACCAAAGCATTTCCCAACAAAGCAACAAGAGCAAAGACAGAATATATAAAATAGTTTATCCAAGTATTTCCTTCAAACACCATTTCTACAAGAACGAAAATCGAATTTTTTTCTTTAAGTAGTGAATCTGCAAAGATATAAAAGTAAATTGAAAGCAGTTGTCCTATCGTGGTATAGATAAACGATAAACTAACTGTCATTTAATATCATGATTGATATATTTATCTAATTGACAATTAAATCGTTTGAAATGAAACAGATGTTATGTTTCGTCATTCTTAGCTAAAAAAGGGCTAGCATGTTTGCATGTTTGTTATTTTTCCAATTTTTCCAAAACAGAACTGTGTTAACGTCAACATCATCCAGTGACTAATGTAACAACTCTACATAGAGTCTTCTCTTGTAATAACTTAGTTTTGTTTGTCAATAATCCTGATGTTGATTCAGTGTGAGAGAAGGAAAAAATGAAGTTTGACAAGTAAAATAACTTCCTTTATTTCTTACCAATGCATGCAAAGTGATATCTTGCTCGTGGGCCAAAATTGGTATTTTTTTTGCAATATATTTGTTTACGAAGTGAAATTTTAATTCTTAAAATTAATTCAAAAGGGATGTTAAATGTTCAACGAAAGCCAAGTGTATTTAGATGGTAATTATCATAGTGAGAGTGAATTTTACAACCCAAACGAAGTGAAATTTGAACCTCCGCTCGGGAAAATATCTTTTTCGCACAGACGTCACAGCCGGTACATAACATATACACATGTCATTTGATGAACCTTATCCTTTCTCCCAAACCATAGACTAATATTAGATGAAAAGAATCATGGCTTTGCAGGAATGTAACTTATTTTTTCATTAAGATATTTAAATAATAAAAAGGATTATTAAGAGAGGACGTTTCAATTTCATCATGTTGAACAGTTAAAAAGAAGATATTACATATCAATCAAAGATCGCCGAAGGCCATTATTTGAAAAGCTTTCAAGGATTGTCACAGCTATTAGCATTTACTGACCAATATAGTACATAGCGTTCCTTGCATAAGTGTAACATCAATCAACAACATAAACTTTATGTTTATGTGAATTCACACCTACAACACAATTTTTGAAGCACACCTAGAGAAATTTTTTACACACCATTTTAAAGTCGGTGCAATTATGTAATAAATTAGAGCATATTGCCAAAGATTATCACAGTTATTAAAGAATTTAAATAAACCACAAGATAGATATCAACAATAGTGAACATTTTCAGCTTTTGCTTACATCTAAAGGAGATTGGGAGGAAGCTCATTAAACGACGATAAATCTGACAGTACAAGAATCATGGCAAAGAAAGGCAAAATCGACTGGACAGCCAGTTTCAAATCGAAGGAAAACACACTTGTTAAGGGACCATCTACACTCGCCTTCACTAAAGATGTACTTTATTGAATACTTGAAGAGAAATCGTATCGTTCATGAGAAGCGTTTTTTACAGGTTGCAGATTGTCAGAGACGTGAAAATAGGACTATAGGAAGCAACTATAATTATTGATTGGAAATGTGAAATAAAATGACAACATGTATTATATCAATTAAAGGTGTAGAATATCAAGAAATGAAGATTGTTTTGAACGTTGTTTTAGATTTTGAAAAAAAGAACATATTGCATGGTGCATGAAAATTCAGCAATGTTTTAGTGACAAACAAACATGAAAGAAAGAAATGTTTGTAGATGTAGATCGTCCAGGTTGGTATAGTCCTGAGAAGAACTGTTTTTGTAATATTGACTGATGTTTCGACAACCTTAGCGAGGCAAGTCATCTATAACATTAAAACTTTCAAAATAAAGCCCAAAGAATGCTTCTCACTAGAAATTAATTTTATTCTGGTGCTTGACATGAATTAAAATTGTTGCTTTTTATCGGTGACAACGCATCGATTTTTTACTCGTTAAACTGTTGCCCTTCAGCAATGTAGGAAATGTAAGGATTATTAATGCGAACTGTAGCAACAATTGGACCATCTGTTTTGTAAGACCACACAATCTCTCCCGTCGTCGCATTCATTGCAAGCATTTCGCCACGAATTGTACCAACATAGAGCAAACCGTTGTTCGAAAGTTTTGGAGAAGAGAAAATTTCTGACTCGTCGATGGTTTTAGACCAAATGACGTCTCCATTCTTTGAATTGATAAGCAGTACCAGACCTCCACCCGTTGCAAGGAAGATCCGACCATCATCCAAGACTAGAGGTGATGATCGAACTTCAGGGATGAACACTAAGATCAAATTACATAAAAAATTACGTTACTTCATAGAAGGTGTTTTCCAATTTTTAACAAAAAATTTTTTTTTCAGAGTAGCTACATAAAAGCATTAAAGATGTTGATATAAATTCTCAAACCTGGTTTTTTCCACAGTTGACGACCACTCTTAATATCAATAGCGTAAAATGTTCCTGTAAGACAGACAACATACACTATCCCTGAATTTCTGTGAATAGATGGGGACGAGTAAGTTCCAGAATGAACTTCTATCATCCACAATTGTTCCCCATTATCCACACGAAATCCGTAACACATGGACAGGAGTGTACAAAATACTACGATACCGCGATCTTCGTCCACTGCAGGTGAAGCGAATATTCCACCAATAGGAGCAGACCATACGCTCTCCCCAGTCTCTGCATCAATAGCATGCACGTGACTCTTTCCCGCATCTCCTTCAAATCCACCAATCATCACATACTTTCCTTTAAATGCTATCGACGGAGTCGCCCACACAGGTGATCCAATGTCAGTTTTCCATATCAAAGTACCTTCTGGGCTGACACAATATAAATAGTTGTCAAGGCAACCAAAATATAAGTTTCCAGAACCACCCAGTCTGACTGATGACGTAATGGAATCACGGGTATGAAATTTCCATAGGAGAGAACCATTTGTAGCATTGAACGCCCTCATATACTGATCATCAGCTCCACAGTATAAAACTGTACCGCTGATCATGCATACCGAGCCCGTTTCATCAGCTGTTATATGTTTCCACAGCAACGTACCGTTTTTGGCATCAAGAGCGTATATCCAGTGATCATCTGAGCCAAAGAAAAGAACATCGTCTGTTTTCATGTTTACGACGCGCTCGACAATGATAGATGGATTGTCGACTATTTTTTGTTTGTGTTCTTTGTTTAAAGCTGAATACTAAAAACCGAGTTGTTTTATCATGTTATATTCACATTTATTGAAACTTTTCAAAATCAATAACTTAACTTCCCATATGAATGTTTTATGCAGTGCGGTGTTTGAAGTTAAATGAAGATATGATCTTTCATACGACATTCCTTTCACGAGAAAACATGAGCCCAACAATATTGACCTGCTCACCACTGTATGACTTCATAGCTCAGTTGGTCAGAGCACTGCACCGGCACCGCAGAGGTCATGGGTTCGAATCCCGTTGAGTCACCTGATTTTTTCAGGTCCTGAGACGATTGCTTAAATTGTCCAGCAAAGTGCGAAGATCATATCTTCATTTAACTTAACTTCCCATAGACATTTCATTAACATACGTTTCCTAGGTAACCATAGCTTTGAAACTACCAGTTTCAATAATGTTCTTAACATTGAGACATTGACTGGAATGTAACTGAGTGGTTACAAACTGTCGCCAAAATTCGAAGTCAGCAATTTAACTAGTCCCAGTCTTTCCAAGCACGGCCAAAAAAAGTTCACGTACGACGATAAGTTAGAACGCAGGGTTTTACCTTCAGACACGAGTGTCTGCGGGTAAAGTTTGACTTCATAAAAGTACAGGCATTTTTATTCAAAGAAATCCCTCCAGTTATATATATAGTTCAATGGTCCTTAGTGCAAACAATCTCTATAAAACATTGCATATGACTGACCTTATTTTCAAATGCTTCATTAAATTCATCTTCGTTAATTTGACCCTGTAAATTTCTGATCATGCGCACATCACGTGCATTCAATGGTACGTATTGCGAGGCAAAATTCAACGCAATATGTTGATAATTACTGGAGCGAGGGACAACGACCACATTTTCCCATAATGCCCATCGAAGAACAACTTGTGCAACAGTGACGTCATAGCTTGACGCAATGGCTCGTAGAACTGAACTGTTGAATACTGGATTGTATGGAAAGTCCAAATCTGACCATGATCGACCAAGCGTGCTAAAATAGATTATGAAAAAAATGCTGACTTCGATAAACGACGTATGGATAAATATGGGTAGATATGAACATGAAAAGATAAACAAAAATCAACCCACCTGTATCCCATGAAGATGATTCCATGATTCTTGCAAAAAACTCTAGTCTCCAAATCTTGTATAAACGGGTCGAACAGGTTTTGCACAATTGACGGTTTGTGACGTGCTATATCCAGTAATCTTTGAAGATCACTAACTTCAAAATTACTCACGCCAATAGTTCGTATTTTTCCTTTGGAGACATACGATTATCATTATATGTCACAATACGATGTAAAGAAAGCGATTTTGGGGGTTAAATTTTAAAATATTTTAATATAAAACTTAGAGGAACTTGTCGTTAATCTCTAAGATTTTTATCTTCGAAAGATAGACTGTGTTTAATGTTGAATTGTTTAAAAATTAAATTTTTTATGCTAAAGAATAATTATCACTAGTGGATAACAGAGCAACGAGATCCTCCAGATCTCGATTAAATATCACGAAAATTGCATACGTAGGTCGAACTGAGTTGAAAAACGTAATCATAATTTGAATCATACTGCCATCAACTACGATCTTCACTAACCTTCATCAACGCAGACCTCGAGTTCTTTCCAAGCGTCCTCCCAATTTCTCGTTGTGTTCAGCGGTTTCTTACAGCTTATACGACCATCATCATCTTCACAGTCAACAGCGTGAAGCAACATGACATCAATGAAATCCACCTAACATCCAAATTATCAATGATTATCCCACAACACACAAGACACCCTCTTTATAGTATACTTTTCGTGCATCGCTGTCAACTTCTGATCAAGATATACAGCGTGTTATATAATATACAACCGATGTTCTTTATACCTTTAGCTTTTTTAAAGATGTCTCCACAGATGCAATTGTAGCTCCTTCATAATAATAATCCTTAGGATGTATTTTATCAACAATAACTATTTCTTCCCTTGGTATTCCACTCATTGCAATTGCTTCACCTATCGCTTCCTCATTTTGATATGCAGCTGCAGTGTCTACCATTCTTAAAAGTATCAAATGTCAATTACGCAATGTTTATTGAAAATTTTACTATAAAAGTCAATGATCCTAAGTGTTGCCCTGTTTATAGTGATGTAAAATAGTATAAAATCATATTTCCTACATAAATTAAGTTTACCTGTAACCAGACTTTAATGCGGTTAATGTAGACATTTTAGCTTCATCTATGAGAAAACCAGTGCCAAAGCCCAGTAGAGGAACTGTAGATAAACAAGACGATACAATGATTGGACCATTATGACTGTGACCGTGAGGCAAAACTTACTTTCATATCCAGACAACATCTTCAATTTCTTCACTCCCGATTTGTATTTTTCTAATGAAGGACTGTCCCATTTCTCATCATCTGGCCAGTAAAATTGACCAATTGGAAGATTCTGATTTCGACAAGATATTGTTTCAGAATAGTTTGCAACTGCTTCTTCAAATAATTTTGCATTCCCAGCAACTTCTTTCATTTCCTACATGACATCATACAACACAGCATTACACATCATTACATCACACATCATGACATCACACATCATTACATTAAATATCATTACATCACACATCATGACATCACACATCATTACATTAAATATCATTACATCAACATCATGACATCACACATCATTACATCAACATCATGACATCACATCCATTACATTACATCATTTATCATGACATCACACACAATCTAAATTCAAGCAGAACAATAAATTGTAAAAATTTATCAAAATCACTTTATTTAAGATTGAGTTACATACATATTCAAACAAACTGTCATCGTCAACAGAAAATTGTGAAAACCAAAGGCTTACGCCTATGTTTGGTGATTCATAAGATCTCACTTGATGCCACCATAGCTGTGGATTATACAGTGAATCACCAGCCTCAAGGACGACCTATATAACAAATGATTTAAAAATCAAAAATTGAACATATAACAGTAGGAAATACACAAATGTCTAATTGTACCTTGTGAAATGGTACACCAGCAAAGCCAGGATATTTAATAAGATCAACCCTTTCAGGGTCAACTGGAGACAATCCAGGAACTGTGAGATATTCATCGGAATGAAGTCGTGAACTATATGAGGAATTGGCAAGCAACAAAACCTTTCTTCCTGATAGAACTGTCAAGATATTCTCATAACCATCTTGATGAAGAACATAGCTAGTACCTCCATTGCTATAGAGTAAATGAATGCTTGATATTCCAGGCATAATTTCCTCGCATTGCAAGCAATATGGTATGTATATATGTTTTGTTAAATTGCTCTGTGGAAAAGCACTGTCTAAGTACACCTCCTTGTTTTTGTAAATGTCAAAAAAATTGTTCAAAGTGATGGTTTTTTTAATAGGTGGTTTTTGCTCGTAAGTTTTGGTGAAGTCGACTTCAAAATATGTATTTCCATAATTTGATCTCATGTAGGTTTCGTTACGCCAGAGTTCAAAGGCTGGCCATTGCCTTGCTGCCCCACGAACGATTAAAGGCTTTCTTTTACGAACGAAATATTCATAAAAGTCTTTTCCATTTGGGAAATAACCTAGTTCATCGATATCGCCCTTCATTAGTTTGCCTTGTTGCCCAAGCTTTCCAAGATGATTGTAATATTTCAATTCTTCTTCTGACAAAGGAGTAATATCGTCTTCGTTGTTCAAACTTGATCTGTCGAAAGCCTTCGTAAGATTTTGATTACTCTCAGATTGTAAAATCACAACAATGGTAAATAATTTTAACGAGGACACTAACACTTCGTTCATTTTTGCTCTAAACATTACCATATCATCTCTCCAAGTGCTGTTGTAAAAGAAATGAACACAATTTTATTTAATCAAACGAGAGTGGGACAATAATATTCCCAAAACAACACCTGCCAGCATCATATAAAGTACTTGAAAATTGCATTCTTCGTCGAATAAATAAAGGATTATTTTACTGTCAGGAGAAACAATAAAATGCGTTTTTTCTTTTCATGAGAATTTTAAGGCTTTTTTAAATTATTGAAGCATAAAGATTTTGTTTTGCTCGATGGATTTCCTTTAACATCCTTATGAAAATTTATTAAAAGTGAACATCACAGTTGGCTGCCTTTCGGCAGCATTTACTGTGGGCGCTAAAGGTTATCAGACCAACCTTGAATTTTTCATTCCCCTCCCCCATAGACCACAAAAACTTTTTCACGCATTTTTACTAAAAATTTCTACTGTTTTGGAAAAATCTTCAAACGTAAAAACTTTTGTGCATTAAATAAAAATTTCTACTTCATACAGAAGAAATACATCTGCGCGGAGTGGCAGTCACACAACATCGACATTAATTAATTTCTCACTTTCCCCACTGTGATTGATAGTTTTAATAAACATACGATAACAAAATGAATCAACTTATAAAGACTGCAGCAGGATACGAAACATAAACTTTTTTTGGCTATCTTAAATGATAAATGTGTCGTTATCAAAATCCTACTGAATAATCAATCAACGTCAAGAAGTGACGTCGTGAAGACAAAATTATTTTGATTTTGCATGAAACAAGATATCATTGAAAAGACGTTCAAGAAATTAATAAATACTTGCTCATCCTTCCTGGCTAATCGAGTTCATTTAAATAATCTCCGATAAAACCAGCGCTCCGTTCTGTCCAGTCAATATTACTTTGAATACGTTCAATGGTTTGTTTTACAGCTCTAGCTCCAGAACCTGCATCTTTCCCTTTAAAGAATTCTTTAACCTGGACATCATAGAATATTGAAGTTATAAACGCTATAAATTGAATGGAAAGCGATGTAAATCTATTTTTAGATGAAATAGAATGATGCCAACTTACATCGCCCAACTCAACTTGAGAATTCATCATGGACGTTGTTGAAGTGATTGCAGTAGCCATTCTAAAACTGCTTTTACTGTACCTAGATGTTTTGTTTGAGAAACAACGTTGACTTTAGTGTTGCTCTTGATGCACGTTTCAACATCCCTAACTGTGGTTAATCAAAACCAATAGTCAGTGGCGGACACGAGGGGGGCGAGGACCCCCTTCCCCAAAAAAAATTTGAAAGATCTAAAATCTTGCGCCAAATCCCTCAAATCACACCTACATAATATAACTGATGTTAAATAATAAGAATTTGATAGACTTCTGTACTGTACACGTACCAGCAGAAACATTAAACCTTTTTGTAGGATTTTCTGTACGTAGGAATCCTTACATTAAATTTCTGGAGATGAAATTTTGAAAGTGTCCTCCATTGTCAACAGTCCTTCTTAGAAGTTAGGACTACATTAACTGACATGGATACTCACGTTCAAATCATTCTCTTTAAAGAGACTAGAATCATTTGTCCACATACAAACCTCGAGTAAAATATATTCCAGTTTTCTTTCAGAAATTTCCAAGCCAGTTCTCGACCCAGGGCATTTTGTGCGACATATCTAACGACGGTCACAGTATCCTGGTCACGAATCTTCGAACTGTCAATAGAGTATCGCAAAAACCTGGGAAGAGTAGTGGATACATATGAAGTAAAAGGGAAACATGGGTGAATAAAAAAAGATACACCATTGACCTTCGTAATACCCAAGGTTCTCTTGATCCAGATAAACCATAAAGTAGCTTATTCTTCTCCGATGCTGCAGTCGACGTTAAATATTTCTCAAATAATTTATCCCATTCTTGAGAACTAGTACTGGCGATGCCGTAGAAGTATATGAGACTTTTCAAATTCACGTCCAACGATATATTCCTTAAACAATAAAAACACGATTGTATATTCTCGTTTGTCGTCTTTAACAATATCATTAAAATATTTGCAATGTTGCAACAGAAATTTTGTCCCTTTACACTAACTACTTGTAACTCATTCATGAACACTTGACTCACTTATGCAAAAAAAGCAGAAACAGCTTTTTAGCATTTTCAATAGATTCTTGGTGTCCATATGAGCATGCTGAGCTTAATATCAAACTTCTCATGTATCTAAAAGTAAAAATAACGAGAAAAAGATTCATTTTTCTACATATAGTTTTATACACTACGAGTAAATAGCACAATCTCTTTATTTCATTTATATGTACATACATTTCAAGATGTCTGTCGGTTTTATTAACATTTTCCCATCCAACTTCTTTGATTTTTTTATGACTCAAAATGTCCAGCATGTATTTCTAGCAAGTTAAAGGGTGTAACATAAGAAATAAAGCAGATTCTTTTGTCTCACTTTGCAATCCAAAATAACTTGCGTGAATGTACAATACCTGAAACCTGCCATAGGAATCTTGTGTGCTCATCATTGTATCGATAAAGTCGATATTTGTTTCAAAGGCCTTCCAAGGAACATAGTTATCTTCGTTCTTTATATATGACGAAAGATTTAACGCGATATCGTAGCCCAGTTGACCTGCTCTTTAATGATGAACGTGAAGAATACGAGTTGTATCAGAAAGAGAGTACACGCTATTTCTTTTTGTGAGTAAGACAAAATGTATATACTGGAATTGTTACATGATTAATAGGTAAAAAAAAAGTAGCAGAATTAAAGCTTACAAATTACCTTGCCAGATTTAACACATCATCAACTAAACTTGTTCTGTCAGCTGAAGATAGTTTCTATCAAAGGTAAGAAACAATTAGAAATATTTGGATAAATGAACTTTATTTCAATGCGTATGTATTCGAAATAAAAAAAATAATTTAATACCTCTGGGTTATTTTTTAAAACTTGAGTAAGCTTTGCCCAATTTTTTGAATCATAATTTACTCTATAAAAGCCATATTGCCCAACATTTGCTTTAATCCATTCATCATCTGGCCAATCAAATTCAGCTGCAAACAAAGAATATTAAAGACTTACGATAAACGCTCCGTCGCAGTGCAAAATTATATTTATCATACCAGTCGATTTCTTCATCCACACAAATTTAGTGTTATTTAAATCATTTTCGGTGACATAAGTAAGCTTTATCATCCATTTATAACTACATGGACACAAAGAATGGAGATGATACAGTTATTGATAAAATATAACACATCATTTATAACATTAATTCTCCGTACTTAAATCGTGAAGGTTCGGTCACATGTGCCTTAGGATCATTAAGAAAATGTCTCTGATCAGCAAAACCCTTTCCAGATATGTCCCTTCTTAAAGATACGACCGGAAAACCCATTTGTTCAATCCATGTTTCCATCAACTCTGTTACATTTTCCCAGACGTCTAGAGATGATATATAAAAATAAAAAGAAAATATATTCTTACATTCACGTAAATTTCGAAAAATTTTTCAGATCAAAAAATCTTACGAGGCTGAGAGCATCCCACAAATCTTGAGTTGTAGCGCTACCAAATTTATATTTCTTCAAATATATCTAAAAAACAGCAATGGTCGAGTCTTCCACGTAACTACCAGAGTTAACCTTCTTGTTCAAAAAACCGGACATGTCCCACTTTAAAACAACATACGTATCCATAAAGTACCCCATGTATCCACTTACAACATCAAATTATTGTCTGTCCTACTTTACTATAATAACAACATACATATCCATAAAGTACCCCATGTATCCACTTACAACATCAAATTATTGTCTGTCCTACTTACTATAACACTGCAGACATGTTTCCACCTATAACAACATACATATCCCTAAATTACCCCATTTATCCACCAACCTTTAAGCCTTCCCTGAACGTTTCCTCTGACAGAAAATCGGACAACATTCGTATGACTGTGCAGCCCTGAAAAAAAAGAACATAAAAACGAACTGTGTATAAAAAGACACCTAAAGGAGTTCAACGTAAGAAAAAATCGTTCAATTGAGATTATCCAACCTTACTATAGGTGACTATATCAAATATAGTTTTAATATCTTCTGGATCTTCTACATTCACTGTGATTGGATGAGAATTGGCCAAAGCATCAAATCGAAATGCACGATGAACGTTACGGAGAAGAAATTGTTCCAACTAAAATACATTACGCATGACAAGAACTTATAAAGCAACAATGACGTCATTACTTACTAGTTCCCAGTCTGGCTCAGCTTCATGGGCGGCCAAATATTGAACGTAACTGGCAAATCCTTCATTTAACCAAATGTCATTCCACCAACGACATGATACTAAATTTCCAAACCACTGAAAATAAAAAGTCACATTAAAACAAAAGATTCGATGAATGGAAGGCGAACATTTTAAACTACAGAACGAATTTAGCTAAAGACAAATCATAATTGGTTTCTGACATCGAAAAGAAAGAAAACGTTTCGGAAACAAAGTCCACGCACATTGCGGTTATTTGGTCTTCACAGCTAGAACAAGTGAAAGTCAGAGTTTATAAAATAAAATAAATTTATACCATGTGGGCAAGTTCGTGAGCAACAACAGAGGCAATTCTTTGCTTGTTTGTTTCTGAGGAAACTCCTTCTTTATAAAAGAATGCACTTTCTCGATAGGTTATAAGACCCCAATTTTCCATAGCACCTGAGTTAAAATCTGGAACAGCAACCATATCTAAAATCACAACAAACATCATCTGAATACTGTATCATTATCAATCAAAGATGAAAACAGCAAACATAAAGAAATATCTTCATTTTAAAATCTCACCTTGCTTCGGTAAAGGATAATTGACACCATAATAATTTTCAAGAAATGTTGTAACATTCAGGGCAATCTTTAAAGCATAAGCAGAATCTTTATATTCCACAGGAGTACCCCAAGTTTTAATCTGAAAAAATAGCATATGAAGAATCTTTATATTCCACAGGAGTACCCCAAGTTTTAATCTGAAAAATAGCATATGAAGAATCTTTATATTCCACAGGAGTACCCCAAGTTTTAATCTGAAAAATAGCATATGAAGAATCTTTATATTCCACAGGAGTACCCCAAGTTTTAATCTGAAAAAATAGCATATGAAGAATCTTTACATAAAGGTAGTTACTCCAGACACTTTGACAATGAGGCAATCACATGAAGATTATGTCAAAACTTATTTTTTCACTAACACAAGAATACTTACGGTAACATTGTTTTTAGTTGTACCATTCAAACTTTTAAAGTCAGAGACAATCATTCCAACAAGATATGTCGGCATTGGTACAGATTTATTGAAATATGTGACAATACGTCCATTCGAGAGACTTTGTGAGGAAATCTCATTCATATTGGAAAGTGCTGTATAATCACTACGGTGTTCAATACTGATGGTAAACGTCGCTTTCATTGCGGGCTCATCAAAACAAGGAAAAGCTTTGCGTGCGTCTGTTGGTTGAAAATCTGTGACAGCCAAAACTCTGAAACGAGAGAAGACGCGCGTGTTGTTAAGTTTCAAAAACTTTTAATGATTTTTTGTAGCAAGAAATGAAAAGCTTTTTTAATACATTTAAGTAAATTGAAACGTAAATAGGGCTTTTAATTGTTTTCATTATCTGTTACAAAAGAAAGAAATGTTGAGAAAAACATCAAGATAATTGAATGAAAAAATAAAGTTCATGTCACATGATTACAAGGTGTCTAAGGTCAAGTTAATGTCTATCCTGCCGAATAACGTTGCAACGGGTGTTTTATCATCACCGTTACTTTGCTTTCGCATCAGACCCATATTTCTCGTATCAATTACAAAAAAAAAGCACAAAAAATCTTACCTAGTTTTTCCTTGACTACTTTTGTACGTACTCTTGTACAGTCCATTCAACTCTTTTGTCTCGATGTTTCCTTGAAATTCGAGTGGAAGTTCATAAATACCTTGGGACATTTTTCTCGCAAGATGTACAACATAAAACTGTCGTTTGACGTAGGAATAATGTCGAGAGATGGATAAATGTTTTGCTGTCGACGTTAATACTTTGACTTTTAAGATGTTGATGTTGTTGACGTGGAAGATTATTATATCAGTCGGAGCGGTTACTGTCAAGGAAATTTTTGAGTCACCACTGAATGTGAGATTGTTTAAATAAACTCGTATCAAAATGTCGTAGTGTGTAGGATGTAGTTCTTTAGGTAGTCGTTTTTATCCCATGATGGTTGAGATGAAGGAGTACTTGCTTGTCTTGTGGTTGAAGAAACATAAGGTGATGTAGGTAGCGAAGGGAACCGTACGCCACTTCCATTTGACTTTGCAGCAAGAACAGCTTCCTTGACACGTTGTTCACATTTTCCTTCTCTCTGTTGCCAGACAAGACTCCTGCCAATACACCAACTATAATAATGATAATAACAACGATTACAGACAGTAAAATATACTTTTTCCCGTTAAATTTCTTAGCGACTGCACCATCATCAATGAACATTTGATTGGTCGACATGATGAAAAACAATAATAACAATATGGTTGCTTTCTTTCGTTCAACGTTGAGATCAGTCTTTAGTAGATATATCCAGTTACTAAAAGGATAAAAGTATTAAACGATTTCATGGAAAACTAGCCATATCCACAAACAGTCATTCTAAGCAACATATTCCCCACGAGCAAATGACCATGTACACCATATTATGTACTTCTCAAACCCCACTTAGCCATAAATATCTTCATATTTTTGCGTCATATCGATAAATTCATAACAATAAACGATATACAGTTTCATTCCGTTACAGGAAAACTTTCGTTGATGATGTATGAAATCTATTAAATATAAGAAATAAGAAAGCCAGCGGTAGTTTTCATTACGATAAAATCTCAGTTCTTAAGTCAATATAATATCTGTCGTATGTAAACAAACTTTAAAATCACATTTTTATAGTATAGAATCAATGAAAACATAAACAGATTTATTTAAAATGACCAATTCTTTATTTTTATTTGGTAAAATGTTAGATAGTATTTATCAACAATTATGCTTATTGGTATAAAACCATCTGTAAATTAGACATTAAAACTGTAACAATTATGGACGATTTTTTTTAATTAAAACCTTTCAAACGCATCCTCTTTCTATGTCATTATATATTATTTCTTTTATAAATCACAATAATGCAAAAGAAACAAATTTCAAATCGACGCTTCAATTTTCCTGTAAAATGTATTCGTGATTGTATTGAAAATTCTCTTTGATTGATTGATTTGAGCTCAGATCGTTTTGCACAGGCTAATGCAAACACGTTATATACATGAAAGAAAAATAAATTACACCTACCTAACACGTCATCTAAGATACGGTACAATAAATAAAGTTATGAAAAAAAATAAATTGCCAGGTACGATATTAAATGAAATGGAATATCAAAGGATCCAGGTGGATAAGCAACATACAAGTATACCAATGTACCTTGAACATCTTTGTGGTACCTTGGAGATCAATTCAAAACAGTTCATCTAACAGTGAAGAAGTCTTTGTCGGATTGTTCCGTGACCTCTTCGGAGTCATGATGACGTCATCATCATCATCATCATCGTCGTCCACTGTGGTTTTTGAAGGTGGTGATGACGAAACGTCAGTAGGCTTGGTTACATTGTTTTTCTTAACAGAAGAGGAGGGTTTCTTTGTTCGTGGAGGAGGAACTGGAGTCTATGAAGAATAAAATAACACACATTTATGAGGTATGTATTTGACAGATATTTTAAACATTTTTACATACGTTTTTGTTTGACTTTCGTCTCATTCCTCCCGAAGAAAACAACGCTATGTAGGAGAGAGAAATATATAAATAAAAATGATCAAACTTAAGCAGAGATGAAAAAAACACTTTATTAAAAAACAAATTTAACATCGTCTTACATTTCTTTGGTTTTTCTTCATCCATGGCCACTTCGTCTCCTTTGTTCATATTGTCTTCGTTCCCCAAATTATTTTCCATCTTTTCATCAACATTTTCATATTGGACAATGGAACCCTGAGGTTTTTGGCGTGAAGATGAAAAAAAATCATCCAAAAGAGTTGAATGTTCGCCATCTAGATTAAGATCTGAAGATAGATAGATATATGGTGTAGTACTCAAGTTTAAAGATCTGGAGTCGGTTGCAGGAAGCCTGAATAGCAAATTTTTCTGAACGTTCATAAAATCTTTTATAGGAGAAAAATACACGATTTGAACTGTGCAATCATTGAAATAAAATATTGTTTTGAAGATTACAAAATTTCTTTGTCATAAGAAAAATATAAACACCTTTTTTACAAGTGTGAAAATCTTCGCTATCCAATGGATAACGCTATCCAGGCTTCGTGCAACCGGCCCTGTTTCAAAAATGTTTTTCTATCTATTTATATCTTAATGAAAGTGATTGTTATAACGTTCAATAAATCAACAACTTATAAATGTCTACGGGGATTATTTCACTGATCTTTAATACCAGAAAATTTTGGTCTCTTTTCTTCGTCTGTATTTCGTTCACTTTTTGACTTTATGGCAACGGAATGGTCTCTCTTTCATGTTCTTTAACAACTGGTTTACCAAATCTAAATTGAGACAAAAAAGATACAACTGTTATGTATGTCATCCTTTATTATCTTACAATTATCCTTCATCACTATAGGGTGATCATCATTATCCTACAAAGATCATTCCTTATCCTACATCGTATGATGCATGATCTAACCTCGTTGTAACCTGAACATCATTTTCTCCTACAATTATCCTTCATCACTCTAGGGTGACCATCATTATCCTACAAAGATCATTAATTATCCTATATCGTATGATGCATGATCTAACCTCTTTGTAACCTGAACATCATTTTCATCACTAGCAGTAAAATCATTCCTTTCAAATGCTTTACTTTCGTGTTGTAATTGTTCAACATTATTTCTCCTGGAAGTGTCCTGTTCCAAAACATCATCTAAAAACACAAAAAGTCAATAAACATGAAGGAAATATCGTAAAGCATGGAAAAAGTTGAGCTAGCTACCTTTATCCTTAAGACTGGAAACGATTTTGAGGTCTTTACGATATCCACCGATGATGACATCATCATCGTCACTGTCATCGATACTTCCGGTTGTACTGACCGCTGACCGATGTACATTTGTACTTTCTACAAAACGATTCTTTAGATTTCTGGATGTATAGTGGTTAATCACACGTCAATTTACCTGAACTATGTTTAACTGTTTGGAATTTTTTTAAAAATGATATTTGTTTAAGCAATCTTCTTTTTTCAACTTTTTCCTCAACGACAGACTCATCAGCGTGAAAATTAGTCGATTTTTGCTTTGCCGCATCCCTTAAGTATCGCTGTCTCGCATGATGACCACGTAGAGCAGACTGGACCCTAGTCAGCGCATCATCCCGTCCGAGATATTCATCATTATGGTCGCTAAGCAACTGAATACGCTGACGACGAACAACATGACCACGTAACACAGACTGAATGCCAACAATGTCGTTGTAATTGTCCGGTAATTTTCTCTATAAATTATTGAAATAACGCATAAACTGAGTTTTGTAAAAAAAGTGAAATTGATTGATTTTGTGTTTACTTGTTTATGATAATTTCTCCAATTTCTTTGTAAAAGTCTTGCTGCCTTATCTTCTTGAAGATGTCTTGAACTTTTGTTTTTGATCCTTTTCTACATCTTTATGAGAACCAACTTTCTTTGTGAAGGAACTAAAAAGATTGAAATTAAACAGACGTTAAAATGTTCATCCAGATATCGTGTGAAACGAAAGATCAGAGAGCACCGACCCTGTTGTATTTTTTAAAGTTTGTCTTGGTGGAGATGATGTAGAAACAAATTTATTTTCTTTTCTCACGGATGAATTTCTTTGAATTTCCTTCGTCAATTCTAGAAGGTTTTTTTCATACCGTTCGTTTTTGTTTTTCAACGTTTTCTTGAGCTGTGAAATCTCTTTTTCCGCAACCTCTAGTTGAACTCTTAAGTTAAAAGACTTCCGGAAATTAACATATGACTGTGCTTACGTCAGCTCACGTGACACATCATACGTTTAATGTTTCAGAACGACATACAGAGATCAGTAGTCACCTTAGTTCGTCAACCTCTTTATGATATTGCGTCCTATCTTTTTTAAGATTCATGATTATATCGCGTTGTTTCTTTAATTCAATCTCCACGTCATTGCCTAAAATGAAACATTTGTATAAATTTATGCTGTCCATGGACGCTAATGGGTAGTAATGAATAATGATTGATGTTGATAGATTTTAATGGATAATTTGATCAGTGTAAATGATCACTCCATACCTGGATGGTCTTTTTCACGATCATTTTTTGTAGTATTTTCAACTAGCTAAAATAAGCAAAAGCACAATTATAAAAACAACACGAAGAGTAGAGATTTAAGAATATCGCAAATTTTAAAAGATCGCTGCCTTTTGACTAATAATTTGCATCAACTTTAAAATGTTTTATAGATTTATTTCATTTCCCAATGAACTCACATTTGATGACAACTGTTTGGAATTCATTTACTTAGAACTGTGCTTAGAATTTATAACAATATTTGTCGCGAGAAACTTTCCTCATCCCCCTCCCCTCCCCTCGGACAAATATTGTTATGATTGATGTGTTCATGACTGTAAGTAAAATATATTTTCTCAGAATACTTTATGTCACATATTTAAATTGTTGAAATTGAAACCTTTTCAAGTTCATTGATTTTCTTCAACATTTGCACGCGATTCATGTCCGCATAATCCACTACAAGAGGAGAAACGACAAATTTAATCAAAATACTACATTCAAATGTCAACAGAGATAACACAAGAGATGGTTCGAGCGTTGATGGAGAGATGCTACATACAATGGTACAATAATGGTAGGGAAGATAGAATATAAGATGGTACAAGAAATGGTAGGAGAGATGGTACATTTACTGGTACAAGAAATGGTAGGAGAGATGGTACATTTACTGGTACAAGAAATGGTAGGAGAGATGGTACATTTACTGGTACAAGAAATGGTAGGAGAGATGGTACATTTACTGGTACAAGAAATGGTAGGAGAGATGGTACATTTATTGCTACAAGAAATGGTAGGAGAGATGGTACATTTACTGGTACAAGAAATGGTAGGAGAGAGGTACATTTACTGGTACAAGAAATGGTAGGAGAGATGGTACATTTATTGCTACAAGAAATGGTAGGAGAGATGGTACATTTACTGGTACAAGAAATGGTAGGAGAGATGGTACATTTACTGGTACAAGAAATGGTAGGAGAGATGGTACATTTATTGCTACAAGAAATGGTAGGAGAGATGGTACATTTACTGGTACAAGAAATGGTAGGAGAGATAGCTACAAGAAGTATTAAGTGGCAAGACCATCTCTGCTAAAGCAGTGTAGTGTGTATTCTTACCATTTTCTTTGTTTATTTGTCCATGAATAGCGACTAGTAAATCTTTCTTTAAACTTCTGTTTTCATTCTCTAATATTTGATTTCTATCTGTAATAATCAACAACGAAGTCAAAGAAAAACACAGAGAGGAAATGTTTGCAAGAGAAGTCATTATGATAGGTTATGAATGTTTTATAAAACATTTTCACATTTTTAACGACTGCTCAATGAAAATTTGAGAGTTACGATAAAATGTGAGGTTAATACATAATGATGAAAGGAGACGTTGTACAAAACGAACCTTTTAATATATCAAGCTGTGCTTCGTCGTCCATCCTAATGTCTCTGCTAGATGAAGTATCTTGCTGTGTCTTCTCATTCCTCCTTATGCCACCGATATGTGAAGTATTTTTCTTACTTGAAGTATTTCTCTTACTCGAAGATCTCATAATAAGAATCACCACAACACAAATAATGTAACATGAGCAACAACAAATACAGTGTTACGTTTCTTTGATTTTAAATACCTCGTATCAGGAATATTCCTAGTGCCAGGCCCTTGAGAATATACGCTGGATAAAAGTTGCTGTAATCTTCGTGTCTCTTCATAATATGTTTCCATTTGAATGTGAAGTTCATCAACATTTGTCGTCTTAAGATCGTTCTTTAGTTTTCTACATTGAATAGTAAAACTAGCATTCATTTATCATACGTATTGTATAATCTCACAATTAAAATTAAATTTACGCGAACATTTCTATAAAACTGAATGTGTGCTGTATCCATCTATATCCAACAGTATCCAATTGTATTTCACTGTATCTAGCAGTATTTAATTGTATCATACATTCAATTGTGTCTTTTATCCATTTACAACCAACTATGTCTTTCTGCATTCTACTTTAGTTTTCTGTATCCTAATGTGTCCAACTTTACCCTACTGTATCCAAATGAATTTTACTTTACCCTACTGTATCCTAATTTACCCTACTACATTTTACTGTATCCTACTTTACCCTACTGTATCCTATTATATCCCACTTCACCCAACTGTATCCTACTGTATCCAACTCTGATCCAACTACTGCAGATGGTCTACAGTATTCAACTACATTCTACTATATCCCACTGTATCCAACCACAGCTGAAGCCCTACTGTATCCAACTATATCCAACTACGTACTTTATCCCACCTCAGTTCATTTTCTTTGTCTTTAAGATTGCGTTGCATAAGATGTAACTTTTGTTTCAAACTTGAAATGACAGAACTTGATTCAACATTTTTATCTGACAGAGTTCTCCTCATTTCTTCTGACTAATGAAGTTACAACATCCTTTAATGTTAGTTATTCCTCACTTAATCACATACATCAAGAATACACTACTTTTTATTGAAATTACCTGCTTGCTAGGATTGAGATAATCTTTTATTTCACGATCCTGTTTAAAAGGAGGAAGCCATAGAACAATTTAAACTCATAAAAAACAACTGGAAAGAATTTCTTTATAATCAAACCTTTTGCAGATTCTCTTGCAAAACTCGCTGCAGCTTTGTTTTCATTATTCCATTTTCTGATTTGAGATCTTTAATTACTTGCCTCAGTTCCAAAATTTCATCATAGTAATCCTCTTGAGATTTGTACGCTGGCTTTCCACTAGCCAACACATGTTCATCTATATATATGTATGTGTGTGATGGTTTACAGTAGTTACCTTCATTCTTGTGAATAAAACTTTTGTAACTGTGAAAAAAAGCATTCATACCTCGAGAAAATGGACCATTGGAGGTTGTAGCATGACTTTTAGTTTTGCGTTGAACTCGTTGAGGCACTACACGGTTTGCAGGAGAATTCTCGGAGCTAAGACCTATTTATAAATTCATCTATGAATACCAGCAAAATATTTCCCCAAATTACCAATACTAAAATCTCATAGGTGTTCAATCATAACCTGTGAAACCATTTCTTATGGCTAAGGACCAAGCTTCATGACCAGTCTTTCGATAAGCTTTTGTTGTATTGTTGTAGGATTGTGTCACATATGGAGAATGACCTTATATTGTTCAAAATAATATCAAAGCGCTGGTTTTTCTTCATCAATGATGTGGAAATATAATTTTTCATGCTTTGTGTACCTCGTATTTTTGACTTCTTTAAACGTGTGGGCTTTACTATAATGTAGGAGACACTTTCTTTAGCAACTTCACAAACATGTTAAACACATATATAATTGCAAACCTTCGGAAATATCATCCAGACTTCGCTATAGTTTTAAAAGAGAAGAAAAATAAACAATTTTTTATATTAAAGCTTACGACTTGTACAATGTACGTATTAATATTTAAAATACAAGAAAAACTATGACCAAGACATTACATTTCATTTTTTCCAAGTCTTACCAATGAAATAATGGAGCTAACTTCTGACTCTTCTTCGTCATTCTATAAACATAAATACACGAAAAAAACATATTTTTTATAAATAAATTATAAGATATGTACAGAGATTTCTTACTGACATCCATCATTTAAACTGTCCATATTTTAATTCTTCAATATCACGAATCATAAATGAAATATCCTCTCTAAAGTCGATAGTAAATCTTAGTTTTAGGTTTAAATTGCTTTGTTACCAAGTCCACACAACCACTGTATCGTTTATCGTTACCAGGCCCCCTGGCATGATTGGCTGCGCAGAAAATGAAGATAGAGAATGGAACGTTCTTTTGTAATTCTTCCTCCACTCTGACATTATCAGTTCTTATGATTATTCTGTGAAATTCGTCCCAGTTACTTACTTTTGGCTATATTAAGAGCTCTAGTTAGCTGCGTAATGATAGGACTACAAGATATAGGATCTCCATTAGACAACTAAGGTGTTCGTCTTCTTGCCAACGTTGTTATGTTTGTTCGTATAACTGCATATAGAGTGACTGTAGAGTGACTGTAGAGTCTGTAGACATCCAAAGAAATACATTATGAAGTAAGTGTAATAAGGATTTCTTTTTCAGCACTGTTCTACAAAATGCTACTTACAATATTTTGTCTAATAGTATTTGGTCTATGAATTACATTACAAATAAAACTGTTGCAGTATTCGTACCATGCAGTCCTAAATAATGTGTTGTTTTATTGCAAAATGATCTTATACGTATACTATATACTAATAAAATATATGTCTGAATGAATACATAAAATTCTTTTTTTAAGTATGTACGAAGAGTGGAAACTTTCCTTCTCAGATTTCAGTGTAAGATCTAAAGAAAGATAAAAGAAACATGTTTTACTTACATTATAGATAAAATTTCAAACACAAACAAAGTAATAACAAACGAACAGAAATGTTTGAACAATTGAAATGACGCAAAGAAATATAAAATTACGTTAAGCAAATGAAGATTAATTACCCATTTTTAATATTATCATTTTAAGTGTAGTTAGGTACATATTAAAATATCTAATTAAAATACACTGTCTATTACACTCAGTATGTGATTTGCTTTATAAAAAATTTCGTTCTAATCTATGACATAATCCATCGACAACTTTGTCGCTGTCATATCAAAAATAGAAAAATTTAGAAATGATAAAATCATTACAATCTCCCCACAAATGCATAAAAAAATTTCTAACATATGAACAGTATTTAAATCGCAAAAAGCATCCAAGTAGTGTTCCTCTTTGATTTGATGATATTTAAAAATGATCCACAAGAACAGAAACACTGTTACTGCCAACAGTATAATTCTTCGGTTTATCTGCGAAGAAAAAGAAAAAAGTTTATACGATAGCTTTCAATGAAGAAATAATTTCATCATAAACATTCCCACCTTGTTCGTCATCATTGGAATTGAGTGCAAATGACCATCCTTCTGACGTCATTGCAGCCGAGTGAGGTAATCGTAATTCAACTGCTTTAAGAAACTTTGTACCGTGTGGTCCACACATGACCAGAGGACTGAGGAGAGTCTCGCCTTTAGTGAAAAGAAATTATTTGTGAATAGCGTTAAGGTAAGTTTTACGTAAATATGAAAATTTTTTTACCTTTTTCTGCGTCCAAAGGAGGTAATATGGAGTTGTCATTACAAACTTTGAAATAAATTTCCTGCTCAATGCCGGGAGGAATGGCACCAGATGGAATATAGATACTCACTCCAGTGTTCTCTGAGGTCAGAATACCTCCACGTGAAGTGAAATAACCGCGTGCCGTTGCAACGACTGACGGCTCATCGTCAGTAACAGATTCAAAATCACTAAACATAAAATATGACCGCTCTACATCTAAGGTTCGCCTTCTTGGTAAACTTTGGCCGCCATTTTGTCCCAAAACATTGCAAGGTGAAGATGATTTGGAAAATTCCCAACAGTTCCGCAAATCGCGTAAAAAAATCTCTAATTTTATGATTAGTACGAAATTATGTTAATTATTAAAGGTAATTGATGTTTGAACAGGAAAATAAAAAAAATGAAAGGTGATTATTAGATTATTATTTATCAGAGAATCAATCATGGTCAATTAGAATTAATTAATAAATCATTTTTTATACATTACGAAGTACTCGATTAATGAGAAGAAGATCAATGAAAGTACAAGAAAAGAAAGTCGATTTCCTGAAACTAATAATCACCTTGCATTATTTGGAGACAAAAGGCAGATGAGGTGGATACGAAAGGATTTCTAATATTTAAAAAAACATGGTTTGATGTAGAGGACACGTGGAAAGAGAGGAGGTTTTGAAATTTAAATTAAAATATCTGACTAAAGACAGAGAGGTAAGGAACACAGAATGCAGAGAAAGTTGACAAACCAAGAAACTAGAAGTTGTTTACCTTGTTGCATCACCATGAGGATCGTCAAAGTCCGTTGCTGGGTAACGATAAGCTGTACTACCATAATGGTATGCTTCTGGTACTGCTTGTTGATAATCACCGTTGTAATGTCGATTACCGTTGTATTCAGTTGTATTTCGGCGATATTCGGAGTGCTGCATTGATGATTGAGGACCATATGAACGAGAATATGTGTTCGAAAAGGCTTTGGATCTTTTGAAAGACTCATCTCTGACAGGTGGGGCTGGTCTGCGGTACGATTTATCTCCCACAGGTGGGGGTGGTCTTGTGTACGCTTCATCATCAACAGGGGGTGGTCTCCTGTAAGCTTCCTCATCTGCAGGTGGGGGTGGTCTTGTGTAGCGCTCATCATCGGCAGGTGGGGGTGGTCTTTTGTAAGGTTCATCATCGGCAGGTGGGGGTGGCCGTCTGTTAGTATTATCGTCATCATAACGTGTTAATGGAGGTCGACGGTCATAGAAAGAAGGCTCGTTGGAAACTCGACTTTCGTAGTCCATCTGAGAAGCATGAAATTGAAAATTAACTGAGTTATAGTTTTCAAAACAATGTCAAAGAGTATCTCTAACTATCCCTCACCTTCAAAGGAGGTTCCTCATTTCTTCGATACATTTCTCCTCCATGATCCTCATCTACATTCCCAATCTTTGAACGAGATCTTCCTGTATAATAATCACCACCTTCTACTCTGCGTCCATCACGTGAATCTATCACGGGATTACGTGATTGCTTCGTCACCTGGTAACTTGTCCTATACTCGGTGGAAGTCTGGGTACGAGTACCAACATTTTGTTGTGAGCTAAACAAAAGGTAATAACTACGATAAAAGCCTATCTACAAGACAAAGAAAGCAAAATCGCGAATGCATAAGGTGGAACCATTGAAACATCGTGCGTGTCAGGTGAATGCATAAGGTGGAACTATTGAAACATCGTGCGTGTCAGGTGAATGCATAAGGTGGAACCATTGAAACATCGTGCGTGTCAGGTGAATGCATAAGGTGGAACCATTGAAACATCGTGCGTGTCAGGTGAATGCATAAGGTGGAACTATTGAAACATCGTGCGTGTCAGGTGAATGCATAAGGTGGAACCATTGAAACATCGTGCGTGTCAGGTGAATGCATAAGGTGGAACCATTGAAACATCGTGCGTGTCAGGTGAATGCATAAGGTGGAACCATTGAAACATCGTGCATGTCAGGTGAATGCATAAGGTGGAAACATTGAAACATCGTGCATGTCAGGTGAATGCATAAGGTGGAAACATTGAAACATCGTGCGTGTCAGGTGAATGCATAAGGTGGAACTATTGAAACATCGTGCGTGTCAGTTGAATGCATAAGGTGGAACCATTGAAACATGGTGCGTGTCAGGTGAATGCATAAGGTGGAACCATTGAAACATCGTGCATGTCAGGTGAATGCATAAGGTGGAACCATTGAAACATCGTGCGTGTCAGGTGAATGCATAAGGTGGAACTATTGAAACATCGTGCGTGTCAGGTGAATGCATAAGGTGGAACCATTGAAACATCGTGCGTGTCAGGTGAATGCATAAGGTGGAACCATTGAAACATCGTGCGTGTCAGGTGAATGCATAAGGTGGAAACATTGAAACATCGTGCGTGTCAGGTGAATGCATAAGGTGGAACCATTGAAACATCGTGCGTGTCAGGTGAATGCATAAGGTGGAACTATTGAAACATCGTGCGTGTCAGGTGAATGCATAAGGTGGAACCATTGAAACATCGTGCGTGTCAGGTGAATGCATAAAATGTATCCATAATTCATTAAATTTTGATAGGGAGCACACATCATAGGAAGTATTGGTTAGAATCAATGATTGACTGTTTTTTAAAGATTAATTGATCATTGATTGATTGATTAACATTTTATATTAAAATCATCGCAGTTTTTAATTTATTCTAACAATCAACATTTTTATAATACAGTCAATCATTAACGTCAGAACCCAGAATTACTTCCTCAAGTCTACCTGAAATCATCAAAATCATCGACGACTGCTTCGTCAGGTTTCGCGTGACTTCTAACCACGTCTTCCTGATTATACTCATCGCGCATGTCATCATCTTGCGCGATTACAACGCGGGAGTCTTGCGGGTCTCGTGAGAATCCCGCATCATCATTCTCATTATCACTGTAAGGTTTATAAACGCAAGAGGCGAGGGATGATTTGAACCATTAAACAGTTATATTTAAGATACTATTTTAATCATTTTTATGTAAGGGGTAATGGTAGAAACAAAAAATAAAGCATAATCCGAGGACGGATTGAGCTGTTGATAGCTATATGTTTAATATAATGTTACTATATCATTCGTGTTGTTAAAGGATTTAACATTATAGTAAATGGACTTATATACGTATGAAATAAACCGTGTTTTGGTGTTTGTATGAATAAATATCGAGTGTAAACTTCATGATACTTTATACTAAGATAGTAAATGGACTTATATACGTAAGAAATAAACAATGTATTGGTGTTTGTATGAATAAATATCGAGTGTAAACTTCATGATACTTTATACTAAGATAGTAAATGGACTTATATACGTAGGAAATAAACAATGTATTGGTGTTTGTATGAATAAATATCGAGTGTAAACTTCATGATACTTTATACTAAGATAGTAAATGGACTTATATACGTAAGAAATAAACAATGTATTGGTGTTTGTATGAATAAATATCGAGTGTAAACTTCATGATACTTTATACTAAGATAGTAAATGGACTTATATACGTAAGAAATAAACAATGTATTGGTGTTTGTATGAATAAATATCGAGTGTAAACTTCATGATACTTTATACTAAGATAGTAAATGGACTTATATACGTAAGAAATAAACAATGTATTGGTGTTTGTATGAATAAATATCGAGTGTAAACTTCATGATACTTTATACTAAGATAGTAAATGGACTTATATACGTAAGAAATAAACAATGTATTGGTGTTTGTATGAATAAATATCGAGTGCAAACTTCATGATACTTTATACTAAGATAGTAATGAAAGTAATTTATATCTTTCTTTTCAACAATGTCGCCAATGCCTTCAAGCAACATCTCATACGTATCTCTAACACATTCTACCCTTTCTAGCAGTATCCTAAAACTGTTTCACGACTTAAGTACCTTCTATAGCGATTGCCTTCTCCTCTTTGTGTACTTCTCTCCTCCTGCTCGTCGTACTCATCTTCTCCTATGCGAAAATCTTTCCTCACGTCAAAGATATCTGAAACCTTCACTCCAATTCTTTCATCATAATGCTCAGCTTCGGAATCTCGCCTTTCAACATGACGGAGTTGAACAGTTTGTTGAGAACTGTCCCCGAAAATCTCACCTCTCTTTAAAAAGGAATCAGTTTTCTTCAAATTTACCACGGGGGGAAGGGCGCCGGGAAGAACTCTGTAGAAAAAAATTAAAATTAATACTTATGGTATTAATAATTAATGATAGTCAATAGTTATAATATAAATAATCAATGATAGTCAATATTTTTTGGGTATCAACAAATAATCAATGATAGTCAATACTTACGGTATGAATAATCAATGATAATCAATATTTTTTGGGTATCAAAAAATAATCAATGATAGTCAATACTTATGGTATGAATAATCAATGATAATCAATATTTTTTGGTATCAACAAATAATCAACGATAGTCAATACTTATGGTCTGAATAATCAATGATAATCAATATTTTTTGGGTATCAACAAATAATCAATGAAAGTCAACTTACTTTACACCAGGGGGGATAAAAGGTTTTCGTTGCTCTCGTTGTGGCTCATCATCGTAACGTCTACGATTTTTTTCGTACTCATTTAGTTCAAATTTTCGTTGCTCCATTTGCCGATCGTAATCATTATCATCTTTCTGATATTCCCGTCCTTTTTCTGGCTGCCGGAAATCTCTTTTATCTTGTCGATGTTGGAACATTTTTTCTTCTTCTTGTCGACGTTGAAACTCCCTTTCTTCTCGTCGACGATGGAACTCCTCTTCTTCTCGTCGACGATGGAACTCCTCTTCTTCTCGTCGACGTTGAAACTCCCTTTCTTCTTCTTGACGACGTTGAAACTCCCTTTCTTCTTGTCGACGATGGAACTCCTCTTCTTCTTCTTGTCGACGTTGGAATTCTCTTTCTTCTCGTTGCTCTAGGAACTCTCTCTCGTCTCCTTGTCGACGTTGAAACTCTCTCTCGTCTCCTTGTCGACGTTGAAACTCTCTTTGTTCTTGTTTCCGTAGGAGCTCTCTTCCCCTTTCTTCCTCCAGCCTTTCAAAATCGCGCTCCTGTAATGAAAAAAAAAAATTTAATTGTCAAGACATCAATCCAGTTTTCAAGTCTAAAACGAAACTCAAAAAAACAAACCCTACCCGTAAATCTGTTCCTTGTTCTTGATTTCTTATGAATTCTTCGTCATCGTGTCTTTCACGTGATACAATGCTGTACGCCTGTTCAACTGGCCCAGGTTCAGATTCCTGAAGTGTAGCATTCGCCGCAACAATTTCCTCGTCAGGAGTTCGTGGTTTATCATCAGATTTACGATCGACATCCTCGGGTAAATCCAATCCACTTTGATCCGTATCATAAACCACAGAATGTCGTGGCCTTTGGAGAACCAGTTCACCATTATCAGATTGCTCCTTCTACAGATTGATTAGTAAGATAACTAAGGATAACTAAGGATAACTATGGATAACTAAGGATAACTAAGGATAACTATGGATAACTAAGGATAACTATGGATAACTAAGGATAACTATGGATAACTAAGGATAACTAAGGATAACTATGGATAACTAAGGATAACTAAGGATAACTAAAAATTTCAGACGTCGAAGTGATATAATTATTTATTTAACAAAAAAAGTTATATTGTTTAAGATTTTGCGAAACATCAAGAAAAACACAATTAAACAAAAAACATACAACTGTTTCAGGTAGCCATATAGGATTTTCCTGTTGTTTCTTGATGATCTCGACACAGTCAGTGTACCATTTGTCATTACGTTCAAAAGTAATTACGGCTAAAAGAAAGTAAGGTTGTTCAATATCTTCATGATGCAAAGTCAATTCATCACATTTCACTATGAAAACACATCAAGATGCATTAGTAGCATTAGCAACAGGTCATTACCTGTAAACAAATATGGAAAATCATATGTCAAAGTTTCCGATTGATCGTAAAGTTTCTTAATAAATCTTGCCGAATGATTCTTCTTGGTCAAATCGTAACGAAGATCTCTGTGAAACAAAAAATACATTAGACAAATCAATTAAATAATTCCTGTGTCTGCACAGCCTTATGCGAACCGAGGAGATCTTTGGGAGAACTTGAGAGAAGATCAGTGCAAACACGAGAGCGATGATCAAATATTCGAGAGTTCTCCCAAACGTCTCCGAAGGTTTATAAAAACGAGTGCAAACACAAAAAAATCTTTTATTTCATGATTTTGAAATACTAAAAGAACGCGAAAATCAACTGACTTTATGATCTGTCTATTGTTTGGCTTCATAAATATGACTATAGGTTCCAAACCAACATAGTTTAACATTTCAACACCTTCTGGGGTAACATCAAGAAGACTATGTTTATCCTACAGCAGAAAAAAATCAACATGACTTGACATGACAAAACAACATGGCATTATGAACAAAACAAAACAATTATACACACGCTTTCAATATTTTCTCGAACTGCACTGAGTTTGATTCCCCCTTGCTTGGCATCGAAACGACCGTATGTCGCTGGAAGATAAATAATGTTAAATTAAGTACGTACAAACATTAAAATTATATCAAAATGAAAACAAGGATATATCACACATACTTGGTGAAGTAAATTTTTCGGGAAATTCAACCATGAGTCTATCGCGACATAAGTCAGCAATTGGTCCCAAAAGCACAACAGGACGAACAAACCCAGCTGAAATATAAATATATATAGTTGAATACAAACAACACCCGTTCGTAGGTTTTTCAATGAGAAATGAAGGTAAAATAAAACGTTCATTAACCTTTTTGTTTGACAACTCTCTCGTAAGCTGGGTATTTAACATCAAGTTCTAGAAAATAAAATTTGCTGTTTTAAAAGTTCTTACGCATTCATAAGACGTCAATGCTCTTACGAAATGAGCTCTCGTCAAGTTGATCTGCAGCTTGATATTGCTTCTTTCTGGCAGTTCCATTTTTTGTATCTTTTCTTTTCAAAGTTCCTGATTTTGATTTACCACCAGAGCCCTTCTTTGTTTCCAAATCTCGAGCAATGGCCAGCTGCTCAGCTCTAAATGAAAAAAACACGATATCTCCCTGTTAACTAATGTCCTTAACTAAAATACAACAGCAACCATATATATACACAAGTTACCTACATTACCCATCAATATAACCAATGTCCCTAATAACTCAAATACAACAGCAACCAAATATATACACAAGTCACCTACATTACCCATCAATATAACCAATGTCCCTAATAACTCAAATACAACAGCAACCATATATATACACAAGTTACCTACATTACCCATCAATATAACCAATGTCCCTAATAACTCAAATACAACAGCAACCAAATATATACACAAGTCACCTACATTATGCACGGGACTCAAAATAACAGTTTCAACAACTATAGCAGTACGGTTGATTCTGAAGATGACTGTACTGCTATAGTTGCCGAAATGTCGTCAACATCAACAGTCCTTCTCAGGACTCTACAAACCGGGACGATCTACGTCAACAAACATGCCCGTAATGATAATTCTATGTTCAAACCATTCAATTCATGCATAAATTGCACCAAAGAACGTTAAAAGATCAATTTTTGAGAAAACAGTTTTTCGTGTTTGACGTTAGGTCTGGAAATGTTGCCATGCATAGTACGACTATAGTAGTTTTGAGAAACACGTAAAAATGTGGTCGGGCGAAAAGACCAGCGAGGTGAAAAAATGGCCGACCAGCAAGCATTTTTGGCCGGTCATTGTCCGCTGACCAGTCATTATTTCGAACCCTGATTATCCATAACTACACCTTCCGTTTAAGTTAGAGTCACGTACCTGCATTTATTGGGTATTATGCCAACTTCAGTCTCAGCACCACTTTGTAGCACCCTCTGTGCTCTCCAAGATCCTATAGTACCACCGTTCATCGTATCAAGTACATGGAAGACCTCTCCTCTTCTGAATGACAGTTCATCATCATCTCCACCGGTATATTGAAATTGTGCTCTAAAAACAATATGGGTCGTTAGTAAAACAAGTTCTAGCCAATAAAAATTTACCTTACACAAAGTAATCACTAAATTATCCAATCAAAGACTGCGTGTAAAAAATCAAAAAACGCGTACTTAACGTAAAACGAATCACCAGGCGAATCTTTAGTGCGATCATAAACTATTAAAGAAAATATTCATAAAATTGAATGAAACTAAAATCAATGATTGTGAAGCTACACAGACATTCTCTTACCTGACTTTTTATATTGAACAAGTAAGCTGACTTCTTCTGGTAATGAAAGGAGTAAAAGAACAGCTTCTTCGCGAGTGATTTCTTTAAAATCAATTTCATTTGCCTAAAACGTCCAAATCATGATTACGTATGTAAATATAGTGACACAAAGCAACAGAAAGATGACATTAAAACATACCACCAATATTTGATCGCCAACTCGAAGACCTGCTAACTTAGCTGGGCTTCCATCTTTAACAGCGTTAGCATATATTCCAACTGCGTTCCCTCCAGAGACTTGTATTCCAAGACTGCTTCCGGTGCGATGAAAGGACACAAGATGTGGTTCTCTGTAGAACACATTCATTGATTTATACTGTCAAACATACATATTGATTTGTTGATATTTGGACTTTTACCCTCGAAACTTTTTATCTTTTTGAGCGTCAATATCACGATCGTCGCTTCGTCTGCCGACACTCGATACACTGTAGGTCGCTGTGCTTTGAAGAGTGTTACTCCAAGCACCATCTGTAAAAAATAAACATAAACACAAGAAATTATTGACAAGACTATGGGAGGTCAGGTTCATTTTTTCTCAGGTTTCTGACATGAGGAGGGGATGAAAAAAGGAGAGAAATGAGCAGGAAAGTAAATTTAGAAAGAGTTCCCACTGGTCAAGATGGCTCCAAATATAATTGTAACCCAGGTCCTTTAATGCCCCGTTAAATTAAAATAAAACAGTCATTACAGCAAATACAATATAGAATACAAACCTATACCATCATTTTGCCAATGTCCTGCAAGATCTGTTAATAAATATGAGTTTATGTTCATTAAAATATTCCCAAATGTAAATGTTTATGTAACATACATACCCTGTCCATTTACACTAATTCCCCCCTCAACAATATTGGGATTTCTTGACATTGAAATCGTCTCACTTACACCAGCACGTCTACAAAAAACCGAAAAGAGCAAAAATTAATTTTCATTTTTTTGTAAATGATAATTGTGGCAATGAAAAGCACCTTCCAGGCATATTCAATGATACGTCTTTATTGCGAGCAACAATAAGATTCAATCTTTCGGGAGAACTTCTCATCAAATTAACGGCCTCAGATCTACTTAAATCTTCAACCTTCATGCCATTGATCTAAAGAAACAAAATTATTCAAAGGTTTCGATGAATAACCACAGGCAAAAATCAACTTAATTGAACATTTCCATAACAATCATTCAAAAATGAAATTACCTGAAGAAGGACATCGCCAGCTTCCAACTGTCCATCTCGACCAGCTGGGCCAGCAGGATCCAAATCTTTGATGAATAAAATTGTTCCAAGAGAAAGACCATAACTTTCTGTTGGATGTTTATCCACGACAACTGTTTTTGTCCTTTATATGTTTCATAAAAAGTAGGTTGTGACGGATGCTCTTGAATGTATGGTATTGTGGAAGATATACTTGGTTTTTTTCTCAAGATAACCTATAAATTACAATTATTAAATAAACAAATTCCCCAAATCATGTTAAGTAAATCTTTTTCTCAGGAGGGAGGAGATGTGGAGGGGAAAATGTGAAAAGGGAAAGAAAAGAAAGAGTGAAAAGGGAAAGGAAGGGAAAACAAGAAAAAAAGGAGAGGGAGAGAAAATGAAGTATTACCAGTGTGACAGAATATCCACTATTTTTCAAGGCCTCTACAGCGACAGCATGTTCTACTCCTTCAACATTAACGCCATTCACACTCAGTATGACATCATTTATTCTATGGAAATAAAAAATAAAGTTAAAACAAAACAATTGCATGACAATTGAGTCATTTATCAATACCTGAGTAGTCCTTCTGCAGGAGTTCGATCAACAACATCAGAAACAATTATGGACGTATCGCCAGTCTCATAATGTGGGTTATCCAGCCCACCAGAGACAGCTATACCAAAACCTTGGTTTGGGGCTGCCTGATGATTTTGAATTGAAAATGAAATAATAAAGTACTGGTATGACAAAAAAAAACATCATCTTGTCTTGAACTATTACCTTCTCAAGAACGATGGTCTGTTTTTCCATATCTGAAAGCTAAAACAGCAAAAGTCAAAAATTAAATCATTATTTACATTTAAAGACCATCATTTCTGACATCAGAGAAAACTGGGCAAGTTCAGAAGAATACCTAGGGTTAGGCAAAATAAATCATAACTCCTCATTCTAAATTTAAAATAGCATTACAACAAAATCATTGGTTATAAATTAAGAATTAAAATCAAATCAAATTGTTCAACTAATTTATTTTGTCTAGAGCTGGATTTAACTCTGGGCAGGTTAAAAAAATGTAAAGAAGGTTTCAGCTTATGCTTATGATGAGTACCACTTAGGGTAGGAGATAAAGAATTTTTGTAGAAAACACTGCAAGTTTATACACCTAGCAACAAAATGAAGCGAGCACTTCATAAATCACCAATTACAACGCTACTACAATGGCAAAGGTCAGTAGAAAAAATTTTAGCAAAAGGGACAATATCTCAAAGTTACGAAATACTTCAATACTGATGAAGCGTAAAATAATAATAAAAATAACGACAGCAATAAGAAAGTTCACAACTAGAGAGCTTTTTTAATTAAATGTTTCATTTTCACCGGTCATGCTGATTTTAGCAATTGCAAAAATTTCATGTATGTTTTACCAAATGTCAGTTATACATACAACAGCTAACAAAATAATCAATTAATGAACTACAAACTATAAAAACGTGTTCCAGACCTTTTATATTCTACGATTTATGTTATATAAGTTCCCAATGTAATTATGAAGGCTTCTTATATTATAATATACGAACAACAAACAACGGGAATCTTCATAAACAAATGGTTCCATTGGCTGAAAAATTTGTTATGACAATTTTTAGTGCATGTTCAGAATACTTTAAAGATTTACAAATAAATCTCAGTGAGAAGTTTAATTACGCTATTGAATCAAGGACATTCACCTCCATTGAGAGTAAAGTCGCTTTAAATACTTTATCGTAAAGATTTAAAGTTGTTGTGTTCAGGAAGAATCTTACTCGATGCAACAAAGAAAACTAACACAATCATGAAACTAATTCCCACGGGTAAAATTCAATAATCATAAGGCGAAGTTGTTTAAAGTTAACACGAAAAAAATAATTACCCTTCATTTTACTAATGAAGAATCAAGATATTATGCAGATCACAAGAATAAGAATTTGTCGACAGTTGAAGACGATTTAATATTTTGATAATTTCTTCACCAAAACTTTAGCAAAATTTGGGTATTTGAATTCATTCAATGAAATATTTTCCAACAGGAAAATAGCGTAAATATATTAAAGCTTACTTTAAATGTCGTCACTGGTTCTCGAGCAACTACCGCAGCCTCAACAACAAAACCTTCAGAGTGGTCAGAAGTAGGCGAACTCGGTTCTTTTGGTCTTCCATAACCAGAAAAGTGGTGTCCACTACGAACACTGCCACCGCGAGCTTCGTAAGGTCTAGAGTCACCTCCACGAACAGGCATTTTGAAAACGTTGAGATAGGTATTGAATACCACAATGTATTTCCTTGCCGAAAGTGAGTAGATAAAAAACGTAAAACGTTTCTATTCTCGTTATTTTGACACAAACTTGTTATCAAATATAGATATGAGATCCAACTCGAAGAAAAAGCAATAATTCACCCTTTAGTAAAGCGAATTGTGCGAGTGTTTACAATTCGATTCAACGTTTACAAATTTTCAACATGGAATGTTAAGGGCGTTCTTACGACAACTTCGTCATGGCGTCCACTTCTCGACCAATCAGATCTCGTTATTTTCCTAAGGTATTTAATCCTAAGATAATCGTTATTCAGGAATGTGGTTATATTGTTACAGTGTAACATTTTGAGGTGGGTGTAGATGAACATGTAGTGGTTTAAAACAATAGGTATTTTAAATATAACATGACATGTCCATTTTGTAAAATGATGCATTTTTGAAATTTTAAACGCATACTTTAAATCTAGTTGTTTTTGACAATCCATTTGTACCATAATTATTAACGTTTTCTTTGATATTGAAGTTTTAATTTATATTTGACTGCTCATTTTATAATCAAACTGTTCTCCAATAATCGAGAGTTTTTTCTCGTTCCTTTGCAACTCAGTCCAGTCTCCGAGCAGCGAGAGTCTACGACCTTGTTCCAATGATCTACAGACAAAAGTATTGAAAGATTGTGTGTAAGTTCGAGCTTTGTATCAATTCTCTTAACATTCTTTTCAAAATGAAACAAAAATCATTTTCATACTTGCTTTGCCTTTTAGCGTCAATGCCAGTTTGACTTCTTATATCACTAAGAAGATTTTGTCGCGTTTTCAAGAACTGAACTAACTTTGCGTTATACTTGAGGTCTTCACTCTTTATTTGAAAAAAAAACATTAAGCCTAGAGTTTGGTGAAAGTTAAGTTAAAAGAGATCCTCCATCCACCTGCAAATGTCCACAAGCATCCAACAACTGTTTCTGGACATCCAGCAACATGTCAATGGTCTCTTGACGTTCATTTCTTTCAATATTTTGTTCTTTAATACGTCTTGCTCGTTCAGCGCTTGCCTCGCGGTCAGCCAACTTACGGGATGCAGTACGAACTAATTCTTCTTGCATGCGAGCTTTGTTCAACTTAGTTTTATCCACCTCTATCACTTTCTGTACCTCCTTGTCTCTCTGCGAGCGAAAAAGCAATCGATGCAACACATTGTTATGAGCAGAGCAAGTCAATAAAGAGAAGGTAAAGGAAGAGAAAAAACCTTAAGTTTTGAAAATAAACCAAGCAATTGTTCTTGAACGTTTACTAAAAGTTTACGTGTATCTGCGCTCATCATAGTGCGCATGTGCTCATCAAACTCCGCTATTCTCTGCTGTTGTTCCTTGCTGGACATTTGCTTTACTCTAGAAATCGCAGACTGTCGGCGCATGTCTTGTAAAAAAATCTCTTTCCTGTCTTCACTAATTTTTTGAGTTATGCTTTCTTTTCTCTCTTTACTTTTCTGGGAAATTGCAAGGAACAGGATAGGAATAAAATGAAAAATTGAAATTCATCGTTAACTCCCAGAGATAGTAGCAGCAACACACTTACAGTTGCAATTTTGAAAGCATTCTTGAGATCATTTTGAACTTTGATTAAATTTTCGCTTGTTTGCGCCAGCTCGAGTTGATTCTCAGCTTCACCTTTCACGAGTTTATCGAGTTCTGACAATTTTCGTTTCCTCTCTTGTTCCACTTCAATATCAACCATCTTTTGCGCGTATCTACGTAGAAGTTCTTCATGCATTATATCCTTGGCATCTTCAACCTTTTTACGCACCTTTTCCGACTCTGTTTGATACTTGGACTAACAACAAACATGACGTCATCACTACTACAATACTCGGGAAAGTGTCCACTAGCGTGTTCGCTAGCGTGTACACTAGCGTGTCCACTAGCAAGTCCACTAGCGTGTCCGCTAGCGTGTACACTAGCGTGTCCACTAGCGTGTCCACTAGCGTGTCCACTAGCGAGTCCACTAGCGAGTCCACTAGCGTGTCCACTAGCGAGTCCACTAGCGTGTCCCAGCCCGCTTGTTTAGTCCTGTCATGTAAATTTTTCTGTGTACACTTACTGTGAAAACAATAAATTTCTAAAGAAATGAAAAATGATAATGATCTACAATTTACATAGCATGACCTAAACTTGCAGGCTGGTATGTCACCGACGAGTTTCTTGTGTCCTCTTTATCCTATCAAAACCCCACATATACATCATTACTCGCTAAAACGTACATCATGAAAAGCAAACAACTTTAACAATTCTTCGTTAACATCTCTTTTTGCCTCAGCAGCGAACTTGGATTCCTCGTCATCCTCTTCATCCATCATCGCTTCAATTCGTCTCTTTCTCTCAATTTCCATTTCTTTTCTCATCGCCAACAGAGTTTCGCTCGGTGAAGATCGTACAAGATCTGGTGTGACGACAACAAACTCTTTCTTCTCTCCATGAAGATCATCACTTTTCAATCTTGCCAAATCCTGCAACAACAAGAAAAAAATTCATCATCTTCAGCATCCATCTTTCAAAGAAACCGTTGACTGAGCTTGACAGTGGACATTGTTTAGAAAAATGCTCAATTCAATCTCCACACGTTTGATGCAAACTTTAACAAAGTTTAATTTTAACAACTACAAGTTTGAATCTCGATGTTTTATTTACCTTGTGGTGACCAAAATGTCTTTGCAAAGCGGCTTGCATATTTCTCAATTGTCCTTTGATTTCATCCGTGTCCAAATCACTGTCATCATCTTCTTCACAATGATTCATTTTTTTCAATGTTTTTTTTTTCGTTACAGCTGTTAATTCCCAATCTGATTTTTTCTCTCCTCCTTAAAATACAAGCGTATTGTATTATGACGTCACAATATAAGAACACGTAACGTTCACGTGACCCTAAAATTGCAGCGTATGCACTTTTTTTCAATACTCTCTTTTTTCGTAAGACGTAAACATGACCTATATAATTGGGACACACATCAGTACAAAGTCATCTTCATCATAAATATTTTGTACATTTACATTTTACATAAACACACAGTTTAAGAAGCCACATCAAGTCAACAAGTCAAAACAATTAAGTCTATGTTAATATTTGAAGTCCATAAAGATATTGTTGTTATAAATTGATAGAACCTACAGATCCTTCACATTATTCAGCACAAAAAATGTACAGTTGATTGTAAATTCCTTTTCTCCAACCAATAGTTGGTTATTTACAATAAATAAACCAGGTCAATTCTTGAATTCTTTACTCCCTAAAGTTCAAACAAATTATCAAGTGAATCATTGTCACTTTGAGAGGATTTACGAGTTTTTTTGAAACTGCTACCACTAAGCCGACTTTGACTACTATTGGATGGTCTGTCCATTTTTAATCTTTCCTTTTCACGACTTGCCTTTATATTCTTAATCACGTCTGGAACACCCTTTGCTCTGTTAACACGGTAAAGTAAAAAAATTTTGAATCACAAACAAGGCAAAATGTCTAAAGGAGGGCAATTATTGTAACATAACATTACTTTTGTTTATTGGCAGCAGTAATGGATGTTTTCATCTGAACATCTAACTTCTTTAAAAAATATTTCAGGCTATCTTCATGATCTTCATAGCCATTTTTCTTCTTTGTACGTTTATCATTTGAATGTCCCATTCTATCAATCTTTACATCCTCTTCGTGTACACCTGCATCCACGCTTTCCTCACTGTCACGTAGTTGTGAGTTGTTCAGATTACCATTAATAAATTCTAGCTTCACAGGAATATATACAGTTTTATAAGTATGGATATTGTCGTTGATCCAAAGTTTATTTACTCTCCTTATTTGCTCAACCTGTAAACATTAAAAACCATAAATATTGTTGTAAATGAATCGTAAATATCTGAGATGTCATTCGTCATTACGTCATTTTAGACCAAAGTATCACTTTCCAACCAAAAGCTATAAAATATCCAACACGACAAATCGTTATTAAAATCAACATTTATTACCGTGACACCGTATTTTATTGCTAATCCTTGAAGTGTATCGTTCAACAAAACTTGATGTGCAACCAACTTAAAATCGGTAGTGTTTGATTCTGGTTTTCGGGTCGCTCCGTAGCAAGTTTTTGGGCCTTTTCTACTTTGAGATAAAGAGCTTGTCTCTTTTATTTGTCTACCTTCAGCTTCCATTGAACTTTTTACTTGGTCGATTCATGCCTATCGAGATTGTTTTGCTACAAGAATATTTAAGGAATTAAAGTTTCATAACGAAGTAGAATTGGACAATTGGTAAAATATTTGTACTTTCGTGATGTGCTTCCACTTCCGTAATAGGATTTCCTTAATCACCCCTTATTATAAGAGAACAGAAGAGAGCTGGGTCGGGCGTGGTTGTCATAACAACAGTTCAATGGCGGAACAAAAATAAAACTTTCGATTGAAAAACACAGTTTGTTTTTTTAATTTTATGGGGGGTTTATTAATTATGAAAATATTACATAGAGTTGAATTATATAATTCTGTAGTATTCACGAAGTATCAGATATAATGAATAGTAAATTATCGAACAAGCCATCAAAGAAAGACAGACCTAAATCGACCGGTAATTGATAATAAAATAGTTTCGTCTTTGGTTAAATAAATTCTACCTGATATATTGTCCCGTGATATATTTCACAAATAACGACCTTTTTCAGATAAAGTTGTCAGATCCAAGAAAAAAGGAGATCAAACTCCGGACAAGATAACAACGCCAGTCCCGTTGTCGATGGTCGAGGATCTCAATTGTAATGAGGCATTAAACAATGTTTTGTCCGGAGAAGATATAGAGTCACTGGCTGTTAACATGACAGAACTACTTAAGGTTGCAACCCTTCCTTTTCATTTACGTTAACAAAGAGGGCTGTAGAACTTACAGTGTAAATGTTTGTGAATCTCTAGCATCGCCCATCAAAACCCTCCAAAGTTGAACGATCGACAAGACAAGTGAGAGTTAAAAAAACAATAAAATTAAAGAATGATGAGCATACCGACAAGAAGACCTGGAGAATGTATATTTTTTCGTGAAGAAATCTTGTCTTTGCTTATTACCATAAAGGAGTTAAATTTTCTTTATTTTCACGTAGAGTGAATGTCGGTTATCGTAAAAACTTAGATGATCCTGAGTTCCACAGCTATGAAAAGATAGGTACTTATAAAACATGCTTGGCTATAAGCTCTTTTGATGTATTTTATTATAAATTTTATTTATTTCAGGCAACAAAGATCCATATCTTGACAATGAAGAACCTTTCTATGAACATCATATTCTTGGAAGTTTGCTAGATTTCAAGGAACAGAGTACAAAGCACCATAATGCTAAGGTTGTTGTTTAACAATTGCAATCACCTCTACATTAATTTTAAAAAATTATTCTTATCAAGTTTTGCTGACTTTCTTTCTTTCGTATGCAGAGACTCCCAACTCCTCATCACGTAAAGGTTGTAAAATCCTTCCTATATTAAAGAGAAGTTTTATTTTTCAACATAAAATCTAATAAATTTTTTTTTCACATCAGACATTCAGTTCTATGCCAGAATCTAACGGCAAAACAACAAAAACTGGAAAGCCTCATTTTCACAGATTTAACGTAAGAAACAACGATGAAATTCTTTAAACAACTTATCTGATGTTCTCTTTGAAAATTTTGCACTTACAATTATAGATGAATCAGTCTAATGCCTTGGTAAACTGGGAAAAACAGATAGCAGAAAGACGCAAACAGCAAGCAAGTCTTGCAAGTAACATTCCTTTAAATAAAAATATATTTTATCATATTGAATACATAACTTTTAATCTGTTACCGAAATCTTGCACGAAAAAATACTTTTCAAATAACTTTTATTCATTATCTTACGATCTTCATTATAGAATTGTTGAAAACGACACCAGAAATGTTGGGAATGAATCAAAACGAGGGATATCGTAGAACACAGGAGGAGCGGTAGGTATTTTATTGGGATATAAAATTTCTTGGTAGTTTCTTCTAAGTCACTTTTTTTCGTACCGTAGATATCTCATTGAAAGGACCATTCCCTCGAAGGATTATGGGAAGGGCTGTAAGCTCTAAATCAACAATAAAATAATAGTAAAGAAAGTCACTGTGAGAGGCCAATGATTCTTATTTTGTTCGTTTTTTCGTCTATAGATCGTACTGGTAGTGAATTTTGGCGTCAATCTGAACAAATTGGTGATGATAAAACAGGCATTCAGTGAGTGACTTTGTTTACTAATGTGGTCTTCAGGTTGAGACGATTCTCAAAATACATTAAGTTATAAAATGATTCTATCTTACAGTATGACATTGACACAAACAGAACGTGGCTATCCAAGTGTTGTTGAACACGTTGGGAAACCTCTTTCTGTCCGAGCTGAAATGGGTAAGACTGGAGACAAGGCATTGCTGGAATATAAGCAACTTTGAAGTAGTATTGAGTATTTTTCTTAGGCATGAATTGGCCAAATACAGAATCTTATCGAAGTATGATGGTTCACAGTCCTTGGAAAAAATCCAGTTATCTTTGTCAGAGAAAGAATGAATTGAAGGATGCCATTGACGAAATTTGTCCTCATAAACCCGTACGTATCCCCCTTGGACACAGTAATACGTCTGTAATAATGAAAAGTGTCCTCATAAACCCGTACGTATCCCCCTTGGACACAGTAATACGTCTGTAATAATGAAAAGTGTCCTCATAAACCCGTACGTATCCCCTTTGGACACAGTAATACGTCTGTAATAATGAAAAGTGTCCTCATAAACCCGTACGTATCCCCTTGGACACAGTAATACGTCTGTAATAATGAAAAGTGTCCTCATAAACCCGTACGTATCCCCCTTGGACACAGTAATACGTCTGTAATAATGAAGTGTCCTCATAAACCCGTACGTATCCCCCTTGGACACAGTAATACGTCTGTAATAATGAAAAGTGTCCTCATAAGCCCGTACGTATCCCCCTTGGACACAGTAATACGTCTGTAATAATGAAAAGTGTCCTCATAAACCCGTACGTATCCCCTTTGGACACAGTAATACGTCTGTAATAATGAAAAGTGTCCTCATAAACCCATAGGTATCCCTTTGGAAACCATAATGTAATTTGTTTTCCTTGTCAATCAACTCAGCACATAAAAACTGTGTTAGTTAGGAGTGTTTCTTTAAAACATAACACACTCATTCATCAAATTAATACTTATAAACAGTACTTACAAGAACTGGAAGTTGTTGGTCAATCTTTGGATAACGAAGTAAAAGTAAATTCAAATGTTGTTGAGGATCCTTATTCAAGAATGGAAACATTCTCTGCAAAACAAGAGGAAACGAAAAATGATATAAATACGTATGTTGAATTGCTATGAAAATTTCTATAAAACTTTACAAATACATGAAGAAAAACATTACGTCATTCTCACTAAAACTTATTTAAGACTACCATAGATTGTTCGTAGACTTATAGTTGGAAGAGTTTGATTTTATTCTTTAAGATAAACTAAACCAAACACAACATTGTTTTAATGATTATTTTATTATTTATGTCTTATACTGAATTAGTCTTAGATAAAATAACGTAAGACAATGCAAACCTCGCATTTTTATTCTAAACAATTGTCATCCTATCATATTCTACTTTATCCCCAGAGATCCACTGTCAATGCACCCAGATGTATATCCACAACCTGTATTTGGTCCATCTTTAATGATTGCTGGCCGTTCTGCAAAATGGAACGGTTCTACAAACAACAGACTTGGCGAGATTGGAGTTTCTTGTCGAGTACTACTTGAGGCTCAAGTTAACGAACGAGTAATATCAACATTAGACTTGCACAATAATGGTACAGCAGTTGTTTATTATTCCTGGAAGGTTTGTTTTTCACTGCAGTTTGATTACAACAGCAATCAAACTTCAAAGACATCCTTTCTAAAACAAATATTACATCCAATGCTCCATTTCTTTCTCATTTATTGTTCAGCATGTCCCTATGAATAACAACTTGGGAACTAATTTGGCTGGAAAACAACAGAGATTTTATTTTGACAAGAACAGTGGTTAGTCTATAACAATGTTACCAATCATGGTTTCTATGGCTCTCTCTCTAGTACAATATCACCAATCATAGTTTCTATGGCTCTCTCTCTAGTACTATATCACCAATCATAGTTTCTATGGCTCTCTCTCTAGTACTATATCACCAATCATAGTTTCTATGGCTCTCTCTAGTACCATATCACCAATCATAGTTTCTATGGCTCTCTCTAGTACCATATCACCAATCATAGTTTCTATGGCTCTCTCTAGTACCATATCACCAATCATAGTTTCTATGGCTCTCTCTAGTACTATATCACCAATCATAGTTTCTATGGCTCTCTCTAGTACCATATCACCAATCATAGTTTCTATGGCTCTCTCTAGTACTATATCACCAATCATAGTTTCTATGGCTCTCTCTAGTACCATATCACCAATCATAGTTTCTATGGCTCTCTCTAGTACTATATCACCAATCATAGTTTCTATGGCTCTCTCTAGTACCATATCACCAATCATAGTTTCTATGGCTCTCTCTAGTACCATATCACCAATCATAGTTTCTATGGCTCTCTCTAGTACCATATCACCAATCACAGTTCCTATGGCTTTCTCTAGTACTATGTTACCAATCATGGCTTCCATTGAGAGCAATAATTTTCATTTCTACTTCTTTTGCAAGCATCCTGTCGCTCTAACAATTCTCATACATAGAGGTTTTAGATAACGGCAAATATTTCATGTATTGTTCATGATTTTCCTCTGCATGATGTAACTGATCAATCATCTTTCATTATCATCTTTAGGAGTGATTCTTCCTGGTGATAAGTTGAGTTATCCTTTCATCTTTAAATCAACCAATCCAGGAATGTTTTCACAGCAATGGTTCTTGGAAACACAACCAATCCTAAATGGTGGAGCAGCCATCAGCGTTCTTCTCAAGGGACTGGCACTACAGGACGATTTGAACGCGGAGAAAAGAGCAGAAATTGAAAGGATTCTCGGTCGTCGCCAGGCAAAACAGATAGTTGAAAGTATTCTGAAAGAGATCTTGGGAAATATCCGTTCCCCTGAGAGATCAGTGAGTCCAGTCGATGCATATATTACGGTATGGAGCAGTAACGAAACATCGTTATCATTTCATTAAAATGTTGATGATAAGACGAAACAATCTTTGTTGTTATCATTTAGGAAGAGGATATATTCGCACGTAGAAACCAAGAGGTGAAATTTGTAAATTCTCTTTCTATTCAAAGTAATTTCCAGTGTTGGCGTTCAGTATTTTTGGAATCTTTAAGTTAGTAAACTTGTTGTTAACACATTTGAAAATATATCTAAAATATGTTACGGTTTTATCAACTCCTACCCGATAAAATGGTCAGGTTGATTATGATTTTTCATTCTCAGATATCTTATGACGAAGAAACAGTGCAATCATTAAAACTACTTTATAATGAGATCGAGTCAGAAAAAGACTGGGATCTAAATCTTACATCATTACGTCAGGTATTTGTCATTAAGTTGAAAATATCTCTGTACGTTTTCACTGATCTTCACTTTATGTGAATTTATCAAAGTTGATAACGTCAAAGGAGTTTGATGAGAAAGAAACTTTGGATGAATATCTAAGAAGACTAAATGATTACGTCAAGAAATTAGCATTTCCTTCACGTGTTCCTATCAAAGAGGAAATGTACTCCACGTGGTAAGAACGTGTCATTTCAGTATGTAATAGAATATATTCTGTTTTAGAGTGTTTTATATTATTTTCATTACAGTTACTTCATGTTATGTGAAATGATTGATGATCTAGTGATAAAATCAGACATGATGAGGACTTCAATGGGATTACCTATGAAAGATATGGTTGAAGATACTACGGGTACAGTTAATGATGCAAATGAAGAATGTTCAACTGGTTTAAAATAAAATATGGTTAATAAATGTCTCTGTTTCTTACTCGTAGCGAACGACAAAAAATCCAAAAAGAACGATGTTGCTCGTTTAACTGCCGAGAAAAAAGATGGCAGAAAAGACAAGAAAAGCGCTTATGTAAGACAACACACACTCAGTTTATTATAAGTAAACATTAAAACACGTTATCTTTGATGTTCCATCGTACATTCTTAATCTGTTTTATAATTATACCACATAGGATCGTCCAGTCTCGAGAGCACCAGGAGACAAGACAAAATCTTCACGAGGTCAACACATAAACACACAGTTGTGAATCATTCATGGGGAAAACATTATGTCATAAGCATAATCTCTTTATTTCAGGAAGTCCTAACGTTCAAACAAGATTGTTTGATAATGAAACGCCGGAACCAGGCGATGTAAGGGTTTACAAAATGATGATAATTATCATGGTATTATTTTTTACAGCTACATCAACAACAACAACAGCAGCTACAGCATCAACAACGACAACAGCAGCAACAACAACAACAAAGACAACAACAACAACAATAACAACAACAGCGACAACTACAGCAACAACAACAATAATAACAACTACAACTACAGCAACAACAACAATAATAACAACTACAACAACAGCAACAACAACAACAACGACGACAAAAACAGCAACAACGACAACAACGACAACAACAGCAACAACAACAACGACAACAACAATGGCAATAATAACAAGAACGAGAACAACAAAAGAACAATCATTTAATAGACTCAACGTTTTGTCATAGAGTCTCGTGGTTTCAACAACAACAGAAGATACAAACAACGATAAAAAAACAGTGAACTTAGTGCATGAAGAAAAATACAGAGAGAAATATTTCGTCCAGGTATAAATAACAGTAAATTGATCATTTTATATAAGATCATATTCGTCATTATTCTCTCTTCGTTATCTTACGGCATTGCGAAAACAAAAAGCTAATATTACCTATTTTTTTAAAGGCCAAAAGATAGTGATTGAAACGATCAATAAGATCAACGATATGTTTGATGACTTAGGTAAATATAATGATTTGAGAGAAACAAAAAAATGTTAACTGTCCATAGCTACTTATTGCAAAATTTTTCCTCTTTCTTTTCTTTATGAAGTGAGAAATACTACAGCATCGGAAGAAGACTTAAAATGAACATTTTTTATTGATTTAGCAAAAATTTTGTACTCTTTCGGTTTCTGTTAGTAAAAAACGTTACTTTTTACGCATATCTTCATTCATTCAACACATCGCGATAAATAAGACTATTTCTCACACATTATAACAGTAATACTACCCAGATTTTTAAACATTTAAAATATCATCCTAGAAAGCTTCAGAACTTCAAAACTTCACAGGTATAAGTTGTTTTAGGTAGACAGTAATTCTCATAAACTGCTGTCGGAAGCAAAGAATTTTATTCTACATGTGTCGTAAGTCAAAAAAAAAACCAATTTCTTTGCTGCTTTTCCAAATGAAATCGTTCACGAAAAATCATCCATATTTAATACAAGGACATTCAACATGACGCAAGTGAGTACCTGACATGTGATCTCTTCGTAAATCTTTAATACTGGATATCTCCGATTCGGGATATAAAGATTACATGGTAACTCTGGAGAAAAATGTTGACTTTAAACGTCTTGACAAAGTTACATATAATTATGAAACTCCAAGGATTCTGTCGTACCTCACTAATAATTAGCAACAGATGAGTAACTTCCACTTTCTTAAGTATTTTCATTATTTTTTACAACGTCGTTGACATTTTTCGATGCTTCCACATCATTTTTTACCATAACAAGCAAATCCTCATTCTCATTGGTTGATGTCGTTAGGACATCGGAGCTATTCGGATGACGAACAGTGTCAGCATCGTCAATATCATTGGATGTTTCTGTCTCGGTAGTATTCGGTATGACGTCGAGTATGCGATCGGAAGAGATCGGTTGATGTACATTATCATCGTTATTTCCAACTTTAAAAATGACTTTTATATCACTTTGGTCGATAAGAACAGAATTTGATAAATCGGTTGTATCCTCATTGTTCTTCGAACTTTGAAATGAAACTTCGTTCTCACTATGATGAACATGTGATCCCTCATCTACTGCGCGATTGGTGGTAATTTCGTAATGTGTCGTAGACACTTCGTCAGTAGACTTTGACAGTTTGTCGTTTACCGTCGTCGTTTCATCGTCACCTTTCGTACTTGGACGGTTACTTTCATCCAAGGATTTCGTGTCACCACCCATGAACGATACATCGCCAGGAACAGTGTCTATACACAATAATGAAGATAAAAAATGATGTAATACATGAGGTCATAGATTAGAATGCAGGATGACATCATACAGTTATAAGAATGATTCCAAACCATATGTCAGTTATAAAAGCATGTTTTCTACATAAGGTCAATGTGAGATCATGTTTACTTTAATCTAAATGATGTATAGAGATAAGAATTGAAAGACGGAAGAAAGTTATCTTACTAGAAAGATGTTTATCATCGCTAATCCCATTTAAATGTTTCTCTGCATCAGATGACGCTCTTGAACGATCTCGTGTACGTCCAGCATTGAAACTTGCTCGTTTCTTTGATGGCGAGCGAGCAACCTGACTTTTTGTCCCTAAAATGAAGCAAAAACATTCAGTTTCGTCAAAGACCTTGGATCTTAAACACACATTACTCCAGCATACCCACAGGTTAACACCTTAAATACACATTACTCCAGCATACCCACTGATTAACACCTTATATACACACATTACTCCAGCATACCCACTGGTTAACACCTTAAATACACACATTACTCCAGCATACCCACTGGTTAACACCTTAAATACACACATTACTCCAGCATACCCACTGGTTAACACCTTATATACACACATTACTCCAGCATACCCACTGGTTAACACCTTATATACACACATTACTCCAGCATATCCACTGGTTAACACCTTAAATACACACATTACTCCAGCATATCCACTGGTTAACACCTTATATACACACATTACTCCAGCATACCCACTGGTTAACACCTTAAATACACACATTACTCCAGCATACCCACTGGTTAACACCTTAAATACACACATTACTCCAGCATACCCACTGGTTAACACCTCAAATACACACATTACTCTAGCATACCCACTGGTTAACACCTTAAATACACACATTACTCCAGCATACCCACTGGTTAACACCTTAAATACACACATTACTCCAGCATACCCACTGATTAACACCTTAAACACATACACATTTTCCAGCATACCCACCTGAACCCTTAAATACATTGGTCCAGCTGGTTAACACAATACACACCACCCAGCATATCCACTGAAAACAAAATAATAGATTTTAAGCATACCCACTGATTAACACCTTAAATACACACATACCCAACATTTTCCGAAAAACTTTGTCAGCCATGAATTCCTGAAACCGCTTGGCATAGAAACTTGGTCGATGTACAGAAATGGAGTCCTAAACAAGAATGAATCACCCAAGGCATAAGAAACATGAATTAAAAGAAAAGATAGAAATAATAGATTTTAAATAAACGCACTGCATCCTGAACAACTGACTTGAAACCATGTTCCAAACGTTTTTTCAAACTTGATAAAAAAAAACAACAAAACATTGTTCATCTACAAACCATAAAAATTTAAAAGAAGAAACAACAGACCTACCGATAACTTTGTAAAATATCAATAATACCAATGAATAATAATAAACGATCCCCTTTGGAGTTTTGTGCTCGTATAGCGCCATATCTGAATGATGAAGGAAATAATGAGGTCATTACTTAATGGTTTATGTGAATGGATGGCCAGATCCAGACACGACCAATCAGAGCAGAAGGAAATAATGAGGTCATTACTAAATGGTTTATGTGAATGGATGGCCTGATCCAGACACGACCAATCAGAGCAGTGATTTTGCATTAAGTTATAAATGAAAATGATGATTTTAGATCAACTTACGGAATATCATCTCTATGTTGAGGTATTGCCTCCCAATATGCAGCAAAATCATCACGATTACGGGCTGAAGGATTTCGAACGACTGAAGCAAAACCTTTTGTTTGTTCATCTGTACTTTTCTCACTCGCCTTACGATTTTCTATATATCAGTAACATAATCTAATACTTAAAAAAAAATTAACTTATTCAATGTTATATGAAATAATTACAATGAACATACCACCCGGTGTAGTCTTAACCCCTTCCTTTGTTGTTGAAGACTAAAATTGAAAAAATATTCCAGTGAATAAAAAAACTCCAGTTTAAAACATGACACACTAAACTGAAGATATACTTCATTCCTCTCTCTTGCAGCCTCGTCAATATTATGAATAGCAAGCAGTAAACTATAATCCATGATCTTAAAACTTTCCAAAACCTATACAAATTGACAAAAAAATAATATGAATTCTTAAATGAAGTAACAGAAGTATCTAGACGATGACAGTGTTCATAAATAACAAAAACATTTTCAATAATGAAATGTTTCTCATAAGTAGACCTTAAACATGTTACTACATACTATACAATCTCTCTGAATGGTCTTGATTAAAGCATTGTAAGTATCTGCAGTAAGCATAAGTAGACCTTAAATATGTTACTACATACTATACAATCTCTCTGAATGGTCTTGATTAAAGCATTGTAAGTATCTGCAGTAAGCAATATTCCTTCAGGATGATCATTCATGTAATCAAGATCTTTTAAAGTTGGAGAGGATTTAGCTCTCTCAGCCTTGGATGCTCTACGTTTGAATGTTGAGCCCTATGAAAAATATTTCCAAAATAGTCATCAAATGTTTGTTATCTTCTGTAATTAATCATTCAAAATTTACTGAAATACCTTTAAATCATATTTCAAATGTATTTTATAGCCAGAAGGTAGAAGATTGTTCATAAGGACCAGCCTGATATTCTTTCCACTACACTGAAACAAAAAATGCCACCATGTATTTATGAAATGAATTCACAATATAAATGGATAAAACAATGGATATATAGGTATATATGGATAGAACAATGGATAAGATAATATAGGGTGATGTTAGTACGTAGATAAATATGAACAGGAGAAAATAAATTTCTTTAGAAAATGATCAAAATAAAATGGAATTTATTTAGCTCAAAAGCAAAAATGAAAATGACTATATTTATATACGCAAGTAGTAATGTATTTTGGGCAGTAATGATGGATAAAATGATGACAAATTGCATCAGAAGTTTAAAAATCACCTGATAACAATAAAGACCAAAAAACTTAGGCAATAAAGTTCTCTTGTTTTGGTTCAAATTCTGCAATATTCATACGCGTAATAATCAAAAAATATGAACAGTGAAAACATAAACAGCTAGAGAATGTGAATTTTAACATTACCAAATAATATCCGGGCAGTAGTTTTTGTAAAAACTCTGCCTCTTTGTGTTGAACTGTCTTAATAATGAATTGATCATCAACACTGCAATAAAACAATGATCCACTTGCACCAGGATTGGCCAGTTCACGTAGTGGTTCATGAGTTAGGGACATCTATTGATAACATATGTTGTTGATGGATTAGATTAATGGTAATGTCTCATAAGATATTTCACATTGTTTTATTGTTTAGTGAAATTTTAAAAAGACATACTTACAAGAAAATCGTCAGGTGCTATGTGAAATAATTCTCGAAAATATCTAAAGTAATGAGTTCATAAAGTTGACAGTAAATTTAACATTCAACAATTGTTGGTTTATTGATAGAAATAAATTATTCTTTACCTAAATGCAACAGGAGCATAAGCTTTAAATCGAAAGTCACTATAATGATGAGCTGGAGTTTCTTGACCACCATCACTAAAGAAAAGAGTGAGAAAGTTCATTTGCTGATATGAAGCACAAAAACATTTATTCCTTGACTGAATGTAAACCTTGGAAAAAATACACTCTCTATTTCGTAAAAATCACCCATTAGAACATCACGTTCGGCTTTTGAGGTAAGTCGACCAACCTGACATGCAAAAATGAAAGATTAACATCAGATAAATAACAAAAGGATTCATTCCATTTCCTAAAACATCATTATAACTTACTGAAAACTGTATACCAAGCTGAATGGCTGACACTAAAGCTGAAGATGGTTGCTAAAAAAAGTACTTAAATATAACAATGGTTGAAACTTTATGAAATGTTGAAAATAAAAACAAGATGAACAAAACCTTTTTATAAGTAATCTGACCATCTTCATTGATCCTTCTGTGACCAATTTTTGTTTCTTTTTTCTTTGATGATGATGATTCATCTATTTCTCGTTCTTTGGTTCTCTCAAATCCCGAGTCTAACTGATTTAACTGCTTAGCAAACATAATACTGAATAAAATGCATCTTTCAAAAAGAAATTTCTTATTGTATGTGTAGCAAACCTCATTTACTTTGTACTTTCCATCAGAAGGCTTCCCTTTTGCAGTTAAAGAGTATGATGTTTCACCTTTTCCTGTAAAAAATATGAAAATGAAATTAACAAATTACTGCTATTTATAAAATTCAACATTCCACAAAGATATTGCTCATCGTTATATCATCAAATGCGAAGGCATGACAACCATAGCCTCTTAAACTCAACAAAATTTGCTCAGTTTCAAAAATTGGAAAACAGCTGTTAGTTTCCTTGGTCACTGGGTAAAAGTATTAAAAAATTACGAATATTCTTGAAAAATAAAACAAGTGAAATTTATTAAAAAACAAAAATTTACATTTAGCAAAAGAACGCCCACAAGTACAATGCAACAAAGACAATTCTCAACTTACTGAATTTGGTATTGAAAGTATTCAACAAACTCATTACTCGACGGACAATTGAGTTACACGTTCATAGAGATATGTTAACTTTCAAAAAATTACAACTCGCAATAGCACGATAATAAAAGGCGACAATTATTAATATGGCGCAAATCTTAGCATTGAATTTAGAAACTTACATGCTTAACATAATGTATAGCAATAAAACTATTCAAAAATGAGAATACGGAACTTTATATGTGTATAAAATTATTGACCTACCTGGTTCAACCGGTTCGTTCGTACTCATTTTATCGACCGACTTTAAGGAGGAAGAACGCTATTTCTATATTGTTAATATTTACATCGTATACTTAAATGTATAATATAATGATTATTAAAACGATTTTAAAACCAATCGCGTTTAAAATGATAAAGAAATTGCAGTAAATTTGAACAATATCCAACATATTTTTATTAGCAGCAATTGTCTGTTATGATCATCGTCAGGCACTCGGGTTGTTTATCGTTCGATCATTTCCGATGAATTCCGATCAATCTAACGAACGTTTTCTACTTTTGACGCATGTCTTTTAGTTATACGAAGTTGGATAACGCTTCTCTTCTTTACGATAATCAGACCGTAAATTCACTAGAATAAATCTATTTTTGCATATCTGACTAACGCTGGCGACAATAATAAAGCTAAAAAGCAAGCTTAAAGTAATTTCTCAAGCTTTTTCTCGACATGTTAGTACCAAACAATTATGGAACATTCTGTATTTTGGTACAGATGATTTTGCTGTCAGACCATTGGATGTGTTAAAAAGGTGTTAAATTTTGTTGCATATATTAAAACTGTGTTGATTTGTGTGGCATATATTGAATCAGAAGTCATATGAGGTGATGTCAATTAATGCCTATCGCAAAATGTTAATTTCGTTGTAGCCGAATGCTGGACAAAGATCTTATTCGAAATGTTGAAGTGGTTTGCCCTGAAGAAAGACGACGAGAAAAAGTGATTTATTAAAAAGTAGCTTTGTCGTCTTAAAAATGGTGGAATTATCTAGAATAAATCATGGTGAAATGTTTCATTGTTCTAGGATATAAAAAAGCACCAAAACTACAGATTGTGAGAGAATATGCGTTACAAAACAACATAAGAATCCATAAGTGGCCTTTAGACAAAGAAAAGTACGTTTATTGAGATTAAATCAGGCTGGAAAATAACAATTTTTGTGAAATTATCCTCTTTGACTTTAGATTTGATATTTTCTATAAATTTGATCTTGGTATTGTCGTCTCATTTGGTTATTTTATACCAGCAGAGATAATAAATAATTTTCCATGGTAACAATTAACATGTTGTTGAAAATATATATATATATATATATTATAGGTCACGTGATATGGCTCAATGCACGTATCGCGTACCTATTTTAAATCAACTTTGTCTGCCATGAGCCTTCTATGCCTTTGTTTCAGCGGTGCAATAAATGTTCATCCTTCATTACTACCAAGATGGCGAGGTCCGTCTCCCATTGCACATACCATCCTCCAGGGTGACACTGAAACTGGCGTCTCCGTTATCGAACTGTCTCCAAAAAAGTAGCTATTTCTTTTTTAAAAATATAATCCATTAATTTCTAAAAAAAATGTTATGTTTGTGGCCTAAGAGACGTTTTTCTTTGTCTTTAGATTTGACGCTGGAAAAATACTGACTCAGGAGAAGATTCAGGTAAATTTTGTTGAATTGTTGTCATTTGCTTCAACTCTCTCTTGTCTAAAATTACATTTTATCTCGCGTAAATATCATTTCTTGCCGTTCAGATTTCTCCGCACCAAACATACGAAGATTTAAAGGAAGAACTTTCAGAACTCGCTTCGAACACGGTAATAATATTCACTATGGATGAGTTTATAAAGAAAGTGAAGACTATATTTTGAACTTTTGCAGTTGTTGGATGTTTTAATGAATTTAACAGCGCTGCGACGTTCTGCTGTTGCTCAAGATAAAACTAAAGTCACCCAAGGTAAATGGGAAAAAATCATACTACATTTTCACCGTGAAGTGTTACTGCTAAATGATTTCAATTTTTTTGCCGACTAAGCACCAAAATTGTCAAAAACGATCGGCTACATACGATGGAGCGAGCATACTTGTGAAGATATTCTACGGCTTCATAAAGCTATTGGCAACAGAGTTTGTAAAATTATCTTCTTTGTATTTTTTATATTATGAATTGATTTATCGTTTGTGTCACACTTTAGTTTGGTTTAAAATGTAAGTGGAAAGGAAAAATTGTAAAGTTAGAAACATTCACTGGCTGTGAGGATGATAAAGAATTGACAAGTAAGCGCATCCATCAATATCTCCTTCGTTCACCTGATAAGATAATAATATCCTACGATGAAAATGTTAATACTAGTAATAATCTTGTTGTGTACGAATAAAACACAAATACTTGTGCGTTACATAAAACTATGACGTCACGTTAATACTTGACGTCGTCACATCCGAGGTTCATTTCAGGGACGCAAGTCAATGCAGATTTTGGACAATTTTTTTATGATTCCGATAACAATGTTCTTTATATAAAATGCAAGGTACTAGTTGATAACACAAGATTATATCTTCGAGTTTTCTGGGACAATACATGTATATTTTCTCTTCAGGATGGCTGGATTGGTTGCTTGTCGTTACGTCTTGAATATAGAAAATCGATGTCAGCAAAAGAGTTTGTCAATGGTTATGTCGTCCATAAACAAACAGGAGAGATTAACTTCAGTCGTTTTGAAGACATGATTAATGATAGTAATGAATAATCTAGTTGCTGATATCAATAATGTACTTTGATTGAAATTTTTAAAGTCTGATTTTTTTGGTAAATAAATTTTTTTCATAATGCATTTTCGTCTTTATTGTGTCTTCTTTTGTCTTGTTATGAAGATATTTACATTATCATGTGCCTTTCTAATCGTAACTCTGGTGTCAAATAACAAATGTGAACTGTGAACTTTATACTGTGCACAGACAGAACGTGCATTATACAAGTGGGCAAACCTTAGCCTTTCATCATTTTCTACCGGTAAAGATATTAAAGAAACATGAAGAGTGTTGTAGAACTCCTTGCTACCATTTCAATGATGTTGCCAAAACGTCTTCATTGGGAAGAATTTTATGTAAGCGCGTAAAGTTGCATGCAGTGGCGTCTACCGTGTGTATAGTATATTTAATTATACATGGTGCCTACAGGTGTCTTTCTAAATATGGTCGATAACTTTTGTTTCTCTTTTCATCGCCGTCTTCTTTAAGTTCTAGCCTTATTTCATGAAGGACTTCCAATGTTAATCCTTGTAGAAAAATCATTGTCAGCCTGAGGCATGGTACAACCAATTTTCTGCTCTGGTTTATTCATTAATTTTGTGTTAACATAGCCAAAGTTCAAAAGAAGCAAGTTAGGATTATCCATGGATAATGTTACATAAATAATACACAAATATTTTGTTACAAACCTCTCGTGTGCTCTCTCTCAATTATGGATTTCTCGCTCGCTTTAGTTAAGAGTCGTTTATTTCTATTTGTTGTTGGAAAGAAAAGTCAGGATTATGTGCAGAGGTCTCGAAGCTTGGCAGGTAAGAATTCTTTGTTATAATGCGCAGAACCCATCAATTTTAACGCTTTGCGATGTAGTGACTGTTCCTAATTAAAGTTGACGAAATTAAAGTAAAATTCCTTTCATGTCGGTCATTATCTTTGTCACGGTCATTCAAGTAGATGTTTTGTTTGTCTGATATGTTTGCTCACTCATGACTCACTCATGAAGCATTTTCTTTCAGATTGTAACCAATACTGTCTTGTTTATGCTAGCGCTTTGGTTATTGGTTGAAATATTACGTTGGAGTATTTGGTGGTTATTCATGCAAGATGAAAGTACTAAATTATTGTTTCTGAAGAAATGTTCTAAGCATTTACTTAGCTATTTACTGGTTGTGTAGATATTGTTCTGCGATTTAAGAAAACAACTTTCAAAGTTATGAAATTTGTACGATTTTTCAATGGAAAAGTAAGGAAGCCGACCTGTGTAGCATTCCTTGTTGTGACGAACTTTGGTGTTATTGAGATAAGTGTTTTTTTTCTCTAGAGGCAAAACGAGCTTGACGTAAAGAAAAACGAACTGGAAAAGAGCGTGCTTAAGCAGAGAGAAGAAGAAACTTACATGACAAAGGTAAAGATATAAAAAATTTCTTTCATCTACTTAATCATATTTTATTTGTCGTTTTAATATTTTTCTCGGTCTTTATGTTTTGTAGTTACCAAAGTTTGGATCTCCAAAGGTAAAAAGCGTTTCGTTTATCTTTGAAACACATTTCTAGACTGAATATCGATGCTCTTTTCAACCATGACTTGTTATCCTTGTTACAGGAAAAGATCATTTGCTCAATCAACAATTATCGGGAACTCGGTAGGAAATGGTAAAGTACGGGACCTGATTTATTCATTTTAAATTATCTTCAATTTTAAGGTAACTTATCATTGGATACGAGCTCAGGTGTAGTCTACCATGGCGGGAAAGATCTCACTGAAATACAAACTGAGGTCAGCAACATTACCTCATTGGTAAAAAGTTTTTCAACTCTAGATATGAGACTGTGAAAAAGCAAATTTCCATTTTTAGGTGTTCAAGAAATTTGTTTGGTCCAATCCTTTGCATCCTGATATCTTTCCAGGAGGTGTGCTTTGCTTCTTCTACTTTTGAACGAAGATGAATTGATCCTCTCGTGTCTTCTAATGAAGATGTCATCATATTTTCATTTTCTTTAGTTCGCAAAATGGAGGCGGAAATCATCACAATTTGTGTGGATTTGTTTAGAGGAGGAAAAGACGCATGTGGGACGGTAATTCTCGGTCTTTGCAAATGGCCATTAATGTTAACAAATGCCCATGAAAGAAAAGAGTTAAATCATGATTTAGATGACCGCATCTGGCACAAACAGCATTCTCATGGCATGTAAAACGTATCGTGATTGGGCCAGAGATGTTAAAGGAGTAAAAAAACCTGAAATGTAAAAATAAAACGTGATGTTTTAAGTGTTCATACATGATACAATTTTCATAAAACATTAACATTACGTTGTTTTCCTTCAGAGTGATGTCTGTCTCAGGTCATCCAGCGTTTGAGAAGGTTTGATTAAAAATTGCCATCACATTGGTTTCAAAGCATCCGTCATTCATAGATCATGCGATCAGATATTTTTAATCGTATATCTTTGAAGGCTGCGGAATATTTTGTTATGAAGATCATCAAAGTACCTGTTAACGAGAAAAAAAGGACTGTAAACATAAAAGCGATGAAGAAAGCCATAACAAGAAGAACAATAATGGTAAAACAAAATTTAACTCACCTTCTTCTGCAATGAAAATAAAAACGTAATGGATTGTCGCCTTTTAGTTAGTAGGAGCAGCACCTGATTATACTTCTGGGATCGTGGATAATATTGAAGAAATTGCAAAGGTTGGCAAATTCAATCTAATAAAAACACCAACGAAGTTTTTTTCATAACATCTCCAACCATTTTTAAATTATGATTTCGTTTCAGCTTGGCAAACGATACAAGATTGGTGTTCATGTTGATGCATGTTTAGGAGGCTTTCTTTTACCATTTATGAAAACAGCAGGGTATCCATGCATTGACGGACAAGTTGCAAAAAACTATACTATTCTTATCATCTTTACAAATTTTCAGCTATAAGGTTCCATCGTATGATTTTTCAGTCGATGGGGTGACAAGCATATCAGCAGATACGCACAAGGTCGCTACAAGTTTATTTTTTTCAGCCAAAGTCTTCACCACCTTATATTTTATCATCAATATTTTCCTTTCAGTATGGCTATGCTCCACTTGGTTCCTCGATCATCATGTACCACTCTCAATCCCTCAGACACTACCAGTACCACACCAGTACCGAGTGGACCGGTGGTATTTATGCAACGCCAGCAATGCCCGGATCAAGGCCAGGAGTTCATATTGCTCAATGCTGGGCCACTATGATGCATTTGGGAAATTCTGGTAACCACGTTTGCTACTTTTATACAAACTGTGTACATAACTTTGATATCTACCTGTGTTAGCTGTTGATGTAAGGATATAAATATTTTTAGGTTATACAGACGCAGCAAAGCGAATCATTCGCACCACCAAAGTGATAAGTGATGGGTTCGTGATTTTCTGTTCATGTAACAACTGAATTATCGTGTTTTTTTTTTGTGTTTGTTTCACGATATAACGATGTTTGCAGACTACGACAAACAAAGGGTCTTTTCGTTTTTGGAGAGCCAGAAATTTGTGTGGTATCCTTCGGTTCGAAGCAGTTCAATATATTTGCATTGGGAGACGAACTGACGGCAAGAAATTGGAAATTAACTTATTTACAATATCCTACGAGGTTAAACAGAGAGCACCTGTTGATATTAATAATAAATAAAAGTTTCTAACATTCAAGATTCTGTTTTAGTCTACAAATTTGCGTAACTCTACCAATGACGAAGTCAGGTGTTGTTGAAAGATTTTTACGTGATGTTAAAGAGTGTAGCCATAAAGTTCTTAAAAATCCACAAATCAAGACAACTGAAGCGGTAAGCCTATCAACTCACTAAACTCAAGTGAAACGTCCATCGTATGAGTTATTTGAAAATAATTTTAGTTTCAGAGTGCAATATATGGTACGACAGTAAAGATTTCAAACAAAACCATGGTGAAAGAACTGGCCAATCATTATTTGGATATGGTCTTCTCAACGACGACAACTTTGAAACCACCACAGGACAACGGAATTTAGTTGTGCTTTATTGACATCGATTTATTTACAACACAAGCTATATCTGTTACATCAAATGTAAATATCAATATTTAATTATAAACTAGATTTACCACTAAGACAGTAGCGCCATCAGCGCGATGATTGGAGAGAAGGGGGGGAGGGAAATATTCATGAATGAATGCTACAATCGACTGAAAACAATAGATTTCGAAGGAACTTAATACGGCATATCCTGTTTATATGAATATCCGCCCCCCCTTTCCCCCAGTTGAGGTTCTAGCTAAAGCTATGCCACTAAGACCACATACTTCAATTCCGACCATTTCTTGATTATAAAAAAACAAAATCCTCCATGCAAATCGTTTGTCAAACGTTAGCACCAAACATCTATCTATAGTAAACCCACACAATAAGAAGTGTAATCAACAAGCCTACGGTTCCAGCTGTAAGAATCATTTTTTCTCGGCGTGTTTCGTGTAAAATATCTTCTTCGGATGTGCTTCTGGTCACATGACCATTTTCAATCATGGACATACTTGGACTGTAGTCACCTTTACTCGACACCATGACAACTTTACCATTCTTGACATTATTCCCTTGACGTGGAGCAAGTTCATATTCATCTAAAGTTCATAAAATCCTTCATCACAAAGTAGTAAAATCATTTCACATAATACACAGAGTGTCCCAAAAAAATCCAAACAATAGCCGTCATCGAGTGTTAAAATTTCAATACATAAGACGAAGGGCAGATGCACTGCCGTCTGAAATTTTGACAGTTTACAAGTAATTAAATATAGATTAAGGAAATGAGTCTTCAAAATCGCGTGATTTTCTATCCTTCGGGAACGTAAGCAAATTACTGTGTGCAAAAGACAATTGAGATGGAGAAAATAATTTTTTTCATGTGTATTTTTTATATTAACTTCTAACTTCTATTTTTTACAGGGTTTTTTTGGGGGGTGGGGTGGGCTGTGGGGTTTAGTGGGGTGGGGTGGCATCTTGTATACACTAACATTAGGATATAAACATTATGTTTCTGTTTCAGTGTATTGTACTACTCTAAAAAATCTTCACTGAAAAGCATTTATAACCTGGATCAACTTCTTTCTTATTGTGTATCGTTTTCCATGTAAGTCCAGCTAAGTCGTCGAGCTCAATGGCGGGCCTTAGGTAGCTTGCAACAATAATGACGACGAGAGATGTGAAAAAGAGAATAATACCTTGACAAAGAAAGTCAAATGAAGTTCAAAATAAATGTCGAGTATTTTACAATTATTTCCCAATGTCTTACCAAAATACATGAAATTCATCCTGGCAAATAAAGGTCTTAGGTCTTCTTCATGACAAGTTGGTGCTTCATAAACATATTCAGTAATAAATCTTGCTGAGCCGAGTATTATACCATATACAAGACCTAAAATATTCAGGTGCATAATGAGATCAGTGTTAATACAAGATTCACGTCATACAAACAATAACAGATGCATGTATAACCTGCGAGTCCTCCAGCTTCATTTGCACGATGCCACAGTATACCAGCAGCAAATACAGCCATGACGGGAGCACCAATGTACATTTGGATAGTTTGAAGGTATTTGAAAAGACGTCCACCGCCTCCACCTGATGAGAAAAATATATGAAAAAGCAGAAGTACATTGGTGAGAGAAATAGCAATAAAACGATGAGTTAAGATCTCCGTAAGAAAGTAATTTATAGACCTAACAATAAAACGATGAGTAAAGATCTCCGTAAGAAAGTAAGTTATAGAACTAACAATAAAACGATGAGTTAAGATCTCCGTAAGAAAGTAAGTTATAGAACTAACAATAAAACGATGAGTTAAGATCTCCGTAAGAAAGTAAGTTATAGAACTAACAATAAAACGATGAGTAAAGATCTCCGTAAGAAAGTAAGTTATAGAACTAACAATAAAACGATGAGTTAAGATCTCCGTAAGAAAGTAAGTTATAGAACTAACAATAAAACGATGAGTAAAGATCTCCGTAAGAAAGTAAGTTATAGAACTAACAATAAAACGATGAGTTAAGATCTCCGTAAGAAAGTAATTTATAGAACTAACAATAAAACGATGAGTTAAGATCTCCGTAAGAAAGTAAGTTATAGAACTAGCAATAAAACGATGAGTTAAGATCTCCGTAAGAAAGTAAGTTATAGAACTAACAATAAAACGATGAGTGAAGATCTCCGTAAGAAAGTAAGTTATAGAACTAACAATAAAACGATGAGTGAAGATCTCCGTAAGAAAGTAAGTTATAGAACTAACAATAAAACGATGAGTGAAGATCTCCGTAAGAAAGTAATTTATAGAACTAACAATAAAATAATGACTTACGATCTATAAGAGGAAGCCATAAAACACCAAGGACAACAAGAACACCCACAACTATTCTACCAACATTTACTTTTTCTTTTTCACTGGCCTAGGAAGAAATCAACACGCAAAACTATAATTTACACAATAATCACTCACGCACAGCGTTCCTCATCGTCGTCAATCACTAATCACCTGCTTTCTTATGAATTTTGTCCAAATATCAATTGTGAATATGGTACTTGAACTGTTAAATACGGAGGAAAGAGACGACATTACAGCTGCTAACATTACAGACATCATGAGACCAACCATTCCAACAGGAAGAATGTTCATAACCAATCTAAAGTTACATCAAAAGTAAAATCGTAACGTTTATTCATGTTTATATTGCTAAACATTTATAATGAACAATTTAATCTGATATTTTAAAGACTTTTTGTATATTGAAACAATTTGTAAAATCTGTTGTATCATTAAGGATAAGAAGAGATGTAAGAAAAAACATTTTCGGTCAATTTTCAAACTTACTCAGGATATGCTTTATTTGTACATCCCAGCTCATTTTCACATGCTTTATGACAAGACTCAGCACTAGAACAACCAACTGTGTCTGGGTACAAGACACGGGCTATCATTCCAGGCATGACCATAATCCACATAGGAAGTACTTTAAGAAAACCAGCAAGAATGCTGCCTCCTTTAGCATGTACAATATTTCTAGCAGCTAAAGAACGCTGTACAATAACCTAAAAATACAAGAAGATAATCTTCTACATGTCTTGTAATAAATTATCTAGTGCTTCGTATCTTCAGATGAGATTGTTTAAATTTTGAAACTGTGCCATCAAATGCCATCCTAATATGTTGTTTAGTGTATCCATATATCAACTAATGTACTCACTTGATCTGTACACCAATACCATACGCCAATGATGGGCAAAGCAACCCACAGACCAATCCATGGATACTCAGGATCACTCGCAGGACGAAACATATTACCCCAGTATGGAGTCATGCTGAAACAGCCAGTGTCAATTGATTTATTACATGTTGTCATCATTGTCATATTACCCATCGTCATATTACCCATCATCGTCATATTACCCATCGTCATGTTACACATCATCGTCATATTACCCATCGTCATATTACCCATCATCGTAATGTTACCCATCATCTTCATATTGCTATTGTCATTCAGGGTGCCATTTAAAGCTTCGCAAATCGATCCCACAATGTACCTTCACCACCAACTTTCCCAAATGCTGTAAAAATACAAAACAAACCACGTGACGTTCATGACATCAGCAACGTAATCATGTTGCTATAGTTACCTACCCAAACCAGCTAAAATGACACCACCGACCAACATTATAGAACATTGTACAACATCTGTGTATGTTACTGCTTCAAGACCACCTAGAAAATATTAAATGTTTATTTTATAATCCTCGACGGTTAGCGTATGTAAAATTATCCAATAAACGCCGCATCTCTAATAGACATCGCCTACCATATTACAATATTGATAAGACATGGCTGCCTCGTAAATGGACATTTAATGATATGCTTCCCTCCAAACATAGGGATGAGTCACATATAGTTCTAAATATCCTTCATCAATATATTCATGATGGACGTCTAGACTAAATATCCCTCGGCACTATCAAATTAAATAGGTTTGATTTCACATTTTATTCTAAAGAAATTGCGTCAGCTTGCTTCTTGACATTTCCCCATCTGAACCATTTTCAATTTTGGTAAATGGAAAAGGTTGATGTGGAAATGGCAGGATGTTTTCTGCAAGTCGATAAAAACCACGCTACAACGAGGTCACTGCTCGTGATCACGAGAGTATCCGTAGTAAAGACACTTCGCTTTATGCGAGTTGAGACACAAGTAAATCTTTCACTCTCTTGTTCAAAATTATGGGGTTAGTTATTCTAAGCATTAGCTCCTTCCAGCTCCACAATGTATGTCGTTGATTGAGAGAAGAAACTCGTCTTTACCTCGTGTCGTCAATTTCCTTGACACTGTTTTACCTTGGGCTGCACCTTTGGAGTTCTATAAAATCTTCCTCGGTTTGTTGATATTTAAATACCAATATCACAGAATGTTGTGTTGACTTATAACATCAAAAGAGTGGTTTGTCACATCAAAGTGATGTTAATTCTAGAACGCCTCTCTCTCTCTGTTAAACGCCTCGCAGTAATATCTATTTACCACCCACCACTTAAAAAGGCTTTAATTTATAGTAAATGCCTCGGGGTTTATTAGATCATTTACGTTGATTTCTAAACATGTTATATTGAACAGGTTTGCACCATATAGTCAAGTCTTTAGAAGAAACTATACCTAAGATGACGTATAATGCTGTGATCAAAAGAACCAATATTGAAGAGATGTAGATACTCATTCCTGTAGCTTCTTTGAAATACAAACTTCCGGCATATAAATCAACCTGAAAAAGGAAGACTCTCAAACATTGGTAGACAGACAAAATGAAGAAATCGCAGTTCACTTACCGATATCTTTGTGAAGATGTAACTCACGAGAGAAGTGAATGTTAAAATTCCACGGAGTGTTGGACTTTTGTAACGTTTTTCTAAATACTCCGGCATTGTGAAGATCTAAATTATACATAATGAAGTGAATGTTAAAATCCCACGGAGTGTTGGACTTTTGTAACGTTTTTCTAAATATTCCGGCATTGTGAAGATCTAAATTATACATAATGAAGTGAATGTTAAAATCCCACGGAGTGTTGGACTTTGTAACGTTTTTCTAAATACTCCGGCATTGTGAAGATTTAAATTATACATAATGACTTTCATATTATATAACATTTATGCAAATTTGATCGCGACCTATCCTTACTTACCCCTCCTTTTAAATATACTGGAACAAAAACTTAACCCAAAAGATCGCGACCTATCCTTACTTACCCCTCCTTTTAAATATACTGGAACAAAAACGTAACCCAAAAGTAACAGGATCCACGATGCCTTGAAAGGAAAAATAAAAAAAATCGTCTTAGCCTGATTAAGTTTTGATATCTGACAGAAAGGAACCATGCAGCAGATAAGACGTATATTTTTCATACAAAAATTCACCTGCCATTCATACGATACAACAGCAATTCCCGTAGCTGCTGCATCACCTGATATTCCAATAAAATGTGCTCCACCCATGTTACTGGCAAACAATGATCCACCAACCATCCACCATGTCAAAGAACGACCGGCCAGAAAGTAACTTTCGGCTGTCGTGTCACTTTTACTTTTACGGAACTTCGCCTTGTTTTTCATAGAAATATCAATTGTTAATAAGATTTCATTGTTTTACTAAATAAATATCTCTGTGTGTGCGCTTATTCCAGTACTTACAAATAATCCAACACCAACAGTAAACAAAAAATAGAAAACGATGATAAACCAGTCGGCCCAATGAAGATTATTCTCAACCTTTCCGATAACCATGATTATCAATTTCTATCAATGAAGGATGTCTGTTTCTGGAAAGACAGAAAGACAGCTTTTCTATTGAAAGTACTAAATCGACGACCAAAGATCACAGCCAAGTAGTGTGTATTTTTTAGTACCGTCGTATGAAATTATCCAGTAATTATCACTAGGAAATTTATTTGTTTATATCCGTCTGTTTTACATGTTATATAATACGAAAGGTATTTCAGAATTGCATTAATCGCCAACGTAAAAGGAAATACTTTGACACACCTATACTTATTGGAAAAATGTTATTGAAACTTATGAAAAAAAAAGTATAATGTGAACTAAAATACACATTTTAACATCATATGGTTTTTAACAAAAGATGAACAAAGAAAGAAAAAAGCAACAGTGCAATTATAGAATAATGTTCTATCTTTATCCGTTTATGTAAATGTTATAATAGATCTCGTGAGAAGAAAATCTATGTGAGAAATAAACCGCGCTGTTATGCATAAATTTGTCATAAAACTTGAACATTCATTTCAGCTTCCGACAGTTGGAGGGAAACATAAACGATGGTCATTTAAGGATGTGTTGCGAATGAATTCCTGAGTATTTAACGTGTCCAACGAGCAAATGATAACTGGATTTCTCTCATGACCTCCATGGTTTCAATAGTGACCACGTCATCGCTGTTATTATGACATAACGTTAGGGTAGCATTCACAAGAAGTTTACTTTCAGTTTAAAAGTGAAAGAAATGAATGTGCAAGCAAGATGTGTAAAAAGATACCAAATTTAGAGTGAAGTCTTCACAAAAAGATCTTTCAAGGATGATGATATTGAGACACCCAAGTGACCTGAACATTCAGTAAAACTAACGTGAAATTCTGTTATTGGTATTTTGAAGAACATTTATCGTGTGTAGTTAAATACACAGCAAGACTTGTGGCTTATGTTTCTTACAGAAAGCAAACATCTTTTCATTAAATCATAGAAACATCTTTAATAAAAATCATAAACAGTTTGATATTTCATGATATTGTACTTTGATCAATGAAGTATTGTAACGCAAGTAACTTATTGCTCAATAAGGAAGCTGCAATTTTCTTTCAGATGGTGTTAAGCAGATTCACTACACTGATGTCACCACACAGTTCCACACTTCAATTAAAAAAAACATCTCACTAGTACTGCTGAACACTATAACTATATGAAAAGGAAAATAACAGCCATTACAAACTTTAAAATCAACCGTGATCTTGCGTTTAATACAAAACGTGCGGTCAAGAAGCATAACGTCAATTTTCATTAGAGCAAATCGTTGGTTCAGTATTCAGAGAAACATGCAACAGGGAAAGCTATGTTGCATAGCATGGCTTTTATAAATCAAAAAGCGGTCAAGTGTTAAGAGTTGATTTTCAGAAATTTACACAACTGCAAAATATTCTGGAATATATTATTAAGAAAAAACCGCAAATGTTTTCAAATGTTTACAGCTAAGAAATCCAAATATACGTGTCACAAATGTACAAACACATCAAAACAGACTTGTTCATTTTAAACTACTAATTCCGATCTTTAATTGAATGCAAAAGCAGTCGAAAAGTCATTTCCTTTATGGTAATCGTTTATATGAACCATATGAGCATACTTCACTCCTTCTTTGATTAATACATTAGTTTTTAAAGACAGTCTTGCCGTAAATGAGAACATATTTATGCGTGTGGCGTTGGCGTTTATCGAGCAATTACAATGGCGTTGGTATTTCAAGCAAATCAACACGGCAAAAGGTATTAAAGTGTTCATGATGAACATTACAGATAACTTAGATTTAAGGTAAACCGGAAACAAGTTAAAAGTGATACCTTGCATCAAAAAAAGGGCTGTAATTTTGTAAACAGGAACGCTTTCATAAAAATTTTTTTAATTACATAAGATATCACGCAATGCAATATCGAGTCTGTTCTAACAAGTTTTACTAAATTTGAGCTCGAAATCTCTTAAAAAATACTAAGGAAATAACAGGATAAAGGTGCTTAGAGTGTTGGTATTCTTACCGGCGAAAAAACTCGTAATTTGATCCAAAGAAACCGTCAATTCTTGTTGCGTAGTACAGCGTTCTCAGCAGCAGTGTAGACATCTGCCTCAGTACAACGGTGGATGTGGAAGGGTTGTGTACGGGGGCGTGTTTTTGACGTGGCAACAATGTATGCGTGGCACAAACACTTTGAAATATAAGTTTGGTCGCTAGGCTAATGGTATAGATACTGCTGTGCCGTTCATTGTTCTTGACGGATAATTTGATAAATGAAACAAAGCAAAGAAGAATCTGGCAGCTTTTAATTATAAGGTAATTTTGATGTGCTAAATTTGGCCATTTAATACTACTAGTACAATGATGTACGTTGCAGTACGTAAATGATACGTTATGATCATTTTAGTACATAATCGCGGTCTTTGGTGTTTCCATATAATTATCATAATTATCATGATAAATATCCAAGATGGCGTCTTGTTAGAAAATGATATAAATTGTTGACTTTTCTATAGAAAAGAAAATTTGTAAAGCTAAAATGAGTTATGAATTGTATCGTAATACGACTTTGGGGAATAGTTTACAGGAAAGCTTAGATGAATTAATACAGGTGAAAACTTATAACATTAACAAGAATCAGAAAATCGCGTGGAATAAAAACGAAACAGAAAGACGTGACAAACAATGTTGAATAATGCATTTTTACATTATATTTCTAGTCACAGCAAATAAATCCTCAACTTGCTCTGCAAGTGTTGCAACAGTTCGACAAAGCCATAAATCATGCACTTTCGTCACAAAAAAGTCGAGCCTCTTTTAAGGTAAAATGTTACAAAACCTTCTATTCTCATCAACACAATTATCATTTCACCCATAAATGAAATTTTTCCTCTTCAGGGACATTTAAAGGTTTATCGCTTTTGTGATAATGTTTGGACATTTGTCTTAAACAAAGTTGAATTTAAGGATCTGCCAGAAACAGTACAGGTTGATAAAGTTAAAGTGGTTGCTTGTGATGGAAGGGGTAATTTGTTATTTGTTAATCAAGATTTAAATCTTTCTCAATTCTCAATGTTATACAGTCAAAATACTTCTTCAGTTCATGCATTTACTAACATATATTTTATATTTTAGGTTCACCAGAAACACAATCCTAAATCATATTCCCTCAAGCGATGTAGCATTCCTCTATTGTAGAAATTTAACATAGTCTTAAAATTAACCTTGTACATCTTTCATAGAAGAAATAGTAAAAACGGCATTGCTTTTTGTTCATTTTAACTTTCAAGACCGCATAAATTTAGTTGTTTTGGTTTTTTTACTTGTGTAACTGCCTTCATGTTTATGACCTTCACATTTTGCCGATGAGATAATTGTCAAATCTTCTTAATCATCATCTTCTTCTTCCTCTTCATCCACTCCAGATTGTTGATTTGAGATTAATGTATTGCTGAAAGAATAGCATTTAAAGCTACTATGAAATAATGTTTACAATTTGTTTTCTTCAATACTGAACTAAACTGAATGATGAGGAAATTAATGTTGAATTAAAATGTCATCTACTGTTTGAATGTTACAAATTAATCAAGTTAGTTCAAATGTTGCTGTTTTCCACCATTTTGTGACATTGTTTGATGGTGCATGATTAAAATCTTTTAATGCAAACCTGGATGTTAAATCAACTAAGGGTATAATATTGATGTCTTGTTCTGTTTCATTCATATTCCTGTTGTTATTCTACACGAAAATAAAAAAAACAATTTCTTAACTGCATAAATCATTCATTTCTTCTCATCATCTCATGACTTTTTCATTAATGAAATCATTTTGCTAGACTAAGTTCAATTAAACTCTATACAATTTATAACTATGTAGATAGAAATGTTGGTTTACTTTAAAATATGATCCAGTGGAGCTTGACACTTGTTTGAAATTGCTTGATTCTCCTGTGGAAAGATACTTAACTAAGGCTAATTCCTCAACCTAGAAAATTGATAAAAACGACTATGAAGTAACACACTGACCTTGCTTATTTTGTTCAGTCACAGGTCAAGTTAACCCACATTTTTTATTGAACTTGATTCAACTAATGAAGATTACTCTAACTTACTAGTTATTACAACTAATTTATATTCTCAAAAACTATTAAAAGGACAACACGAAGGTAAAACATTCTCTGGCGTCTTGATTGTCATTATTCAACCTTCGCTTGATTTAAAACATTTTAAACAAAAACACCTTCAATCTTTGCAACTGATCCACTAGTTTATTCTTAATGTTTTTAAGCAGAGCTTCCTCTCGCTTTAATTCCTCTCTCATCTGCGTTAAAGTTCTACTGTTTGTCATTTTCTAACAAAATACATTAAAGTCGTGAACTTTGGTCGACTATTGATGAGTATTGAGGATGAAGAAGGAAATATTTGAACAGCATGTAGTACTTGTGGATATTGCTTGTTTTTATTGGAGTATGTGTTGTTGTCATGGGATTATAAGTTGTTTGTAGTACAGTTAGGAGCAAAACGAATGGCAAGGAAGACAAAGGATCATTAAAGGAGCAACTGAGAGTAAACTTGGTATTAAATGTACAACACGGGCAAATGCTTGATAAATTGGTGTAGGTTGGAGCAACAGTGAATCATACATTGGAATTTCTTGGTAATTTATTAATTGGTGACAAATATTTCAAATACCGTTATAATCTGACTTCATCATCAACATCTGTCCATTAAACTTTCGTTTACTTTTGAGATTATTCACAGTGGTTGTTTAAAGAGTTCAAACTTTGGATTTTTACTCATGCGTACGTTTTACTAATTGTTTGTGGCTGTATTTTACCGAAGAATGTGGAAATTTGATGAGAATTCTTTCACTGGTCGCCCAGAATTTTCTAAAGATTGTTTATCTGTGACATCGCGAAGATTTGATGTTGAAAGTGTTGTTGGAACACAGGATTTTTTATCAGGGAAGCACTCTTGGGCTATTAGAATAAAAAGTTTGGCAGAGGACTTGCCATCGGTGTTACATCAAAGAAAGAGCACTTACGTAAGCTTGGTTGGAAAAATGGTAACAAATGGGTATGGACTTCGGGAGGAACCAAGTATTCACCACAACTTATGGTAAGCGCGTCACCTTTAGGATGGTGGGAAGAAGGAGATGTAATAAAGTGTGAATTGGATTGTGATAATCAGAAGTTGACTTTAAAGAATAGTCGTACAGAGAAATCAGATACTCTATCTGGATTTGAAGATCCTGTACAACCTTACTTTGATCTCTTCCTTGATGTTAATATTGAATTAATTGAAGTTGATGGAGAGAAAGTTACACGATGATCATGTGAAAAGGAATGCTATGCATCGGCAAATAAATTGTGTATATTTCTGAGTATAGATATCAATGGCTGTTTAGTGTAACTTGAACATAATTAGTTGTAAAAAAATTCATTATGGTTATCTTGATTAAGATAATTATAATTCCAGCAAGGACTTTCATTACAGTTATTGTGTATAGTTGACTTTAAAGTAGGTAGTTGTTGTTTGTATTTATGATTGGCCCATGCTCCTGTAAAGATTGTGTATTTTTGAATATAATGAAAGTTGAGTTTGATGAATTTGAAGAAAATGAATTTTTTGAGAAATATTAATTTTTATTATAATTAAATTTTTTCTAATAACGGGTTGTTCCAATTAAATTTTTCTATTTACGGGTTATTCTAATTAAATTTTTCTATTTACGGGTTGTTCTAATTAAATTTTTCTAATTATGGGTTATTCTAATTAAAGTTTTCTAATTACGGGTTATTCTAATTAAAGTTTTCTAATTACGGGTTATTCTAATTAAATTTTTCTATTTACGGGCTAATCTAATTAAAATTTTCTAATTACTGATTAAAATCAACTGGAAATTGCCACAATTTATATATCAGGTTTGACAGATAAATAAACATGCCCGTAAATTACAGGCCACAACCATTGGATTTCCCCAGCTCCTCAGTTTCAAAGTTGCAAACAACATTGAGCATACGCTGATAGAATCTGATAAAACTTTAATTTCCTATAGGCCACGTCTACACCAGCCTGGGTTGGTGTGTCAACCCAGGTCAATTCTTCCACTAATAAATTCTTATTATTAACGTTTACACGATAGCCACGTCAATTTACCATCCCTGGGCACCCTTCTCAACACCCGAGTTGACCCATCTTAGCAAGAAGTAAGAGGATTGAATTTAGCTCATTTCTTCATTTAAACCTGGGTTGGCTTGTCTTTGGGCCCCTTTTCATGGACGCGAGGTAACAACTTGCTTCGTGTTATGTGTTAACCCGGCACAGAATTTGCTAGCGTTAGTTGCTTGCGCTCACATGAGCACGCGATAATTTTGGCAAGGGCATTCAAATATATGGCGGGAAACAGAAAAATTTTTAAATTTAGACTTTTCTGCTGCCCTCTCCAACTACTTTGTTTGTCCATGCAGCCATGCTAAAACTTTTGGCTAGAAATCACACAAATGTCTACATTTACCATCTCAACATTACATAAAGTGTTGCAATGATTGTGTTGGATTTGGAAGAAGTAAACTTGAATAGGTAGCACTTAAAGCTTAGCATAATATTGTCATGATGTCCTATCCATTTCCTGTATTCTGCTTGCAAACTTCTCGCATTATACACTCTCAAAGCATGGTTGTAGTTTCTTAATTCAGGTGCTTAACTCAAAGTCAAAAATTGATTACAGTCAAAATACAAACATAGTTTAAATAACAAAAATAAATAAGAAAAGAAGGAGAACGAGTTACTTGTCCCGAAGACAATTGTGCACATGTGAACACAACTATAGTTTATAAGTAAAGAAGGGACAATTTCTGTCCCGGGCTAACCAAGTGACCCGGGACAAGTTGTTGTCTCTCGGGCCTATGAAAACAGGCCCTTTGGCTTTATTTTCAAGCTAGCCCGGGTTCGTGAAAACATAATCACTTATTGCAATCTAACCCGGGTTAAATTTCAACCCGGGTTTGTGTAAACGGGACCATAGAAGACTCAAAATATGCAAAATAAGTACGATGTGTTCCGCAAACTATGTTAATACACGAGCTGGAGTATTCATAACTCGTGCGTGCTATCTGTTCTAGGCAAAACTTACAATTCTGAATTTATGATGTCAATTTCTCGTCTTTTTGTTAGGGAGGCTAGGAACAAAAATGGAAAAACTGGGATTTTTTAGGAATCTTGGGGTATTTTGGGTACTTCTACAAGGTTAAAGTTGGCAACGCAGATGCTGGAGTACGAAACAATGCTGGCTTTCAGTCTGGACTGAAGTGGATTAAAATTCTAACGTCAATGCAAGCAAAAATCCGCTTACACTGGTGCCTGAAATGTTTCGATTGATGTTTTAGAACATAAAATCCTCGATATCTTATTTATTTTAAAAATACATCTCTTCTTTTCTTTGTGAACTACGTTGAAATTACTTCAACATTGTAATCAAAAGCTATATAACATTTAGAGTATATTATATGTATGACAGGAGGTATTTTGTTACAAATGCCATACAATGTAGCAGCTGTCCGTCCATCCGTGACTTTATGCTATCTAAGCTTACCATGTTTGTAAAAGACAGCTTGCTACGTTGAGGGCGAGCCATCAAATGACAGCGTTTAACGTCCTTATCACTACGAGTTTAGATTTTCAAGTAATAAGCTAGAAATTATTTTTTACATATTTTGTATTATATATTATACTGTAGCATTGGGTAGTATAAACATATTCAATATATATAGTTTTTTTCAATTTAATTTTTAAGTTTCTGCCATATAGAGTATTGTAATATAAACAAAGAGATTGGAATTCGTGCTGGAAATATAGCTTCGATGGAGGGGAATTTTCAGAAACAAATTAGTGTATATTGGATTGGAAGAGATTTTTTTCGACCACATAGAGTGCTCCATGTTTAAATCATTTAATATCATTTGCAATTCGGCTAATGACGTTAGATGCAAACGGCGGTTAAATAAATAGATTTAACTAAATTGGATGATTATCTTCATTTAACGATAATTTGGCTTCGAAAGCGTTCTACACCCATTGGCTCAAAGAAAATATCATTGACACGAAAAAAATAATTACTTTTTTACTTTTAATAATTGTGTAATGAAAAAATGTGACGGTCTTGCACCCTAATAATAGAAAGTAATGTTCTGAAGTAAAATATCAAAGTCAATGTTACAGTGTTCGTAAAAAATAATTTTGACCTTTGACAGCGGTCTTTTGCCTTCATCGATCAGTGAAGTAGTTTTGTATGTAGTCATAATTATGTACAAACTGCCACAGCAGAACATATGAAGACAATTATTATATAGTGTTTTATGTTGAAAAGATTAAACGATGAAGATAAATACTCAACTAACCGAATCAAATGAAAAAATGACAAGCTTTGCAAACTTTGCTTCCTTTTTGTAAAGCTATTTGTAAATCATTTTTTTAAATTCAGAGAACAATGGAAGAAAAGTTTTTGTAGCCTCCAGGAAAACTCAAATTACTCAACTCATTAATATAAATTGATCATCTACTTAACATATTTTGTATGTGAAAATATACTAACTACTATCAATTATTTGATTATAATTGAACAAAGATAGCGTTATTTATTAATTATTCAGAGTAAACGGATTTAGGAAAGAAACAAGATTTATTTATAATTGCCATATCGCGTGAATTCAGAGGATTGTAGAAACATTTGTCTTGGTGGGTGACCAATTTTGACCGTCTGCCCTCCAGTTTTAGTTGGTATACTAAAACACGATATTGATATAATATAAAACAAATTCCGAAGAAGCAAGACATCTTGAGATTGCAAAATATGAATCAAAACAAGACGAGAAGTAAAACTGTAAATTTTCGACTTTATTTCAAAGTCATCCTCAGACAGAATGATGAAATAAAGTCGAAAATTTACAGTTTACTTCTCGTCTTGTTTTGATTCATATTTTGCAATCTCAAGATATCTTCCTTCTTCGGAATTTGTTTTATATTATACTTCTTTAAATTGTCGGCTGGTCATTGTTTTTACACGATATTAATGTTTTGGCAAACTGCTAACTCCTAGTGCTAAATAAACGAACTTTTTAATGAAACTGCAAACGAACGAAACTATTTATCGAATCTAAGTTAAAATGTATTGTGCCTACTTTTGGTACGTAAAATCATTAATTTTGAAATAAAGATTTTTCTTTCTAGCAACAAAAGACAACAGAAGTTCAGCATACCGAAAACGCTTATAAAATTAGAAAAATAGAATAAAAATTGGACGCAAAACCTCAATATATCCGCTTCTCGGACTTTGGTCTAACCAAAAGTGAACAAACTACCCCACCCCCCTGTGCCGAAGCCGTTCTTATAACTTTATTGGTTTCCGTTCAAATGTTTTTGCCAACTTGTTTTACACGAGAAAATTTCCGGGGGTAGTTTTGAACAAAGCCTCATTTCCGTTAAGTCGGTAGATTGTGAGCGCAACTCATGATAAAATCATGTTTTCATAAAGGTTTAATGACATGAAGTAATTCTAAGCCGTTTAGGTAATCCCAAAGCTTTGTATTTTGTTTTATTATAGATTTTTCACAGCATGTAACTACTTTATAAGGTTGTTGCGCTCCGCCATGATTACGCATGAGGCTCTTGAATACTCTCAGTAGGAATTAGAGCTCTTTCATTGGTCAATATCTTCATGTGCTAGAAATACACGTCTCTGATTGGATGAGCGGGACTCGAGTTTACATGTCTTCATAAGATCTGTCAACACTCCAAATCAACATTTAGGAATGGCAGTGAACCGAATTTCTTTAGTCAAACTCGACGCTTCGTTCATGATTAAGTGTACGTATTTTGTGATGTTTTGAGGTTTTGTTTATGACAACAATGCTATGGCAAAGTTTTACAAAGCTCTGCTTCATATTAGTGGCGTTATTTACCATGATTGAAGGTAAGAGTAAATTCTATCATGTTCTATAGATATGGACGCAAAGTTCATCATTTCAATGGAGTATTATTGATCTAACAATTTGCCGTTTCATTAGTAAGATTCCAGAGTATGAAAATTTATTTACTATACGGTGGAATATGCACAAGTGCTTCCTACAAAATGTATTAGCTTGTATGTTTCACTCGAAGGGCCATAGTATTCAGTTTGTATCCTTTGAATTTGTATCAATATACTCAAAACCGCGATGTATTTTTTAACACATTGACTCAAAATTTGTTCTTCACGCAATGTTTAAATGACATGTCATTTTGGTTATAAAATTAGTTTGAAGTCAAGCACGATTTGTCTTGACGAAATAACGTCGGAACCTCGATGACCTTTCTGGCTTTGTCATTTAGAGATGAATGTTGGCAAGTGTATTGTATGTTTACATTGTAAAACATGCTCTGTTAAGTTGATGAAATGCTATATAATGTATGGTCTAAAGTCCTCAAATATTCCCAGCTCATTTTGATATACTCTCGCTCTGTACTACGCGTCTTGCTTCGAAAAGATCGTATTCAATTACCTATAGCGTGATATCGGTATTCAACAATTTCGCGGTAACAAAAAACGTGACATTTTTGCTTCAATTGTCATGTCATGTAATGGTTTTTAACATGATCAATTCAGCGTGTTGCTACAATAAAACGTGTATTTTGTGTTTTGCACGACCGTAAGTGGATGTTATGTCAATTCGTAGAAGAAAACGCTGATTCTTTTGGTAGCGAGGTTTAGTCGCATAGTAAATAGAAAATTTGTCCCAACGGCTCGGCGTGTTTTGCTGATGAAACGATTTTAAGTGATTCGATCGAAAATACATTTTACGGCAAAACGCAACTTTAAAGTTCGGAATTTTAGTCGAACTCGTAAGTTTTGTTTATATATATACATTTGTATATACATGCATGTAGCCATGTAGCCATCAACAATAATTTTAACCACGCGTTGTTGAAATTATTTTAATAAATTGTTTTAGGCGATCGTACAAAAGATGATAATATTCCATGGTTTGAGAAAGAACCACCGACTTGGATATATCTATCCAACAACGAATCCTTTTTTGTGCCTTGCGAAGCCAAGGGTTTGCAACCCTTGAAATTATATTGGAGAAACGAAAGTGTTTTAAATTTCAACGTGAAAATAAACGCAACTAGGAATGGTCTGTGGTTTGTTGATGGCGTACAGCATTTGCAAGGAACTTGGTTTCGTTGTATGGCCAGAAATTCTGCTGGTGTTGTTCTGGGAAAGAGGTTTACATTTAAACGGCGATGTAAGTATTTTAATTTGATATTGTATTTTACATTTTATATTCAGTATTACGAGCAATACTCACTACGGCAGGGGATGAATATTTCGTAACACACTCAAAATATTGATCTTGTTCATGCAATTTTGCCAAAGTCCATCAATCTGTGCATTTAGGAAAAATTAGTTGAATTTGTAAAATACACGCAGTTCTGTTTGAAAAATGTTTGACAAAATCAAGCCTGGCTATTTTATTGTTTGCAAATACAAAGTTTAATTGATACTTGTTTTTCCAATCAATATTTTTACAAACACTGCACATGTTACAAAACGTGTCACAAAATCAGTAGTAGCGCAAAATTATAGCATGTTTTTCAGGGAGCTGTAAAATATCCTGTGATGTTTGTTGATTTTGCCCATCATATACTTAGATTACAAACATGTTCGTTCAAAATATTTTTGTAATTCCTATCCTATCTTGTTATAATGACAACATAACTAACCATTTCTTTTTTATATAAATGGTCGATCTCCCTTACCCGTTTATTGAAATGGATGACAAAATGGAAATACTTTTGTTTCCTGTCGGCGTGATGTTTCATTAGACCTTTCTAGATAACTAAACGTTTTTTCATTTCTAAACCCAACATTAATGAAAAAATGAAATCATTAAAATCATTATGAAGTTATTGTGTATGAAATGAAGAGTAATATTCATCGAAATTTTCAAATGAAATTGAGAAATCGTGTTTCAGATAATATATATCTGGTATTTGTCTCGTAATGACACTTGAAATTATTCCAAGGCAGCTAGTAATCCTGCCCTTATTTTATCGGATTATACAATATCTCAGACAATTTTTGTGTGGAAGAAAAACACAAGTCCATGATTTATACACCAACCAACATTTATACAAGCATATCGATCGATAAAGCTTTAAATATATCCGTTTTTCTTGCGCGACATTTTGTTCTTGTAAACGGTTTTCGCCATCTTCCGGCAATGTAATATTTTCGTTTTAATCTTTAATCATCCCACACGAAGCATTCCGTTTGATGGAATTTTTTTCTTGATATTTATAATTACTACAAATTGCATCGTGTTTTTGGCCCTGGCGACCTCTGACGATGGTTAGCGAAATGATGAAGCTCGCGTGACAACAGAATGTTTCATTTATAAAAGTAACAGTTCAATTCCCCAGAAATTGTCACAATTTATCCATCTCCCACGAGTTGTCAACAATTGTTACAATATTTCTCACGATAGAAACTTTCCCACATCGGTGTTTTGAAAATTGCCACGTTCAATATTGGCAACGCTAAAGTGACCACTACAATGGCGTTATGTTATAGTGTTATTGCTAATGGTTTAAGCTAATAGTATATTATCGATTTTACAAATTGAATACGTAGGCCTAGATCTGCTTGAGAAAATTCATAATTTAGCATCTTGCGAAAATAAAGCTAAATGATTGTCTGCAATACAACTTGGCATGTTTGTGAACGTATTTTTAATATCACAGCGAAAGCATATTTTTTGCGGGGTTTATTCCTTGTATCAGTATTTTGCGGTTATTTTTTTTTCACTTTACAAACCACATTTTGTGTAAATTATCAGTACAGTTTGTGTCATTAATAAAGCTAGTGATTACTTGCCTACAAAAACACAAAATAATAAATATTACAGTTATTTATGCCGAAAGTAAAAGGAAAATCTATTATCATGATTTATTGGTAATTATTGTCGTTCAGCCTCTGACGGTTTACGGACTCTTTGCTTTGAAATACGATTTGCACCTAAATGTTCCGGCGATTTGCCAATAACAATAAGTTTTAAGGTGCGACGTCAGAAAAATAGCCATTTAGTCAGCGCTACACCGCTTTCGCAAGTGAATTGCCATTACTTTTCAATGTATTTTGTGATGGCTTGATTTCAGTTAGAGAATTGTATAATGATTGTTTCCGAACATTTTTTTCTCTAAATCTAAGAGAATTTAACTATATACTATACGTGCTTTTGAAGTCTTAGCTACATCATGAGAATCAAGCATTTACAGTAGTTCTTTCTCTGCAAAACACAAGAGTTTAGTCATGTATTTATTATGTCTGTAAATTTGGAAATATATAATTAGGATAAAAATCATCCTTTATTTTCATATCAGGAAGACAAACAGCGAACAAAAGATCTTATTAGATTAGCCAGCGTATATTCATGACAAACAAGATCTAATTATATTATATCCTGACATTAGATAAGGATTAGATTACATGTATGTGTATAAATTTGCAGAGCAAGTTTTTTTTTTCATATTGTCATCGCCAATTTATCATTTTGTAATATTAAGGTGTACACAATGCTACGTAAAAAATTTGATGGAAATCTTTTCAAACAAAACATCCACATACTGTGATAATGATTGCTTTTCGTAAATTCATGTAAATTTTAACCAAAATCTTATTTATTCGCCTTGCGCTTACTTCGAATAAACTTGTCGAGTCAATTTAAAAAAAAATGGTGATGGCGGCAGAGAAGAGGTTGGATTTGTCCTGCTGAAAAATTGCAAAATGTGCTGCTGTGTGCTGTATAACTTTCAAAACATTGTAATTTTTTACAAGCAGTTTTTTTACGCCGGGTGAGGTCCAACATTGTTTTGTTATAATTATAATAACATTGAATATTGTTTAAGCGGGGTTTGGTAAGCATAGGTGATATTATTCTTTTTCCATGACAAACTATTTTTTCAATAAGGTATTTGAAATAGAAGTTTAAAATGTTTTCTTTTTAAACAAGTGTGTGGACACAATGTTTGTAAAAACGTCACACAAACATACACACAGTGACATGTAAGATCTGTATGTTTGACCTTAATATTTAGGGGTTTGTTTTTAAACATGCCATTCATTCATCATTAAATGATCGATTACATTTTAAACGTTTATAAGGTGTGTGCTTGGACGACGGTTAGTTTTTTGTAGATATTTTGGTTTCAGTTTAGTAGGGCGATGTTTATAATGAATGTAATCTTTTTTCTTCCTTTTGCGTGTACATGCATGCAATATTTTTAAAGCATGAAAGAATGGAGTTATAATTAAAACGATAAGACTAACTATAATGTTGTTGACTATCTTGTTAAAAGCGGTTTTTTACGATCGTATTAATTTGTCAGTTCTCTCTGTTTTCAACATATTGTTTCAATTATTTTTATATTTAATATACTTCAACCAAAATCTCCGGCTGTAAAATCCTGACAAAGTGAAAATCATCTCCATACTTCCGTTACTCATCCGACTATGACATTAGTACATACATCTATATTTAGAAGGTATGATTTTACCATGTTTTATCAAAAAATTATTTATATTATAAGCATTCAAATGTATCAATTACTGAAATAATTGATAGTTTACATTGGTTTACATTATTTAATCAACGATCTTGCAATTCTTGGCCAGATTTGCCATTTTATCACCTCTACCTCACACGTCATTAAAAATACGCAACAAATGCTAAAATGCTTTTTCTTACTTTAATCCTTCAGGGTTTAGAGCTTGTACAAATATTTAGTAAAGGTATTATATGACAAAGTTGAGATTTTCAATTTTCTCATGACGTATGTTAACTTCTCAAGGATCGAATGACATTGGTGATCATGTCTTTCAATGTTGTGGCGAGTTTTGTTCCCCCGAACCCCGGGAGATGGCGGAGGAAATTTATTTTGACTTAACTATTTCTTTGTCATCTCTTATCAAAACGTTGGGTCCAGAAAATAATTCGTTTTTAACGATTATTAAATTATAAATGATAGGAGAAATTAAATACACTTTTGCGAAACGATCTTATGGCGCCAGGAACTTCAGATACGGAAATATCAGATGATTTCCCAACCATTACTGATAATTAAAAAGGAATAATTTTTATAATTATTTGTTAAGAAAGATAATATTATTGTGTTTCCTTTGAGCATCAACGTATAAAAATAATTATTGTTATTTTGGTCCACCGGAAATATTTATCGTGTTGATTTACATGAAAGATAAGTATTTGTGCGGGGTAATTACGGTTATAAATGTTGTTTTCTTTAACGTGGAGCACTTTAGTAGCGACAGTCGGTCTCCTTAAAATAATGAAATGAATATATACTTCATGTTAGTTAAATGAAGAAAAGGACGACACTAAAAACATTGATTAAGCTGTGTGTCGTCTTTGTATTATTTTTGTTTATATTGGCTCTCACAAACTTCCCTGATATTGTTTGCTTGCGTGCCAGTGACAAATTTAATTTCTGTGCGTGACGAGGAGAAGGCTTTCGTGATGTCATATAAAGAACCAAAGTAGTAGCTAAATACTGTCAAAATTAAATGAATCCTACATAAATACGCTTGTGGTTTTCTCATTTCCTTTTCTCCCTTAGCCTTATGGGAATGCAAATAATGATCATTGTGTTTTGCTTCTTCATGTTTGACTTCAATCATATACAACATGCTGACAACACAGTTGAAGGTTTTAATTTCACTGTTATGAATTCACTTTCGTGATCGCTATCCCTTTAAGACTCCTAATTATTTAACAGTACCGCAAGTAATTCCCGACTTGAGAGCGACTCTGGCCGAGATAAAAATATGGTTTTTTATTCTTTATCTTGAAAGAAAACCCTCACAAAAGCCTTGCCCGCATGAGAATTTCCGCAACGATATTTGATCAATGCTTTCAAGTAACTCTACAAGTTCGTTTTTGTTGTTTATTTGTACTAGAAATGATTTTAAAGGAATCGACTTCCTTGCCCCATCTAATTTCGGTCATCTAATTGATGTCTAGTCGTTTATTGAATTAAAAGAACAATGTTTAGTTATTGTAGGTATGACATTTGTTTTTTTAGGATGTTTGTGGGGTTGATACTGGTTGTTAATTCAATAGGATCTTAGTAGTCATATAATTTTAAGATTGCCGAAAGATTCAATTAGTAAACTTTGGTAAATTGAATATAGACAGTGTGCAAGCTCTTAATTTCACAGCTCTTTATCATCACGTGCGTTCGAAACATCGAAACATTGGTGCCATAGAAGCATTGTCAGCATGACTTTCCTTTTCAATTATTGCAAATGTCTGGATTTTTTCACTGCATCGTGTGCTGGATCATTATGATTCTTTGTTTCACGTTGTTTTAATCGTTGGCAGGAACTAATGATTTTTTTCAACTGCAAAAAAACTCACATTTTATTTCGTAGATTTGTTCACTTTGCAATTCTTAAAACGCTATTTTGTTTTAGATCTGAGATCAATACGGCTACGACATTCAAGTCCTGTTCTTTACGGCAATGTCGTACGATTACACTGTATGGTTGATACGAACTATCAATTATTAAATTACTCGTGGTTCAAAGATACTATAATTCTCAAACTTACTGACGGTGAGAGAATGCAGACTTTACCTTCAGGAATCTTGAAGATAAGAAACTACAAAGTTTCCGACAACGGAAATTACTCATGTCGTGTGAACAATGGATACAAGGAGATGAACAGTGACATGCTGAGCGTTCAGGGACAATGTAATTCCTATAAATTAGCATGTGCTTCTTCATGTACTTTACTTCATCACTGTAAATATGTTATGTTTTTCTTTCATCAACAGCTTTATCCAAGAGCAGTCTCCATGTTTATCCTGGAAGAATGATCCGCCGAAACCTTGGTAGTCATTTGGTTGTAGAGTGTATCCACTTTAGTGAATATAACTCTTCGGTCATCTGGAAGAAAATGACAAAAGAGGGTATGCGGATTGTGGCAATTAACATTGGATATGCTGATCTCATATTTAAATCCATACTGGAGTCTGATGGTGGTAATTATAGCTGTGTGGTAAATGGTCATGAAAAACGCGATATCGTAATATCTGTTGAAAGTAAGTTTATTTGTTCGTGTACTTACAAGATCTCATTTACGTTGCCTTTAATAACACGTATGTGGAAACTCACAGCCCCAGCTAACGTAGACTTAAAACTTAACGTGTAAATTTCGCTTACAGGCCCTGCAATCATTGACACAAGAAAACGACACAAGTTAGTCTCTAAAGAACACGATAAGTTAGTTATTAACTGCAGTGTCGGCGGTAATCCCCCACCTTTGGTCACGTGGTACAAAGACGGACTCAAGCTTCGAGAGAATGCACGTTTGCGTTTCTACAAAAACAAATTACGTCATCAGCTTGTGGTGAATCACGTTGTACCAAGGGATAGTGGGGTATATCAATGCGAGGCCTACAACGATTATGGATCAAATATTGATGATAGTATTTGCAGAGTCATAGGTTTGTGATTAAATAATTGCTTTGAATAAAATATCTCATAGTTAATGTTTCACATTTGAGAAAAGTGTGTTTGTTAAGTTATTAATGTGATCATGACGTCATATTATAGAAAAAATGGACCCCCCCCTTAACGTCGGAGGTTACGCAATCTCAGCGACTATGATGAACATAACATGGACCATCCCCCCTGGATATGGAACTGTTCAGTTTGTAATACATATCTTAGATTATTTAATGAAGTCGGACTTTCAAATCGTGACTGACGACAACGCAACTTATCGTGTGATTGAAGATCTCAGAGCCTTTACAGATTACTCTGTTTTTGTTCAAATGTTTTCTGGTCGACCTAGAGGGAAATCTGCTACATTTTGGGTTACCACACTTGAAGCAAGTATGTTTGATATTTTCTTATCATATAATGTGATTTTATTATGTATTCTATATATTCTATAACCAAATGATTGTGATTGTTCATTGCAGGGCCGTCAGGACCACCAAATGACTTAAAAACACGCAGTTACTCCATAGGGGTAAGTTAAGTACTTTGGTGTAAAGACATGTGTGTATGTATATAGTATAGACACATATTTATTGTGTAAACATATGAAGCAGGGTGGCTCATATTCACTTAGGCATTATTTACCAAAATATATTCCTTTGAAATCCATTGTTTTCTACAGATTATAACCGCTGACATGTATGATTGCAGGAGTCCTCCTTTGGATGACTTTGTATGTATCTCTTGGTGTTTTAACCTTAGAGTTTTATTGCTTTCCAAGACTTTAGATCTAACCTGGTCGCCTCCGTTCATCCCTGAACAAAATGGAAAAATCGTTGGTTACGAAGTAAAATATATCTTAAAAAATGGCGAAAAGAAAATTGTAAAAAATTTTACGTTGAATGCTGACGATTATACAACGATATTACGTAATCTTCATCCAGGAGAAACCTATTGCATAAAGATCGCTGCAAGAACAAAAGCGGGACTAGGTCCTTACTCAAAAGAAGTATCTGGTGTTGTTTCAAGCTCAACGACGAATGGTTGGTGGTGTTTAAAGTTCTCATATTTGATACATTATTGAACTTTGAAGTTCCTGTAATTTTAGAATTTCTGCACAAAATTTATGTTGCTCAATCTTTGAAACTGTATTGTTCAATGTAGCCACGATTCCAGCGCCATTAGTTGAAGCAAAACACGTGAATACGAGTATCTTGATAGAAGTCAATTCTCCAGGGGATGATTTAGATATTGTAGGATATACACTTACATATAAGTATCTAGCTGAAAGGGCAAGCTCTGAAAAAGAGGTGACAATAAATGGATCAGATTCGATGTATGAACTGCTGGAAGCAAGTGAGTTCCCAATCTTATAATGAAAATGAACGTCAGTAGAGATTCTTATTTTATTTTTGTTTTTATCGTAGTTTCGAATGTAGAATACGTCATTAATATCGTTGCCTTTGACTCGATGGAAAATTATGGTCGGCCTTCCATTTTGGTTATTTCTACTAAAGAAAGTATGTTGATAAAATAAAGTGCGCTGTGGACTGGTAACTATAATTATATTTTAATGGCCTTGTCTTAATGATTTCTTTCTAGCGCCAGTCAAGGTGAACTACGAGATGTTTCAAAACACAAATTATTCGGAACAGCCTCATCTAACGATCACGTGCCATCCACAGCCTCAGTCCTCCTCCCTTCTAGTCACGTGGGTTCAGGAACCCGCACAACCCGATGCAAAGTTTGAAGTCATTTACGGCGAGCGTCTCAAAAAAACGAAGACCCGAATACAAACCGAAAACTTCAATGTTACTATATCACAAGTTACTCCGGGACTATTTTATGACGTCACTATTCGTAGCATTTATTCAGTTCGTCTATACAGCACATCGAGTGGACCTGTATCTAACTTTTGTAAGATCGCTGACCAAAGTAAGTGTAGAGACAGGGAGTAGCTTCGTTTTTGTCGTGTCAATGTATTCATTATCAATTTCCTCGCAAACAGAGCCTGCTAGTCCACCAAGAAATATGTCTTGTTACGTGAAAGGGTCGAACGTTGTCGTACGTTGGGATGAACCAATCAAACCTAACGGCCACATACTGAAGTATCACTTATGGTGGTTAACAGTTGAAAGAAAAATCAAGCAAAAGGAATGGATGTCAACGTCGTAGGAATGGATCTCAAGTTTACTGTAACTAACGTGATGAGAAGTAAACAATTTTTTGTGAACATCAGTGCTGGAAATTCCGCAGGAACCAGTCCTACAGGACATTGTATTGTTGATACATCGGTCATTCCAACAGGTAAAATAAAGATATTGTGAAAAAGAATGAGAAAGGAATGGACAAAGTTTGAATATTGAGTTAATGTGTTTTTTTTTATTTTAGTTCAAGATACGAACGAAAAACTTGAAATTAAGAGGAACATAAACGACATCAAAAATGGAATTGTTATTGGTTGTCTTGTTAGCTGTTTACTGCTTGTGCTGTTGCTCGTTTTTATCTATTGGAGTCGGTAAGTTAAAGTTTTTAAAAAGAATTTATTGTTTAAACTTTCATAATGGTTGATGCTTACGTATTACACCACAGCAAAAGACGTTTACAGAAAGAACAGTTGATACTGAAGGTCGAAAGCAATGGTAACTTTGATGCAAGAGAATATAAATGCAATAAAACAGTGTACACTGAATTCAGTGACGGCGAATCCGGAAAACGGCGCATCGTCATAAAGAAATTTATTGATGAAGGTAATGATAATGAAGTCGTTGACGATACCAGGGTCTATAAACAATCGTTGATGTTATATGAAGTATTTCATTTGGATTTCTTTTTAGAGACAAGTAAAGAATCGGACCGTGGTCTCGAAATGGTGCGTTATCTACATTGCACAGACAATTTTATCTTCATTGTGTGTTTTTAGCTCTCTTTCTTACCAGCTACCTGTTAAATTCTTCTTGTTTTTTAGACTCCAAAGAGCAGCTATTTATTTCTGGATTCTGAAAAGGTGCCGTTTCTTCAGCGAACCGTTAACCGTGACGCAAGGTAAATATCAGAAATTTCCACCTAAAGTAAACGTTTCCACCGTTAATATAAATTTTTCTTACAATGCAGTGCGGATACTTCATGTGATAGCCAAGATAGTGGAGTACAGACATTTAGGAATAAAAGTACGTCAAAAAAATTTTGTAACTGCTGACGTCATGTCATTTAAGATAATGTATTTTACCAAACAACAATGCGATTTATTTTAGAATTCCGCGATCACGGGACACATAAAGACTCTGGAAAATTATCTGTAAGTTCATATTGTTGTTAAAAGGAAGAATTGTTTAAATTACGTTCATCATTATAAATCAACATGTACGATGTTGTTGATTTTGTTTACAGAAACCGAGTAAAGATGCGGGCGTTGTTGTTGAAACGACTTGTTAAAAATCATTTGTTATTCACGTGGTTTGTCGGAAATCTATGTGCATCTTATTCGAGGCTAGTTTCTTATCTATGTTCGGTGAAATCTACGGAATATATATTTAGATGTGAAATATTTATTTACAGATTATCTGTAGTTTATAAGGATCTATAATTATGTGTAGTATAGTTTATATTTAGTAATTTTCCTGTTTTTGTTCACTGGATGCTTTCTTTAATCCCTCAACGTCAACCTGAGTATATTATTTATTGAAAAGTTCCTAGGTTGTTCATTATTACCCATGCACAAGACCTTATTCTTACTGCGCATGCCCAACAATATTTTTCACTCGTGTTCAAGACGTTTAGGGAGACGTACATACACTCTTATTTTTTACAATTTTTACTTTAAATCATTCACCATTCAGGAAGTTTAATCGCATCAAAAACATTCGTCAGTTTTCATAAACATCGCCAACAGAGAGTATTAGGGTGGTCATTGTCAACAGAGAGTAAAAGGGTGGTGATTTCTAGAATTTCTTAAAATTTACCATAAGTTTGGATCATACGGGGTTTTAGATATTTACAAATTAGAGGTTCCTACAGACTAGACTGTCACATTAATGAAAGAAAATTGTCTGACACTCTTCTCAAACTTCAGTTATATATTAAAGTTGTAGAAAATATTGAAATAAGCGTTGACATTATATCGCAGTGACGTCATTGTTGCGTCTCTGACATCATCGTATTATTTGTTCGCAATTTATTGTATTCCTTGTATGTAGTCATATTCCAAATCTTTATATTTGTACAGATATCGTTACTATTTAATGAATGAAATAATCATAAACTTGTAAATAAATAGCAATTCTGCCTACACATGTGTGCCATCAATATTAGACAAAGCACTTGGTCAAATCTTATGAAATGCGCATGAGCCCATAACGTCATCTGCACTGTTGTACGCATGACAGCATGACAAAAGAAATAAAAGTTTGGTGAAAGTTTTATTTATGTGTTTGGTAATCATTGAGAGATTCGACTTTGATTGATTTGTCAATTTATTGATGTTTAAAACGACATATGGACACATTATAAAAACGAAATTTATCTTGTTACGTTTTATTTTTACATTAAAGAACTTTTGTTTTGCTTTTCATTTAAAGAGAATGTGGAAATGGGAAAAATCGTTTATCGTCGTATTTCTTTATAAATGTATTATTACGAATGATGAAAAAATGTCAATATACTCGAGAGCAGACTACAACTGCAAGGAGCTGTAAAACGTTCCAGAGGTGTAGCGTTATACCCCCATCCCACAGAGGTGTAGTGTCCATACCCCCATCCCACAGATGTAGTGTCCATACCCCATGCCCATCCCCATCCCACAGAGGTGTAGTGTCCATACCCCCATCCCACAGAGGTGTAGTGTCCACACCCCCATCCCACAGATGTGTAGTGTCCATACCCCTAACCCACTATGAAAACAAAACTTAACATAATTAAATCATTACCTTTAGCTAGCCTCTCCTCTCACTTTAATGCAACTTTGAATATAAAAAGACAGAAAAGAAATTAATTTTTTAAAGTGTAATCGTTGTTAAGAATAACAGTGTTCATGATACGCTAACCTTGGTTCTTTCTTCATGTAAAACCTTTCCTCACACTACGGCTAACGTTATCCTGTCAAATGTAAAAAGAGATATGTGTACAATCTATATAAACGTTCTCGTATCAAAAACAATACATACTCTGACACCAACTTAACATGGACTTTAAATACCTCATTTTAACTGGGAATGCATTTCTTTCAATGCTTTTAAGAGAACGCGCTAGTGGAAGGAGAATCCCAGGATACAACACAATGCGGGATGAATGCCCCAGGATTGAATAACGTAGAGAGAACTTAAGGATTTATGTCGGAGGGAGTGGGGAAAGACAGAATTTTAAGAATTGGTGAAATAAAGACTACAGCAAAACAGAAGGAAACAAAAGAAAGAACTCCGGGTCCGGGTAGAAACTTGAAAAGGTTTCATGAGAGCGGGCTCACATTAAATTCTAAACACAATGTTTTTTTCTTAACCAGAACACAACTTACAGTTCGACCTAAAGTAAACTACTCACAAACGTACAGCAATTTCACGGAGACTTTATTGAGATGCAAAAAATCCATAATTGATCATAGTGCACAACCCTTAAAAAAATCCATAAAATACACGCATTGACATCAAAACAATTGCAATGTGAAACAGTTTAGACTTGACACCCACTAAAAACGGACTTGGAAAGCAGAAAACGAAATCTCGGTTCTCCAGATGACGTCGTAACATAAATCTGGGCTCTCCATTCTTGAAAAATAACTAAGGAAATACGTCACGTTGGATTTAGACAAAGTCGTGATGATCACGTGAGTACAATGTTTCCCAGTAAGGTGGAGGAGGATCTTGGCTTTTGCTCATGTCAACATAATCTTTTTTCCTATTGGGTATTTTTACTTCCGCCAAATTGTGACATTGAGGAGGACAAACGTCACCATTATCACGTGACTTGGTTTGTGTTGTAGCGTCTTGTAGCTCAGGTACTGATGCGTTATCTTTTATCTTCTTGGAGAGAAAACCATCTTCAATATTTCGTAGTGATATTTCTTCGTTCGTTTCTATTTTTTCTTGCATCCTTTGCTGTCGTCTTTTCATACGTTTCACACGGTTGGTCTGCAGTAAATAACAAATGAAAACATTGAGTTGACTATTTCTAGTTCATATTTCGTGAAAATCATGAAAAATATTTCAGCCTTTCTACCTTCGTGACCATATTATGAGCCAGCAATGATAAATGGACTGAGGCGAAAAAAGAACATAAGCATGTGAAAAGGTACACTGAAGACATTCCAACAGCAATTTCGCCCAGGTGTTTCGTGATGGATTCACAGCTGGTAGTATCATCAAATTCATACTTTAAACTGCTGTATGACGTAGTCACGGAGCATGCGCAACGCTGTTTGTCACTATCATACGAGCATTTGTTTAATGAAAATATGAAGTTTGTAAGTGTCAAACCGTAATGTGCGACTCCCACTGGCGAGAGAAGAGCAGCGACAGAAGATAATAGCATGCTAAAGATGATCTAAATTTGAAAAGATTTTTAGCTTTTCTTGCTTTTTAAATTATAGCTTGGATATCGATGAAATTCAACAACTTACTGTGAATAAATGTTTTTTCACATAGACTGAAGTAAAGAGGATTCCATTCGCCATTATCTAAACATTATAAAAGAAGTCATCGTTAAACACTAAACAAAAGTCGAGATTATTAACTCAGGAAGATAAGTGTTGAAGTTAACCTTAACTACTGTGACAATTTAAAATCTTAAACTTAAACTTAACACGCGCTGTCTTCATTCATAAACATTTATGCAAAGATAATGTCTTTGAATCAAGAGTTTTCAAAACATGCAACAGCTCAGCAAGCGTTAGTAAATGAAGCGACAAAAATTTCAAATGCATTAGAATGAATATTTTTTTTGCCGTCCCTAACACATGGGACCAATACTGCGAATATAAAAAATATCTGATACGAACACAATTAAATTAAAATATTAGAAAAAATTCTTAAAACTTAGGGTGGAAACGTTTTACTCAAGTAGAAAGACAAAACAATTGATTCCAGTCAAGTGTCAAACTCAGCTAATTTATCGGGTTGAGCCGAACTAATTGATATCAACATGTTATCTGTGTGGTTAGAAAAATAATTAATAGCGAAAAAGAAAGGCTATTGTTTGAGTCTCGATTATCGAACAAACGCAGGTGATTTTTCAAAAGATAAATCAGAAATCTGAACAATGCCAATTTTATATATTGGCTTTATCATGTCCACTCTGTAACACAAGGCTAGACTGTTATTGCCATTCACAAAATTTGCCTCCAGTTAATCGACACTGTGTCCTACACAACTGATTTCAATCCTCCACATTAACCACTTTCAAAACTATGTTTTCGATTATAGCAACTGAACGGCCACGTTAGAACTTTAGTGGTGCATAATTAGGGGTACGAGTTTCAGCTGTTGTTGGGCACAGTTTGAAACGGTTCATAATTGATGCATAAAAAATGAACAAACACAACACAAAAGCCGTTAGAAATATGAAATCATCAGCCACAGCGCTACATATCAAAAGTAAAAATGTACATGAAAACTTACCACAGCGGATGCAACCAAGTCAGGAATTGCAGGTGTAATGTTCCCAGTTGATGAGGTCGTGTTTTTAATGGCATAATGGCCGACAAGAAGTACAACACCAAACGAGAAAATAAATATACCACACAGCGGTTTTAATATCTTCGATTCCTTGAAATTTAAAAATTTGTAAATGCAACAGCTTAAGCTGTATTTCAGCTTCATAGATTCTGCCTTCGCGTCTTCTTTTTCCTTCATTATCATCTCAAACGACATGACTCGTAGGTTACGATCTCCTATAAGTGCAAATTGTACGAGTTCAAGTATGTGCAAGAATCAATTCTTGAGCAGTTAACTTGACGATGAGATTAAAATTTAAACTTGTTCTTCAGCAGTCAACTGGCGACCCTGAAATGTATAATTTACATTAAAAAAAGTATCTTGTCAATGCTAATCTTCTATTGCAACAAAAGTAAACAATGTGAGACGGACCGCACGTGTTCCTTATCATTATGTAAACTTGAATGCCTGTCGACAGCCTGTTCAACATGGTGAGTTGGATTTTTAGGAACCCACCGAACAACCTTCAATGAAGAATATTATACAACAACACATAAAATACAAATATATACGTACCTTACTGAGCAGAAAAAGAAAGTTTTCGATGCTTCACAGTTAAGCTACTTGGAGTTTCTTAACCTTCAACGCGATTAACAAGAATTGAACAAGCTCAAAAGTGAATATTACACTCTGTCGGCGTCCCTGCGATAATGAAAGCTAAAAACGAACGTTAAGGCTTCAAATATTATTGAAATAATGGCGAAGCATCTGCATCTCCACTTCACGCATGTCAAATCAATCAAACGAAATTAGCATCAAAAAGACGTTGCTTTGTTATGTTAAATTACGCATTTACAACACACGTGTTAACTATTATCTTTTCCGTTCATTAGAAAACATTAAAATATTAAAATGACAGATGAAGAACGGGTGGTTTTGAAGATGAAAATATCTCCGACAATGAACTGAATTTTCCTCACCGACCTTACACTAGCTATGGGGAGATCGCATCTTTTGGCATAATCGAAAGGTATGATGTGCTCCAGCTCCATGGTCATTGGTCAGAAGCTGAGGTCAAGCAATGTCTGGCCTGTAGCTCAGCCAAGAGAGTTATGGTAGGAATTTATTAGTGAAAACTAAATCATCTGAACATTTTCGTTTCCAAAATCATTGGAGATTGTTTTTTTAAATTCGAACATGCTCATAAAGATATTCATAATACCTTTAAGCATAATATCACTGCTAAAATTCATTAATTAATATTCTGGTTCTTGAAAAAGGTCTTTGTTTCGCCGCAAGTTACATTAACGCACATTGGACATCTCAACGGCAGCTGTGTTGAACAAACTGTATTTGATTCCAAATGTGACTTCACTATATCAGCCATAGCCTTGAAAAAACATCCAGAATAGAATGATTTTTCACTCCAAAAATAGATACGCTAAGCGGAGACTGACCTTAATAAAAACTGGATTATCATTTAAACTGGAGGAGCGACGTATAATTTCAACACCAGCCTAAATATGGAAAACGAAAATTCAAGAAGAGATTCAACTAATTTTTATAAGTTAAATTGTCTTTAGTTAACTGTGTCACACAGCTAGCAGATTAAGATTTACGTTTGCAAAAAGATAACCTTCCATTTTCTTGTTTGTAACCAGTTTTAACGCAAAAATCTCATCAAATAAAAAGTGTTGCACAGAAAAGATGATGAACTGACCTTCTTTGCAGTCTCCTCCATGTATTCAATGTCAAGTTCATAAAGTGTTTCAATATGATCGGATGTAAACGCTATGGGAACAAGTAACAAATATTTTTCACCATTTTTGCTCAATCCTTCTATAGAATCTTCAGTCTGTGGACCAAGCCACGGAAGTGGTCCAACCTGTAACATAGCAATGACGTAAGCAATGATGATGACGTAATGTTGCAAATAACAGAACTCATGATGAGGCAATATTATAAATGACGTTGACTGAAATGACGTAATACATTGATGACGTAAGGCTATCAATGGTGACAATACTAACAATGCGTACTTTTATAGAGAAGTACAAATTGATACATTGTTAGTGGTTAAGCAAAACGTGTCATTTATGATAAAACAGTGTGCGAATTAACGGTGTGCAATGTGCAATTTGCACATCGTTTTAGCTAAAATGAAGACAATTGCACATCACTTTTTCAAACGATGTGCAAAAATCAGCGGTTTTAACGAAAAACACTGTCGTAAATCATATGAATTTGTTCACGTTTAAAAATATTAATTTAGCAATTAGCGCTATATAATAATTAACGTAATATTGATTTGATTATGTCTCTAAAGAAACACTTTTGTCAAAAAAATTGCACATGGTTTTTTTTGAAATAATTCGCACACTGATAAAAGTATATATATTACGTCATCAAAACGCGGGGCCTCTTAAATTTCTTCTTGATAGGTTAGGTGTAAATTAGACACAAGTTCTTATTTCTTTGTTAATAAAATGACCTGGGATTTCTTGAATTTATCTCCATGGGCAATGAATTTATCTCTATGTATGTACTATGTAATACATTCAAATATGAGTGGCCTCCTGCTGGAAGAACTAGTATTTTTCATGTAGAGTTTGTTAAAATTAAAAAATTATACAAAAATATACCTTTGATTGCCAAACAAGTCTGTATGGATTGCTAAATTGTAATTTATTCATGACTGCATGGACTGTTGAAGCAACCTCAGCAGGATATGGATCACCACGATTGACAACCTGCATCAGAAATGATTACTTAGTTATTATTATGTGAGTACATGTGAGTACATGTGAGTACATGTGAATACATGTGAGTACATGCAAGTACATGTGAGTACATGCGAGTACATGTGAGTACATGTGAATACAGGACTAATTGTAATCATGAAAACTTACGGACATTGGTAGTGAATGAGCTGAAAATAATATTACAACCCTTTCTCTAACGGATTCTGGAAATTTTGTCAATTCATCTTGAATGTTTGTAGCAAATGCCTAAAAATTTTTTACTTGTTCAGCAGAAAATATTTTTTAGAAAAACAACAATAACGCTGTGAAAAGTTTCCACCTCAACAAGTCCATGATGAGTAGGCCATCTATCAATTACACTCCATTTTACATTTGAATTAAGATTTCTTTTCTTATAGAAACGATAAATTGCATTCAAACTGCTACCAGTGGTTGAGCAAGAATACTGCGGATATTGTGTAAATGCAACAACTCTCTCAATTTCATCTCTGCGAATATGGTTAAAAAAACATTAAAATAAGTCTAAGAATGAGTTAATGATGAGTTGATTATAGACCATGTTCATTGAGGGGGGTTGAAATGGATAGAAATGGATACCTTTCAATATCCTCTAAAGTATCTTCTGTTAAAGGATGAGCATATCGAAATCCAATGTAACATTTATGAGGAGCTAAATATGTTGAACATCATAAAAAATGGTCATCAATAAAAAAGCCTTGCATATAAATAAACTCACATGAAGTATACTGACCAGTTTGAGGACTTATGTCATCAAGGATTTTAACCATTCCTTCTCCTTGTTTTTCAGTCCATTTCCTGATGGGTGAACCACCTCCAATTTTATCATATTGTTCTATAATCTTAGGTGTTCTTCGTTTTGCAATCCATGGGGCTAATCGACTGCAAGGAAATATTGGAACTAATTGCTCAGTTCATCAACAAACTTAATTCAACCGCACCAAAACACATTCATTTATACCTCTGAGCTGGTAGTGGTATGAGATCTTTATCAGAGAATAAGCGAAACAAGAAATCATGAACCTCATCCAAAGTACTTGGACCACCCATATTAACCAACATTATCCCTGTCTTTGCTTTTTCTCTATTGTTGAAGACACATAAATATTTCTAGAAATGGAACTACGTCCACTATGATCTACAATGATTACGGAATCATTTGAATAGATAGTTTTCCTTTTAAAATGGAATGCTGATAGACAAAATGTTCATGAAAGAATGCATTAATACATTATTCATAATACGACTGTATTGATTTGTATTTATTGATTCTGAATAGTGTTTGACAATGTTAAAAATTCTGCTCTTTTTACTTTATTTCAAAGACATTGAGAAATGCGTTATGAAGTGTTACATAACATTCTAACGTCGGTGAACATTCCAACGTGGGTGTGTATAGATTTATTAATACTGCTGTAAGCCGTATTATTCTAACTAAAGGAAGCTACTCAAATCATCCTACCTTTCATTTTTCATATTTTCGTTCAATTTACACGATGAATGAATTTTTCGCGTCCATACCAAATTTCTTGCTTTCTGTGGAGCGGTATAACTTGATAGAGGTCCATTACAATTATGTTGTGACACTCTTACAATACTTATTCTTAATTCTGAATAGAGAAAGAGCAGTTAAGAACAGCCGCGTACCATGAAGCATTATGTAAAGGATGAGGTTAACTTACTGGTAAGTAAAAATCTTGGCAGCATACTCAAATTATCCTCAATTCTGTCAGAAACAAAAAAAATATAGATTATAGACATTTGAGGATAACGTTCACAAACCGGAAATACCCCGGGTCATATCATGTTCCTTGCGCGATTTATGCTAATTTCAATGTGAGACTCATATCTGAAATGACATCAAAGTTAGTTTTAATTAATAAGCAAGTAAAATTTCAAAATGATTAAGAAATAAGACACAAAGCACTTGAAAAGCCGCTAAAAAGACTTTATCAAAGCCATATAATAGAAATACGTTGACAATAAATGAGTATTTATTTCAAGTCGGATTAATAAATGTCAAAAAGATAAGCATCTCCCATTGTCTACAAAAAAAGCGAAAAACAAAATGAAGGTATCCATTAACATTTGTCATAGCCATATAACTTTATAAGACTATAAATAACATGATTGTTGATCGACGTTACCAAACAGTAGCGTAATGACATGAATTTGTACTATTTGTCTTGTTATCTGTGGCGTGTCGTTGTGGATAGCCATCACCTTCAATAAATATCTTTCAGTGTGTATTTTTTACGAATCTTTCCAAAGAATATGATCGTCGGTCTTATCAAAACGTGGATCGCCTAAAGAAATTAACGCAGGTACGTTGACAAACTTTGATAGACATGCAACAGCAACTATCGACTGCGGAAGAAATGCAAATGAATTTTTAAAAGAATGTTCCTTCTTTCGAAGACAACATCTTTTTGCCAATGTATTTGTTCTTATACATTAAATATACGTTTACAAATGCAAACAACCTTGTAAGTTTAATGTTATCTCCGGTGGATAAAGTCTTTCAATGTTCTCTGACTACACAATGTTAACATTGGTATTATATTATCATATATAATGTTCTTGGCAAGACGAAATTAATTGTGTGTGTAAGGAAGCTTTTCTTTATAAGTATAACTAATAAACTAGGTGAGACACAGTTCATAAAAACATGTGGTTTGGACGATATGTAAAACAACTACCTTAGGGATAATAGTCAATTCTCGTGTAAATCACATGTTTTTCATGCATTTAGTTACTGCATTCTAGTTCGTTAATGAGGGTTTTGGGAAAGATAGACAGTTTAGTGTTGCTGTTATAGATATTTCATCTACATAGACATCATTTAATATGAACGGCGAGGCGTTGGAATACATTATTCTTTCTATCTAAACATTCGTCCATTAAGCCAAGAATCAATTATCTATTTCGCGTTTATGGTCTTACTTTACCGTAAGATTAAAAGCATTTTGTTAAATTCATATGTGTTGAGGCGTTGTCAGATGAAATGTTTAAATTGCACGAAAAAATGCAAGTTTTTTTTATAAATAATATTATGTATATTTTGCACGTTTAAAGTCACAATTATCTCAATAAAATTTACCACTTCTATCTGCAACAGCAATAGTGAAATCGAAATAAGACCACGGAGAAAAATTACAAATGTCGAATTTTGCTAATGCTAGTTACAATACGCAACGGCCAGCTTGACAACATCAATTATTTCTGTGTGAATAACGTTAATTCATGACATACTTTTAAAAAAAAGCATGAATTGTTGATAAAACTAGATTATTGTTGATTTTATGTTATAGTCATTACTCTGTAGTACAAAACTTGTAGCTTGCACGAAGAGCCCATTGGTAAGAACAACTTTTTAGTTATAAAAAAATGTCTGACAAAAACGAGTGGGCAGTTTCATTGATAAAATTATCTTAAAAAATTTAAAAAGTAAAGATAAAAAAGAGAAATGACAAGCAAATGTCAATTGACTTTTCTTTGAGGCAAAAGCGATGGCTCAATTAATCAATTTTACGTATACAGTAAATTTTTTCCGTCTAAATAATACATACATCTTATCAACAGAGTGCAGCCCCGTTCAATGAGTTCAAACATAAAGATAACTCAGCTGTAGATATGGATCGAAAAGAAAAAAAAATCTTACAAGGTGAACTGAACTTTTCGAAGTATTTATGTTGGATTGAGTCATCAGTTGTTGTTGTGTTCTATTATGTCTGTTCATTATAATATACTGGAAAAAGACTTTTAATTACTGTATCATTCAGACAATGTGTTTAACTAAAAATACATTTTATTCACAGATGTAAATGTGCCCGAATGCACAGGAATTGATGCGCCAATGTTAATAAAGCAAGACATTATTGCTGATGAAATAACCTTTAAAGAGAAAAGTGAAAAAAATGAACATGCGAATGGAAGTTATCAAGGTATTGATTATGAAAAAGTAAAAGAGCTACAATTTTTTCTAAACACTGTGACAGTCACCAAAGAAACACCAGACATTTGATTTTCGAACCTTAACACAACGCAAACACTTGATAACGCGGATGATTTCAAGTGTTGCAATACCTAAGCTATAATAAGAAATCTTGAAACGTCAACTAGAAATTTCTGCTTTTCAATTGATTGTACTTAATTCATTGGAAGCTTGTTTCGTAAAACATAATTATTTAGGGAAAGAAATCTTTTCTCGAGGTATGAAACGTGAGTTATATTTCAGCTAGGAGAGCAAACGATGAGGAAACGAACGCTTCCAAGCAGAACTCAAGCAAAGAGAGCAGTCACGTAGATAAAAATCCTGAGTTAAACAAAGAGTCAGAGGTCGACACAACCATCAAGGATACAATTGAACATGGCAACTTGAAGAGAAGTTTTCATACTGAGAAAGTTGACGATGCAAACAACAACATTCAACATGACAATCCAGAGATGAAGAAAGATGGCCGACGTAGAACAAGATTTAGTTCCGAAATCACAATGCAACCAAAATTAAATCAACCACACAGTGTTGATATGATCATTATGATGGTATGCGCATTAATTACTCACGCTAATTGCCCTCAAATTAAGAACTTTTTTTAATGAACTAGTCGTGGGAAGATCTGCCTTTGATGTTTTCCATGGTGATCTATTATTTTTCATAGGAATCTGACTCCAATGAAATCCATCCAAACAAGTCACGTGATGTATCATCAACCAACACGCACCGAGAGACCACTGTACCTACTAGTCATCCCCAGTCTCCCAGCAGCTTTCTTTTACTTACAGCAATCACCTGTGTGTGCTGCCCAATGATTGGTCTGTTTGCAGTCTACAAATCTGTTGCAGTAAGTCCATAAATAATGTTTACCAGATTTGTGTCAATGTCGTCATTCTAGCATTAAGATAAGTCTCTTAGTGCTTGTAGATGTAGATCGTCCAGGTTAGTAGAGTCCTGAGAAGGACTGTTGTTGTCGTTGTTGACTGACGTTTCGACAACCTTAGCGGTAGTCATTTTTTTTGACTCTGAAGATGACTACCGCTAAGGTTGTCGAAACGTCAGTCAACATCAACATAACAGTCCTTCTCAGGACTATACCAACCTGGACGATCTACATTTACAAACATGTAACAAAACTCCCGGGTTCAAACCATTTACTTTATAAGTCTCGTAAAGTCTTCAGAGTTTGCTTTACGACATGTTTGTTCTCTCATTATTAGGTAAAGCAGTCTGTGCAAAAAGGTGAAATACAACAGGCACATGAAGCTTCAGCGCATGCTCGACAATTGGGTATACTCACCGTGTGTGTGGGATTGGTCTTTGTCGTTGCCATAGTAATAATAACACTTATGGCCACAATTCTTGTTGAGTAAAAGGATAAATAGTTCACAGTGATTATCCCAGATTTGTAATTATATTCCCAGATAAAAATTCAGTAAACATATTGATAAATGTAGTTTTGGCACTCCATGCAAAATAGATTGCGCTTTGGGAATAAAATCTAATGTGAAATGTTCATAGTCCAACAAATGTATTTTGCTGACTACGAGATATTATTATATATGACGAGTAAAAGAATCGTATGGTTGTTTTGTAACCAGATATCAAAATATTTCGTATCGCTATCAATAGGTCACATAGGGTATAAACGTATTGATAGCGTCCAAGTTGAACGGTCCAACGTACAAAATTCTTGTACCAATGTCGACCAATATGTTTGTATACTGGATGGTCATTACCTTGTATGCAATTGAGTGCAGCAAAGCTTTAAATCCAACAGAAGTAAACGTCTGCAGCAGGAACGAAAGGTGAGAAGCCACTTATAAGCATCGCATAACGAGACAGCATGAAATTCCTACACGAAACGATTAAATAACATGTTCAGTTCGACTATGACACACAATAGTTCAGTATTCATATTGAAGAAAAAATTGCGTATTGAAGAAAAAATTTAAAACCGTTCGAAAATAATACATCACTCAACTAAACATATAAGAAGAGATGAGATTATACATGAGGAAAGTGCACTGAACTGATCTATAAAACATTCAATGTAGGCAACAGGGGGGAATATTTGACGAAGAACTCTCCAGAAAATTAGTAATAAAGGTTCACAGAATTATGATGATATTTTAAAGTAAAATATGCTTTTGTAGCTACACAGTTAACGTTGAAAAAACACGGAAGATTCGCGTGAGGGAAAAATACAAAGTCTTTTGTTGGTCTTGGACTCGATGCACTAAATATAAGTATATAATGATTTATGAATATTACATTTGTTTTGAGATTTTTGAGATAACATGCAAGTCAAAGGCAAAGTCTTTCTCTTGAATTGTGCATTATCATTAAGATAAATAAAACTGATAAAAACATTTCGTTGTTCATTCACATGAAGATGGGTTGAGAAAGAACAGTTATACACTGTACAAGAAAGAAGGACGAGAATAGTTCATGAATGTTGTACGGGTTGGAGAAAACAAGGAAACGGTTGTCCAATTGGTAGGCATGTCGTGAAACACATAAAAACATTCAAAATTTTAATTGATTTTGAGGCAGTTCAATATAGCTACATTTTCTTAGCAATTTGTGACACATACGGATGCCAACATGGACGTTGCACTCGGCCAAACAAATGTGAATGTTATAAAGGTTTTTATGGACCAGCATGCACAAGAGGTACAAAGAGAATAAGTGTGTTGCTTTAAATCGATGACTTTAATTTAATGTTACCAACATTTTAGCGTGTCCTTCTCATAAATATGGCGAACATTGCCGACATGACTGCAAATGTAAAAATAACGCAATCTGCGATTCAAAACACGGTACATGCAATTGTACTGAGGGATGGTCAGGGTTGATTTGCAACACGGCGTGTCAACCAGGGACATTTGGAAGAAATTGTACCTTACATGTCAATGTGTCGTCAACAATACGAAGAACGTTTGTGATAAGAAAAATGGTCAATGTCGTTGTAAAGCAGGATATAAAGGTATAAGGTAAAGAAAGAAAATTTTATATAATATAAGAGAGAGTAAAACCTGGTAAGACATCATTTTTATGGAGATATTAATCCTCAGGATTTAAGTGTGTTTGGATCACTAGATGTAGTTCATTATTAAGGTGTTCTTGAAAAAATATAATCGAATAATCTGCACTTACTGAGAGCCTGCTTTTAAGAATACTTTTAAGAAGTTTTTTGTTTCGGAAATAAAAACGAGTATCTAGTAAAAAAAGAAAAATTGCACATGTTTTTAGAAGAACCATCACAGTAATGTCTGGTATCTTTTCTGGCATTACTATCATGTTATTGATGATTTCGATGTGCATTTTTTGTTGGCTAGATGTGAAGAGAAATGCGAAAGTGGTTTCTATGGAGATGGTTGTCATGCTAAGTGTCAATGTCAGAATAATGGAAATTGTAGTCATATTGATGGAAGTTGTACATGTCCCCATGGATGGACGGTAAGATCAAACATTGATGAAATTATTTATATAAAAGTACTTCACAAATTACCAAAACAATCACAAAGCAAGAATGAAATACAGCAAAAAGCGGCAATTATAATTAATGATGATTATGAAGAACCTTCTTAGAATTGCTAAGTAATCATGATATTTCAAACATAGGGAATTATTTGCACGGAAAAATGTCCGCAAGGGTATTATGGTAGAGAATGTACTTTAAAATGTAACTGCACAAACTCACCATGTCACCATATTTCTGGGAAATGTCGTTGCTTGGATGGTTATATCGGCAAGAGGTATGACGTCATGTTCGGTCTGAAAAAAATGTTTGAATGAATTAGTATTTGACGTATACTTTCAGATGTGAATACCCATGCTCAAACAATACGTTTGGTCATAAATGTAAGAGGCAATGTGAATGTATCAATAACAGCACATGCGCAGTAGACACGGGGGAATGTAACTGCTCGAGAGGATTTATTGGTGTACATTGTGAGCAAACGTGTCCATCAGGATCATCTGGGAATGATTGTAAAAAGAAATGCAACTGTACAATTGGTCAGGGAAGATGTAACCCATTCACGGGTAATTGCAGGTAATCCCATTGAACTATAATAAATGGAACGCTACCTGTAATTGAAAAGCCTGATAATTTTTTGAAGCCAAATTTTACACCCAGACAAGCGTGTGTAATCAATCAATTTTCACTCCGCGAGAAAATCTCAAAACACTAAACACGCGTGTCTGGGATAAAATCTCGCGTGTCTGAGTGTAGGATTTGGCTTCAATTATTTGCTTCGGGTAGCGTTCCATGTATTTTAGTTCAATATGTAATTCTGTTGTTGTGTTAATGAACAGCAACTAATTTCATGAGATCTTTCATAATGTCTTTCTTTGTCAGATGTTATCCAGGGTACAATGGTAGTCATTGCGAGGATAAATGTCCTGAGGGAAAATACGGCCCTGGATGCAAAGGATTGTGTCGTTGTCGAAATAATGCTACGTGTAGTATAAATGACGGATCATGTGACTGCAAGGATGGATGGATAGGAGTCACGTGTTCCAATCCATGTCCAACAGGGTAACATGAAGTAGCGTTTCTAGTTGACGTACATTAGGTTAGCACATTAATACTTTATGTAGCTCATTGCACAAATATGTCTTCTATTTAGAACTTACGGTAAAAACTGCATGAAAAAATGTGAATGTAAAAACGGTGCAGATTGTCACCGTATTAATGGCCGCTGTACGTGTCAAGGAGAATGGAAAGGAAAACATTGTGATAAAAGTATGGAGCATAGCGATATGAATAACGGGGATAGTTGACAATTTCAAGTAAAATATACCTGATTTTTCTCATGTAGAATGCCCACAGTGGAAGTATGGTGAAATGTGTAAGAAAAATTGTACATGTGTTCGGAATAATTCCCTCAGGTAGACATATGACATATTTTTGCCCGACTGTTCATCTGTATTTCATCAAGAGCACGTGATGAATGATATTGAAAATATTCCAGTTGTCATGGTGGAAGCGGTCAGTGTCGATGTAAAGATAAATATATTGGCAGGAATTGCAATGATTCACAAGGTAAAATAAAATCAGTTTTTAATTTAATTTTTATTTTAATTTGAACGTTTATGTGCGTTGCAAACATGATTTTCTGCCTTCTGTAGTCTGTGAGAAAGGTTTTTATGGCAAAACATGCAAAACATGTCCTTGCAATGGAAGAGGATCCTGCGATATCGACCAAGGTACCATAAAGTGTTTCTGTGATGATGGATATGAAGGGGACAAATGTGAATATAGTAAGTACTCACAGGGATATTTTCTAAAGATACATTTTTTCAAAGTGTGTGCCTGACGTCGAGTATAATGTCTGTTTTCTGCTGATATTTTTCAGATTGCATTTCAGGAAAGTATGGTTCTAGATGTCAACAGCAATGTCTGTGTCGTAAAAACGCACAGTGTGATCACGTGAACGGTTCATGCAACTGCCTCCAGTCTCCTGGTTGGACAGGAAGATTTTGTGACCAAGGTGGAATGAGACAATGTCAAAATGAATGACAACCCTTGACTGTTTATAGAACTTATTTTCCCCACGTAGGATGTCCGTCACAAATGTTTGGTACAAACTGCCAACAGAAATGTCAATGCAAGAAAAATGCAACGTGTGATCACGTGAATGGCGTATGTAACTGTCAAGCCGGGTGGAGAGGGACAACTTGTAATAAACGTAAGATATTTTATCGTTGCCATTGCTTGAACATCAAACAATCAGAGAATTTTGATTGATTCCTCATGCCGTAGAATGTACACGAAACAAGTATGGCAGAAACTGTGAGTTAGATTGTCAATGTCATGTGACCAACACGTTATCATGTGACCCAGTCTCGGGTAAATGCAACTGTAAAGCTGGTTGGACTGGAGACTATTGCTTTGAAGGTAATTCTATTTAATTCTATATGAACAGAGGTTTGTATAAATATGTTTATATATATATAGAGAGAGAGTTGCTTACTTTGAGTTATTGATGTTCTTTTGTTTAAGAATGTTATCATTTCTTCTATGGTCAAAACTGCATCCAAGAATGTCGTTGTAAGAAAGAGACAACATCCTGGTGTCATCCTGTTACAGGAAAATGTCTTTGCTTTCCGGGATGGCAAGGTCCACGATGTGACAAAGGTTGAATGACTTGTTTATGATATGGCGACTTTAATAAGAATTTCAAACCGTCCATCAGAAAAACACTTGCGATGTTTCAATCATTTCCGACATTCATCGGTAGTTCCCAACGCTGTCTTTAAATCACAAATCCTTCTTCTACAGTGTGTGAACAAGGCAAGTTTGGTGACAGATGCAGGTTAACGTGTAATTGTAGCAAACCACTCTTTAAGAAAGACGTCTGTCATCATGTGAACGGCACGTGTTTCTGTACAGATGGTCAATCTGGCAAATACTGTAATCTAAGTATGACAAAAGATATTAAAGTCACGATCCTATTCTTCCAATATGTTAATGAAATATTTGCATTTTCTAGCTTACCTGCAAACAGGCGCTCAGCGAGGTACCTATCAAAATCCTGCGACAGTGATTGGTCCAATGGCAGCTATTCTTGTCACATTGATCATAACAGTCTCCATAATGGTAGTTTATATGAGAAGAAAGCACTTGCGCAAAAAAGCTAAATTTTCGATGAATGAAAACATACCAGATACTGAAGGTAAATACAACACAATCCAGTAACGAAACTTTGCAATCCAACCTTCATTCAATCGTTTCATTTGTTATTCTAGTCATGGTTAATCCCATATTTGATGATGGAGTGGAGGTATTAAGTCACGTGATGAAATCAGACAGTAAGTCATATCACGTGATAAAAACGAAAAACATGTTTCTCAACATATCTTTCTGAGAATTATATTTACATAAACTTCACGTGCGCATGTACATTGGAATATATAAACATTAACACATCTTGGTGACTTGGTCCTAGAAATCTTTTGTTTTGGTCCTAGAAATCTTTTGTTTTGGTCCTAGAAATCTTTTGTTTTGGTCCTAGAAATCTTTTGTTTTGGTCCTAGAAATCTTTTGTTTTGGTCATAGAAATCTTTTGTTTTGGTCATAGAAATCTTTTGTTTTGGTCATGGAAATCTTTTGTTTTGGTCATGGAAATCTTTTGTTTTGGTCATAGAAATCTTTTGTTTTGGTCATAGAAATCTTTTGTTTTGGTCATAGAAATCTTTTGTTTTGGTCATGGAAATCTTTTGTTTTGGTCATAGAAATCTTTTGTTTTGGTCATGGAAATCTTTTGTTTTGTGTTATAGATTCGTACGATAATATTGCTTATGAATCGTCAACGACCCATGAAGATTCTACTGGGGAAAATGATAGCTGTGTTGATGACAATAAAGTGATTTGTTCACCCACAAAAACAGAGGCGCAGACAAATTGTCCAGATGCTAACAAAGACACAATGATAAATCCTATCTATGATTTTGGTTATAAGTGACAAAACTTGCTAAAGAATACAAATTCTCGCAATACACGTAAATATATTAATGATATTTTGCTTTTGATTTCACGCACGATAGTCAAATAAAATAAGAGTAACGCGCTAAAAATATAATTTTAGTTTTCATTCGGTAAAAGAATATTTACCTTAAGTGAAGTATTGACTAACTCAATCATTCTATTCATATCTTCGCTTAGTTTATTTAAATATTTATAGTGCCGAGGATGACGTCACTCATGACATCACTCTTGTCACTGGTTTCCAGGCCGTATACCTTGCGACTTGAAGTAATCAACACATTGTTTCGGAACTTCAGCCAGCACAGCCTTCGCGAGAGCTACAGGATCCTTAAAAATGTGGAATTTGTTAAAGACCATTCATAGTAACTCACAACGACTCATAACAAATCACAATTACAAATAAAAACCAACAAGATTAAGAAAATAAGGTCGATATTTACGTAACAAAACATAAAAAAATAATGTCAGTCGTATTTCTAGATAAGAAAACGTCTCATGATATTACGGCGTGGGGGGGGGGTGATTGTTGACAGTCATCAACGAACATGATATTACGGGGGGGGGTTATTGTTGAAAGTCATCAACGAACGAACATCATTATCGTAACTACTTAACCTGTTTAAAGTCACGAAACGGCACAAACTGAACAATATCTCTGACAGCACTGCCGTGACGAGGACTGCTTAGACTAAAAAATAACAAAATTTAACCACCACTTTGCAATTATTCAAGAAATGATGTTCACATGCATATATCACGTGATACTAACAATCCTTCATCACAATCCAATGTATTCATATCAGTAAAGTCAGCTTGTCCAACACCGACGATAATTACTGACATTGGTAGCTTTGAAGCACGCACTAAAGCATCTATTGCATCCGACATATCTGATAACACACCATCTGTTAACAGCAACAACACCAGATACTGTAGACAGAAAACATAAAGAAAATAATTATTTCAATTCTTGGACTAATCTCAAACTACACAACGAACATAAACACGTACTAATCATCAATAACATAAACATGCAATATCATTATTTTCAATTAAAACATCCATTTCTATTCTATAAATACAAAACGACATAACCATTAAAACGTACTGATGAAGTTCCAACCAATTTCTCAGCAGATTTTGCGATGAGATTGATGATAGGCGAAACGTTAGTGGGTCCATATAACTCAATACATGAGATACAATTTTGATAAGCACTAACAACACCTGCAATTTCTGTGAGACAGGTGACATTGTTTAGGGATGTGTTTTATTGTGTAAAAAGCTTGGCCATGAATACACTACACAGACCTTGACATGAGGGATTGTTTGGGTTAAAATTGAGAGCAAAATCGTGGGCAACACGATCGTAATTGGGAGGAAGTTTCGCACCAAAACCATACGCAGGAAACATCTTGTCACTTGAAAGACATTTAGCAACATTTATTATTGACTGCAATCCATTTGCGAAAAACAATGATTGAAAATCACGAGTAAACCTTACCTATCATAATCTCGACACACACTGCCAACAGCAACCAAAGCTTGGACATATTCGTTGGGACTGTAAGGACTGATAAAATGGAGAGATGTTGGATTGGAAGGATGACCGTTAGATGCTGTGAAATCAACTCCAACCTATGTATAAAGAAAAAAGGTTAAAAATTAATAAATGTTGAAAACAATGTGTTCAAGAATAATTTGCTTACAGAGAAATTTACTTGACAACCACCCATAATGTAATCAAGAAAAGTAAAATCTTTCCGAATCTAAAAGCAATAAGTTAGGATCATTTTTCGAGATCTAGAGAGAAATATTAATTTATGTTATCAAGCAAGAGAAATTTTTAAAGACATACACAAAAACTTGACAGATAAAGAACACCAGAATTGACATATTTCTTCTTTTTAGCTTTCTTTTCTTCATTGACAAGAGGAAAAGAAATCTGCAAAATTAATTTATCTTTGTAATTTTAATAAACCGTGGATATTTCAACCAAGGACAGTAGAACAACTGTGAACATACAGGCAGTGGATAACAAGACAACCATGGACATTAAAACAATGAAAAAAACCATGGCATAGATAATCTTCATGTGAGTATTATTAAAATATTTCTTTATTATGCACCTCATGATCTTTTCCACCTGAAAGTTCACGTAAGGTCACCTCAAATCCACCAATCACATCATGCTCAGTGTCTTTGTCCCAATCAAAACATTTCACCTAAGAATATAAGTCAATGCTAACAAGCACAATGATGTATCTACATGGTATGTTTATGTACTAATGAGGATATGTTGAGTACATATGTATTGGTGAGTACTTTCATGTTCACATTAAAAGTTTGAACTAAAAATGAAGGTAATATAAATTTTATGTAATTAGTACCATGATCTTCTTGTCATAGTCACCATTACATAACTCAGAGATTGGAATCTCGATCATTTTAAATGAAGGATTCAAAGTATTTTTACAAATCTAGAAATAAAAAATGAAGAATTTTCAGTATGTAATTTTAAATTTCAAAAATTTTGAAGACATACCTCAGTTTTGTGAACAGGCAGGTTGCTTCCGTCAGGAAGTTGCTTAGAAATGACTAAATATGGATCAGATTTACCAAGAATGTCCTATCAAAATATTATAGAATGAAAAAAACAACATCAGCTCCACATAGCAAGTGTTTGATAAATGCTTCATAAAGTGCTCAATCCATATAAGTTTTGAAACAGTTTACCTTTTTGTCCAGATTCTTTCCATGAAAAAGCAATTGAACTATTTCATTGGAGTCATTGAGTTCTTCTGCAACAACCTACATAAGACAATTTACTATCATCCAGAATGGAAATTTGCCTTAACTTCATATGCAAGATTTGAAATTTGCATGCACAAATACACAATTTTCACAAAATTTCCCACCCCAGATCTCAGGTGCTCAAGGCAAACTTTCCAGTTTGTGCAATCACCATCATCAATACTGTATATTGCATGACAAGAAAAAAACAAATGTTTACCAAATCATAAACATTTACTCACTGTAATAGTGCCAGCATTTTTTTTATCTTTTATTATCAACTTTTCAGTGAAGCTTTTCCTGGACACAATCTCAAAAGAAATTACAAAAATGAGACCCAATTATCTTGTTGGTGACATGAATTGTATACATACTAACTTGACCAAGGGTGCACTCCATAGAACCTAAGTAATCGTCGTCATTTAACTTTTTCGTTTCGTTATCCACATCGTAGACAGTAAACTTCAGTTTCTGCACCATTTCAAAATAATAATTCACAGAAATGCTCTTCGAAAATTCCGGGTTCAAATTATTACCAACTCGTTCCGTTCTACCATACTGTAAATATATTATACAAAAATATAACATTCATTCTTTGATTCTAAAATTCTTTTTAAATCTGCATTGGTTGAGTTTGGATGACAGTTCGAAATTCTAATCACAGAATTGTTCGTTCGTAAAATATAATTGTTCACCAACTTCGCTCCTTACGTACCTCTGTCCAATGTTCATCTTTAAAAATGTACACTGCGCATAATGGGTCTGATTTTGAAAAGGAATCTTTATCCAAGAGTCCTTTACAGGAGATATGCAAAGAAACCTTCGTCACGCAGGTTTCCATAACTAAAGGCGATTTAAAAGAAACAAATACTGAATGGTTATTCAACTGAAGTAAACAATAAACAACAAATAAACACACCCAGCTTTCTTCGTCATCATTCGGATGTGTTTCGAAAATTGCCGTAAATGTCACTGATCTCATTAACCTGAAGCAGCAACCAACAGATCGTCTGAAGAAGAAGATTAACCATAACTAATATACCATGTCAACCGGCGTACCTATCATAGATAGACATATTTACCATAGACTGAAGACATATCATCATGTGTTTGCCGACAAGGATGCATCATATGCAAGGGAGTTGTGGTTAACAGAGATTCTAAATAAATGATCATTTCAGATTTATGAATGAAAACGAACTTCAGATGATTTTAAATATCACTCATCAATACTAGTTTTAAAAACAGATATTCAAAGCAGGTCATATTATAAATATTAGTAAAGAATTAGCTAGCATGAATGAAAAATTTCTTGTAGAAATCACGTCTTATCTCCCGCTGTGGTAGCACTAGGGGTCCTGTTGCAATCGCTTTGGCAACATTCCGCAAAATATTGGTAAACAGTTTCAACAGTTTTGACAACACTTTACATGTTTCTCTAAACGGTAAGTTAAAGAATATTTTAGAAGAAACTACGAAATAGAATGAAATAGAAGGATAAAGCGAAGATCTTTACAAATTAACGTACGGTTGGAGAAATGTAGAAGACAATAATTTGTACGATGATTATAATAATAGAAACAAATTATATTGCGTATTTACTGTCGTCCATATCATCTGTCAGACGAATTTCGCCATTTAGTTACGGCGACAAGAATACATACAATTTGTTGGTTTGTATATGATTGTTTAACGTAGAAATGAACCGACGTTAGATCTTCTCAAAATATTATCATGGAAATTCGTTTCTAAAATAAATAGTCAGCAAATCAACAAACAAACAATTGAAATTCTACGAGAATTACATCAAAAATTGTCTAATAAAACTTTACAGTATGTAGACATGGAAATACGAAACATTTTGGGGGTCTTTTGTAGAAACATTAAAGATGACTTCCTCAGATGATTTCGATGACATACTGAATGGACTATCTAATGCTGATTTGCAATCTCTTTCTAACGAACTGGATAATGAGGTAAATACAGCCATACGCATACATATATTAAATTAGAAAAAAATAGTCTTTAAAACAAACGTTTGCAAAAGTGAAAACACCCAGGAATGATCTTTTTGTTGTAAACAGGGATAACGATTATTTCAATAAATTACGCCGAAGATTCTCTTGTTTCTTATTTGTAGCATCATGTTTAATCCTGACATGATTTTTACTCTGTTTCACCTTAGCAAACCTTTGACATAAATGAACAGATCAAACATATGGAGAAATTATCGATTGAAAGTATCGAAGGTGATAATTATTTACCTCTTCATGGACGTAACTATCAACCTCGACGTAAAGATCAACCTGCACCTAAAGAAGAAGAAATGCAGTTTCCAGACGAGTGGAAAGATGCAATGAGTGAAGCAACAGACAAAGACATCCAAGAACTTGCGGGTACGTTGTCAAAAGTAGACACTCGATTATAATCAAAGATTTTGCACTCACCCTTTTGTCTACATTTATCTTGTCACCAAACAATCATCAATAAATGAAAATTTTAATCATTCCTAATCAAGGTATGTTAGGCGTCCACAGTGTTCTTACGCAAGAACAGAGTAACTCCAACGAAAATACACAATTGAAAAAATCTTTACGAGAACTAAATGAAAAAAAAGGTACATAATTGCCTGTATTAGTATATTGACTTAGAAAAAGATAAAGTTTGCCAAAGATAACCTATGATAAATGTTTTATTTGGGAAATCTAACAGAGTTTAATCATCTTCTTTAGATGAAAGATTCGAGCCATCGACGGGAGTATCTGATTACTACGGGGAAATTGAGCATGTTGATGTGAGTGGTTTATTTCGAAGACTCAAAGACTTCGACCAAACTCTGACAGAGATATCTATAAACAATATGAAAGATTTAGATGATGTTTTAATGGCGATCGCAGATTTCATCGCCAGAATGGATTGTCTGAAAAAAATATCAATGGCAAACACGAGAATGGGTAACAGAATTGGAGAGGTGAGAATATCAACTGTCCACAAACACCAAGGACTCATTTCGATTGAATTTTTCATGTTGTATGTTTAGAAATTGGCAGAAGCACTGCAACACAACAAAAGTTTGGCATACCTTAATATTGAGTCCAATTTACTCTCCGGAGACGTGCTTGTGGTAAGAACTGCTTTTTCTTATTGATATTTCAAACAGCTCGTCATCAACAAATGCTTTGACACTTTCTACATAGAAAATACTAGACGCTGTGAAGGACAACCCCTGCTTAAAAGAATTGAAATTTGCCAATCAGGTAATTACGAATAAACACAACATTGAAAAGATAGGACACAGCTGCATAGATAAAGTGTGGTTGAATGCTTGGATGAAAGATTGTGTCCACAGAACAACCATACCAATTAATAAAGGAGAAATTATTTAGTTTTATGACAATACAGACAGCAATAAGTTATATTTTAATGTGATTATATTGTCATGCAGTCCAAGACGGCAGGAGCGAAAAATGAACGCGAAATGGTGAAAAAATTAGAAGAAAATCATCACCTTCTAAAATTTGGTCATGCCTTTCTGACTCCCGGCTTGGGAAACATGGCTTCTAAATGGATCTTACGAAATAATGATAAAGGTTTATATAAACTGAACATTCTAACGTTTAACATTGTATCGATATTTGAATTTACGCTCTCTCTCCTCCAGCTCGACAGAAAAGAAAATCTGCTGCAAGCAAATAAATGTTTGAATTTACGGAATGGAAACAATCACGAGATATTAAATTTATCCGTAAATAGGAAACAAAAGCACCGTATATTATAGAGAGCGCACCGCGTTGTTTAGATGTTGAAGTGTAAATATATCGCAAATAATAAAAACGAAAAATAACACCCACCCTTTTATCCTTTTATTTACAAATAAGAGAATTGATACTACAACATAATTATGAATTTTCATTTTTTCCATTCCACTATCATCCACTGTCTAGAACGCGAACCATACTGCACATAACTTGTTTCCCTATCTAAATATGTCTCTAGACAAAATAATCTTTAAGTTTTGTTTATTTATTTACAAGTTCGTTAAAATCCATTTGAGATGACGTGAAGTTCATCATAAAAATTCTACATTTAAAAAAATACACTTTCTCTCATGATCCAAGGAATTCATATTACTTGCAACGAACCCATTTGTAGTTCTTTGAAAATCCACCCCCCCCGGTCATAAATTATGCTCGAGAAAAGATAAAACAGTCGCTTCGTAATGTTCCGACGCCCCCGGTTGTCGTATTCCATGACGTTCACTAGGATATATCTGATCAAAAATTAAATATGATTTAATATGATAAAATATGATAAAATATGATCAAAAATTAAATATGATACTAAAAACGACGAGAAGGACAGATAAATTGGTGAAAATAAGGACAAAATAAAAGTTATCAACAATACCTGAAGACGATATGGTTTCCCGCTCGAATAAGACGATCAATCAATGAACTTGTGTGATGAAAATGAACATTTTCATCAATCAAACCATGAACAATCAACAGACGATTTTCTCTATGGTAAAAAAAATTGATAAAATCAAATGTGAGAATTTCAAATATAAAATTACAAAACAGCTGTTCAAAAACATCTATCAACAGCTAAAACAATTACTAAAAATTTCCGTGTTTGGAAGACTTTGTTTATGATATTTCATAACCTTATTTTACATAGAATAGTGCGTCTCCTTCGTGTGTCACGTGATTGAAAAAGAATAAGACAACTGATAGTTATACGACAATAAAGTTTTCGTAACAAGACGCCAAAATACTTGTGTATTGTAATACCAACCTCAAACTGCATGTTCTAAAACTCCTTTTGTCTTCACTTTAATGTAAAAGTGAAACATAAAAATGTGTGTCGTCGTACTTACTGATCGGGAAAATCCTTAACTCTATTAAGGACAGAACTCCGTGAATATGCGTTAGGGTTGGTCTGCGGCGTGTTCATGTAACGTTCTGTATAACCGGTATCATAGGCTTCCCAATCTGTGACAGGAGCACCAGCTACAGCAACCTTTGCAATAGGAAAAATAAGATTACTTCCATCGATGATTTAAGAATAAATGCGAGGGTAATTTTATGTCTAGAAAATACCTCCAGAAACTATATTAGTTCTTTATGATCTATCTATAAATGTTGTTTTACCACGTCGCTCATTTTAAGGCCGCATTACGGACTATATACATCAGCCTGCATCAACCTGTATCAACCTCACCTTAAAAACGTCAGGTCGCTGAGCCAGGCCTTGCAACGATAAATAACCACCTAAACGACATTATATAAATGACATAAAAATGAAAGAAAAAAATTATATTCTAATATATTATTTTAATCTAATTAGAGTTAAATTAGAATTGAAACAAAAAAATTAAACAAAAAATTACCGTAAGACCAGCCATGAATAGCAACTCGACTCAAATCAATGTACTTATGGGTTGTCTTGGCAACATGATGTAGTGCTTCCACTTGATCTTCTATTTCAACACATCCCTGTTGAGACAGCAATAGTCATATCAATAAAGAAAAGAAAAGCGTTGAATGAATTGATGAATTGAAGATAAAGAAAATGAAGATTCGCCAAGGACGATGAAACAAGACTAGGTACTCACGATGAAACAAGACTAGGTACTCACGATGAAACAAGACTAGGTACTCACGATGAAACAAGACTAGGTACTCACAAGATTATTCTTGAGATGACCTTCAAACTCCTTTCCACGATGAAAGGAACCACGACAATCAAAAGCAACGACAAGATAACCGGCCATAGCAATTGTTTGTAAACGTAGAAACTGTATACCTTTGTGAGAGTTTGTCACAATCTATAATCCAACAAACAATGTTTCTGTAAAAGTATTGTCCAACGATATTGAACGTCTCAACGGCATCCTTTTGTGACCTTCTATCCACCATTTTATTCATAAGATACCACTAATATCCTCACCTGTACCGAAGGTCCACCATAAACAAACAAAACGGTGGGATATTTCTGTGCTACATCAAAATCACCAGGAGGTTTAAAAATCATACCATGAACAACATGACCTAGAACAAAATTAAAATTTCATTTTCCATGTTGACTTTTTTGATAAAGAGAACGATATAAAACTAACCATGTTTAGGACTTTTGAAACTTATCAACTCGGGACAGAGAGATTCGTTTTGTTGACCTTAAATACAGAAAAACATGGAGTTCTTACAATTTGCTCGGTGAAGAAACCGGAACATTGTTGTAGTACACGTGATTAAAATGAAAGACGTCACGTAGATTTTATAAGATTGTTGAGAGCAATTGATGGTTTTTGATCAGCAAAATAAAGTCGACAAGTCTGTTTTAACAACATGACCTATTTCGTTACATGTTTGTAAATGTAGATCGTCCAGGTTGTGGACGATCTACATTTACAAACATGTAATGATCTATTTCATCGTTGCTAAAAATTTATTCAACGCCTTTCGTATCCTTGAATAGCAACGTAAAATACGATAAAACGAAGAGGTATCATCACCTGGTGCTTTAATATGAAAGCAAGGAGTTGCCATTATACTTGGGGTAAATGTCAACAATCCTTTACTATGATTGATGGCATAAACCGTTACTGAAGGAAGATCTTTAACAGAAGAATACACACTCACGAATAGACTACAGTCCTAAAGAAAAATATTCAGCTTTACATGGAGTAGAACATTATGAACGTGACGTAGATATTACGTATACATGACGTAGATATTACGTATACATGACGTAAAACTGATACCTCATTCATTGTAACATTATGATGAAAACCAATTTTGGTAAGACGTTCGGGTTTTCGTGAAGGAGATAAGTACCATGCAGCATAAAGATGTTGTTCAACAGATTTGTCTCGGGTTCCCATGAAATACACAACACCTTTCCTCTCGTCCAGCCATAACTACAAACAAAATAAAATTAAATGTAGATATGATCTTCGCACTTTGCTGGCCAATTTAAGCAATTGTCTCATGAACCTGAAAAATTCAGGCGTCTCAACGGGATTCGAACCCATGACCTCTGCGGTGCCGGTGCAGTGCTCTGACCAACTGAGCTATAAAGTCACACAGTGGAGAGCAGGTTCATGAGACAATTGCTTAAATTCTCCAGCAAAGTGCGAAGATCATATCTACATTTAATTTTAAACACCGCACTGCATATAACATTCTTCATAAAACAAAATAAAATGAAAACAACCTCAGGAGTAAACTTTGATTATCAAAATACACACAATAACTTCAACATTTACAGAATGGTGATGACATTAATGTTTACAGTAAATACATAAATACTTCATATGAATTAGTTATCTTTTTGGGTGAATGAGATAATAGTGATAAAAACAGAGTATTCGCTCTTAAGATTTATATAGTTTCTATAGCGTAATTGTACTTCATTATATTTCAAAGTATTAATAAACAATGCAGACCTACCTTATTACCATCAACCTCCCAATTCCCGGACGTGAACTGACGAAATGATGCTCTGTGTTCACTAACAACGCCATTTGTATGGTTTCCATGGCTACAGTCAACATTGACAAAATAAAGATGACGAAATCCTGACATCTCGCTTGTCCAAATAAATTTGATAAGATGGGATTGACCAGGTGGTGACATAAAGAAGTGTAAAATATCACAAACCTAAGCGGATAAAGGAGGATACTATAAGGTCTAACAGGGATTGTAATGTTTTCCTAAAGACATTTGGGACTGGTTATCTCTGGTGTTAAGAAATCATCAATTAACCCACATTTATCCAAACATCTGTTGATTCGTTGATAATGATCTTTATGGTCTCCTGGGGACTCACGGCTTCATCATAATCCATACTGGCTTCAGATTGTTGAGGAACAAAGATAGACAATGGAATTACTATAAGAGCAAGACGTTGTTGAGCTCTGTCCAGAAGTTGAGCCCAAATACTAAACAAAAAATATACATGACACAATAGTGGTAAGACTTTTGAGGAAATGCGTTGTCTCTCTCCCTACTCATCAAACTTTGGTTACAATAACCAAAAGCAATATAGTATATATACATAATTCAAATATCACCCACCTTTTTCCATCTGGTAGCCAACCACAACGAACAATATACTCTAGCCATGGAAAGACCTCATGTAAAGATACTTTTAAGTTATAAATAGTTGTTTCCTCATTGAACTAAAGGCAAAACAAAAAGAAAGCCATGGAAAATACTTCGTAAATCATAGCAATGATAAGAAGATAAAATATGACACCTTTCCATTGTCATTAAGTGTGAACTCAACCAACTTTAAACATGAAATTGCATTCTGTGTACCTTTCAAACGATAAACAATTGTTGTTTACATTTACATTGTTTACATTATGTAATTGTTCAGAATGAATAAACAGAACAACATATACCTGCTCTAGGATATCTATATGATTCAACAGTAGCAGGAGCTGTGGCTTCCATGCTCGGTGTCATAGTCAAAATTTCCACTTCACTTTCATCGACCTAAATATCAACAAGAAAATCACTTCCATATATGTCATTATGTCATCAAGGTAGTAATACTAATTTCATCAAAGTAGTAAGTGTTGTACAAATGCCAGCAAAAAAACAAGATATAATACCTCTTCATATAAAATACAAAACCTATTGTTATTTTCAACAATTGGCTGCCACCAATATCCAGTATAGCGATCAAATTCTTCCTGAACAACAAACGATGGTACTCCAGCTGAAATTGCCTCTTCTACCCCGGTATTCTGTGGCAGCCCAGAATGTGTCCATGTTAGACGCTTTTCACAACCTGTGTTCACATTGCTCACCCATACATCTTTGTGATGGATAAATGCTATCACATTGGGATTAGCAGGGGATAATTTAGGATCCATTCTTGATTCTTTTATTTGGCTTCTTACTTCACCAGGAACAAGTGGAACATTGGAATCACCAGGATTCTGTGAGATGGTCAGATTACATAAATCAGGGATAGTGAAGGATAAAATTGTGGTAAAATCACGTTTATACTTACAGATGGAAGAACATGATCTTTACACATGTATAGACTACTGCAAGCAGGAAATAATATACTCCTAGAGTTCTTGTCATACTCATAAGACGTAATACCAAAACTTCCCATTCTTTTCGTTCTCTCAAGAGTTGTTCTTCACGAGAGAAGCCTTGAAAAGGCCCAAGACTATCTAAATCTAGTAACAAATGCCATGTAGGAATTGCCACATGACCTGCAGTCCCGTTTCCATTCTTGCCTTGTCTTAAATCCACGTAAAACAACGTGTATTCACTTCGGTTTTCAGGCAAAGCCAAGAAGTAGAGTTTAGAGTCGCTGAAAGTGAAATTATTTGGCGTCCGAATCGATCTTCGACTATGCAAACTACGCGATGTCTTTACAGTTGAGATTAAGTCAATCCAACTGCGCTTACGACCAGGCTCATTAAACATCCTCGGTAGTTTCCCCGTCATGAAAACCAACTATTTCAAATATTGATCAACTAACGAAATGCCATTGCGAAATTCCCATTCATTTCAACCATTTTGAATTCCGAGATTTCTTAGTTCTCAGTCCCCTAGACCGTCCATCCACGCATTTCGCTGATTATGCTTATTTCGACAAATCTTTCAAATCGTTTATTCAACAAGACAATTTTATTTACATCGCTTTAGTCACAATGAAAGCAAATACAACAAATTTTATAGCTAGTACTGGTACGGCTGAATCAATCTGTAGGTATGGATACGTGAATCTTTTGATTAAGGAGAGTTTTTAGCAGCATTTACTGTGTTCAAGTGAAGTCAGTTGTGCATTAAGATCATCTACATCACTTGCTTCCTAAATTTGAAATGCAATGACATAAAGAATAATCCCTCAAATGATATCCATAAAAATGCATCAAAAATACTTTAGAATCCTTCAGTTCTTTGATGAGATGAGCCAAACAATTAAAAGCCTGAAAGAAGTATTACTTCATAAGAAAATTCAAGATATCAGATGATGTATGCAAGCAATTCAACTATATACATAAGACATACTTCTTCAACTCCTTGTCCATCTTTAGCACTAGTCTCGAAGAATTTTAAATTGTTATTTTGTGCAACCTATAAAGAAATATGATATTAATTTTCTTTCAATCACATGCTGAGACAAAGTGCATCTTAAAAACAGCAAGATCAGCAAAATACCATCTCTCCTCTTTGCTTTGAAATTGTTCGAAGATTTTGTAAGTCAGCTTTATTACCTACTAACACTTTACAAACATCTGTGCTGGCATTCTATAAAATAAAATGTTCATCAAAATTCCACAAAACTTTTTCATACATGCCAAGTTGTAATAGGCAAAGCTTGCAGAAAATTTGACAGAGCTACTAATCTAAGCAAGTGCCAAGGGCGTAAGTATTTGAGCAAGCTGAAATTTCCAGGCAAAAGTTATTGCATCTAAAGTATTTATAATTTGTATGCACAAAACTTGATCAAAAACCTCTTCAATGTTTCTTAACCAAGAATTAATGTGACCAAAAGACTCTTCAACAGTCACATCATACACCAAAAGAACACCCTGAATGATGAGGAAAAAAACAGCAATAAAAAGTCAATAATAATTAATAGCCTTAGTCCAAAACTATCACACATACCATTGCTCCTCTGTAATATGCACTTGTTAAAGTGCGAAATCTCTCTTGACCAGCAGTATCCCTGCAACATAAAAAACAAGTGTTTCATAAGAATATAACTAAGGTTATATCTAAAGGAAACCCATCTTACATACCAAATCTGCATACGAACTTTTAGTTCATCAACATTTAACATTGTCGTCCTGCAATCAATTCCTAAAAACGTTTACAACTAGTTCAAATCTTGCTATCTGAATGGCTGAATCACAACCAAAAAGATGATTTTCAGTAGCTTTTTGTCTCATTGCCAGAACTGAATTAGATCTTAATTGCATACCATTCGAACAAACGGTGCAAACTGCAACTTTCATACTATCGTGTCTTCATGCAACGACGATGAACAGTTGAGTTAAGGACAATAAGGACAAATGGCTAGCCAAGAGGCATTAATTAAACTATTTTAAAAAAGTATTGTGATAATGACGAAGCTTTAATACCTATTGTAGAAACATAAGCATCCGTGAATTCTCCAGCTGTATAACGATAGATTAAGCATGTCTTTCCCACACCACTGTCACCTAGCACAAGGATTTTAAATGTAGAATCGTAATCATTATTTACAGACATTGTAAATACGTGTTTACACGAAGCACTACTTTATCATGAGACGGCAATAACAACGTTCATTCCACTTCCGTGAAGGGCAAGTAATTGCAAGTAGGAAATCCGATCACGTTGACCTCTCTCAATCACCGACATCGTCAAACAAAGCTTCAAAAAATGCAGTAACTTTAAGGCCAGACAGTGGAGTCAAATATCATTGATAAATTTTACAAAAAAAAACATTTAAGAAATGCAATCACCACAAATTGAAAAGAAAGGAAGATAGACTTTTATATGAACTTCTTACGTCTTTTTCACCAAGTGCTGATTTCCAATGGAAAGTGAAAACTAATATTTTAAGATAATTATATAGCCTTCTTTACTTATGTAAAAATTAGAAAGATAAATGTCACAATTTCTAATCAAACAATAAAGAATTAGAAGAACCAGAACTGAGTAGATAACAGAACTATTCATACCTTGCGATGAGCTGACATCAGCAAAGTTTTATTTATTCTGACATCAATCACATTTAATTGTTTTTGCTTTGTATCTTTTTATTGAAGTATGAAATTTAAATGATGAAATAAACTAATGTAATATCTCTATTTTGGATGGTGTATAAAGATTGGTGATCTTACATCATCTCAAAAAGAAGAAATTAAATAAAGGTGGAATCATATCTTGAAATCATTTCTTCGAATCATTTCTTGCAAAGGATACAAAAACGATAAAAGTTTTTGAAGATCAAAAGAAGAGTTTTTCTACAATAAGTCAACAATGAAGAGATAAACGCGGAAGTACAACTTTGGTTGGGATAAATTTGCACGATAATTGTTCTGGTGATTTCGTTTACTACCAACAGGCAATCTGTATCATTTTTTTATAATCTAAACGCTTCAATCAGACGTTTCATACATTGATGTTGTAGGTACTGTTAAGGACAACACAGATGATGAGGTATACTACACGTTTTATCCTTCTATATCAACTGTTGTCTGAATTGATCCAGCAAATACATCGGTACATGTTCTTCAGCAACCTACGGGGTAAATTTGACTCGGTTCTAGTGGTATATACATTGTAACTTCTACAAGTTTAATATAGGTACAAAAAAAATGTTTTTTTTCGTACCTTTCTTGATAATTTGCTGTAATGAAGGAAATCTTCAAAAAATGCTAAAGTATTGATGACTTCATCCTGGAGCTCTGGTACTTTACCACTAAATACAGGCCACAAATGAAAACGATATCAGGCATAACTATGTATAAATTTCTAAGCATGAACTAATTCGTGTAAATCCCGCCTGTCAACATCTAAAATATAAAATAACACATAATAACTTACTTGGCATTTGAGTCGACTAATGAACGAACGTATTGTCCAAGACAAGCCAAGAACTGATGCGTTGTTTCAACATGATATTGTTTTAAAGCTGTAATAATACCAACTACAAATGGTGCACAGTCAACTGCATCACCAGGTTTTCTTGCCACCATGCCAGCTTAACATAAACAACAGAAAAAAACTATAAACAATTATAAAGGAAAGCTCCGCAAAATGACCATACAGAAAGACCATAAAAATGACCATACAAAATGACTATAGAGAATGACCATACAGAAAGATCGTACAGAATGACCATACAAAAATACCATAAAAAATGACCATACAAAATGACTATAGAGAATGACCATACAGAAAGACCATACAGAATGACCATACAAAAATACCATAAAGAATGACCATACAAAAATACCATAAAGAATGACCATACAAAAAGACCATAGAGAATGACCACACAGAAAAACCATACAGAAAGACCATAAAGAATGACCATACAAAAAGACCATAGAGAATGACCATACAGAAAGACAATACAGAAAACCATAAAGAATGACCATACAGAATGACCATAAAGAACGACCATACAGAAAAACCATAAAGAATGACCATACAAAAAGACCATAGAGAATGACCATACAGAAAAACCATAAAGAATGACCATACAGAAAAACCATAAAGAATGACCATACAAAAGACCATAGAGAATGACCATACAGAAAGACAATACAGAATAACCATAAAGAATGACCATACAGAAAAACCATAAAGAATGACCATACAGAATGAACATACCGAAAGACAATACAGAAAGACCATACAGAATGACTTTACAAAAGAACCATACAGTACAAAAGAATCATAAACAAGGATAAAAAAACGTTGTTGGTAACTAGCTGTAAAGAAAGATTCACAAATACGTACCTAGATGTTTTACATAAACTACTTTTGGTAACTGTGAAACGACACACAACATCGTCAATAATGGCAAATAACCAATCCTCTGTGTTGTAATGTAGATCTAAACACAACAAGAAAAATAAAGCAATACCATTGCATCATCTATAAGATAAATGCAACTAAGAAATGGCTGGTGCGGAGCAAACGGAATTTATACTTCTAGCACTGGCTATAAATGCCGGGAGCTACATTGCCGACCTTGGCTAAAGGAAAATGATCAAAACTCGGCCCATTCTCAGGAATTTTGTTTGCTTTATAAGGATATCACCTTCTTCAATGGATCGTGAATGCCAGCAGACTCCAGGTATGTTGATAGTTCAGACATAAGAGGATTTTCCTCGCTGGGATATGGTTTATTAGGATCTTGATAATGAGCTTCGATATCTTTGATTAACGATCTAATAAAATGAATAAGTTGTTGTAAGACAAGCACATGAAGGTCATTATTGGATAATCAACACTTACTGATTTAGCGTGCTTAAAGTACTTTCAAAGTGTTTCGAATTAAACTTGCAGGAAAAATTTAACTCGTTTGTTATTTGTAGTCGCAGTAACTGCATTTGACCAACCTACATGACAGAGATAACCAGAGATGTACAGTGTTTGATAGCTAAGGGTTTTTCATTTAATGGTTAATTCAGTAGACAGTTCTCACCTTCATGATCACATCAAGAAATTGTGGCCACGATTTGGAGCATTTTTGATATGCTTGAAAGTAAACTTTGGCAGGATTAGCTGCAAATAAAATAAAAAGATTATATTTTGATTGCAATGTGAAACGTATGTTTGTAGATGTAGATCGTCCAGGTTAGCGCAGTCCTGGGAAGGACTGTTGGTGTTGATGTTGAATGATGTTTTTACGTCAAATAACCGAAGTTGACTTTGATCATGATCAACGTGATGAATGTCGAAACATCAGTCAGCACCAACACTAACCTGGACGATCTAAAATATTAACGATACTCCCACATTACCAACAATTTTCTTAACGGGAGTCAAATTTTGAGCAAGACCATCAAGCATGCCACGAAAAGAAGCGTCTTTCTTTAAAGAAACTTGCACCATTCTCACAAACATCTTCCAAAATGTGAAAAATAAAGTAAGCGTTAGATCAATAAAAATTCATAAAGGAAATGTCACGGTAACACTGGAAAAGAGAAACATAATGGTGATTGAAATTTGCAAGAGATTTCCCCAATCAAGTGAACAATAAAAGTGTAATGATATCATCTAAATATTCAGTCCCTTTCCTTTACGGTCGGAAAAAATATGTTATTTTATAAAAAGGATTTTGTTGTTAGTTGTGTTTGTCACATATTTCTAAACAAATGCTGACCACTGCTTTCATTGTGAATGAAGCAAAAAAAAGGTGGTAACTTGGTTAGGGGGAGAGAGAGAAAATGGAAACATTGAAGTAAGTTACAAACCTGAAGTTCTTTCACTATCATAAACGAAAGAAGTTTATCAAGTCCTGTAAGACCAAATGAGTCAACACTGTATTGAAGTTCACGAAACAACAGAAGGTTGACAACTTCTTCTTTCGTTTTACAGTCATACCACGCTCCACTTTCTTCGATGTAACACGTAGATCTAAAAATAATATGTAAACGAGCACTAAGGATAATATTTTACTCTTAAAAACACTTTCAATAACCCTAAAAAATATTTCTCATGCTTTTCATTACAGACTTCTCTTTTTACTTTGGATCAGTAATCCGTAAAATTTCTCTCGCCAAACGACCAATGAAATTCACCGATTCATCCACCGGCGGGAAAATAGGAATGGGGATAGTCGTTGATTGGTAGATGGATTGCCAATCATATACCTTAGCACGTAAAAAGCTGTTGCACTCCTGTTCCACGTTATAATTTATAATTCTTGACACTTCTTCCTGCCAAATCTTTAAACCATAAATGTTGACGTAATCTTGAATGTATTCAAATGATCTTTTAAATGCATCCATACGATTACCAAGTTCCTTCAAACGTGGACGAAGATCAGACTGCAATGAGAATCACAACAAGCAAAATAACCAGGCTAGAAGGTTTTAAATGAAATATTTAAAGAAACCTTATCTACTCACTTTTACTTTAGAATTAAAAATGAGCCCCTGATGTAAAGCGCCAGCGACTTGACGGACGAGTTCCTTTCTAATGCCATCCTCAAGAAGTTGTTTCGGATCAACCTGGTCGAGATAATAGGACAGAATGTACAAAAAATTCAATGATGCATTTCTGATGTAAAGAAAATGTAAACTTAAGACGTAGAATCATCATGTTTTTGATATTATCTCTAGTAGGTACCTTAATAATACCGACCAACGTTGTTTTCATCATAAGAATCCCTTCGGTAAATACCGAAATGCTGTGAGTTAGTCTAGCAACCTGAAAAAACCGCCAAATATACAATTTCATCTCATCATAATGTTGAAGGCTGTTGTTGTGAATATGCTAACCATGTAACGTTCATCTAACTGAGCATATTCACGGAGCTTTTCTTTCTCAAGTCTTGTAGGAACCTTCGTCAACAAACAAAATATTTTTTTACAGACATTAAAAGATTATTGAAATAACTATTTATCTTCACCTCATGTTTGTAAATGTAGATCGTCCAGGTTGGTATAGTCCTGAGAAGGACTGTTTTTGTTGTTGTTGACTGACGTTTCGACAACCTTAGCGGTAGTCATCTTCAGGGTCAAAAATGACAGAAAAACAGTCCTTCTCAGGACTATACCAACCTGGACGATCTACATTTACAAACATGTAACGATACTCCCGGGTTCAAACCATTTACTTTATAATCACCTCCTTCATTTTATTGCTAAGAATCCAAATAATTTGAGCCAAAAGTTCAAACATCGACTCCGGGATAATTTGAAGCACCTACGTTTGAGATAACAAAATGTTTTTATCTTTTTGCTCTCAAACAAGGCCTGGCACATCATGAAAATTTTACCTTTCTGACATAGCTCACAAGTTCACCAGAATAATATTGAGACACACTCACTAAATCAGGGCTGTTCGCCTGACTAATACGAACGAGAGGTAAATCAAGCGCTGACGCCATCTAACGGAATAAAACAAATTCAATATAATAAAAAGTACGCATGATCAATGGAAATAATAAAATATAATGCCAACAAAAATATATAACTATATATGCAGTTTGATGATACGTTGTCAAAGACTAAAACTGTCAAAACCATCGGAGTCATCGATCTTGACTTGACAAGCCCAATATGCTGTTATGAATTCTTCACGACCCTATTTAACCTGTGTATTCCCAAGCATTATATCATTTATCCTCCATAGTCCCACCTTGAGAAAGGTAGCCCGTAGCTTCCGAACCAAAGAAGGGCTTTTCTTGATACCAGATTGCATGTTGCTGGTATAGCTACAACGAAAACAGTGGGATACATAGGAATATGAAGGAATATGAAGGGATAAAAGCAACGTGAAATACTCCACGACAATATGAAAGAAGGGATAGTGATGCAGTGGTAAAGAGGGTTATTGTGTTAAAGATTAGACAAAAAAGGATAAATAAACCTGTCGATGATAATCCAAGCATACGAAAGATCAGCAACGAGCTGAATAATAATCAGAACCTATCAAAAAATGAATAAAATGATGATTCAAAATTACTCATTCCATTTCAGAGTAAGAAAATATTGATCTCAGATTAAAATAGAAAAAAACGAACCTCTTCTTTAATGTTAATGATTCGTATCATTTTATGAAGGAACATTCTTGTGTCAGCGAGGAATTGACAGACTTGCAAGTTGCTCTCAAGCTGATGAAATTCTTGAACCTAATTTGAAATATGAGAACTTTGCCCGGATGTAGTTTACCAATTTAATAATTCTTTACAACACACATAAAATAACCTCTTCAAGTGCTTGTATTAATTGCACAATCTTTCTTCCAGCGGCCGTGGAATCTTCATAATCTAAAGACTGGATCTGAGTAGACATCTCTCTAAACCAGGCCTGTAAATTCTCTGCAGAGAAAACAATGAAAGCAATAATGCTTATTATCACCTGGGACCGGTTACACGAAGCATGGATAGCGTTATCCATTGGATAACATATTTTTTTAAACGGTTAAAAAACTTCTTAAAAAAGGAAAAATGTGAAGGTGTGAAGTGAGCGATCACTGAAATAAAATACTTCTAAGATTACAAAATTTCTTTGTCGCAATAAAAATATAAACACCTTTTTTCACAAGCTTAAAAAATTTAACATCCAATGGATAACGCTATCCAAGCTTCGTGCAACTGGCCCCTGGTGACCTCTTTCAAGTGATTATTTTTATGTCATGATCAAATACTATGAAAACCATGAACATATGCAAAAATATTTACCATTTTTTTGTATTCTTGTGAGAGGTTTGACACCGGAGAAAACGTCCGCCAACTCATCAATTCTCTCAACACTTTCACGTTTGTTCGTTTCCCATTTTATTTGCTTTTCTTGCAACATTTTTTTAAACAATTCCTTGACTACGTACTCGAACTGTGCTGTATTTAAGAGTATATCAAACCAATGTCCAGCATTATAACCACTCGCCAATACAGTATCTCGTATAGTACGACAACGTTTGTGATTATCCGCAGCTGCAATATAAAAATATTAAACAAATTTGATAAAAGACATAGATTGTCCAGGTTAGTATAGTCCTGAGAAGGACTGTTTTTGTTGTTGTTGACTGACGTTTCGACAACCTTAGTTGTAGTCATCTTCAGAGTCTTTTGACTGTGAAGATGAACTTTTGACTCTGAAGATGACTACCGCTAAGGTTGTCGAAACGTAAGTCAACAACAACAAAAACAGTCCTTCTCAGGACTATACCAACATGGACGATCTACATTTACAAACATGTAACGATACTCCCGGGTTCAAACCATTTACTTTAAAAGACAAAGACTTAAAGTGAAACTTGAATTTCTTTCTAACTATTCTTAAAAAATTTGTCCTTAGCATTGGTTCTTTTGCATTTTCTAACAACAACCACATTAAAGTTGCTTTTTATGCATCACAATCGTTGGATGTTAGCGTTGCATAGATGTTATGAGAAAGTAAACATTTTATAAACAATACCTCTATCTGTTGTATGCAATAAAACCCAACGAAGTGTAACGTTACAATCACGTATACAATTCATTAATTTGGGAATATTATCAAGAACATATTCTTCCGTTAAAAAACCTTCCTTTAGAAACTTCAGGACCTGGAAAAAGATAATATTTGGCTAATGGTGAGAATCAGTATCATTACAATGGATAACAAGGTACATAATGTTTACTTGAACATTCAACTTTTGAATATTACCAATGTGATGTATTGCCTAAAAAATGACAGTATTTTCAGTTATTACATAGATAGATGCTTGACATTTAAAACATTTCAGCCATTCACCAAATCTCTGATGTTTGTTAATTCAACAGTATTGTTCAGTGCGGTCTTTGCAGCCCTATATGGTTCCCATTCTTCCACAAGATTCACAACTATCCCCATGTAAACATTGATCACCTGTCATGAGAAAGTAGACTTATCAAAAAAAACTTTTGTATCAAGATTGATTTCATTCCATGTAAATATGTAAATGATGTTTTACCCAATTATCAGGAAAGTGTTTATCAACAATTTCTCTCATCACAGCTTGTTGAGAGTTTAAAATATCTGGAGCAAAATACAGGATGACATATAACATAGCAGCTTGTGTTGCAAGTGCTGTACTACGATGCTCAGGAAGAGGGTATGATGACACCTGTAGTGTATAAGATAATACATAAATAACAACATTTATGTACCACAATGATCATCAACCCTGAAAACCACCAACATCCTTAATCAAACCACCTAATCCCAACCATCATCTTTAATGAACCCTGTTAACCACCATCATCCCTGTTAACATAATCACCATCCTCAATCAGCCCTGTTAACCCTCATCATCCTCAATCAACCTTACTAACCACCACCATCATCTCTAATCAACCCTATTAACCACCATCATCCTCAATCAATCGTGCTATCACCACCATCATCCTTAATCACCCCTATTAACCACCACCATCATCTTTGATCAACCCAGCTAACCACCACCATCATCCTCAATCAAACCTGTTAACCACCACCATCATCCTTAATCAACACCACCACCATTGATCAACCTAACCACCACCATCATCCTTGATCAACCTTGCTAACCACCACCATCATCCTTGATCAACCTTGCTAACCACCACCATCATCCTTAATCAACCTTGCTAACCACCACCATCATCCTTGATCAACCCAGCTAACCACCACCATCATCCTTGATCAACCTTGCTAACCACCACCATCATCCTTGATCAACCTTACTAACCACCACCATCATCTCTAATGCGCCCTATTAACCACCATCATCCTCAATCAATCGTGCTACCACAGCCATCATCCTTAATCAACCCTGTTAACCACCACCATCATCCTTGATCAACCCAGCTAACCACAACCATCATCCTTGATCAACCTTGCTAACCACCACCATCATTGTCAGTCAATCTAGCAATACCTGATTATATATGTCATCCGAGCGCAGTCTACCAACCAGCATTTTCACAAAGGTTTTGGATATAGGTACACGACTGAAAAATAAGTACAATGAGATACAATAAAAAATATATGAACAGGAAAATGTGTAAAACATCATCACCTAAAGTAATCTTCAGGATATCTAGGTGGTCGCTTTCCAATACTGTAACCTGTGCTTCTTAGCAATTTGCAAACGTCATCAATATTAGATTCAATGTCTGCTCTTCCTGCACTGTAATATAAGAAATACACGATTTGTTAAATACTATGACTGCAAATTATTTATATTTTGGCAACTGATACCATAAAATGATAAACAACATCTTCATCCCTTATGCACCATGTACAACTGTGTAACTGTTTACCTACCAATATCGATAGTAGGATACCAACATTCTTTCACGAACTTCACCATCAAATTTCATATCAATCAGTAACAACATCACTCCATACAGGTACAAGCCTTCAGCCTAAATTGATGATCTCAGTAAAATTAATGATAAGGCTTTTGTAAATGTTCAATGCCGTTAAATGTATGCAGGCAATGTACCATAAGTTGCTTGCCATCAGCATTGACAAGCAATGATTCTAATGTTTGCTGAATGAACACACCATCGTCAAGTTCCTCCAAGAATCTGAAAAAAATTTCAATTTACCATAAAGTACGCACAATTTATTGTCATAACAAAGATAATATTAAACAATAATAATTTTTTTGTCAACCTGTTTAAATCTGTGATGTACTTAAAAACACTTTCGAATGCTAAGAAGAAACGAGTCAGAATATCGATGTGATTATCTCGAAACTCTGAATCGAGATCCTGTAGTTCCTGTGAAAAAAAAGAGCAAAACTGACTGAGTAAACACAGGAAATAATGGACGAAATTTTAATACTGCAAACCAGCACACACATTGGCAGAAACAAACAAATATCTGTGGCTATCATTTAAGCATTAAAGAACTCATCTTTTAAGACTTACGGATTTTGCATCGATTTTTGCTTCATAGAAATCAGGACCTTGGAAGTATGAAAAATCTGCCAATACTTCGCCATATTTCAACTGATCTCGTTTGTTAGCAAGTCGAAATTCGGGTGGCACAAACTCAGAAAGACGAAGAAGCTCTGCAATTATTGCATTTCCTCGACTAACAAGTTTTAACAATGATTGACCACAGATATTATTTTCAGCAAGAAAATCCACCATTTTGCATACTGTCGGAATTGCTCGTTACATCATCGTCTTTCGTCACAATGTGAAAAACCATGGTCAAATACTGGGTTATCCAAATTTATTCCCTGGTAAACGTTTATAGTAACTTTTATTTCTTTAAATGTTCTTAATAGTATGTAGCCTATTTGATTTTTTCGCTCTTTCCAATTGATAAACTTATTCAATATTCACAGAAAGAAGTAGCACAATAAACAAAAATATTCTCGTTTCTGGTGACAAGGTTCGTCGTCATAGCAAGGAGTTTTTTTTAATCTTTATAATCCGTAAGGGAAATGTTCTTGTGCCAATATTATCATCAGTTTGAATCGTATTTCAACCAGTTTTTTCGCGAAACAGTACGAAATGTTTATTTTAGGCGGTACAATTAAACAAGTCCCAATGGCACATAAGATCAGAGACTAGCCAAGCATAAAGACGTCTTTGAAAAAAGACAAAAAAGCGGGGTGAACTTAATATGCAAAAATGCCACATCTTTACTTTGTAGAGTACACACATCAAGTGAGCAACGGTCATAATCTTTGATACCATACTGTCATACAAAAAGGGAAAAATCCTTAAAAGTTGAGAGTGAAGGATAAGCAATATGTTGGTAAATTGAAGTATGCGTAGATTAAAGAAACGGTGCTTAAGTTTATTGAGAATGCAAACAGTACTCAATTATTTGTTATGGTTCTTTCTTCTTCATATCATCTTATTGGCAGTGTTCATTGTATATCAGTCAATGAAAGATGAATATCCGACTACGAAAAATCTACCATTATATAATGAACAACAAGACCATATTCCTTCTAACGATATTCATTTTCGAATATCCACTCAAGAAGTGTTAATCCGTGAAATTATAGACAGCCAAAGATATGATATTCATATCAGTATTGCAAAGGGAAAGGGACCTCCAAAACTGTCGTTCAGTAAAAATAAACGATGGATTCCTCCAAAGATTGTAAAGGATGTTCATTCAATGAAACGTTCATTCACCAAATATGTGTACGTTCACGCCGAATACACAGAGCAAATGTCAATGGCGACGTTAAGTTTATTGAGTCTTTGCGGTTTTGCTCAGTTTGGCGATCGAAAAGTCGTAAGACCTTACACTCGAGATTCAAGGATAACAAGCAATGAACGTAACACCAGATCACTTGGTGTACTTTATGACTTGGATTATTTGGGTAATTTACTGAACAATGCTGGTTATTCACCTCTTGTCGATAAGCAAGAATATTTAAATGAATGCAAACCGACAGATCCAAATCATGTTACCATTCATTTTCTCTACATTGGAGGTGTAACGAAAAATTGGAATTTAGGCAAATTTAAGATAACTGAGGATGTTTATGATAATATTTTTGCGAAAACCAAAGCAACAGGATGGACCGACTGTTCGTTTCTTGATAATCTAATGAAAATTACACCAAGTAAGAGACAATATTGCATTAATCCCACAATCATTAAAGACTGGCGCGTTCTTGAACGAGATATTGTTAATGGGGCGAAATGTTTAAACATAATTCTCTGGAGGGGAATTGGTGGTGGAAAATATCGTAGTTATTTCACGGAAGAGCATATAAAATATTCACACACCGTTTTGCAATATGCATTGAAACCCAGTATAACTGTGCAACATGAAGTAACAAAATTTCAACAAGCTTTTCTTCAAGATCGCTACATTGCAGTCTATATTCGCGCGGAACTTGTCCTTATACCGCATCGCTTCGATATTGATTTGTTTAGAAACTGTTTGAACGTCGTTGTTGATGTTGTAGCAGCTCTTAAAACCATTACTGGTATTAATCTAGTCTATCTTGCATCTGATATGTCTAAATATGGTTCTGGATCGTTGCTTCGAAATTATCTTGGCAGTTCTGAAAACAAAACAAATCCTTTTCCGGAAATTTTCAGCTCTCTAAAGTCTCGTATCGGAGGTGTAGTGTATGATTACAATCCTTTAAATACTGAGATTGTAGATCGTGGAGCAATAGCTCTTGTTGATTGGTCACTTTTATCGCATGCGCAGTACTTAGTTACCGCTGGTGATGAAGAAATGTCGTCATTCGTACGTCTGGTTATCGGATCTTTTCTCACCAATCATCAAGATGATAAGGAACTTTGGTCGAAGATTTCCGTGTGTGGGAAATAAACTGTTGAACAATGCTCATTGGTCAGTTGATAAATCACGTGTCTTTGGTGAACGCCATAAATGTCTTTACTCGTGACTAAAGACGAAACAAAAATCAAACAGTTTCTTGATGTTATCAAAAAAAATGCATAAAATTTTTATCGCGTTCTCTTTCGTTTTGTTACCTTTTGTGGCGAGCCGAGTTGACTTCTTCAACTTTTTTTAAACTATCCAGAGCATGAGGTATTCTAAAAAATGAATTAGGTATCTTGAAGTATATACTAGGTATCCTGAAGTATATATTAGGTGTATCTTAAAATATATATTAGGTATCCTGAAGTATATATTAGGTATCTTAAAGGATAGATCCAGACACATGATGTATGTTAAATGACAGAAGTGAAGATCACCTGCTTTTTTTTATACTAGGAATTTCCTCCTGATCTTGAGTATATGATTGTAACTGATAATAAAAATGGGGCAAAACAACAAAACAGTGAAAAATTTCATTGTTGATGATTATATTTTATATATTTCTACTTCAAACCTGACGTTCTGTCGCGAGAACTTCGTCTTGCCTTTGAAAGTTTTCCTCTTTCTTTTCTCTTTGATCCGTAACACGCAGAGTGGAGTTTAAAAAAATTGGATTTTTAGATTTTGGGAAAGGTGGCGAGTCTTTAAAACTTAATTTCACTTTCATATTGTTTAGACCATCAAAACTGTTGTTTGTGGTTGAATTTCCTTTTGTCAGCAAAATATCAGAAATGATGTGAAGCCCTTTGAAAGGCTCCTGGGTAAACGTTAAGGAGTCTGCCTTCCCACTGTTCAACATGACCATTCGTTCCAAAGCGTCGATACGAGAAGTCAGATTAACTACATTCCCCATGATATTACACTTAAAAACAATAATTAAGAAATAAAAGATGTCACGAGGCGACATTTGGGAGAACTCGAGAGGAGATCAGTTCAAGCCCGAGACCGAAGGTCGAGGTTGCACATGCTCGAGAGTGATTGATTGTTTTGATTGATTTGATTGGTTGAGCTCAGATGTGTTTTGCACAGGCTAATGCAAACACGGCTCTAGACCAATCACTGCACGCGTTTCATTGTTTTTATTTTAAAAAAGTTTTAGTGGTAGAGACTGTGAGATTATAGATTGAAAATACGGTTTTTAAGTAACCTATGACAGTTTACTTTTAAAGAGATTATGACTTTTACCGTACGATACTAACTCAAGAGGACATTTTCCTCTTTCACCCTTTGCACCTTACCGTAAGATACTTACTAACTCAAGAAGACATTTTCCTCTTTCACCCTTTGTACCCTACCGTAAGATACTTACTAACTCAAGAGGACATGTTCCTCTTTCACCCTTTGCACCCTACCGTAAGATACTTACTAACTCAAGAGGACATGTTCCTCTTTCACCCTTTGTACCCTACCGTAAGATACTTACTAACTCAAGAGGACATGTTCCTCTTTCACCCTTTGCACCCTACCGTAAGATACTTACTAACTCAAGAGGACATGTTCCTCTTTCACCCTTGCACCCTACCGTAAGATACTTACTAACTCAAGAGGACATTTTCCTCTTTCACCCTTTGCACCCTACCGTAAGATACTTACTAACTCAAGAGGACATTTTCCTCTTTCACCCTTTGCACCCTACCGTACGATACTTACTAACTCAAGAGGACATGTTCCTCTTTCACCCTTTGCACCCTACCGTAAGATACTTACTAACTCAAGAGGACATGTTCCTCTTTCACCCTTTGCACCCTACCGTAAGATACTTACTAACTCAAGAGGACATGTTCCTCTTTCACCCTTTGCACCCTGAAAAAAATAGACATGTGGTTATACCTATGAACATACTTGAAATATTTGTACAATGATGGTACTCGCCATTATCCCAGGTAATCCAGGAGGACCAGGCGCTCCTCTGTCCCCCTAAAGATTTCTGTCGTTAAAATACATTCAAAAGACATTAGAGATTTAAAATTGCAAATTGTGCCTTACCATTGATCCGTCTAGGCCTGCTAAACCATAACGACTTTTCAGATGTAACAAAATGTTAACCTTGCAGTTAAATGATAGATTGCGTTAACGTTTGTTGATGATACAAACAATGTAAAAATTTAGTTGTTTACATTTTCTCCGGCAGCAGCTTCGATGTTGAATCGTTTTTTAGTCTTTTCACTTGTTGTTGAGGTGAGTTGATGTGAAAATGAAATGAGACAAGTGAACGATAACACAAAAATACAAAACGTAAGAATACTTTTGACTGAAGTCATTGTAATTTGAAAATAATTGAAAATACTTTCAGAGAAAATCTGCGTTCTACAGTGCAAAGCATTTCATTTTTGCCCGTGGAATGAAGACCAATTTAGTGAAAGACTGTCAATTTTGCAGGTACCAGCTATTCTTTGTATCAAATGATCAAAATAAAAATACATTTGCTGATTTCTATCTTACAGCTGTAAACAACCCGAGAAGAACGTAAGTCTAAAAGACAAGCAGAAAAAACGCAACTGTATTATGCTAGATAAGGTTACAGAAATTTACTTTTTACATTGTAATACCGAGTAAATGTAACTTAAATGTAACACAATGAATAGAAATTAGCTTATTTGATGGCTTTTTGAAGCAACATAACAACATCTTTATGTCCATATACAGTAGCAATGTTTACTGGAGTATCACCAGAATCATCTTGTACATTCATTGGACACTTGTATTCCATCAGTAATCTCAATACGACAACATGACCACCTTCAGCAGCACAATGTGCCGGGATCCAACCTCCGGTCATCCGCATCTCCATATCAGCACCATGATCAAGAAGAAGTTTGACAGTTGCAGTAGACCCTAGACGACAGAAATAATACTCAGTTCTGCCATTAGTCTCCACATCTAACTATAAAACATTTGAGCCTGCCAAACTCACCATTACAAGCGGCAATATGCAAGGCAGTTCGTTTGCCCCAGTCCCAATCCTCTGCGTCGACATCAATATCTGATTTAACAAGAAGACACTGGAGTGTTTTCACGTCATCTTTTGCTGCTGCTTCGTGAAGCTCGGTCATTACTAAGAAAGCCTTAAAAACATAATAGAAAAGATACATATTATACGAATGAGTTTATGCTGGCACATTTGCGGGTGTCAAAAAAGATAACGAAAATATAAAGTAATACTTACCCCTCAATAAATACGCTTACAAAGTAACAAGATCACAATAAATATGAATCTTAAAAATAAGTCAGTACAACAATTACGGCCAGAAATATATGAGAGAACTATCATTGTTTGTCTGAATGACAAAGAAACAGCACCTGCAACTAATCACTTATGAATTATTCATGTTCGATCAACTGTACGCAAGTAACTGGAGTGATGAATGAGAAAGCATCTTTCAAAAAACGTCTATATAGATTTTTAATAATTTTTTGAAAATATAAGAAAAATTACAATGATCTTTTTCTCAAATCTTTTCCAGTCGAAGTAGCTATGGAGGAATTAAAACGTGACATTGATTACATAATATCATATGAAATCATATGAAATGTTGCATCGTGGTCAGGGATATGTCAGCCATATGAAATGTTGCATCATGGTCAGGGATATGTCAGCCATATGAAATGTTGTATCATGGTCAGGGATATGTCAGCCATATGAAATGTTGCATCATGGTCAGGGATATGTCAGCTGTTAAACATTGAGAGAAGAAATCATTTTCATAATCATTACAGACGATTCAAACTTTCTTGAGACGAATTTACTACAGTTGCACCTGAAACAAACAAGAGCATACGTATCATTTTTTGCGACATTATTTTAACCAATCACGAAATGCAATACATACGCATTTCCTGAGACTTTGTTTTGTCCGAGATACTTCGCCGTTTAGGCGGTTGCTTGCTTTTCGTTATCGCTCGTTGAACCTGGACAAATAAGAAAAACATTAACGAGAGTTTAAAAAATAAGAACTGGTGAAATTTTTTAAAGTTAAGGCAAGAAATCATCAATATATTGACCAAGATAACATAAACAACAGTATGAATGTTTTATGAAGTGCGGTATTTGAAATTAAATGAAGATATGATCATTCATTTAATAAACAACAGTTTGCACTGACAGTGAGATCATGTACAACGATGGAAATCTTAGTCTGTATATTTTTTAGTGGGTGATCCAGCGTTAGTCAAAATAAATAAAGCTGCTCAATTTTACATTCAAAACTATTGATTTTCTGAATAAAATTTTACCAATCAAGCTACCTCTAAAGTATTTGGAAATGTAAATATATCTAAAATAGGCTGCGGTAATTTATTTTGACGTAATGTAGCCTAAATACGCCACCAATTAATTTTCAATTGTAATGAGCAGAATTTAAACCTTTATTTAAAAAATCTTTTGAATTTACCTGTTTATTAAGCAAACAGTGGAACACAAATATAAACAATCCTTGTAGAGAGTTGAAAATTGCAAAAAGATACTTTAGGAAAAGCTTATCAAAAAATAAATCCAAGATGGCGAAGATCCAGGCAAAGCCAAGGACTGGCATTATTATAATGGACGCTCGTGCCGTAGCTCGTAATTTTCCAACTGTATCCTCGTTTTGTACACGTTGTGATGTAATAACGCTACGTAACATGATACCGTAGACAACATGGCTTGCCTGAAAAACAAAAAAAATTTTAAATATGACGTAATGTGCCTAGATTGAGCCATCTAGCAACATCTAGGTGTGTCAGTATAGAAGGTAATTAACAAGAAACAAAGAAATGCGTATCAAGATGAATTTGAAAGCATACAAAGATCTCTAAACAGTTCAGCAACTAACCAGTAAAACACAAATCATAGGTCCTAGGGCAGCCCAAAGGAAACCATCTTCTTGAGACAACCAACAATGACCTTCTCGCCCATACGAAGATACTCCCTTTATCGCGATTGATATAGTAACAATTACTGCAGGTACTCCTAATGAGTAAGCAATGAAGCAAAAACAATAATTTTTGTTAGCGATGTGCGCCGACAGTTTCTAAAAATTGTTATGTGAAATAAAAGATTCGTCAGAGGAAAAATCCCTTTACTACCATTTCTCAAGAAAATAGAAAATGATGTTTTAATATACACCATCTCTTACCCCATCCAATGAAATGAACAGACAGATACCAATTGCGTCCATACTCTTTCTTAAAAACATCTGTAATAAGCATCGTCAGTAATATTCCTTCACATAACATCCATAGAAATAATGCCAAAACAAAGTAATGAAGCAGGACTCCAACAGCTTCACAAGGCACCTGAAACATGCAAAATTATATAGTCCCTCGAGGTATACACCTATCCTTCCCTGTCCTCCTCCTTAGATGTATAATCCCTCGAGGTATACACCTATCCTTCCCTGTCCTCCTCCTTAGATGTATAATCCCTCGAGGTATACACCTATCCTTCCCTGTCCTCCTCCTTAGATGTATAATCCCTCGAGGTATACACCTATCCTTCCCTGTCCTCCTCCTTAGATGTATAATCCCTCGAGGTATACACCTATCCTTCCCTGTCCTCCTCCTTAGATGTATAATCCCTCGAGGTATACACCTATCCTTCCCTGTCCTCCTCCTTAGACGCACCTCGTCGTCGTCTCCGAGAGCTCCACGAACTACAGAGAAAATATTAAGAAGTGCGATGGCGAGACAAAGATTCATGAAATTCACATAACGTGTTGACCACAGCGCCTTCCGTAAATACACGTAAACAATCATCGTCAACAAGATGGCTGCCAGAGATATCGCAGAACCAATCGTTGAGATGGTTTCCAACCTTGTATAATCATCAGAATCCTGACAAAAGTAAGGCAGTCGACATGATTGAACTCTCGATATCATATTGAAAGAAGACAACGGTTTATATTCCTCGACATTTTCCCATAAAGTGACTAAAGTCAGTAATTGCCATCGTGCACATGCGCAGGTTTTGGAGCAAAACACGAATTTATACCTCAATTATTTTATTGGTATTAAACCAAGAATAAAAACGCTGCCTGTACGCCAGACCATAGTTACACGTCAAAAGTTACATGAACATTGCCACCTTACCAAAAATCCGCTTCTTGATACAAATACAGCAAATAACGTCAAATGATCACATTCACAAGTGGTAATGACGTCAGTAGTTTCTTCGGGAACCAATCGGCAACCCTCGTCACTCCATTGGCTGTACGAAACATCTGGATTCCAAAAAACACATTGTTTTTGCGTTTTTGAACCGAGTCTCTAAACAATCACAAAAATCCGATATTTATAAAGATATTTATAAAACAAGCTTTACATTAAAAATACACGAAATGTTCCTACCGATCCATTGTTTTCCAATCGAATTCTCACAGGTTCTGCGAATCTCTCGCTATCAAGTGGCTTCACAGTCGTAGAAATGATTTGGGAGCCAGGAAGCAAGAATATACCACTACCACTCGTGTTTGCCGTCACGTTTACAACACCAAGTATGGATGCCAGAGTATTGTAAATAACGCTGACCACCGTCAACGAAGAAGAATTTGACTGAAATATGACATTATGGCGACAAAATAAGATGCAGAGAAATATTATCAAATACAAATTTTTACAAATATTTTTCATACGTTGTTGAAAATAGATTGCGGTAAGATGATCTTGCTGTTATTTTGCTGGAAGACATATTCTTCTTGCTCAGTGTCATTCATTACGTCATAGTGACGAACTTCAAATGCGAGATTTTCTTGAACGCTATTTTCAATGACGTCACCAGTTATGTTCAAATATTGTTCAACATTAAAACCAAAACCCTCCAGAGATGTCACCAATTCAGCTGCAGTGTTAGGGCTAATCTAAAAACAAATAAATTGTAGAAAACTTTAACACGACCGTTCTTCATAAAAAGATCTTGGATAAAGAAACCATACCTCATCAATGTCAGTCCATGTGTTTATATTTTCCATGTGAAGAAGATTGCTTGCAATCTCAATGAACGAATCAATGGTTTCATAATTTATTTCGGTATGAACAATACCGCTTCGAAAGAAACCGTCGCTTCTTTCGAGGATGTTTACCGTCGACAGTAGATCCCTTCCATACAACCGTAATGGTCGACCGGCTCTGCGACGAGTTAACGTTCGAAGTTCTCTCAGAGCACTTCTGATGCTAATGTTCACATTGAAGCCTTCCTCAAGAGCGTTTAACTGTACAGTAAAAAATTACAGTTATGTTTGTAATATAGTTAACAAAAACACAATGAAAGAAAATCATGCAAAAACATTTTGGAAGATCATCGTCATAAAATGACCATCAATTTTTTAGTACAACTCAAAAGTTGTATATTTAGACTTTGCAAACATTTTTACGATGTTAATGAACTACAAAGATACATTCACCTGATCTTCTATAGTCTCAAACTCTGGACTGCGGCAATCTTTCAAATTGGGTCGACGCCATCTTGGAGGGCGACCAGGGAACGCCCTACAAACACGTGTTGCAGTCCCTACAGAAACACAAACATACAATAACACAAACATAAGCATTTCGATCAATCTTCTAAACTCAACAAAGATAACCAATTCACACCAGATTCGTCATCATCTTTAATACAATTTTGAGAGGCGGTAAAGCCTACTAGCGTTTCATTCCAATGTATCCCATCAATCTCCTCTTCGTTACAAACACCAAGACTTTCTGCTGTGCCTATGAAATCATTACAAAAAATAGAAAGTAGTTACGACACTCAATCTCATGAATTTCACAAAAGTGTAGAGCTCGGTTGAACATTGACGAAAAGCATTCGAGTGGTGTAAAATAATAAAAATTCCAAAAATGTTTCATAATGTAGAAAGGTTTTACGACACTTTAAAGCACTGAACTAACTATAACATGGCGTTAGTAAACATACCAGGCAAAATAACGATAAATCTCGCTAAAGGACTACGCGTCGTTTGTCCTCCATCTTTTATTTCACAGTACATATCATAAACATCATAACCATCTTTCGTTGAGTGCAAACGTCGGGGAACTTCCCATGTTAGTAATTCATTTTCACTATCAACATTCCTCCATTCTCCATCAGGGAGACGTTTACGATACCATGAGTATGAAACATTCCTTTCTTGCAAATCATGCAAACTACGACAACGCCAATTGAAATCCCCTGTCGCTGTAAAAAAAAATTGGACAAATGAAACTTTCTTTCAAAAATATATAAATATTAGACAGTGTTGACAATAATAACTATTAATGAGTACCATACTATTCAGTAGTCAATAAATACTAACTACTAATGAGTACAATACTACCAGTAGTAAATACCATACTACCCAGGGTGAGTACCATACTAACCAATAGTGAATACCATCTAACCAATAGTAAGTACCATACTAACCAATAGTGAATACCATAATAACCAATAGTGAGTACCATACTACCCAATAGTAAGTACCATACTAACCAATAGTGAATACCATACTAACCAATAGTGAATACCATACTAACCAATAGTGAATACCATCTAACCAATAGTAAATACCATACTAACCAATAGTGAATACCATCTAACCAATAATAAGTACCATACTAACCAATAGTGAGTACCATACTAACCAATAGTGAGTACCATACTAACCAATAGTAAGTACCATACTAACCAATAGTGAATACCATACTAACCAATAGTGAATACCATACTGACCAATAGTGAGTACCATACTAACCAACAGTAGGTACCATACTAACCAATAGTAAATACCATGCCAATAGTGAATACCATATTAACCAATATAAGTACCATACTAACCAATAGTAGAGTACCATACTAACCAATAATAAGTACCATACTGACCAATGTAGATACCATACTAACCAATGGGTACCATACTAACCAGTAGTAAGTGAAACATCATTAGGATCAATTCTTATCGCAGTAGGTGGACGGAATATTACAAATAATCCAAGTGTCACAATTGTGCTCCTGTTGGTGCTAAAACAAAAGAAAATAAAGATATTTCTACAGTTTAAATTCGTCTGTAACGCAACGTAGCTCAAAAGTTGACTACAAGATTTTGGGGACACGCTCGTATGCATTTGATACTTTAATGTTTCAATTTCATAGGATAATTTCAAAATAACAAATTTTCGTGAAAACTATCAATTACACCAACTTACGTCACAATACATTCATAATATCCACTGTCTGGTCGTCTTGGTCTTCGCAATGAAAGTTCAGAATAGAATCGGTGTTTTCTGATTTTCGTTCGTTCGTTCCTGCTAAGGGTTCTGTTGTTAAATTTCCACTCAAACATTACGACCTCCCGCTTCAAATGAACAATTCAAATGAAGCCTTTGATCATAGATATTCGTTATAACGCGAAGTTTAGCTGCAAAATAAGAATGCAAGCATTTGAAACGAAAGAAATGTGAGATAAAACTTGAGTAAGAGAATATGAAGTTTTAATTTGATTTTGTCAATCCAAAGTAAAATCTATTCGCGTTTTCGCAAGGAAATTTCTTGTGTCCGATTAGCGCACGCGCAAGAAGACTGGAAACAGAGAATCAGCGATTTTCAAAAAATTTATCTGTATTTTCCAATTTTTCATTATCTCATGCAAAATCACATATTTATACCTCGCGAATAATTGAGTCAATAAACATGTTAATATCAATATCCTACCAAGACCACTCGAAGTTGTAACGTTCCCACTAGGCAATCTCTGACGTCTTCGTCCATATTCCCTACCATCAAGTGCCAATATGAAACCAAAGAATATCAGACTGAATGCTAACATGTTTTTCATAACTGTAACGAAACATTGACAGCAGCATGATGAACCGTTAGAATGTAAATCATCATATGACTAATAATTCTTGATATTTTCTAATATATTACAGACGGGGGCAGTAAAATACATAATTTTACAATCAAACCATACCACAATACTGTTAATGGAATGTTGGGCATGAAAATCGACAAGAAAGTAAGTTTGAATTAAAAAAACACACAAAACAAATCAAAATAAAATAGCCACATCTTTGTATTTGTTGGGTGATTTGCCGACGTTTGAAATCGTGTAACAATGTACGAATTTACATCTTTAGTCGGTGGTTTTCACATGATACAAGCAGTTAAGTTATTCCTTTTATTATTTTAATTGTACAACAGACAAAATAAATCCATAAAACTATTTATTATGCAGAAAGAAATGAAACAAAGAATCTCGCGATATACTTAACCTGCTTGCTCAATGGTCTATTCTACTAGAAGCTTTAATCTCAGCATTTTTAATTATATATAATTATATCCTCCATGTCTCTTGAACATGATCTTGGCCTGATCTCGGTACATGAATATCCGAATAATAAATTTAAACGAGTTATTCTGCTTCGACAAAAATGTATCCAATTAAAATACATACCACAATATTGGTGCTAGAGTTTATCGTGCCTTAAAGCGATGAAATAACTGACACTAAAACATTAAGACATCAACGTACCAATAATTAATGTTCGAACATAAAATGACAATAGAAATGCCACAGTTTGATACTTTTATTAAAGTGTTACATTAAATATTCCACTTATTCATTGCTGTTGTGTTGATACGCTCTGCGAGATAATATGCTTATTAGGTTAAACTTTTTAGCTCAAAGAAGAGATGTTGCAACGCATTCATTATTTGTGGTCACGCGAGGAAGTCATATGTGAAATGTGCGTTTGACAGTAATAACGTCAATAATGATGCAAAACTGTTATTTTGGCCCTGTTCACGATACCGGATTGGTTTGACACCGGATTACTTTTCGTACCTGATAGGCCTTGCGTTCATACGGGCTCCGCTGAAATCCGATACGCTTTGTATCGTTTTCCGGAACGATTTGTCCGCTGTGGAAGTGGTATAAAACCAATCAATACGTTCCGTTGTCGTGGAACGCTGGAATGATACGTTCAAACTTGGCAACTAAAAAGTTAGTGCGATTTTTCAATAATGAAAGCAAACATAGCGATACAAACTATGTTTTAGATGAATAATCCGCCAGCAAATATAATATATCTTCAACATGGCATGTTTAAGCTTTTAACAATGTATTATCGTGGTGTGAAAAGCTTCTTTCCAGTGTCATTGTAATGGCAACATATATCCGGTTGTATTTGGACTTTATACTCTTTCAGTCCTTGCGGCCATCAGTACAAATGATGCAAAAACTTTAATACGCTCAAGAAAAAGCTCTGCTTTGTTATCTGTCAAAAAAATTTCTCACTTTCCTACGAAATATTTGAATTAGCAACCATCGCTGCTATTACTTGCACGTACAAGTACTGGGGCGAATTAAAAACTTATGTAGCGTCTTACGAATCTGGCATCGTGTGAACAGAGTGCATTTTTCGTATCGGATTGCTCAACGAATCCGGTATCGTGTGAACAGGGCCTTTATATGAGAGTAAACACTCGAAGTATAATACTCCAACATGCAAAACCCTCTCATGCATTTTATAAACATTTACTCACTTTCAAGCCAGAAGGGGATCTAGGATTTTGGATACCATAGGCAAAACATTATGACGTCATTCAGTGCTAAAACCTATGACGTCATACTTTTGCAAAACATACTACACTATTTATGCTTTCGATAAATTGTTTAAATCAAACAGTCTAATCATTCAGCTATGCAGAATCTTGTAGATCTCAATCGTATAAATACATAAAAACATTGTATATTTATACTTACATATCACAAGGTCGTTGATTTTCACTATTCAGAATATTGAATGCACACAAGACTGTTTCGCCCCATATCAGGCTCATCAGCATGCCTAGGAACACTTTAACGCAAAACAAAAATCGTGATCCGGCATGGACAGCCCCTGAGAGCCAATTAAGCAGACTGGTTATGGCGCCAGAAGTTCGCCTACACACCTTTGAAAAGGAGTTTGGTTAGAAATGGGTGACTATATGGGATATTTCATGGATGTGATATTGCTCAATTTTTCACAACATCCCAGTCAATTCCAACCTTTACCCCCACCTAAATGAGCACTCTGGTTTTTGAAGGCGCCAGAACCTCTTTCACACCTTTAGCAAATAGCAAAAGGAGTTTGGTTAGAAATGGGTGACTATGGGACATTTCATGGATGTAAGATTGCTCAGTTTCTTACACCATCCCAGTCAATTCCAACCCTTTACCCCCCACCTAAAATGTGCACTCTCATTTGCCAACAAATGAGCAGAATGTAAATGTAATGTAATAGTCAAAATAGAGCTTTGTATAAAGAGTCTTTGTGAAGACTAAAATTTGGTGTAAGGAAAAATTATTCTATTTATGCTTAACAATTTTTGTGAAAGTAAATTTATATGACAACGGCCGAGTACCATACACTACTCAGCAGTTTTAAGATTGGAATGTATATAGGGAAAAAACCTTTATCAGAGCTATTAGTTTGATGCAAATTCTATTGACGTTACTATTGTGTACAACGCACAATAAATGGTTAACATATGGACATTTCAACAAAATAAAAACTAGGATATGAATAAATTCATGCAAATTTTAGCCTTGTATTTCCAACAGCAAAAGTAATAACCTCACCAATATCTGGTACAATTTCCTGATGAATTTGCATCAAGGCCAAACCATTTAAGCGTTCCCCAACCATGGTACTTCGCTGATAGTTTTAAGTGTCCTAAGGAAGAAATAGATCGTTCACATTCACAAGAGGTAATGGGAGCGTTCCTAAAATACGTAGTAAAATTTTAATGTTTTCAAATCCGGCGAAATGAACAGATTTTAAAGTCTGGGCAATGTTATCAGGAAGGAGGCCGCAGTGGGTCTCCCAATAAGTGTACCACAACCTAAGTTCAGCATCTAAGGCCAAAGGATTTGGCAAATCATCATAATAAAAGTTAGCCACAGTTTTGAATGGCTCTTTCCAATCCACCCCATCTCTTGTCATGGACATCATTTTCGTCGGTACAATGCTAAGGCCTTTATAGACATTCACACTCTCAAGGTCGAATCGTGATTCTAAAGAAGATTGCAAATGATTTTGTAGAGGAAGAGTAATTGCACGTTTATAATACTCAGAAATGGTTGTGTGGGGAATATTTTCCCTGGTCGTTTGTTTGCGCAGTGTTCTTGGTTTCCATTCTTCAATGCCAACTTTTGCTGCCAGTTCAAACGCTTCGTCATACCAGGTGTCATGATAAAAATCAGAGGAATTCCTCATGTTCACCACCTCAGTTTTCAAAGTTGAAATTAAATGAATACCATCCATTATATCGATACTCTTACCCTGTAATAACTGTGTTACTGGAAGAGTTGAATCAAGAATATTTCTCGTGATAACTAAAGCAACGACGAAATCAAACCTGTCAATAAGTTGAAACAAAGATGAGGCATCAGACTGAAGCTGGTTTGAACTCACCATCTAGATTTTCAGACATATCGTTAAGGGTGGTGTATACAGGTACAAAAAGCTCTTGGAATGTATCTAAACCTTCGATACGTTCTACCCATCTAGTTTGCAAACGTCTGTTAATCTAGTCTTTTTCGTTTGTTTCTGAATTACGATATGTTTTCAAAGGGAATATTGCGAGTTTGGGAAATTTTAATAAAATTAGTGGCATTGTTAACATGTTTCAACATATCATTGATACCGTATACAAATGACATATTTCAGAATTATCCATACCCTTAACTTTCTCCTATACAAGGAAACATCAAAATTATGGGTTAAAACAGCAGGTTGCATATCACCAGAAGTTGGAATACCAGGCAATAGTTCCTGGGATGATGTGTGAAGCAAAAGACTATTGGCTTTATTTAATGTCTGAGCAAGAGCTGCAGCAGAAGAAAAACTCATTGGGCATCCTTTTAAAAGTTGGTTGGGCAGCAGGCCTATTAGTTGAAGTAAAAAATTTGAAATGTCAACTGTTTTGGTGCATATTTGGAAAAATTTTGACAAATTTTCGTTTCTCTGTTGTTGAGCAGCTAGAATTAGACTGTGTACAGGAATTAGACAATTTTCGCTTCAACCTGTGGGCATGGAAAATGAGAGGCACAAAATGATTAGACTGAAAAGTCTCACCTGGTTGTACAGATACTTCGTGACAAAACAAAATATTAATAGCATCCAAACCTCTTTGGCTTAATAACCGGGGCTGAACAATACGATTAAATAACAATTTATATCTACTTTCACCAGAATCAGGATAAAAGTATGAATTTTCTACCTAAAACAGAAGATAGGCCCAAAATACAAAGAAAAGATGACCATTTCTGGTCATTACAATTTAAAATAGCCTCCTGTTTTACCAGTTCATCTGTTGTATATCCAGTGTCTAAACATTCTTTAGACACTGACAAAGGCAAAAGATTGTTTAAGCTTTGGGCAAAGTAATCACTGTGCTCACTTATAACAGACAAAAGCATGGGTGTTGAGCATAAAAGCAGCATGAATAAATAGCTCAAGCGATGTTAAAATTGCAAAGTAGGGACCAATGCATTGTTACCTACCAGAACTAGGGAAGCTGAACTGTAGAGGCAATTGCCAGAAGCTTCAGATCTTAAAAAATATTCAAGAAAAGAAATTAATATTTTGTTTGGTAGATTGATTGCATTGTATGAATTGCTGACTGTAGACAAAGATATAGCCTAGCGAAATTGAGATTTAACCATTTTCACGTATATATAAATACTACAATACGATATATATAATTATAATATATTTACCTTATTGCAGTACAAGTCTTTCCGTCATGAGCGTGCTTTGGCACATATATTTCAGCTCCAAAATTTCGACACAGAGTATGGTCGGGGTCATAAATTCTATCTAACAGCTGCTCGTTAGTAAACATAGGTCGAACGTCGACCAATAAACGAGAATAAAGCTTATTAAGGCATTTTAAATCGTTTTTGGCCAACGCAGACTGAGCAGTCTCGTATAAATTACCACAACACAATGAAGACATTATAAAATATCACAAAACCGTAAACTGAGCACAGAGGCTGTTCAGAAACAATACGAGTGTATGTTAATTTTCAATTGCCTAATTTGCCTAGCTCAACTATGCTTATCAACAGCAATGATTGGTTGGAATTGCTCAAGTTAGGCAAAAAATTGACCAATGAAAGCATACGGTTGCAAAAATTGCCCAATCAGAATACCTATACACGATGTCAAGTTAGGCAAATTCATCTTGTTTAGGCAAATTGCTAACAACCAATCAAATGGCTAGATCGCCTTCTTGACTTAGGCAAAATGGCTGCTTTGCCTAACGACACGGAGCTTTATAGATAATCATACGCATCTGGACTACGATTCATATCAAAATTACGTCATTTAATTGCACAACATTTCTAAACAAAAGTCAGATGATTTGACTGCGATAAAGTGCTATTCATAGTTTCATAATTCGATAAATTCGTATCGAATCTAAGTCGAAGTATATTTTGGTAATTTCACCATAGGCACTTGCCTATGGTGCCTACCCCTAAATCCGCCCCTGTTTTCAAGGACATGGAGAGAAGGATTTGAAGCCGTATAAATGTTGGTAAAATGAATGATGATTAGGTTATGCATGTCAGCGTATAATGCTTTTGAAGTTTATAAGATCAAGATTTCATCTCGATGTCTCCTGCTTTTTTTTTAATTTAGTTGCTGTTGAAAGATTGAATAATTTTTGATAAGGACATGCTCAACATCAAGTTAAATGTCGGCCTAGAACAGTAAAACATAAACCAAGGATTCTCAATATAAATATTAGAGCCCAACAAATAATTTGCACATAGTCATAAACAAGTAATCTGATACCTCAAACTATGTAAATAACTCTCTATATATCTATAGTTCTTGTTAACTTCCTTATTAGTCTGAAGATGTCTTGAGTCAAGACGAAACGTCACTATTTTAATAAATTTCATAAAACCAAATTGTTTATGGCTATGTTTAAAATTATTTGTTAGGCTCTAATATTTATATTGAGAATCCGTTTCCCGCCTGGCACTTCATTGGCATCAATATGGATAAATCAAGGAATTGAATTACCGAAGAAGATATGGATGTTAAAGTTTGGCTATTGAACCAGAAGCTTTCGGGTCATGCCCGCAAAACCCAAGAAATATGAGGTCGCCTGCCCGCGATTAAAAATCCTTCTGCAAAGATCGTTACCCGATAACGAAGTGTAAACAAAAATAAAGCAAACGAGGAGACATCTTGCGGTCATTTATCAAACACTGGCAGTTTAAGAACATTACTTCTGCGCTTGATCATACAGCAAACGCGACGTGATATACTTTACGAAGCAAAATGGGAATTCAATGCTTTGAACTGCGTCACATGATAGATTCGGCCCTGGGACATCCTGAGAAGGGTATTGTAAACCTAAATATACTACATTCACTGCTACATGAAATTCTAAATGCGATTGATAAAAGGAGTAACGACAGTAAGATTACGAGAAACGCAAAAGATTCGTCAAATAATGAAAATTTATCGGAAAGAATAAGAGACGACAGTGAGTTTATAGACCAGACATCCAAAGATCACAATCAACAAATTTCACACGAAAATTTAAGGTATCTGATTCCATATTTTTACTTATATATTAACTTAAGGAAATTGAAATAATGAAGCAATGAAGAGGCTTAATTATCTTTAGTATATTAAATAAAAAAATGCTGTATTACAGTTTCAAAGATCGTGCATGAAATAAAAATCTTATTATGCTACAAACATCCAAGAAATAAATAAAAAGGTTTTAAAATGATGAAGAGAAATTGTAGTTGTGACATGCAGACTTAAAGTGATTAATATTAAAGTTGATTAACGTGTTATTTTGTGCAGTCAAAGATTTTCCACCATTGACCATCGCCTTAAGCAGGCTCATTTCGGTACTTTGAAGGGTTTATAGCACAAAAGAAATGGCTTTTTGAAGTAAATATTTTAATCAATGGCGTGGCATTATTTTACAGAATATTTTTGTTCATTAAATGATCATTTATTCAAATAAATCTCGGTCAAATTTCTGTGGAGTATAACGTTATCAAACAATGTATTTCTACAAGTTTTTCTTGCATTGCCACAAAGTAAAATCCAACTATACTTTTCTCAAAGTTATCTTCCGCATAACAGTAGAAGTATTTATTTGTTTCAGTGATCTTCCTATGTTATCTGACATAGAAGTTAGGCTCAAGTCAATCGAAAAAAAGTTTGATGCTTTAGATAATCTTTCCGCCGACAAAAATATCGTCAATGAAGTAAGAAATTCAGACAGTGTTGAAAAAAGTCAATCAAACCAAGAAAATACTCTAGTAATGATGTGGAAACACATGAAAGTTGAAAGGAGAATTGAAGCAGCTGAAGAAGCGATTGAAGAAGTAATGAATGTTTTAAACAATATTATTGGCGACGTGGAGCACTTAAAGACATTTAAAAAAGACGTTGGTGGTTTATGTCCTAGGGAAGAACCAGTTGTTGATGATGAAGCCATAAAAATGTTGAATAAGGTGATAAATATTAACGTTTACCAACGATAACATTATTGTAACAAAAGTTATAATTTTCACATTCGTCTTTTTAGCTTGGTCCGCTACACGATGTAGTCCGAAAAAAGGACCTGGCTTCGTTTGTAACATGGAACACACTGGAGCAAGCATTGAATAGAAAAGAAAAAGACGAAGACTATCATGATGATGAAAATGTTAAAACACAGTCATCTCAAATGAAGACTAATGTTGAGTATGAACCATCACTTACATCGATAACTCCGAAAGAATTAACGAGTGTCGATGGTAAAGAATTTGACGATACAGTCATTACAAAAACCGATGAATATGACACATCACAGCCATTAAATAACAACAGTAGAGTCGATGAATCTTGTGTTAATAAAGATGTAATTATGACGCAAGATAAAGATAAGGATTCTACAGACCAACCTTCGTCACAACTTTTAAACCAGCTTAACAGGATTGGTGAGCTACCCAAGCAATACAATGATGTTGTGGTTCAGGTTAGTCGTGTGTAAATCAAGTGATCCAGTTGCTAATGGCTGAAATCTTTTAATTCTGCTTTCTCCCTTTGGTCTCAGGTATCCATGATTTCTGAAAAACAAAACAAACTTGCTACTGATGTGGAAAAAGTTGAAACGGATGTGCTGCCCCAGAAACTTAATAAAGCTGACCTGCAGTTACCCGACAATCTCGTGGAACAAATTGATGCAATGAGACAGGGTAAAGCATAAAAAAGTGTCTCTATTGATCCCATTCCCTCCCACAGTGCATCAACATCTGACGGTGCAAAGTTGGAATATTTTTATGTTGTTATAGGCCTTGACGCGCTTAATACAAATGAAGACATTCAAATGTTGTCAATGATCAAGGAAACTTCAAGTAAGAACGAAGAAAATATCAAAAGTTTGAAGTCAGAACTGGCAATGTTTTCGCAACATTTTAAACGTCTTGATCAACTGACTGGAAAGATGAAGTCACCAGAGGCGATCGTTCCCACTTATGATCAAGAAGTTTTGAATAATGTTCGGGAAAAATTGAATAGAGTAGAAGAAGAGCACGAAAAGATGGCATTGCAGAGTAAAGAAAATATGGATAAAATAGTAGAAAATTTAGATGAAAAACAAGTAAGTTGAAGCTTTGGCATTTCTGCGCATTTCAATTGCTTTTGTTTAGAGCATGAAGTCAGGCAAAGCAAGATTTTCTTCATAAAACTGTCATCATTATATTTTCAGAAAGTTATTGATGACTTGATGTTGTATATTGAACATCTTCAACAAGGAAAGGCAGACAGAGAAAATGTGGCGATTGAAATGGACGTCAAAGCAGATAAACATGCTTTAGATGACAAAGTAAATCAAAGCACATTCGAGGAAACATTTCAAATGTTTGACAGAGGTATTTTGTACAGACCTTTATCGCCTCAGAACTATCTCATACGATGTTTTTCATACATATTACGTACACACACTAGTCGTTAAAATTATCGTGATACTTGTAGGTTTGCAAGAAGCTTTGCAAAAAATGGAAGATTACATGAACGAAGAAATGACACTAAAGGACACACTCAAACAAATATCCCAAGAAATGGAAGGAAAGATTGACGCAAACTCAATGAAGTTAATGAAAGATTACTTTGGTTAGTAAAAAGTTAGGAAACAATCGCAGAGAAAGTATTTTTTGCTTTCACCACCAATTATTGCATCATTTTCATCTAGAAAAGCAAATCAAGGAAGTCCAAGAGTCTAGAAATAAGATTGCAAGAGAGACACATATGGATACAGTTGATGCAGCCGGTATTCGTCGTAAACTTCCGGTTCATTATCATTGTATATCATGTAACCGACCAGTTGATGTACCGTTTCGTGATTCTGAACCATGTCTCCCAGAGAGTGAAGGTTTACCATTACGAAAAATGAAAATCCCTTATACCTCATATGAAATAGAACAAGTATGATCAATTTGTGCAGCAAGTTTTTGCCCTTAACGTCAGAGAGTTTGAAATTGTTCTCTTTTCAACTATTATATTTTAGTTGCGTCAGAGATCATTAAAAGGAACAGATGAAGATGTTAGAGATGGCCAGTCTAACAGACCATGTGGTGGAAGTCATACTGTTATTAATCCCTATATCAGAAAATCGACTAAATTCCATCAATTTAGTCAAACTATGGCTTGTACGTCCTAAATATTCGGTCATATTAAATTTTATATGCAAGAATGTTATATGCAGTGCGGTTCGAATCATGGGTTCATGCGGTTCGAATCATGGGTTCGAATCCCGTTGAGTCACCTGAATTTTTCAGGTTCTTGAGACAATTGCTTAAATTGTCCAGCAAAGTGCGAAGATCATATCTACATTTTAATTTCATGTTAAATTTTCGTACAAATGCATGCTGTACCATGCACGAGCTGTAGTGTAACCTGCTTATCCACTAAATCACGTCACTATCCAATATATTCACCCTTACTATTCACTATCCCTTACAGTTCATGAAGACCCGCGGTTTATTCCAAAGATGGTCCGTGAGGTATCCGTGCTCGATTTCCTCCGAGGCTCCGATGGTCACTACTATAAAGGACGCACAAGACAGATACTACCAGCTATCCCGCGCAGATCAAAGTATCCTAGCAACACTGACGCTCAGAACAATAAATACAACACCCGTGATGCCTCGCAAGGGGAAAAATCAAAGAAGAATGATACACATAAAGTACTTATTTTATACTTTAACACACCACAGGATTTAGTGAGCTTTAGATAAAGACATTTACTTTCCAAATACAATTCTGCAATGCCTAAACAAATGCATTCAGACGCCTATGACAGCACAATAAAAGATATATATCAGAGAGAAAGTCGGGAAGACTAAATGCTTACAAACTACGTTGCGTGTTACAGACTCGCACTGAATAGATCAGGGGTCTCCAAACTACGGCCCGCGGGCCAGATGCGGCCCGTTGGGCCTCTCAATCCGGCCCGCAGAGGCACTTCAGAAAATATAATAATATTATTAAACAAAATAAATTTTTCGCAGAAAGTTCACGTTATGTCGCAAGCCAACTAGCAAGAGTGGCTTACGTCAATTTTTCTCCCAACTTCCTACTTCCGTTTCAAGCACACTGCGAAATTTAAAAAGCTGAAGGATAACGTGGAAATTTTTTATATTCTTCGGCCCTTAACATGCTGGATGAAAGTTCAGGTGGCCCTCTGGCTGTAAAGTTTGGAGACCCCTGGAATAGATAAATGGATAGTTTGAGCGTAACTTATCGTCTCAAATCAAATATATATCTTTCTCCTCCCCTCATATAGACTCGACGTGACTTTGGCAATCGGTCGCCGTCACCTTCAAGAGAAGATAAACTGTCATCCTCTTATCCTGAAAGGAACGAGCAAAAAACAAATCCTACACAAGGGCAGCGATACAGCCGCGATGATCTAAATATACCCTCATCGTTAAACAGAGAATCGCTGAAAATATTTCGACGGAAACGTGGAAATGATTTAAAGGTATTCAGTGTTTATTTCGGTAAGGCTTAGGAAAGATTTCAAGCTTCTATGATTATAATTCGAGAGAGTTGTGTTGTAAAAGACAATGGTTTTTCGTTCTTTGATACAAAATCGATGTAACAATCTTTTTAGCTATAAATTACATAGTTAACAAAAGTCAACGATTGAATCCACGTGACCATACGCACGTATATTCATTGGATGAAAAGCTTAAAAACGGTCGTTTATTTAGGATTTAAACCGACAACAATGTTGGGACCAACTTAGAAATAGCAAAGGAGGCACAGAGAAAAAGCAAACGGAATCTACAAGTCCTCAGGTTCGAAAATTGATATTCACCAAATTTCTCCAGTTCCAAATGACTCCATTATTTTAATGTATTTTAATGATTTGCAGAGCTTGAAACGATCAACACCTGTTGGAGAAGAACAACCGTCTATTAAAACCGCCGAGCAGTCAGCCGCAAAATCTTAATAAACAGAATGGTACAAAGGGCATATAGAAAGTCGAGGAAGACACTAAACACTATATATACGCTAATAATAGATACGATATATTTATATCTCTAAAGCCTTATCTGTCAAATGCATGTAATATGTACTAATTTTAATATTATAATGTAAAATGTATGTTTGAGTGAAACCACAGTGCATGTAACGATGTCGAAATGAAAGCTGTAATATGATTGGTTCTTTACAATTGACTTGTTGCTAAGCAACATAAATAAACAATATGGCGGACAATTGCGAAAACCATGGGTAAAACATATTGGCAGCAATATTTTTGAATATTTTGGAAGTTCAAACACAACAAGAAGAAATTAATGACTAGTTTTCATAATGCCTATAATCCGAACACCGGTCGCTCACAAGTTTGGAATCATCTCCCAAACGCAGAAAGTTGAACTTGAGAAAAGAATAGCGACGAAAGCTTATAACGAAACGCGACGTAAACTAGAAGCACAAAATATTTCAGAGCTAAGGTGTGTTATCGATGATATAAAAAAAACTGAGCCATATAATGTGCTTGTGAGAATGCAATTATATCTAACATAATTTAAACAACCCTTTGTCACCGTTTAAAAGTTAAAACGTGTTAATTTCCGTTGTCCTTACTTGAACAGACCACTTCCATTTGAAGTCACCGAAGAATTTGTTTACAAGGTTCAAAATTAAAACAATGTCATTTTGAGTTGAAAGTTTGACGTAGTACTGAGATTTGTATTCATAAATACTTCTTATTGTCAAGTTCAACGATTGCAGTCCTAGTGAGCGAGAAAAGATGCAAGATACATCAATGAAGATGTTAGAAAGACTAAAGGTAGATTGAAATTGAAGGCATCGCAATATTATTATTGACAAAACTGTGATTTCTATTTGTCTTTAAGAGATTAGCTGGACTGAGACAAACATCTGATGGAAATCATGTTGATCTAGCTAGAGCATGGGTTGATTTAGCATTACTCTCTCAATGTCGTTTTTTAAAGCTAGAAGAAGGTAGCAGAATTTTTACCATCCAAAAGATTAAATTCATATTCATCATACATATCTTCCTTAACCATCACATATAGCTTGTTTTATGACATTGATTGCCTCTCTTGATCAAGCCGTTGCAAGTGAAAAAGAGATTTTAAGGTCCTTCTTCCAATTATATGTATTGTGATGTGTCCAAATTTCCGTTGCCATAAGATACATTTTCTTGTTCATAGTTTATTCTACCTTGCAAAGAGTGGCATTCATTGGCTTAAGAAGGAAACAGGAAATGAGTCTGTGTTACGAAGCAATGAGATTTTATTGATAAAAGTGTGTATAAATGTGTATAAATGTATATAAATGTGTATAAATGTGTATAAATGTGTATAAATGTATATAAATGTGTATAAATGTGTATAAATGTGTATAAATGTGTATACATGTAGAGTGAATGTACAATTTGGTGAATTAGATTCCTATGAGCTGTAATAACTTTTTATATTTTAGATGACTTATTTGGTGTTTTTAAGACTTTATTGTCATCACATTTTGCAAGAATTAAAGGTAAAATGGCCTAGACAAAATTGAAATTTACGAACAGTCATTAATGTTGACTAAAAATTGACCCTTTTTTTCAATAAAGAATTACGAAGATCAAAAAGCCTCATTATCTAAATATTTAGCAGGTCAGCCATGTAATTATATCCTTTAGAGCGCATTTAGTTGACAACCTCAGGGATATGTTTTAAGTCAAAAAGAAAACACCTAATTTACAAAATGCACGTGATCAATCAAGATAGAAAGATTTTTAAATAGTTACATACCTTTATACTTCAAGGTTTTCATGAAAAAGAGAAGGCTTTCCATCAGTTCCCCGGGGCAAATTTATCCATTCAAATAATTACCGAGGCTGTAAGTATTTAAGCCATACTTCATTTCATGCTGTTTATCATCTGTCTGTCCTCATGTGGCGAACACCAAATTTGGAAATCTAAGATAACAATTTCATTAACGTTGTTTTGAATGCCTTATCACTGTTATTTGTTCTATCGCATGAAACCCGTTAGCAAAATTTTAATTTGATGGTTATCTCAGTTCCTTTTAATACTGAAATGAGAAGTGTTAAAGTTAAAGTGTGGTACTTACGTGATTTCATCCGCCACAATGATAGGTTAGTTTATCTAAAATGCTTCGCTATTTCTGTTTTGTTTATCAATTTTTCAGGGACGTAGAATTTGCTCGGATATAGATGGCGTTGAAGATTCCCGTCGCCAAAAGACAGTGAAAATCAAGTTAAAAGTGAAAAGATACCCCACATTCTAAGGATTCTTCTTCTGAAAAAAAAGACATGAAAAATGATGTCGAAAAAAAACATAGCATCTTTCTGTGTTGTTCTCTTTATGTGTGGAAAGTCGTTCATTATGATGAATCAAACGCATTGAATCCAGCTTTACAAAGTCTCCTTCAATGTATTTCGCAGTTTCATCAAGAGGAATGGTCAGTTGGGAATAATTATTCTTGTTCACCCAAACCTTACTTACACCATGATTTAAGGAAACCATGCTAAAGATGACTTGCTTACATACAATTTATTTCTATTTAATCACAGGTTAGATGTGATATTAGCGTTTCACATACTGGCAGATGCAAGCTGTAAAGATAAGAGGGTTCTCGAAGCCTTTCAATGTCTGATAAGTTATGATTTTTCCCCATCCATCCCGACGTCGTCACATTTATGTGACACCTGCTACTCAAGTTTTTCAAGCAAGCCGTAAGTGTTTTGTCGTGAATGTTTGTTATATTCATTAAACTTATGTTTGACAAACATCTTCATTCATTGATATCTAAAACAACTAAATAACAGCTTATTGATGTTGAATTTCTAGGAGTAACGGAACCAACTTATTGATGTTGCGTTTCTAGGCATAACTGAACAAACTTATTGATGTTGAATTTCTAGGACTAACTGAACAAACTTATTGATGTTGCGTTTCTAGGAATAACTGAACAAACTTATTGATGTTGAATTTCTAGGAATAACTGAACAAACTTATTGATGTTGCGTTTCAAGGAATAACTGAACTAACTTATTGATGTTGCGTTTCAAGGAATAACTGAACTAACTTATTGATGTTGCGTTTCTAGGAATAACTGAACTAACTTGTTGATGTTGTCTTTCTAGGAATACAAGATTTTTCTGTAAACCATCAAACGCAACACCATCAAGTGATGATAAAGCTTTACAAGAGCCTGAAGACTTTGATCTAAAAAAAGACGAATCAAATAACGAGAAGGAAGTAATCAATAATGCTCACCAATTTTCAAACAACAAAGATTCAACCGAGAGGCTTGAAGAAACGCAAGGTATGAATTTATAATGTCTTAGTTATAAAACTTTACTATTTAATAGGTTGAGCCTTGACCAAAGGTATAAATTTATCATGTTAAGTGTTTAGCAGGTCGAGTTTTTTCGTTCAGTTGTCACTTACAAGACTGAAAAACTCGTACAATCAAAATTGCTTTAAATTATACATAATTATAATTTTATATAAGAAAATATAACATTGTTTTAATAATATAACAAATAGCAATCAACAAATTGGCTTCTGCTCAACGTTTTCAAAATCGACGACAGTACAGATGGCCATGGCAAATGGTGTACACGTTTAGTGAATGTCTCATGACCATTTGCATGTACGGAGCATGCTCAGATGTCAAGAAATCCTCCTTGATAGGCAGCGTTAAGAGGAGTAAAAATGTTTTAGGATCAGGTTTAATTCCACTCCTGAACTACCGTAAGTACAAGTTTGATCATTTTACTTCATTTAGATAAGAATAAAATATTTTAAAATTAAAGATTAGATTAGGATTGATTCACCGTTTGACTACCCAGGTGATGATGACGACAGTTGGAAAGTGCGCTATGGTGTCGTGAAGAGTCTGGTACGAGTATGTCGATATCATGGCAGTGACGTCAGTAAAGATGGTTTATCAAATGTTGCATGGTTAGCTGTGATTGAAAACGAAAATACGGAGAACGACGCACGAGTCCTTGAAGCTGTCAAGTTAGCAAGGGTAAAGTAGAATGATGTGGATATTCCTTTTGATTTATTCAAAGATCTTCCACATTGTTACATTAACAAAAAATGTTTGAAATCGTCTGACGAAACCAATATGAAAGACATTAAAGACAGTTGTAAATTATTTTAGTTCGACATCTAACAATTTCATGTATTACTTGTACATAATACGATCAGAAATATCTTTGAAGAAATCAATATGAATATCAAAGTGAGCAGTTTGAACCCTGGAGTCGATGTTTCTAGAGACTTATTTAAGGATTGTTGGTGTAGATGTTGAATGACGTTTCAACATCCTAAGCGGTAGTCATATGCAAGTCGTCTGAAGATGACTACAGCTAAGGATGTCGATAAGTCAGTCAACAACAATAACAGATGTCCTTTTAAGACTACGTTAACCTAGATGATGTACATCTTCAGACAGGGATATAGAATGTTAGAAATTGACTCGATAGAGTATTTTAATCTCACGTGATTTCTACCGTAATTAGGTTGAGGCGGAGTTTGAGAAGAGACTCAACGAAGATCATGTACGTTCGTCACTATGGGCAACAAGGATGGCATCCGCATTGCTACCAATGTTGCATTATAAGTTTATCGATTCGCCAGCTACAGTTGCAAATCCCGAGTGTACTGCTGCATTGAAGTCTAAAGATAAAGGACCAATAAAAAAATTACATAAATCTCGCGTTGTTCTTCCAAACACACATAACAGATCTGACGTCGACACAACGTTAAGGTGAGGGATGACTTTATTGAAAAGAACGAAAGAAAAACTTTCCTAAACTATCAAGTAATTTGAGGGTCGAAAATTGAAGAAATCTATGTGTTCGTCTTGCCTATCTCTCGTCGTCACTAGCTGCCTCTTTCATATATTTTTAACACTATCATTTGTATTCAATGTGGTCATGGGATGTTATTGTTAAAATATATATGACGTCATATATTTTATCTTCTTGTAGACAAGAGATCAACTTGAACCATTTACGTATGAAACCTCGTGTGGACTACATCAGCCGACAAAATAACGATCTACGAGGTATAATCGACGATCAGTGGAAGAAGGAATTGTTGCAAGAGCTGGAAGATGAGATGAAGGAGAGCATTGAACAGTTAGAAAAAAAAAGAAACGATGAATTTCAAAATAAAATAAAACTTTAAAACCGCATTCTTTATCGATCATATGTATTTAATTCAACTGTAAATTGAGATAGACGAAATATAGTCGATGTGTTCATTTCCAAGAAAATCGAGAATTTTCCTTCAACACTCCGTTCCAGTCTTTTGCAGCCTCGTCACGGACGAAGAATGCTCACAGTCGCATGATTTGTTGTCGAGCCTGTACATTTGCAGACAAATTTCAATATGGTTGAACGTACGGGAATCTCTAGGGTGAATTGCTTGTATCCATTATATCCCATCTCATCCCAAACAATCTTTCCTCCAATGCCAACACCAAGTTTATTTTTACCCATCGAAGGATTGCTGAATGCAAACGTGATCACTTCGCCATTAATTTCGTAGTTTACATATCCACTACAACCTGCGATTGCATGATCTCGTTCGTAGTTCAACACATCCAAGCGACCACCGCTTTGCACCTTTGCCGGCCAACTGTATGTGTCTGCCAGTCGTCCGCTGTCGTACCAATCATTTACATAGTTCATCGCGAAACCAGAATGGTTTTCAATAATCAAACGTATATTGTGACTTTTAACCATGTTCTTGCTGTGTGATGTTTAGATGTTTTTTCGAGAGAATTTGTTTCCTATTACCCTGCTTCAATATCATAAAAGAGGGTCAAACGCAAACGAAAGTTTCTATGCGTTGTCCAGAAACCAAAATGAAAGGATTTAAAGATCTCAGAATTCCAAATTCTAAGGATCATAACTAACTTATTAATCATTCAATGCCGGAAGTAAGATGTCTTATAATACAAACAACAGTAATATGTCTTAAACGTATCCTACAGTATGACATAAAATAGGGAATAAAACTTTTATGTTACGTACAAAGAAACATTGACGATTTCGTTATTACGTTTGTTCTCTGTTGATGAGTTTAAATAAAATACAATTATTCGTACAGCATTGAAAAATGACGGTGCACAATAAGACCTTAATTGTCAAATGTTTGGATGGAAGGTGGCCACACTTGCCTAAAGTTATCTGTAAAACTTCGCTTAACGAATTTCTACATACACAAGATCTCTCATTACATTTTAAAATACTTACAGAGGAGAGTGTTTGAGCCATTGAGCAAGAATGTATAGAATTAGCTAGTTCTTTAAATGCTACGATTTTAGACCTAGTAGGACTCCACAAAAATTTTTACGGCTTCCTGGTAAGTTTACAGGCATGGTGCGAGTTACGTAAAAACGATGAAATTTTCTACATGTTTCAGCACCTTCAAAACAGCGCACATCATACTTATCATCGATGCAAGTAGAACGATGTGCAGTAATATGATACTATAAACATTAATAATTTACTTTTGCATTGATACGACCATACAAATATCTCCAATGATGTCATCTAGTCTATTCATAAATTTAATAAACAGAATGAAAGCGGTGCATTTGAGCAAAAAACAAATTGTGAATAGATAGTTTGCATCCAAACATTGTTACGGCTACACGGGTTTCTCAGAACAAAGCTTGATGTGCACACGGTTCTTATTTGTTCTCTATTGCAAACGGCAAATGTTAACTGTCGCATGATTTGTCGTCGAACCGGTACACTTGCAAACAAATTTCAATGTTGATGAACATACAGGAATTTCAATCGTAAGTTCCTTGTAATCATGGTAGTCTATCTCGTTCCAAACATCCCATCCTTCAACACCAACACCAAGTTTATTCTTACCCATCAAAGGATTGCTGAATGCAAACGTGATCACTGTACCACTGATTTCATATTCCGTGTAACCACTACAGCCACTTACAGCATTGTCTCTCTCGTAACACATAATATCCATATGACGACCGTCTTTAACAACTTCTGGCCAAGAATATGTATCAGCTAATCGTCCGGAATCAAACCAATCTCCTTTATAGTTCATTGAAAAGCCCGAATGATTTTCCACAGTCAAACGAACAGTGTGCTTCTTAACCATTTTGTACACAAACTGTACAGTCTGCACCTTCGCCGCGACTTCACAGGAATGAAGTGGAGACCGTTGGCAAACGGAAGTATGAGAATACACAGACACAACAAGTTTCGTATTTCACTAGGTACTGTTGTTATTCAAATTTTTCGGAAATATATTACCGCGGTAATAATTAAGCACGTGACTGCACGTCCACCAATGAAATTGGCAAACACCAATATCGTAAAAACAGCGAAAGTTTAACGGTCAACTTATTGCGTTCATGAAAACCATATCCAAACGTATTTGCATCATGCTTTATAACGACCGCAACAGGTGTCCAAGCGTATTTATTCAAATGAGTCTTAAAAAAAGGTTTTTATCACGAAAATGCGCGAAAAAACTATTTTCAACGATAAATTCTTTACCAAAGGTATTAATTACCATACAAGAAAACGAAATTAGTTGCAAAAAAAAAGTTGAAATTAAAATGGTTGTTATCGAGTTGGCAGTGTTCGCAGTTATGACATCAATATATTTGGCCACTCAATGTTATTTTGCGAAGGATTGCTGAATGCGAACGTGATCACTTCGCCATTAATTTCGTAGTTTATTTTTACCCATCGAAGGATTGCTGAATGCGAACGTGATCACTTCGGCATTAATTTCGTAGTTTATTTTTACCCATCGAAGGATTGCTGAATGCGAACGTGATCACTTCGCCATTAATTTCGTAGTTTATTTTTACCCATCGAAGGATTGCTGAATGCGAACGTGATCACTTCGCCATTAATTTCGTAGTTTATTTTTACCCATCGAAGGATTGCTGAAAGCGAACGTGATCACTTCGTCATTAATTTCGTAGTTTATTTTTACCCATCAAAGGATTGCTGAATGCGAACGTGATCACTTCGCCATTAATTTCGTAGTTTATTTTTACCCATCGAAGGATTGCTGAATGCGAACGTGATCACTTCGCCATTAATTTCGTAGTTTATTTTACCCATCGAAGGATTGCTGAATGCGAACGTGATCACTTCGCCATTAATTTCGTAGTTTATTTTACCCATCGAAGGATTGCTGAATGCGAACGTGATCACTTCGCCATTAATTTCGTAGTTTATTTTACCCATCGAAGGATTGCTGAATGCGAACGTGATCACTTCGCCATTAATTTCGTAGTTTATTTTACCCATCGAAGGATTGCTGAATGCGAACGTGATCACTTCGGCATTAATTTCGTAGTTTATTTTACCCATCGAAGGATTGCTGAATGCGAACGTGATCACTTCGCCATTAATTTCGTAGTTTATTTTTACCCATCGAAGGATTGCTGAATGCGAACGTGATCACTTCGCCATTAATTTCGTAGTTTATTTTACCCATCGAAGGATTGCTGAAAGCGAACGTGATCACTTCGTCATTAATTTCGTAGTTTATTTTTACCCATCGAAGGATTGCTGAATGCGAACGTGATCACTTCGCCATTAATTTCGTAGTTTATTTTACCCATCGAAGGATTGCTGAATGCGAACGTGATCACTTCGCCATTAATTTCGTAGTTTATTTTACCCATCGAAGGATTGCTGAATGCGAACGTGATCACTTCGCCATTAATTTCGTAGTTTATTTTACCCATCGAAGGATTGCTGAATGCGAACGTGATCACTTCGCCATTAATTTCGTAGTTTATTTTACCCATCGAAGGATTGCTGAATGCGAACGTGATCACTTCGCCATTAATTTCGTAGTTTATTTTACCCATCGAAGGATTGCTGAAAGCGAACGTGATCACTTCGTCATTAATTTCGTAGTTTATTTTACCCATCGAAGGATTGCTGAAAGCGAACGTGATCACTTCGTCATTAATTTCGTAGTTTATTTTACCCATCGAAGGATTGCTGAATGCGAACGTGATCACTTCGCCATTAATTTCGTAGTTTATTTTACCCATCGAAGGATTGCTGAATGCGAACGTGATCACTTCGCCATTAATTTCGTAGTTTATTTTTACCCACCGAAGGATTGCTGAATGCGAACGTGATCACTTCGCCTTTAATTTCGTAGTTTATTTTTACCCATCGAAGGATTGCTGAAAGCGAACGTGATCACTTCGCCATTAATTTCGTAGTTTATTTTTACCCATCGAAGGATTGCTGAATGCGAACGTGATCACTTCGCCATTAATTTCGTAGTTTATTTTTACCCACCGAAGGATTGCTGAATGCGAACGTGATCACTTCGCCATTAATTTCGTAAATTATTTTTACCCATCGAAGGATTGCTGAATGCGAACGTGATCACTTCGCCATTAATTTCGTAGTTTATTTTACCCATCGAAGGATTGCTGAATGCGAACGTGATCACTTCGCCTTTAATTTCGTAGTTTATTTTTACCCATCGAAGGATTGCTGAAAGCGAACGTGATCACTTCGACATTAATTTCGTAGTTTATTTTTACCCATGGAAGGATTGCTGAAAGCGAACGTGATCACTTCGTCATTAATTTCGTAGTTTATTTTTACCCATCGAAGGATTGCTGAATGCGAACGTGATCACTTCGCCATTAATTTCGTAGTTTATTTTACCCATGGAAGGATTGCTGAAAGCGAACGTGATCACTTCGCCATTAATTTCGTAGTTTATTTTTACCCATCGAAGGATTGCTGAATGCGAACGTGATCACTTCGCCTTTAATTTCGTAGTTTATTTTACCCATCGAAGGATTGCTGAATGCGAACGTGATCACTTCGCCTTTAATTTCGTAGTTTATTTTTACCCATCGAAGGATTGCTGAATGCGAACGTGATCACTTCGCCATTAATTTCGTAGTTTATTTTTACCCATCGAAGGATTGCTGAAAGCGAACGTGATCACTTCGCCATTAATTTCGTAGTTTATTTTTACCCATCGAAGGATTGCTGAATACGAACGTGATCACTTCGCCATTAATTTCGTAGTTTATTTTACCCATCGAAGGATTGCTGAATGCGAACGTGATCACTTCGCCATTAATTTCGTAGTTTATTTTACCCATCGAAGGATTGCTGAATACGAACGTGATCACTTCGCCATTAATTTCGTAGTTTATTTTTACCCATCGAAGGATTGCTGAATACGAACGTGATCACTTCGCCATTAATTTCGTAGTTTATTTTTACCCATCGAAGGATTGCTGAATACGAACGTGATCACTTCGTCATTAATTTCGTAGTTTATTTTACCCATCGAAGGATTGCTGAATACGAACGTGATCACTTCGTCATTAATTTCGTAGTTTATTTTTACCCATCGAAGGATTGCTGAATGCGAACGTGATCACTTCGTCATTAATTTCGTAGTTTATTTTTACCCATCGAAGAATTGCTGAATGCGAACGTGATCACTTCGTCATTAATTTTCGTAGTTTATTTTTACCCATCGAAGGATTGCTGAAAGCGAACGTGATCACTTCGTCATTAATTTCGTAGTTTATTTTTACCCATCGAAGGATTGCTGAATGCGAACGTGATCACTTCACCTTTAATTTCGTAGTTTATTTTTACCCATCGAAGGATTGCTGAATGCGAACGTGATCACTTCGCCATTAATTTCGTAGTTTATTTTTACCCATCGAAGGATTGCTGAATGCGAACGTGATCACTTCGCCTTTAATTTCGTAGTTTATTTTTACCCATCGAAGGATTGCTGAATACGAACGTGATCACTTCGTCATTAATTTCGTAGTTTATTTTTACCCATCGAAGGATTGCTGAATACGAACGTGATCACTTCGTCATTAATTTTCGTAGTTTATTTTTACCCATCGAAGGATTGCTGAAAGCGAACGTGATCACTTCGTCATTAATTTCGTAGTTTATTTTTACCCATCGAAGGATTGCTGAATACGAACGTGATCACTTCGTCATTAATTTTCGTAGTTTATTTTTACCCATCGAAGGATTGCTGAATGCGAACGTGATCACTTCGCTTGCTGTGTCATGTTTATATGTTTTTTCGAGGGAATTTGTTTCCTATTACCCTGCTTCAATATCATAAAAGAGGGTCAAACGCAAACGAAAGTTTCGATGCGTTTTCCAGAAACCAAAATGAAAGGATTTAAAGATCTCAGAATTCCAAATTCTAAGGATCATAAATAATTTACTAATCATTCAATGCCGGAAGTAAGATGTCTTATAATACAAACAACAGTAATATTTCTTAAACGTATCCTACAGTATGACATAAAACAGGGAATAAAACTTTTAGGTTACGTACAAAGAAACATTGACGATTTAGTTATTACGTTTGTTCTCTGTTGATGAGTTTAAATAAAATATACAACTATTCGTACAACAGTGAAAAATGACGGTGCACAACAAGACCTTAATTTCCATAATTTCATAAAAGCACTATTGCCAATACACATTTAATATACACGACAACTTTTTTAAAAATAGACATGTTTCGACATCTCATGATGCCATCTTCAGTATGAATGAAATAATAGGTGATACAGGGTTTATAAAAGTAATATGATACGTAAATTAGAACAATAAAAAGGAAATAAGATAATATAATGAGGAGCGTCCGAGCGTATTATAAACTAAATATTGTATTGAATTTAAAAACTTGAACATTGAGGTCAGGGTTAGTTTTGTTAATGTGGAGTGCTTCTTTGATTTTAAGGGTGAATGAGGTGTCGGCAGTGTCGATGATTTTGAAACAAGAGGGTGAATAGTTGGTTTTGCATGAGTGAGATTTAAGAAGGTGTCGGTAGATGTGAGAGTTTTTGTCTGTTGTGGTATGTTCCCTGATTCTGGTGGATAAATGGCGCGATATTTTTTGACGATATTTTTAGTGTTTTTACTAACGAAACTGAGGCCATGAAGTTTTATAATTACATTAACACACAGCACGCAAACATTAGATTTTCTTTTGAAACTGAACAACAAGATCAACTGCCATTTCTTGACATTTTACTAACAAAATCTCACGACAGCTGTACAACATCTACATACCACAAACCAACGTACACAGGACTTCTGACGAGCTATTTTAGTTTCACACCACTTTCATACAAAACCGGACTTATACGCACACTAATCGACAGAGCATACAAACTTAACAATACGAACAATGGCTTTCAACGAGACATAAAAAACATCACATCCACTCTCTTACGAAATTCTTTCCCACTTCACTTTATTAACAGAACCGTAAAACGATATCTCGACAACAAACATAGCAACAACCTCAACCTAGACACCGAAACTCCTGACACGACGATCACAACCAACACAAATGAAAATTCCAAAATAACAACTCTATACTTCAAACTACCATACATCGGACATTACTCACGACACACACAACGCAGACTTACAAACATTATGAAACGTTTCTGTACAGATATTGACATTCGACTAATTTTCACATCATTCAAAATCAAAAACCTTTTTTCATTTAAAGACCCGATCCCTGATTCAATTAAATCTATGGTGGCATATGAATTCAATTGCGCTGGATGTAATTCCCGATACATTGGCGAAACTTCACGCCATTTATCCACCAGAATCAGGGAACATACCACAACAGACAAAAACTCTCATATCTACCGACACCTTCTTAAATCTCACTCATGCAAAACCAACTATTCACCCTCTTGTTTCAAAATCATCGACACTGCCGACACCTCATTCACCCTTAAAATCAAAGAAGCACTCCACATTAACAAAACTAACCCTGACCTCAATGTTCAAGTTTTTAAATTCAATACAATATTTAGTTTATAATACGCTCGGACGCTCCTCATTATATTATCTTATTTCCTTTTTATTGTTCTAATTTACGTATCATATTACTTTTATAAACCCTGTATCACCTATTATTTCATTCATACTGCAGATGGCATCATGAGATGTCGAAACATGTCTATTTTTAAAAAAGACCTTAAATGTCAAATGTTTGGATGGAAGGTAGCCACACTTGACTAAAGTTATCTGTAAAACTTCGCTAAACGAATTTCTACATACACAAGATTCTCATTACATTTTGAAATACTTACAAAGGAGAGTGTTTGAGCCATTGAGTATGAATGAGTAAGAGTAAAGAATTAGCATTGCCAGTTCTTTAAATGCTACGATTTTAGACCTAGTAGGACACACAAAACTTTTTACGGCTTCCTGTTAAGTTTACAGGCATGGTACGAGTTAAATAAGAACGATGAAATTTTCTACATGTTTTAGCACCTTCGAAACAGCGCACATCATACTTATCATTGACGCAGTAATATGATACTATAGACACGAAAAATTTACTTTTGCATTGATACGAATATACAAATGATGTTGTCTAGTCTATTCATAAATTTAATAAACAGAATGAAAGCGGTGCATTTGAGCAAAAAACAAATTGTGAATAGATAGTTTGCATCCAAACATTGATACGGCTACACGAGTTTCTCAGAACAAAGCTTGATGTGCACACGGTTCTTATTTGTTCTCTATTACAAACGAAAAATGTTAACTGTCGCATGATTTGTCGTCGAACCAGTACACTTGCAAACAAATTTCAATGTTGATGAACATACAGGAATTACAATCGTAAATTCGTTGTAATCATGGTAGTCCATCTCGTTCCAAACATGCCATTCTCCAACACCAACACCCAGTTTATTTTTACCCACCAAAGGATTGCTGAATGCAAACGTGATCACTGTACCACTGATTTCATATGCCGTGTAACCACTACAGCCAGTTACAGCATTGTCTCTCTCGTAACACATAATATCCATTTGACGACCGTCTTCAACAACTTCTGGCCAAGAATATGTATCAGCTAATCGTCCGGAATCAAACCAATCTCTTTTATAGTTCATTGAAAAGCCCGATTGATTTTCAACAGTCAAACGAACTGTATGCTTCTTAACCATTTTGTACACAAACTGTACAGTCTGCACCTTCACAGGACTGAAGTGGAGACCGTTGGTAGACGGAAGTATAAAAATATGCAGACACAACAAGTTTCGTATTTCACTATGTACAGTCGTTATTCAAATTTTTCAGAAATATATTAACGCAGTAATAATTAAGCACGTGACTGCACGTCCACCAATGAAACTCGCAAACACCAAATATGGTAAAAACAGCGAAAGTTTAACGGTCAACTTATTGCGTACTAGTTTTCATAACTATGGGGTGCAATATCCGCCAAAATTACACTAAATTCAATTATTCAGCACATTTTTTATCATTATTCAGCCTTATTTCAATTATTCAGCACATATTTTATCATTATTCAGCCTTATTTCAATTATTCAGCACATTTTTATCATTATTCAGCCTTACTTCAATTATTCAGCCTTATTGCAATTATTCAGCCTTATTTCAATTATTCAGCATATATTTTTTATCATTATTCAGCCTTACTTCAATTATTCAGCCTTATTTCAATTATTCAGCATATATTTTTTATTATCCAGCATATTTTTATCATTATTCAGACTGGTTTGTTATTTGCAGCATATGTTTTACTATCCAGCGGTCTGCCACTAGTACTTACGTTTGTTTTGGCTATAAAACTTGGTTAGCACTATTTTCCACCCAGCAAACCGCCCTTTACTTTACACAATCGGAAATAAATTAAAGATGGCGGCTAATGGGAAAGAACCAAAAGCTAAAAGGAAACCATGCATGCACTGGTGCTAGGTCGTTTTGAGATGGCGAGTAATTTTATATTTTTATAATACAGTTTTTAATATCAACATATGAAAATATTTACAGATAAATGTTGCAGTATAAATTTTCATGCAACCACCTTAAGTTATAAACTTATAATCCAGGCTGGAAAATATGTCGTTTTCGACGATTGTGTAAAATATTATATAAAATATTATATTGTGTAAAATATTAGATTGTGTAAAATATTATATTGTGTAAAATATTATATTTCAGAGTAAAGGGCGGTTTGCTGGGTGGAAAATAGTGCTAACCATAAAACTTACTTGCAATACCGATCGGTAAAGACTATTTAAATTAGTTCAACTTGCAGACAGAACAGTTATTGTTATTGGAGCTATAGCAAGATTTTGAGGTACCATTTGAAAAGATAAAAAAACGAGGGAAAAATTGGTTGAAATGATGGAAGTAGAAGGTGAAACACAAACACTGAGGGAAATGATTCGTTGGAGAATTTTAGAAGTAAGAGATCGTTTAAATCGGTGTGATGTCAATTTAGAAATGCAAGACGTATTGGAAGTTGTTGATGAATTGATACAATACGTTGTTCTACTAGATTCATTTGAAAGGGTTTCTGAACAGGTTTTAAACTATTTAATCCATGCTCGTAACACGCTATCCAGGGAAAGTATCAGAGCCACTTTTGAATATGAATTGTGCGATATTGCTAATGCTGGCAGGCCTTCACTGATTATCGGAAAAGAGCAAATTGAATATCTTCTGGATTGCAGTTTTACAGTCAATCAAATCAGCGAAATACTACATGTATCGAAGCGCACTATAAACGGTCGTATGAGTGCATATAACTTGACAGGAGTGAACAGATTTACAGAAATTAGTTAATGTATCAGCTAATCGTCCGGAATCAAACCAATCTCCTTTATAGTTCATTGAAAAGCCCGAATGATTTTCCACAGTCAAACGAACAGTGTGCTTCTTAACCATTTTGTACACAAACTGTACAGTCTGCACCTTCGCGACTTCTCAGGACTGAAGTGGAGACCGTTGGTCGTGGAGACGGAAGTATAAAAATATGCAGACACAACAAGTTTCGTATTTCACTAGGTACTGTCGTTATTCAAATTTTTCGGAAATATATTACCGCGGTAATAATTAAGCACGTGACTGCACGTCCACCAATGAAACTCGCAAACACCAAATATGGTAAAAACAGCGAAAGTTTAACAGTCAACTTATTGCGTTCATGAAAACCATATCCCAAACGCATTTGCATGATGCTTTTTAACGACCGCAACAGGTGTTCAAGCGTATTTATTCAAATGAGTCTTAAAAAAAGGTTTTTATCACGAAAATGCGCGAAAAAAATTGTTTTCAACGATAAATTCTTTACCAAAGGTATTAATTACCATACAAGAAAACGAAATTAGTTGCAAAAAAAAAGTTGAAATTAAAATGGTTGTTATCGAGTTGGCAGTGTTTGCAGTTATGACATCAATATATTTGGCCACTCAATGTTATTTTTGTCGACATCCAGAGATACCAAACGGTGTGCACAACATTATACAAGACGATGGCGACGCTTGGAAGTATGCTATGTACAATAAATATACTGTATGGTGAAATGCAACTTGTTAGTGCAAAAAAAATAAAGTACAGTGTAGAATAGTTTTGAGCATTGACATTGAACTTAATGATATTATCTTATATCAGTGGTGGACAGTCTATTCATTGGAACTTATAATAGACAATTATATGAACTATGTCCTTTTTAAAACTATTATTTTTTAGTTTTTGTTGCAAAGACATTATCTTATTTGTTATTATGAATTTATGAAAAAGTCATTGCTATATTGTTAATATTAATAACTCTGGTTTTAATGAACACTGGGCTTTCTTTTCTTATAATAATCACAAATGATACAAAGAATTATATCAATATATATATATATGCATGACAGATCAGCCATTCTGAACCAAAATGTGCAAACTTTTCAATTTTTATTAACATAGCTTTGGAAAAAGGGTTTAATTTCGGCCATCCAAATTGAACGGTGAATAAACACGTTTCTTCAGTGGATGAAAGAAATTTTAAACTATTTTACTTCTAAATTTATTGTAATTCATAGATGTTCAGGAGCAAACATACATGAGAGAGGGTGTGGGTTTATCATACACAGATTTATAAAACTAATTCAATGGTTATTTGTAAAAGTTTTGTTTGTTCCAATTGGTTACTGCATACAAGCAAAAATGTGCATTTTTCTGAGGTAAAGTAACTTTAAAAGTTTTTGAATAAAATTCTTTATAGTTATTCGGAAAATATTTGACAAAACCTGTACATACCTATGTCTGGTGGCATTAAATTTCATGAGCATCTTTTCCTCTGTCACCAAGCAAATGAGGTACCCAATAGTGGAGAACGAGGAGATCGACTTTTTTTTGCTAACATCCTGCAAGAATAACAACATTTTATAAAAAACTACATTCAAAACACAAATAAAATAAAGACTTGCCTTTAAAAATTACATAGTTGCTACTTAATAAAGTATTAGTCATGACAATGACAACAAAACTGGTCAACTAACTGCTACCTAATCTAATTATCAAAGTATATTTCTCAAGCCATGGTTTGTCATTGTTGGGTTTTGCAATAACACATGACTTTCTCAATAAAAGAGCTGTATATAAAACACAACAATTGAACATGATATGTGAGTTTCCATGAAGAATACTGTGAGTGTAAGGAAGATGCTTAGCGGACAATGGTACCATTGCTTGTAGTGTGCACTGTGCAATGACCAGCAAATCTTGTGATGAAACAGTACATAGCTCATATTCACTACATGGACAGTACAGACAATTGCATTATTCATTCCTTTAAACATTTAAACTATTCAAGGATAAGAGTGTAGAAACCATGATTCATTCTTGGGTGTATTTGCTTCCATTTGTTACCTATTTGAACCACCTATCTTCCCAAAAATGCTCATGCCGAGGTATTTATCTTTACAATGAAATTAAAGGACCATTTTTGATTTGGCAATATACAAAAAACGCTTACCAATAGTATGAGAACAGACAAAATAAAAGATCCACAGATTTTAATACCATTGCTTCAAGCATTGCTTGCATTGGCACAATCATGACAGAATGTTTACAGTGTACTGGTCGCTTCTCGTTTCGCTATGACTTTTATACTTTATGCTTTTCTTTGACGGTCAGAATTCAGAAGTACGCTTTAGCAATTCTTTGCTCTAGCTACAATTGTCGAGTGTGAAATTGGATCCACAAACAAAAACTTTCAAAGATAAAAATCAAGGTCGATGACTTACGGTTGACTAAAATAGACTTCCTAGGGTACAATGCAGTACATGAATAATCCGTAAAGGTACATATGAATGATATTATGTGATTAGTATGGATGTATAGGAATGAGAAGTGTTGAGCAGTGGAGAATCTTTCCCGCCGAAGTCGCAACTTGTAATCTTATTGGGTGATTTGCACCAATGAGAGGCTGTAATTTACAACCTGTCAATCAATCAATTCTCATGACATTTGCGAAGAAGCCCCAAACATATTCACTTATTACATCTCTTCAAGAAGACATCATCTTTGTACAACTTCGAAGAATTTTGTAAAGATATATCGCAGAAAGAAAAAGAGATGTCAAAATTATCTTCGACTGGATAGAAGGTAACGACTTCCTATGCTCTAGAGGATATTTTTTGTTTTACTTCATTGTATTTTGAGGTTAAAAGCGGCCAAACGTGTCCGGCCTGTTTCTACATTGTTTCGACAAACTGTAAAATTTTGTGGTAATATTCACGTTTCACCGGTTCTTAGTAACGTTTTCTGCAGTTATTGCTGTATTTCATCTTTTCTTGGACGACTTGGAATGTATAGAAGCAAAATTTAGACGATATTTTTGGTTTTAGGACGAAGTTGTGACCACTTTCATGCTGCTCGCTCGACGAGCTTGCTCGAACTGTATGCCCTTTTCAACGCGAATAAACAACAAACTAAACGTGAAATGGCGACTAAAACCTGAAAAAAGTGAAAGGTATGACGTGTACAAGTTTTTTCTTTGCTCAGTTTAAGCTAAAAGCGAATTTTTGTGCTGAATATAGGAAAATTTTCTTGGCCATTTTGAATTGCGTTGTAGGTGAAACAAATTTTGGCGCCAGTTTTTAGACGCGCACACCAATTAGGGACTGAGTACAAATTTTGCCGAACGGAAACGGAAACAATTCGAAATTCATGTTTTAAATATAGTTTGGCCTGCTCAGGCAGTTGATTTTGGTAAAAAACCATAGAGAACGACGTTGCATCAACACT